TCTTCAAAGACGCGATATCTTTGTTTATGCTGTTATCATGTACAATAGGAATCGGGAGACAAAAAAGTGGCGTAAGACATGTACTACACGTTTTCTGTGCAACAACACAAAGCAAGTAGTTTGTTTCATGAAAGTGAGACGAATCCAGGAACAGAAACTATCCAGTGCTCTGGTTTCAAAATAGAGCATTTTCTACGGGGGCAGTTGGTCTGTATCATCTACTGTGCCAAAATGAAGGAAGATTGATCCTCTACTTATGAATATAATAAAGCCATGCAGTTGTACTGAAGTTTCTTCTATGGTGTTTGGGAGCTCAAAGAGCCTATTTATACTACTCTCGGTGACTCGTATGCAGTTGTAAACACCTTTCCATATATACGGGGTTACCATATTGGTACTGTTTCTCTAGTAAAAAAGATTGTATTGCTAATGCCGTTGCTTAATAAGACCTGAGATGAAGTAATACTCTACATGAAGAGACACGCTAGAAACTTGTGTTGACATTCATTGAATCTAATGATATTTTCCGCACGTCACTATTTTCCTAACATGTGCATGCGTCATCGATAAGAGTAAACAACGAGCAAGAACAACTGTCAGCCGCAGCAGCAAATATGATTAAGAGCCTGTAAACAGCTAGTGTTTGACACACCCTGAAATGGCAGAATAAAGAGTTTCACGTGACGGATACTTTTTTTTCATGTATGTGATCAGCTGGATGCGCCCAAAAACAGTGCAATGCTTTTGTTTACTTGCTGTCGTCGTCGTAATAGTGTGTGTGTAAAAAAAAGAGAGAGTAACGCCCCGGTTCTCCTTTTTATTTCTTTTCCTTTTCTTCTTCTCACTCTCCGAATGCCTCTGCCCAAACTGTTTAAAAAGAAAGGCAAATTGCGTGAGCCATCCAGTTCCAGGCCAGTCTCATCAAGGCACCGTATGGATGATATTCTTTCACGAGGATTCATTATCGACTTGAAGTCCCGAGTCGAATCGCCCACCGATCTGTTAGACATGGTTGGCTATCCCCGTCTCCCAGCAAGCGCTTCGAGCCCGGATCTTGCATCGCCGCCGGACTCCTCTTCATCCCAACAACGACGACGCCAGCAACGTCCCTCCGTTGGTCCGCGGCGAGCATCATATTATTCCTTTTCACCCACTACAATGAAAAATCCTACTTCTTCAAGAAGTGCTGCTGTTCCTGCATCTACAACATCATTGTCACAGCCATTGCCACAACCACAACCACAACCACAGCAGCAGCAGCAGCAACAAAAACAACAACAACCACAACCACAACCACAACCACAACGGCTACCATCACCTCCATTAACCGAACATAAGCAGCAGCGGCACCAACCTAAAGTCGGCGTTACCGTCTATAATGACCAAGCAACTGCAGCTTTATCGTCACCATCGTCACCGCCACCACTCATCATGCCGACACCACAAATGGCCGTGCCACTTACCAAGCAGATGTTATTAGAATCCAATAATCCATGGGCTGATAAGACCCTGGACGAAGATGGATTAGCAGCTGGGTATTCACGAGATGAACCATCGTCACGCGCAGACGCCGCACTTGAATCATCAGCGCTGCCACTGCCGCCACCACTACCAGCTCCACCAGCTCCTAAGCCAGGTAATTAGATGGAACATACTCTAAGATCAGCAGGTGTGAAGATAGCCAATTAAGAAAAATATACAAAGTAGAACATCGGCATCGTCAAAGAAGCCGGTCCGAAATTAATGCACTGTATCACAAACTATGGACGTACCAGCAAGAGTATGGAGCATGGGCACAACGGGAAAGTGAGCATCGTAAGCGTGAGGAATGGATGTACAAGAAACTACAAGAAACGCGTGCACAGTTGAAACAATTGCGATTGGCGACCTATCAACAACAACAATCTCAACATCGTCCCATTGTTGACGAGGCTTTTTGTGATGAGCCTGAGGAAACATCCGACGTTGAAAACGAAGCAGATCGGTCACGCACCAATCAGAATCACCCTTGGCGGCAATATCGAGTGCCTGAAAATTTTTATGCTGCTGCTGATGATGAGGATCGTAGTAGCTACTATTCTGATGATGACCAAGGTAGTGACAATGACGAGAGCTCCGGATATGTCTCCGAGGAGGAAGAGCAAAACGCGAATGAACGGGAAGAGATGTGTCAGCTTCAACGGAGGCGGTATATCCCCCAACGTCATTATCCTCATCCAGCTGCTGCGTACTATTTCTACCCTCCTCCACATCCACAATCGGATCACGTTCGTCCTTGGTCAGCTGTTTACCATCATCAACAGCAGCAACAACAGCAGCAGCAGCGCATGGATAATCGGATGCTGCCACCTCCATTCTATTACTATGGTTACCAACAACAACGGCCGTTGCTTAGGAGGCGCAGCCGGAAATCATCCGATACCAGCGTACGATCAGTGCCGGTACTACGCCATAGCAATAGCACGACAAGTAGCAGTAGGGGAGGAGGCACTGGAGGCAGCATTCCGCGGAACTCGCTACTATTATCCAACAACAACATACCTCCAGAATTCACGGGTGATCATTTGTATGCGTGGAATCCCAATACAAGTGCTCGTCGTACTGCTTATTTGTAATCGTTGTCTGTTTGTGTTTTGATAATAACATGTAATACATGTCATGTTCTTTTTTTTCCCTTGTTTTTGATGTCTTCCACCGTTGGTATACCGGTGTGCTCTGCTGTGGTGTGTCCCTGAATGATACACTAGGGGGGAGCATAAAGAAAGAAAGAGCACCAGTCCTAAAATGGAATAGAAGCTGAACAAATCAAACGCAGACCCAGTTACATGGATGACCTGAGTTCGTTCGAACCACGCGTTTACAAAAAAAAAATGGGTTCTTATTTTAGTTTATAAGCTACAGATCGCTGAACGCCTTGTTCCCACTTTTTTTTTCCAAACTTATACCCCCCCACTCTTCTTTCTCTCCGCTATTCACTTCTTCTCTCTACCACAATGCAGTCTACCATCCACGTTGCAACGGACCAAGAGGTAGACGCCCATGCACCCGCGAGCACGTATTACACTACCGGCAGCAACTCTGGTGCTTCAATCAGCCGCCTCAAAACATTCCAAGTAATATCCCGTGAAAACTAATCACAACAGCACGACACAACCAAGAGAAAAGAGAGTATATCCTGACGCTTGTATATACACAATAGGACAGACATGCTGCAGATGCTTACCGCAAACGACGAGCTTCTCATGGTATAAACAAAAAAAAGTTCTCTTTCTTATATGATCACGAGTGGAATGCTGACGCAAAAGGGGTGGGGGTTTGAAAACACACCAACAATTAAATAAATAGACGACAAGAGCAAAGCACAGAAATTTCTGCTTGACGTCAAAGAAACCTTGCGAGTACTGGTTCAACAAGAGGACACGGACGGCGATTTCCAGATTACCGTCAATGACCTAGGCCCCAAAACGTTTACCGTTGGCACTGCAGACTCGGGTGGCTACCGTACCATCGATATTCGAGGCACGTACATGCTATCCAACCTGTTGCAAGAGTTGGCCATCGCCAAAGACTTTGGACGCAAGCATATCGTGCTCGACGAAGCCAGACTGAACGAAAACCCCGTGGACAGACTATCACGTATGATCCGCAATCATTTCTGGGATGGCCTGACACGCCGCATGGATGCCGAAGCTATGGAGATTATCTGCAACGACCCTAAAAACCGCAGCAGCAACACCAACCCACGTATCTACATCCCGCATGACGACGACGACGCTTTCAACTATTACCAGGAAGTCGCTGACCAACGAAAACATCTTAAACTGGAAGTTGTACGACTGCCTGCCCAGCTCACGCCAGAATTTGTCCAAAGCATCAACGAACGAGCGGGCATTTTGGCCCTCGCCATGAAACGCACCGAACAAGGTCTCAAGAGCGTACCTTTTGTGGTGCCGGGCGGCCGATTCAACGAAATGTACGGCTGGGACTCTTACTTTATCGCTCTGGGCTTGCTCGCCGACGACAGAGTCGACCTAGCGCAGAGCATGGTCGACAACTTTGTGTATCAAATCAAGCATTATGGCAAGATCCTGAATGCCAACCGATCCTATTATTTGTCACGTTCCCAGCCGCCATTCTTGACCGACATGGCGTTGAGCGTGTACGACAAGCTACCACAAACAGAGGAAAACAAAGCATGGCTCCGACACTCGTTGTCTGCGGCGATCCAAGAGTACCACACTGTATGGGTCACTGAGCCTCGACTGGATCCCAAGACAGGGTTGTCTCGGTTCAGACCAGCCGGCAAAGGTATTCCTCCCGAGACCGAGGCATCCCATTTCGACCATGTCATCCAGCCTTATGCAGAGCGTGCCAGCATGACGGTTACGGAATACATGCACGCGTACAACGACGGCTCTGTGGCCGAGCCTGAGCTCGACGAGTATTTCTTGCACGACCGTGCAGTCCGAGAGTCGGGTCACGACACGACATATCGCTTCGAGAAACGGTGTGCGAATCTGGCAACCATTGACCTGAACGCTCTCTTGTACAAGTACGAGACGGATTTGGCCGACGCCATCCGTGACATTTTTGACGATGAGTTTGTGGATGATGACGGTGAGCGTCAGTCCGCATTGGATTGGGCACAGCGCGCCAAGATGCGTCGTGAGCGCATCGATACATATCTCTGGAACGAAGAAAAAGGCCTCTACTATGATTACGATACCGTCCTAGAGCAGCAGAGCACGTACGATTCGGTAACGGCACTTTGGGCCATGTGGGCCAAATGTGCCAGTATGGAGCAAGCACAACGAATGACCGAGTTATCACTGCACAAATTTGAAGAATTAGGCGGCTTGGTGTCTGGTACGGAAGAGTCTCGCGGTGCGATTACTCTGGATAGACCCAACCGACAGTGGGATTTCCCATTCGGATGGGCGCCTCATCAAATCATGGCCTGGCGTGGCTACGAAAACTATGACATGCCCGAGATTGCGCGTCGTTTAGCTTACCGATGGCTTTACACGTAAGTGTGCAGCTAAATAAGAGGAGAGAGAGAGAGAGAGAGAGAGAGAGAGAGAGAGAGAGAGAGAGAGAGAGAGAGAGAGAGAGAGAGAGAGAGAGAGAGAGAGAGAGAGAGAGAGAGCAGCTTGCTATTCATAAAAGTGTAGCGAATACTAACTGCTTCTATGCAGGATCACCAAGTCGTTTGTAGATTTCAATGGAGTCGTTCCAGAGAAATACGACGTGGTCAGCTTAACACATCAGGTTCAGGTTGAATACGGCAATGTGGGCGTCGATTTCAAGTACGTTACCCGCGAAGGATTCGGATGGATGAACGCGTCATATCAGCTCGGTATGAAATTACTCAATACTCAAATGCGCCGTGCATTGGGTATGATCACCGATCCTGACACGTTCTTTGAAAAAGCCATCGAACGACAAAACAAAGATGCGCATCGTCGTCGCCGCAAGTCATCCGTGGCAGCTGCCAAAAAGATCACCCAGAATGGTCAGATCACGGCTGCTATTACGACCATCGCGCATACTTCTGCATCCAACAACAACAACAGCAGCAGCTCGTCATTCACTGGACCACCACCGCCTCTTCAATTTACTGATACCTTGACTCAAGAACCTGATTCACCCATGCCCGATTCCACGGTCTCTACTACCTCTTCTCTCTAACTCTTGTGTTTCTAGAATCTGCATTAGAAAACATATACACACACACCGCCATCCCCGATAAACAAATAACAAACATATATACACATATACACACACACACACACACACAACGCACAACACACATATAACATAAACATTTCCACACCCACCTTACCCATTGGGCTCACATCATCTATAAATATACATGCCACAACATTTGCTTCTCCTTCCTTTTCTCTGTCAAAAAAACGCCGTTTTTATAGCTTCATAACATGTGCTTCACTTGACATGTGACACATCCAGAATCTGTGATTAGATGATAATCGCGATATGCAGTAGTACATCGCCTTTTATCTGGGTGTCAGCTGCATAATGGCTGACACAGACATCACATCAATGTCTCTAGCGCGTGCCTTGACACTCAAATTTCTGTCGCCCGTCACCAAGCATACACGTGTGTGCGAATTGTCATCTCCTTTGGTGGCCCACCACAAACATGCTGAAAGCACCAAGTCGTCTAGATTCTTGTCTGACTCGCCAAACACAAACTGTTCAGAGCGGATAGCAATGTCGTGCATAAAATTGTTGTGCGACGTTTGGATTCTCAGTGATGTGCCTGTTCGTTGCTTGGTTGCCAGAGTGGATTCGATGAATTTCAGTGCGTTGCCAGCAATCGATCCCAACGGAGGGGTATTACTACGAAGACCATCCAATTCCGTAATCACTAGTTTTCAAAAGCGCCTCATACTTTAGTACCGTAGAAGAGCATCAAAACACAGAATGCACGCACAATTTTTTGAAAAAGATAACTTACCAACAAGGGGAATAACGATAGTCCATTTGCTGCTTTTAATAAGCCGTTTCACATGTTCAAAATGACCAATAAAACAATTGGTATCCAAGATGATGGTTGTCCTTCCAGGAATGACGCGCTTGCGTAAGCGGTTCAAACGTGCTTCGCGCTCCTTGACACGGGCTGGTGCACGGCGATATCCAGTACGGTTGTCTTCAGCCGTCGTTGTGGTCACCATTGCTTGTAGGAGCTCGCGTCGTTTCTTCAGCTGCGTCAACATATCGTCGTCACCATCTTCATCCACAGAGTCATTTTCATTGGAGAAAAGCACAGCATCATCCATAGCTTGCAAAGTTGTGCTCATGCCCTCTCCTTCGTCTCCAACTTCGCCTGCGCTGTCTGTTGCCGCTGGTGTGGTATCCAAACTGACTCCTTCTTCTGCCATATACACGAGAGCTTGCTTGTCTTCGACTGCTTTACTGGCGAAAACTTCCAACACAGGGTCATAATAAAGCACATGGTGCATTTGCTATAGGAAAATTGGTTAGCAAAAGCAGCGACCACAAATAGCAAAATGCAATGGGCGCAATCCTTGTTTACCTTGACTAAAGCAAAAGCATAATCGAGAATCTTAAGTTTGCGCCGTGTCACTTGATCTTGGAGCGGAACCTGCTTGTTTTGACAATTCACGTTCATCTTCAAGAGACGGCCCGTAACGTCGTCAACCCACCCCAGACCACGCATATGATCTTCCTCGGGCAAATCGGGCTTTTCACCCAAGACCTTGCTCATTAGTTGGGCAAATGCCATCTCGCTCATACACGCGTCGTCTTGATGCTGGTGCTCTTCTTCATCCAATAAGTGTCGATTCACTAGTTCGTACTTGGTATCCTCGGGCAACGAAAATAACAACTTGTTGAAAAATTGAAGTAAAAGAGTCCAGAATGCAGGATTAATCTTGGACTCGTCCTTTTTGCTGTCTTGCTCTGTCGCTGACGTCGTCGTCGTCGTCGTCGTCGTCGATACATTGCCAACAATCGATTCCCAAAGACTGATTCCTTGATGCGGTCGCATGCAAACACAGTTGACCACCATCCAGTGGAGCAGCATCTCAATGTAAACCAGCCAAGATTCGTCATCTTCATTATCAGCCGATCCCCGTGTGGTGGTTGCTGATGCAAGAGACGGATCTCGGGCTTCGAACAAAAACTCCCGGTTTTTTTCAAGACTAAGTGGCGAGCGGGGAAGCAAGGGTAACGAGGGCGGTGCCGGGCGAGATAATGAAGGTTTGATATAGCGGCGGAACAGTTCGGTGGCGATCTGGCACATCAAATCAATATCGTAGGCAAACAAGACGCTCTCCTTGAACTCATCCAGCAATCCCTGATAATCTGCCAGCGGAGGTGGTGATGATGATGATGAAGTTGTTGTAGACGACGGAGCTCCATTATCGCTTTTCGGTGGAAACAGCTGTTTTCCATAAAGAATCATCAGGCGGTTTAATTTGGATGCCGAGTATTCATAGTTGTACAGTGAAGAGAGGCATAGCACAATGGCTTCAAACCAAAACATCTGCTGGCCCGACAATGCGCCTTCTCTGAACCGTCCATTTTCGATAAAGCTGCTTTCGCTGTCTGGCCGTCCTTCTTGCTCGAGTTTCGGAGGAAACAATGCTTCAAAGAAGCGTCGTTTGATATGAGCAAACTGGTCCAATCCAATCTTGGTGAACATCATCCCGTGGAGTCGCACAAAGAGGCCAGCCACCACATCCTGAGCGGGCACTGTGTCGTCCATCTGCTGTGGCTGCTGCTGTGTCTGCTTGTTTCGCTTCATTCGCTTAGCGTTCGCCCGGGCAGCCTGAAAGGAATTCAAATACTTGTCTACCCACCGGCGGTTGCTCTCAAAAAGAACAATCATGCCTTCACGCGCATTCAAAAACCCATTACGGCGCACCATCAAACTGCGCGTGCTGAAGTAGAAGCGATGTAGATCTTGTCGCGTATTATCCTTGTGGCTCGAATCACTCATGAGCAGCGAAAGGTGGAAATACAACTTGCCGGTGGCGGGCATCAGCCAGGCACCTACTGCATACCATCGCCATGCTTCATCGAATGCTAGCTGGCGATCCTTCGAGCAACAAGCCCATCTATAGCGTGCCAAGTCACCACGGTTTGGTACACCTTTATACCACTTCAAGCGTCGTGTGCGCCGCCACTCTTGAAGATGATCTTGTGTTGATGCATCTAAGGAGTGTTGCCGATCTTCTTGTCGTGTAAAAGCTTCTGTTTCATCCATAGCATGTAGAGTAACCATGGATCGTCGGTAGAAATCGTCTGCGAGATCCAGAAATTTGTTAAAACATTGCTTCAGCATAACAATTTCGTCAGCTTTGCTGACAGCATGATGCTTGGTATTGTAGTCGTCAGCTTCATCGTCCTCGTCGTCGCTTGGTGACAATGCTACCATGGTCATGCCCGTCTCAGATATCACCGGAATCTCGATATCGACGTCTTCATCCTTTTCCTGTTTCTCTTCCTCCTCTTCATCCTCACCCCCGTCAAGCTTTGTCTTGATGCGGACCTTGAGCGATTGGCGAAATTGCTCGACCAGCGAATAAATTGCACGTTTCCAGCACAAATTATCCAGACTCTTCTTTTCTGCATACGCATAGTCGAATTGGATGATGTCCAGGTATTTGTTCGCCAAGGCAATATGTAGGTCCATTTTTTGATTCCACACATCGCGCGCCTTTTGCAGGTCAGCTACAATCAGTTGGTGGCCAAGGCGTCGCTCCAAGTGTTTCTGTCGACGATCTGTGCTGTCTACCATTTCGTCAACGTCGTTGTTAAAGAACGCAAGCTGGTTGGCTTCTGCCCAGGTATTGGCGATTTTCGTTTCAATTTGTTGGAGATCGGCAAACATCAGTTTAATTTTTCGCTTATGCTGGTCTACCACCTGGGGTTGTTGCTGCTGCTTTCGCTGCTGCTGCTGCTGCTGCTGTTGTTGTTGTTGTTGTTGTTGCGGCTGTTGTTGTTGCGGCTGTTGTTGTTGCTTTTGTTGCTGCTGTTGGTGATGCTTCTTTCCTTCTACTAACGGTTCAGATTTTGTGATGAACCGCTTTGGGGGCACTGACTGCTTTTTCTTGGCCAGCTTGTTCCCGTCGCCATCCCATAATCGTCGACCTGCCGCAGCTGGTGGTACCCGTCTAGTATACTCGTTTTCGTCAGTGTCGTCGTCGTCGTTGTGGTGGACGTCGCTGTTGTTGTTATAGCCGTCAACAGGCCTGTCAAATTCTTTTTTTGAGGCAATACCTTCACAACGCTGGTTAAGGTAAGATCGACGACTTTTGTTGAATTCAATGGGGTTGTCAGAGAACGGGTCGAACAGTTTTCGTCCTTCAACCCCTAGTTGTTGTTTGCTACTATAGCGTCGGGATGGCCTGCTCATGTGCGTGTTGTCTTGTTTGAAAATTTGTTTTCTTGTAGGAAAAAACGCAAGGTTTTGCTTCTGTTGTTTTCTGTTAAAATAGCAAAAGTGTGTTTGTGTGTGTTGAAGCTAAGTGTTAAATTGCACGCAGAGATGTACTGCTAATCGTCTCGTTCGATATCGTCAGCTTGGCGAAAATCTTGGGCCGCTGTACAGAATGACACATTTGTCGCAAAGGGTGACAATAGCGAAAAATAAATGCGTCTTTTCAAGTGGAGAAAAGACAGAAAAGAAAATGTAAAGTAGGCTTTGAATTGAAAAGGAAAAAAATAATAAAAGAGTTAAGAATGAACTTGATGACAAGTTTGTGATAAAGAAGAATTTTTTCTTTGCTTTGCGGAGAGGGGAGTTTCGAGGTTGTTCTTTTGCTGCTTGGCTGCGGAATCCAAGGATGCATGATGGCCAAACTATAGAGTAATCCGCGCTAACCTAAGCTTGCAACAGTGGTGCCAAAATCATTGATAAGCTGGACTGTCCGTTGCTAGAGCCACATCTCTTCTTGCACATGCATACCCACCACATATTCCAAGATTCAATTGCAGCAATCTTGATCATCGCTCAGTATGCTAAAGCAATATTACATTTTGATATCGGATAGTCTCATGTTGCTCGCATTTTCCAATGTCATCTCGCCCAAAACGTATGTCACTGCTGTCCACAAGCAGCTACCAGCAATGCTATAATTACCTATCAAATCATACGCGATGATAAGATTCAAGTCTATGGCCCTAAGCAAACGGCTCCGACTTTGTACCTGCATGAATTGCTACAGAAGGTATTTTCGTTTTGCTTTCTGACTGTTTTAATACCCAGTATCATAGTTTAGGATTCCGCCACACATCACAAGGAAAAGACCGCCAACCTGTACCTCATGCATTATTCGTACTGCAGATGTATTCCGTAAGTTTAATGGCGTTTTCTATTATATCGACTGTTACGCTACGTCAATGCTTATGATTTCCAGAGCACACCATTATCTTTGGTTATATCTTCCATGAAGAGGACCTATATGTACTCTTCAATACGCACATGATTTGTTTCTGTCAAATCACTGTTGTTGGTGCGCTTTGGATCGCTTTTAATTTCTAATTTACATAATAAATTTCAGGTCTTGTTGAATTAAATGAAGTTTCTCAATTGTTATAACCAATATCAGCAGAGCGTATACAAGCACATATCGGTTTCAAACGATTTAAGCGTCAATTTGATAACCCGAGGTATCAAAATGCTCTTTAGGAGGAATGTATAATCTATTATGGGCCCCTTGAGCTACCAGTGACAGCTGCAATGTACTTGTTACCGTATAGGGAAAGCTGTCGTCTAATGTAAATAATCAAGTATGCTATATGTCTTGCTCTTATATATATATATATATATATATATATATATGTATTACGCCTGCGCATTGACCAATAAATCGTATGGATGAGGATGGCCATACGACTACCGCATACTACAACAGCGGACTGGGTTTATGCAGCTTGGTTGTTTTGACCAGCGCTTAAAACGAGCAAAAGTTTACGTTGTGCTACGACACGGACTGTAAGAGAAAACGCGTCTTCTGTATACTCAAACGAGGTTGTGTAAACAATCCAAACATTAGTTAGCGGACCCGCTATGCTCCCCGTATGCTCCCAAAATGGAACATGTATATACGCAAATCCATTAAGAGAGAGAGAGTAGGAGGATCATTAGTTTGCTTCAGTTCAGGGGCAGGGCAAGGGTCTTTCATCCGTTATTGTTCGTAAATCAAATCGGGGAAGTAAAACTAAATAGGAACATGCTCTCCCTTATATATAAATATACGATAACAGGGTGCTATGCGTGCGCATATCATTTTATAGTCTTTTTCTTCTCTTCCTTCTTTTGCTTTTTTATCATTTTTGTTTTTCAAGACCTTTGACATTGCAAACATCATTATCACTAGAATCAAAAACGCACTTCAAGAGTAATACCTCTATCAATATGCAAGCAAATGAAAAACACGAACTACCTAACCAGAAAAAACATTTGTCGCACGTAACGCCGCTACCCAAGCAGTCCATTGTATTTCGACCGATGGATCAGGCTGAATCAGATTCGTCATTCAGTCAGTACATTGATCGTCAATTCCAACCTTACTCTGCTGTTTTGCACAAGCGGGCTTCGTTACCTCCCGAGCAAACCAAGAGTATATCGCCAGCATCCATGCAGTGCCAGCAACAGCAACATCAGCATAAGGCGATTGAAACTACAGAACAACAAGCAAAAACAAAACCAACGCCACCACTACAGTCAGCATCAAACAATACCCGAGCCTTTGATTATGATGATGAAGAGCGAGCTCGACAACAACAACAGCAGATTGCAGACCCGTGGTGGGTGCTAAAAAGTGACGAAGATGGAATTTTCTCGATTGGAATTTTGCTTTTTCTCTTTGGGTTTATCTTCCCACCGCTATGGTGGATCGGTGCATGTTGGCCAAGACATCCGAGGGAACGCGCAGGCAAAATGGCTGAGCGATGGCAAAAGCTGAATCTGATTATGTCGCTCAGTTTTAGCGTGATATTAATCATTGCGCTTATCATCGTTGCTGTCATATACAGTCGAATGAAATAACATTCGGTTCCGGGCTTTTACTGCTTTTATCTATTTCTCGTGTACTACCCCCCTTTGTTCCTCTTCATCGCCCCTTCCCTCATCCAAATTCATCCTTGTTCAGTGTATGTATTATACCACCCTTTTTTCAGTCTCTTCCATATTGCGTTGTTATTCTTTCATCACTGCTAGTTATGACATAATAAGCAATTTGTCACTGCAATCTGTAAAAGTTTTCTTTTCTTTCCGCTTATCAATATTCGAATACCAGTATTATCCTTTAATAGAACTTGTGCCTTTAATATAGCGTCTGTCTTGTATGTTTCGTTTTTTTCTGCTATATGCAGTCGAGCCAATAATTCCACTGCGCTTATCATTTATGCGCACGTTTTCAAGTGTTCTAACAAGTGTCTTTAAGAGCGAATAAGTTGTGCTTCTGGCAATCTGCAATAATAATCACGACGACTTTTAAACTAGGAAAGCCGTCTGTATATAACCCGTATATTTGTTCCTTCATGCACCTAATAATTCACAATGATAAATAAAAGATGATTTCAATATTTGCACATTAATAAAGTTTCTACATTCTATGTTATTTAATGGATCACGAAATATTGATGAAGATCTGTATATAGATTGATTTCTTCAATTACTGAAAGTTCACAAAGATATGTCATATTACAATAACAATCGCTGTGCTTCAGCTTTTTCTTTATTTTTGACATACACTGTGATGTTTGAGCTTTGGTGAGAGAGGGCCGTGTTCCACCTGTCCGATCGGGGTGCTGTCCTCGTCTTACACTCCTTTCGCCCTCCCCACCACTACTACTGCCACTACTACAACTTCCATTACCACTGCTGATATTTCCTCTACGTCGACCGCCTCTCCTTTCTCCATTCCCGCCCCACCTCCTTCACAATCCTTGTCATCTCAGCAGCAACAGCCACGTACTACTAGAAAGCGTAAAAGCTCAGGATATGCACCTAGTAGTCGTTAAATGTGTCCTTTGCTAAGATACATGACTGTAGATGCATATCCCCAATAAATACATTTCTTTTTTTAATGGGTATGATTTTATTGTGTCTGCTCGTTGACCACTGATGGTTACACCAAAATACTAAATAGGTATTGGGGATACTACACTGAGTTCCAAAGTTCGCGAGGATTGCGAGGATTGCGAGGATTTTTTCCCGTGGTGTTTGGTAGTTAGCAAATCATAGCCGATCCACACATCTCGTTTGACTTGAATAGAAAAGAATACATTTTTTCGTTATCATCAAGGTCTTAATTCGACGTGCCGTAGTTGAGTAACTACAGATTGGGGTTGTTGTCTCTATCGTAAAGCTCAATGTGAATGCTTATTGTGATTCCCGGGTAGTTATCAATGACATGATAAAATCGAACTTGACCTCCAATGCTCGAGTCCGCTATATGTTGGAAGTCTTCTGGTGGTACAAAAAGATAGCAGTAGGTATTGCCGGTGTTGTAGTCAGTTCCCGTGCAAGGATATTGCTTTACAGGGTTAAGAGCTTCAAGATCCCGTGATCAGAGCAATTGTCGGTTGATTGCCATCCATAGAACAACGTAAGGCGGTAGATCAGAAACTGCTCCAGAGGGTGCCGTCCCCTAGACATACACACGTATACTCGTTTATACAGCATATTTCAAAGTGTTTCTCTTATCGTTCTCATTATTTGTCCCCTCTTTCTTCCGTTATCACTTTTATTCTCTTGCGTACCTCGTTTCCCATCACTTACAACATCGATTTCAACCTTCCGCAGTCTCTCCTTCACCCTAACGTTTTTCCCATTATACGATTTTTTCAAATGTAGTACTTGCTCGCCTGGCTATGGATGTTGCTCAACAACACTATATTACCAGTATTCAACAGCTTTTTTTACCAGTAAAAAGCGTACGATCGAGTGCACCCCGCGTACCTCCAGGCTTGCCTGTCACGTTTGGCTTCCTAGATCAAATCATATATTGCTTGTCGCTATTGTTTTTCAATACGTTCTTATGCATCAATAGCAATGGTTATATCTAGGCGCCTTGTGATCAGTGATGGGGATTGCGTCAAAGAGACCTACTGTCACTGCTAGTCTTCAACATTGTTCTAGAACCACTGTTGTGTATGATTCGCGCAGCCTCTACTATTAATGTGTCCCAATAGTTACAGCTCTTGCCTATGCAGATATCTAGGCCTTTTTGTCACATCTGCCATGAGCTATCTTACCTTTTGACCATTATCGATACACACGGTCGCGCATCTAATGCAAAAACTTAATCGAGAAAAAAGCTGTTGCTGTCTCGCTCAATGGCGCGGATCAACCGACGTGGCGCCACACCTTACACCAGCACAGCATCGATTATTAGTATGACGCCACTGCCACCACTCCGGTCATTTATCTTGGCTTTCCGTTGACCAGCTCCAACCGACAACTCGACAATTTTTTGCAGCAACTTCATACTACTAGAATCAGTACTCACGTGCAACTGCTCGCTTCTCGTGGCCTCTCCGTGCTTGGCTGCAGTTTAGTTGTTAGTTCCGTACTCCTCAGCTGGACATGGATTCAATTTGTATGCATATATTGCCAGTGTCACAAACATATCTGTCCAGCTCACATTCCATCCTCTTAAAAGTCTTGCCGAGCAAGAACTTTCCTGCCGTCAACTTTGATACTTGCAGTCGTCCACATCATGAAGGGGGTCTTGCTGCTCTGGATCTGGCCACCCAACTCGCAGCATTATAAGTATGCTCGGTCCAACCACTGTTATCCTTACTCCACCTCGATCGGGATCTTTGCATTATTTGTCCTGCGCTTTGGTTGCAAATCCACCTACTCTGAGGCATAGCATCACTTGGTACTACTCGTCTTCGCAGATTGTTGACCCATGGTACTAAGCATCTCAGGAGCCTTTGATCCTTCCTGGACACCTGTGATAAACTTGGACTACAACCTATTTTCTTCTCATTCACTACATCTATTGTCTCTGAACTTCCCCTCACCTTAGCTTGTCCTAAGCTTCCAACCCACTCACAGTTCATTCTACCACGCAAGTTCAGCTGGTCCAGCCTCTTTGATCAAACAAGCTTTCAGGTTTACTTCTGCTACAGTATGCTTCAACTAAGGCATCTTATGGCCAGCCAATCGCACTGCACCCACCTTCGCCGTATTTTTAATTTCCTCGACAATGGTCTCTGCTTAAGCGGCTCTCCTTTCCGGCAGCATTTCGTTGCAGTGCCACCAACTGATAATTGAATTATTACAACTTTTCTTTCCAACAACAACCCCCTTCAAGCGGACTGTCTTTTGCTACTTCCTCTCAAAATGACCTCGTCTTAGAAGACTTAGATCCCATAACGTTCCGACAACAACGCAAGCAGCCACTTTCCCAGTTAAGCGATCAATATTCTCGTGCTACATGAAAGGCCTGGTGCACATTTGAGCAAGCAATGCATCTGCACTACGCATACACCATCCTTCAGCACCTGTTCCACAACAAATTTTCCTGCAAGCAGCGACCACAGTGCTGTGTGAGACTTTAAGATTATGAAATTGTGTCAGTTGCTTTTATGGGCAGACAGCGGGGCATTATAATTCTTTATCACGAGTAACTGAATGAATTTCCTTTTTAGTATACATAGATGATGATTTGTGGTTCTTGTGTCCTAGTAATCTTTCTAGTTGAATCCACTTTTTCTATTCGAGAAAATAAAAGTGTACAATCGAGGAGGAAGATAGTATCTGGGTGGACTATAGCCGTACTAGTGGCGCCAAATCGCTGAAGGAGCTGTAAAGCTTTTTCCAGAGCAAGTATCCTAGGATACATAAAGTAACACCACATTCCAATTTTTCTCGTCAATTGCACAAGAAACATATCCAACCATACTCAAATAACAGACGGTCACCTACAGGGAAAAAAATATTCATACGGACATGAGCAAAGAGAAATACTCTGCAAGTTATGATTTGATTCCTAGTAATAAAATTACCATTTGTAATATCGTACCAATAATGTATACTGATATTTTTCGTGCAAGATATGGAGGAAGCGATATACCTTTGGATGCTAGTATCATACCTTTATCGGTTCAAACCATCCCTTTGATAAGATGCAACAAGCACCAAGGCACATATTTGCTGCAGATAATTATAATATCTTAATGCGTAATCGCCCACCATCCAAGAACGAACAAGAAGAAGAAACATGATAGCTGCGTAATCGCCCACTATCCAGGAACGACCAAGAATGGCTGCGTAATCGACCCACCGTTCAAGAGTAAGACGAGCATGGCTCTGTAATCAATCGCTTTCCTACAATACAATAAAGACATACAATGAGTTTTCAGCTTAGTCGCAAATACAGATCCATACGTGAATAACTGCTGGTCATGGTTTGTAAAAAGATTCCACGGCTTGCATCAAGCCGAAAAATACTGTTTAATTTTGAAGTTGAAGTTTGGAATGGTACGTCTATCGTGCATTAAATAACACGATTAACGAAGTCGAAGGTTGGTAATGGTGCGCCTATATTGTATCAACAAGCGATATAATCCAGTAAAAGAACTGGATGGCGCCATCTGTTGAAATTACACCGCCATTGTAAGTTTCAGCTTTTGTTTAATTACACAAAACACGCCGCCAATCAACAGACCCCCGAACGCCATAGTAAGAAAAACACCCCGCCATCATGAGAAAAAAAGCCCCGCCAGTCATAAGGAAAATGTCTAGCGGAGGAAAGTGATACTTACAGTCGGGAAAACATAGCGCATCTAGTTCTTTGTTTGATGATGAGCGATGCTACTTTGTACCTTAATAAATGCATCGGCAAAATGGACTTTTGAGCTGCTACAATATTGGTACTGCACTACAGATAATATTGGGATGTTGATCAACTCTGGCGCTAAGAGAGTATTTAGCCCTCACTGTGTATCCTATGCCTGCGAATTTTGTCTCTATAACATTCAGTACTTTAAAAAGCGAATGCTTACAAAGTGAAAAGAATGTAAGCCGAACTACATGGATTTCCGTATATCAAAGCTACGTTTTTGACCAAAAAGCTTCGGGATGCAATATGCGACATCCGACGCTCTTGCTGCATCGAACCTTATACGGAAAGCTGTGCAACAGAAGACGCCGAGCCATTTATTACTGTACTTTTAAATAGAAGGTTGCGTTCTTTTTTTCGACGCCTCTTTCTTTTTATTCTTTACTGAAAGCAAACGCGTTCGAAAAAAAACATTATGACTGGACTCCCTTACGAAGAAGATAGCCAAATGAGCTTGCGCCAGCTTGTTCGAAAGGTAATAGAGTTAATGCAGTACCTGCCTGTCGCGCTTCTTGATTTACTAAGCAGTCTATTGCGGATGGTTTCCGTCTATCATATAGTCGATGGCATCTGCCGACGCTGTCGTATCCGACACCGAGCTGCGCGAAAAAGCAACGTCTCATTTTAACACACTCTTGGAACAACGTCCACGCAAAGGTGGAAAGGAAGATGACGAGGGCGCTGTGAAGCTGATGAACCGACTGTTTGGTGCCACAGCTGCTGCCATGGAATCCGACGAGGACAAAAAGAGAGTAGCATTGCTCAAGAACTACATGCAGTGTTTGATTGGTACGACCTTGGGTGTTGACGCCTTTTTGCCCGAGTACATCGAGAAGGAGGATGAAGAAGAAGAGGATGAAGAAGGAGAAGAAGAGGGCCAACCCGCCATGTCATGGGCGGACGTAGCAGCCAAGAAGTCGGAAGAGCAGGAAACGGCGGTGCAACGCAACGCTTGGTGCGGCAGATACGAAGCAAGTCTAGCTGCTGAGCGTCGGGAACATGCCCGTATTCGTCAAATGTCCAAGATATATTACCAACAGCAAGATGAGGAACCTGAGGACTGGGGATGCTTTGAGCCCCAGTTCTTACCCGAGTTGCCCAGTGAAACCTTCTGCATGCCCATCTTTTTCCCATCCGAAGACAGCTACCATACATTTGTGACAGCGCTCAAGTCAGCTCAAGAAACTTTGTACGTGTGCATTTTCTCAATGACGGACAACACCACAGCCAAGGCGCTAGCTCAGGCAAAACGTCGCGGTGTGGATGTAAGAATTATTTCGGATAACGAGCAGCGCGACGCGAAGGGATCGGATGTGATTCGGTTGCACGAGGAGGAAGGCATTCCGTATAAGATGGACAGCGGGTAAGTTGCTAGTTTACGTTCTTTTTGTGCTGGCGGAGGGTTATAGCAGATTATCTAGCTCCGGACATGGTCCTTTGAAATGGCAACTCAATCCTCTTTTTTTTGTGACGTATCAGGGATCAGTTTATGCACAACAAGTTTGCAGTTATTGATCAGAGAATGGTTCTCACTGGAAGTTTCAACTGGTCTATTTCGTGAGTATATAAATGTAACGCCAATTTGCCTTCAGATTCCGTCGTCGTTAACATAACTCAATTTTCCTTCACTTAGTGCTCGCTACCACAACAAGGAGAACGTTCTTGTTACCAACATCGACTCTGTTGTACAAGCCTATCAGAAAGAATTTGAAAGACTTTGGGACATGTTCTAAACTAGGACGTACAATATTTACAGTTTTCCATTAGCCACGATGCCAATACATAAAAGGAAATTCCGTGCCACAATGTTTTATGTACACGTACATAGCTTTTACTACTGTTGGGATGCGGTTTTCTGATGGCGAAACCTGGTAGCTTCAGACGCAAAGTAAGCAGTATGATATGAAGGGCAGTTTTAATGCTATTCATAATGGGAAAGAATTGTTACAGCATGCATACCAATTCTGAATTATGTAACGCAGCATATAAACCTTCCAACTTACACTAAGATGTGCCATATGATATCAATCGCAAATCGTTATCAGCTAAATGATCATGATCACTGTTTGTTTCTCTTTTTACAGTTAACAGTCAACAGTTTCAGATATGATACTAACAGCTTGTTGTGGGAGGTGAGTGGGACGAAGCCACTGGACTGCGGTGATATTAACGGCAAATAGTTGTCATTGGTCCACAAGTAGATGTCTTTACTGTATTAAGCTTGATATCCGAAAGAAATTTGCTTAGCCTCCCTCACGTGTGGCTGGTAAGATGGCTTTTCTCTTCAGCCTTCCCCACCCCCTTATTTTATCATTTTGTGGCCACAGCCGGGACTGTAGGCCAGCTTTCTAACGCAATTTGCTGATGGAAAATGACTGAGAAATAACGCATTCGCATAAACCTATGTAAACAGAGTAGACTCCGTTCTTAATCATAATACATTGAGTAGTCCCGCCGTGTAGCACTGTGTATAGCAACAGTGGTACCGTGTCAGTTTGTGTGTTCATCAGTACATCACTCAATCCAGCTAGCAGTAAGCTCATATGCGATGGTGCTCTAGTGTGAATGTGCACGACTGTACTACATCGCAAATAGTAGAAAGAGAGCAAGGTTATACTTTGCGTGTGTTACCGAATGATCGGCTTTTGGTTTCTTTTGATCGCAACGTCCGTGCTCCCCCACCCCCAATGCCATTGTGATCTTATTGCTGTTCCTTCTTGTACTCCATCTCGCCAAGCACTAATAGAAACGGGGGACGGATGAAGTGTGCGTGACCAGAGAAGTGGTTTCCGATCTTCGTCGGGTGATACGCACACAAAACCTGCTACCATACTACCATCATAATGAGTGTATTTAGAAACATTCTTCAGTTTTCTTTTTTCTCTTCCTTTTCTCCCTTTGTTGTCCTTGCAGTTCTCCTTCTTTTATTTCAGCAGATTAATTTAATTTTTCCTTGACGAATGACGCCGCATCCAGTTTCTGTTCGTCCGATGAACAAATTACCTACACGGCAGCATTGCCTTAAAGTGATGAACAAGCTGTTGAATAACATCAATGCTGCAAAAGACGACAGCAACGATCATTATCACAACGACGAGGAGAATGCCATAATTTTTCTCTCGGGAGGCTTAGACTCAGTACGTGATGGTACAGACGTCGAAATCGAGTTTCGGCAGTTGAGCGACTTCTTTTATTTAACAGGTATTGCTAACGTTCAATATTTCCCCTTCATTGTCGCTTCATATGGATTATACTTGTACACCAAGCAAAATTTAAAATCACCATACTTACTAAAATACTACATGTACTGATCTTGTACGTACTGTAGGGGTGGACGAACCCGGATTCCATGTGATGATCGATCTGCAGACTAAGCTTGTGTATCTTGTTCCTCCGACGGTGCCTGAAAGCGAAACAGTATGGAAAGGGGCTCCAGACAGCCCATCCGAATTGTTACGTAAACACGACGTTGATCGAATCATTAGCGAAAAGGAACTGGCCGAGTTCATCATTCAACAAGGCTACCATAAAGTCCACGTGCTCGATAGACCAACTTTTATCATGAATAACAGCAGCAAAAATAGTAATAGCGACGACAACACCATCATCTGTACCACCACCAACAACAACAACAACAACAGTAGCAGTAGCAGCAACAGCAACAGCAACAGCAACACGACATTCATGAATAGCATTTTTCGAAATGTGCATGAATTACAGTTTGATACACACACACTGCGGCACGCATTGAATGAGGCACGACTCACAAAGTTTCCATGGGAGATTGATGCTATTCGCCAAGCAACGTTGGTTTCTTCGCGCGCTCACATGGCTCTATGGCAACAGCAGCAGCGCTGCCGAGGAGGACAGCAATCACTAATCAAAGCGACAATCACTGAATCCCAGCTAGCCGCCTATTTTCGATGGATATGCGCCTGTTCCGGACTAGATCGACAAGCATACATCCCAATTGTTGCCTCCGGGCCCCGCGCCGCAATTTTGCATTACACGCGAAATAATATGCCGTTGCCAATACAGGATCCACATGCTTTGGTGTTGGTGGATGCCGGAGCCGAATACCGATGCTACGGGTCCGATATAACAAGGACGTTCCCAGTAACTGGGAAATTCTCCCCTGAAGGTAATTTAGACTTCCGGCAAATACATAGCATATTGTGTGTGTGAAACACCTCCAGCGACACGTTTACTAAATGGATTAAGAACAAAATTAGCAAAAACAATTTATAACATTGTACTCGCCATGCAAGAGGTAACAACATTATTTCTTCTCATCATGTGATGTCTTGGTGTACAGATACATAATACTGACACAGAGATACAAACAAATGCAAAAAGGCGGTCCTTAACAAATTAGCCCCCGGGGTCATGTGGGACGATATGGAAGATTTGGCGGTCCAGGTCCTGTGTAACGAGCTTGTTCGCATTGGAATTCTTGTCGGTGACCAGGATGAGCTCATCCACCTCGGCGTCCCGTACGCATTTTATTTTCATAGTATGTAAAAACAGTAACACTGACCAAGTAGCGCAGTTTAATGAAAGCCTATAAAAAAAAGAAGAAACTGGCTCATTCTTTAATAACTGATATGCTAACTATTAACAGGTCTCGGACATACAGTAGGTTTGGATGTTCATGACGTTGGACGCTCCCTTATGATGCACCACCCACTTGAACCCAACATGATCATTACTGTCGAACCAGGTCTCTACTTCAATGATGCTTATTTACGTATCTGGACCGAGTTCCCCGGATTTTCAAAGTACTTCAATATGGATTTGCTGCAACGTTATCGTCCTGTCGGTGGTGTCCGAATAGAAGATTCTGTATTGATTACAGCAACTGGCTGTGAAAACCTGACTGTTGCACCAAAGCAAACCGAGGAAATCGAAGCTATCATGGCAGCGGCAACACCTCCTTCTTCTTCGTCCTCCTCCTCTTCCTCATTGTCGTTGAACAACGATAATATTAACGACAGTAGCTGCTGGGCAACAAACGAACTTTTACCGTTATCATCGCCATCACTACTTTTACCTCCAGGATACTATGGTGGAGGAGGTGAGCATAACAATTATGCTACCAAAGGCGTACGTGTCGATGACACCCAAACGACTGCTTTGCCAACACCGACAGCATCACCGTTGAATGGCAGCTACTGCTTTTGATGACTACGGGAAAAAGAAAACATTTTACTTGCACTTGAGCTGAAAAACTCATCCTCCAAGAAAAACCGCTACATAGACAGAATTCCATATGTTGTCAATTATGCGCTATTTTATACCCCCAAAAAAAACCTATTTCTTTTACAACCTTTCCAGGAAAAAATGTAGAAAAAAGCTAATAAAAAGGCTCTAGTATTGTTAAATAATTATAATTGTTCCTCTATGAAAGCAGCAGTGTGAGGTTTAAACATATGTTACAGTAGATAAGATAATTGTTACCATATATAACGTAACAACAGATTTTCGTTGTTTTATTATTTTACGTAGTATATAGATATGTATTTGAGAAGGCAGTTTGCAATAGTTGTGAATGGCTTGAACGTACGATTAGTTTATGGTGAGAAGTGTAGTAGGTTACATAATATAGTTAGAAATAATAGCAGTGTAAATGTTTTGAGATACAAAATAAATGAACATATAGGGATGGTTATTTGGAGAGTAGGGAGAAGGGATCATACTGTAAGATGTGTTTTAGGGACTTAATGATTATGGTATGTTTTTTTCTTTTTATATGCGATGAAGAAAACGGTAACCTATTCCTCTGTATCAGCGATTACGTAAGCTCTGGGCATTCTTGTCAATCGCGGCGAGAATACCACTCTTTGGGTGCAGTGTTCGTCATCTACCCATATGAGAATAAAAGAGAAGATATCACATTCGTTAGTGAGCTTTTTCTATCACTACATGTGGAGTAACCTAGTTATAATGGAGTTGAAGGCTTACTGCACCAGTAACGCGGTATTTCATTTCATACCATTGTGAGAAGGCTAGCTGTGATCCTTTAAGAGCGATAGAAAAGCGACTTTGCATAGCTGAACTTATTTCATAAGTAAATATCTGGAAAAGCTTATAATAATAATAACAATAAAATCATATTAATAAGAGAGAAGGGAAGAGCTGATGTAGCAGGTGCTAATGACCAGAAGATGGAAACCGAGAACTAATGCTCATTTATATACATTTCCTCATCAAAACTAGATGCCACAACAAGAATTGTCGAGCTTTTGGACACGAAGGAGTGAGGCAGGCAGCAGAATTGCAGCTAGTTTCAATCCCCCTGAAGTAGCATTCGTCGTCAAAATTTAATTATACCTCCCTTCCATCGACTCAGGTTCAATATATTCGTACGCCCTGGCATCATATTCATCACTCAAAAAATCATCACATGACTGAAGGCGAAAACAGTACCCCTTCTTTTATTACATGGTAAACTTCACAAACGAAAAGATGCGGTACGTGATGCACGTGTTTCTGCGTTGTACTACTTCATGAGACATAAATTTTATCGTGTATTGTCTTACACAAAATCAGTAGCAGACATTCACAACAAATATAGAGAAATACTGGTTTTGGGTTTTGAATTTAATAAATAAGAGTGCACCAAGTCTCTAAGACGGGTGGAATCTTTTATTGAGCATAGAAGAAACCACCTTCATAATGCAAAGTAGGTAATCAATTGACGGAAAATCGAGGCTTACGGTTGCACACGCAGTACAAAGTCAGGGAGAAGTAAGTACACATAGTATGTACTAGATGTCATTGTTGCATGTAAAACAAGGCATAAGCTTTCATTATCTGTTACAATATGCACGAGTACAAAAGTTTTGATGCTGCTGCTGCTACATTACCGAGCAGTAACGCACAACTGATAAAGCATATAGCATCTTCCTTATTTGGTTGAATTGGAAAGAAAGAAAAAGAAGCATAAGCAGTAATATCGTTGTTTCTGTGCTGTTGTCCTTACTATCATACCAAAAAAAAAGATGTCATTCTCAGGTGTGCTGTCTCCGCACATGAGCAGAGAGGTCATGGAAAGCGGGGGCTCATATCTCTATCCGAAACTTTGATTTTTCCAAGGCGAAATCCGTTCCATGACTTTGGCTGCCTTTGTCCTCTTCGTTCATTGGCATTCTTCTGCCGTTTAAGAATTGTATGTTAGTGGCTCTGGTACATATATAACACATCATCGTATGCCTCTATTTAGGGGGGGGGTCTTTTCGTTGAGGAATTATCATATTTGCTATTCTGAATTGCCCAATAACAGTTATTTTAGTAGTAGTAGTAGTTGTCGTCCTCACAGCAAATCTATGGAGGATAGAGCATGGATACAAAGTACATGAGAGATATTAGAAACAAAAATGCCTTCTTTTTTACTAAAGATACTGTCGTTGTATACCAGCACTATTGCGGTAGCTGTATATATAGGCAAAACGGAATTAGATTTTGTCTTTTACACCTTCTATTGATAGGAATTGGGACTATTACATATTAGTATTATAACTACTGACCGGTACGATGGAGGCATGTCGTCTGCTGCAAAGCTTGATGTTAATTCGTTACGATATGCCATATAAGTATAGCACACATTGTGATCAGTCATAGTAGCAACAAACAGTATCATCTATGAGATGTTTCCTGTCACAATCATCTTTCCATCCTTAGTATCCCTGTGTTACGAAGTGAACAATTACCAGGTTAGTAAAAAACAGTGTTGACAAATTTCGCCAACTGCAATTTTCGCCAAGTGGCGAAAACACCTTTTTCGCCTTAGTGAAAAAAAGTGCTTCATAATTTTCGCCTAGCGAAAATTGGGGATTCTTGGTGAAGTTGACGTCGAACCTAAAACTCCTGACATACAAGTGCACCCAGCAGAAAACAAATCTTATAAATACAAATTGTCAACACTTTTCACCCCCCCCTTCAACAGATTTAGGTTTTCATATGTATTTTCAAGTAAAGTAATTGATTTTTCGCCTCTAATTCTCGCCTTTTTTCGCCTATTTTCGGCTATTTTCGCCCTGGCGAAAAATCAACACTGGTAAAAAAGTATACCTTCTACCAAGGAGAAAGATAACTGGGAGTGGTTGCATTACTTTTTTAAACCGATATGTAAGATCCCTTACATAAGCAACTACGTTTTGCGCAATAATTTTTGGAGGTACATACAATAAATGAAAAGTGTGCCCACGCGTGAAACATGCAGATAGATTATTTTGCAGAATTTCCGGAAAAGTACATATTATTCGCCATGAAATGAAAAGGTGCATGGCGATTCTTTAGGAGGAGCACATTTATTACTGTCGACCCCAAAAGTTAGGGCAGTAGACAGTAATCATATGTACATAATACCAATTCTCGCCCGAAATACTATACACATACAATCGATTACGACTACTTGCAGTTACTATCCCTAGCGACTCCTCTTACTCCCGTCGTCATTTTGAATACAGGGAAACTTTTAGTATGAACTAAGGATTAATATATTCCCCCAATCATCTTCCCCTTTCTCCAATAATCGTTTCTTGTTGACAATGGTCTACAATAACATAAGCATCTCCCGATTAAAAAAAATATTCTTTTACAGTGGCTATGATGACAAGCATACTTCTACACTAGCCATGTATAATACAGAAAAGTGTCGATAACACTATCAGTGCAAAGACACTTACATGGATTTAATATACTGTGAAACTTTATTTACCTCTTATGTTTGTCTAAAGAGAAAAGGTATTCATTGTACTCAGGTATTAACAAAGAACACTCGAGATCTTTTTTACAGCTACGATGTCATTACGATAAACTTCTCAGCGCTTTTCAATGTCCTTGCTATTATTATCACCGTCGCTTCGGCCGACTTTGGCTCATCTTTAAGCGCTGCTACTGGTGGCAGTAACAATGAAGGTGGAGTCTTGATATTGTAAGTTTTATTGGCTTTTAAAAATAACAAAATATCTCCACATAGTGGACACCACTTTCTTCTACTGCTATTCTTTTTCTTGGTAACAAGTTTAATTTATCGATGATTCCCTTACATTTGTTACATAGCTTACCAATACGCTCAAAAGTGGTATCCTTACCAGCAGCGACGTTATTTTTCAAGACCACTGGTGCTTCTGTCAACTCTGAATAAGCCCTTCAACATGATGGCCATCACTAATTTACCCCTTTTTCTCCCGCTCTAAAATTGTGCTATGCCAGTTCTATTGTATCGTATCTACAGTAGTAGCATTAATTTTCTTTTCTGCTATACTGTAGTCATCACTTTCATTCGAGAAAATATATTTAACCTCCAGCATACTATATCGTATAGAGCACTTTTGTTAAAATCTCAACATAACCTAGTATTGATGTTTTATGGATTGGTGTCATTGGTGATAATATATGTATGAAATGGATATAACTGTTTTCTTATTTTTGATTCCAGTGCCAGCATCATACATACCTTTAGATAGCGGCTTCATCGTACAAATAATTAGTATTGTCTTTTAGTTAACCAAAAAGTGTAAGTGCCGTTGTGACACCTACTGTACTAATTTACGAATAATGGCTTGTTCAGGCCGTTTTTTTAATAAATGGAAGTATCGCTTAACTTTATTCTTAAAGATATATAGATGGATCTTGATCGAATTAAAGATTCGAACCGACCCTTGTACTATAGTATTTGAGCTCTCACTTCTAACCGAAGGTCAGTCTTCAAGCATTACCGTTTATGATTGAAGGTTGACTTGAGAGGTCGACATCGACTCTAATGTTATTTATTGATCCACAGGTCGAATACGGTTGAGATTGACAGCATCGGGGTCCGCATTGGCATCTCTGAACTCTGCCGTGTTTAGTTTGTAGTGGACAAGGTCTTTGATAATTCGCTTTACCAGTGGATGTTAAAAGGTGCATATGTTGCCAGATTAAGATGCATGTTTTCATAGCAACTAATTTACTGGAAAAAAAGTGTCCAAGTCATCCTCGCTACAGCGACCTAGCCAGTTCAGCGGCTTGAACACCGGTGATAATACATTTATATCCACGTAAATTATTTCAAAAGTATCATGTCAAAATGAATCAGTGCAGCTTAGATGGCTGTTCGTATACCTTTGTCATATCATCTGATCCGATATCTGAGGGGTTGAAGGACAGAATGGTACGGCGTGAAAGTATTTTCTTTTGTTTCCCTCATTTGGCGAATGAACGCTCATACACCCAATCCGGGAATTCGGATGGGCTTAAGGCAGGTCCAGGTACGATGCCGAAACTATACGATAACTTGATATGTATCATGCCTCTCTTCCTTAATTGTACAGTAATGACTTTTTACATAAACCGCATGAACGACAGATGGACTGGAAAACAAAGAGAATATAGCAAAGAACGGCAAGAATTTGGATAAATATCTTATATTTTACATGGCAAGCGCTAGTATGGCGACCGTTTTCATGGAAACCAGTGACACCCATCGTTTATAAAAGGGAGCTGCCGGTGCTGGATGAAGATGTTATCAGAAGAGAGATGTGCGTAATGCCGAAGGATTCGCTTAGGATAGTTAAGTGAAGCCCTAAATGATGCATATTTGATGTGAAGATTAGAGATAAAGAAGGGGTATAACGAAAAAAATAAACCTGGCCTTGACGTTATATTAAAGTTCTTAAAAAAACTCGCGACGATGGAACCTTTCTTTGAAAAATGTAATTCATTGTAACTATACTAGACACTGTACATGCTCAGAGCAAGAAGGCCCTTTTAACTTAATTGGAGACATGAAGAAAGGTATAAGCTCTCAATATGGAAATTCCTTCTTATTTACCGTTACAGAACGGAAATTTCAGCACTTGAAAAAACACAATAACCGGGCGACGTTTTAAACACGATTGTAGGACAGACGTATATTGAGACGCGACCATTCCCAATAGCATTCATCAGTATCAAAGCATTAAAAGTCTATTCTATTGTTGTTGCATTTCTTTTGTTGATGTAGCTGATATGTGATAGTAGTTTAGGTAACGAGAACTCTCTTCGCGTAAATACTTTCCTTGCCTCAAGAAAAAAAGGGCATGACGTATAAACATAAGCAAAAAAGCTGAAACTCTTGTTTGATAGTTTTCTCACTACACACCATATATGTGTAAGGGTCCCTTGAGTTTAACTCGAAACCTCCTTTTTTTTGGGGTTACAAAGGAAAGAAAAGGTAAAAAAAGAAGGGGGCGATACTGTTATGGAACGCGCGATGCAGCCGATCATCGTGTTCTATGCCAATTGTCTTTATGTACCTGGTGCATACTATCGTGACGGTATTGATAGGATCATCATCGGTAGTGGATTCACGAAAAGACCTGCAGTGGGAGAAAAGTAGTCTCGACTCTTTTTTGTGGTGGGCTAAACAGCAGAAAATAGGGTTTCTATTTTCGTTCTTGGCGTATACCAGTCCTGTAACATTATGAGTACTACGCGTAATTTCTTCCATCGTCGTAGCGGGGAAATGGAGGCGTGGGGGGGGGAGGGGTTGGGTGGGGTGTTTGGTGGGAGGGTATTATCATTATTGTTGTTGCTGTGGCGCGCACTGACATGATGCTTGTTACTACTCATAGCTATACCTCTCTGAATACCATCGCAGCAGTAAAGGAGAGAAGAGAATACGTGACAATATTATGCGGCTATATAGCTATAAATAAAGAATTACAAAAATGCCAGCCGCACATGCACGTACATGTTCTACATGACCAACGATTTGTAGATCGCCCAACCTAGGAAAAGAGGTTGCCGTTGATAAAGATTCATAGGGCCCGCGCGATCCTCATCACCATCAGCCAATAGGAAAGTGATGTCATAACGGGGCTCACAATCAGTCTCTCTGCTCTCTGTGCTTTGGTGTAGCTTTGGCGGTTGCAAGTTCGCTCTCCTCCAACAGGCTCTCGCTGTTTTATATCCTTTTTCTCTCTCTCTCTTTCTTTCTCACTAACAAACCCCACCTACTAAACTACACACCTTTCTTTCTCTTGCCTGTTTACTAAAAAACCTACACCTCTCTCTTCACCTCCTTCTTTTTTTTTACCACTCTAACTTTTTTTCCCTTTTTCCACGTTAAAAACGAGATCATCATGTTTTGGCGTTTTGGTTTCCATAATCCTTCGGCGATAGACACGCTGTTAGATCGAGAAGATATCGAGCTAGAAGATATCATGGAGGAGGAAGATCTTTTACAGGAAGCCAAGTCTCACAACCAAAAGCTGGTCGACTAGTATCCTTTTTTATATAACCATTACTATTCTTATAGATTAGCTTAACTTTTCTGTTATATCTGCTGTGCAGCTTTAGCTTTTGCGAATCCATTTCAAACATCACCCCATTTCGGCAACATGGACTACCATCGTTTCATGAATGGAGGATGTCGGTGGTGGTGGAACTGGAATTACGCAAACAAGAACCTTTTTTTGGGAACTTGGATTTTTTTGTTGCCGAAGCAGCCCACACGCGGGATAATACACACAATACATTTATGTCCTGTTTCAACCCTTGACTACTATCTTTCTTTTAAAAAAACTTAGCTTCTGCAAAACAGAAAACTTGACGAAACTGTTGAACTATATTACAGCAACCGATCTTGATGAAAGCCGACGTTTCAAGTGAGTTTGGTTTGGGTTAGCTTTTTGAAGGAGAAACAGAAAAAGAGCTGTAGCATTAATGTGTTCTCTCTCTCTTCCTTGATATGCCATATGTACGATCACGGCAGGTATCCGTTCCTTGCATGCGAGATTATGGCTTGCGAAATCCCACAGATCGTCGATAGTATCGTTTTGGATAATAAGGAGATGCTCGAATCATTCTGGGCATTTTTGGATCGTCCTGCTGCCCCGAGACGTCGAGCTGTAGTCGAAGGAGAAGAACAAAAGCAAAAACAACCCAAGACATCCGAAGCGGCTACACCACCTGCAGAATATAAACAACAGCAGCAGGAAGAGGAAAAGCAGCAAGACGAGAGCGAGAAGGACAAAGTGAAAGAAGAAGAAAAGGATCAAGAGGAACAACACACAGAAAACGTCGATGATGAAAACAACGACGACGAGGAAGCTGAAGAAGAACTGGGTCTAGATTCGCTCCAAGCACAATATTTCTGCAAGACCATAAGTGTGTTCTTAACAAAGCGTACCATTGAGGTAAGATATGCGTGTTGCGCGCGTTGATCTATGCTCGAGTATAGAGTGAGAACACCAGAAAATGAGGGAAGGAGAGACTTGGGTATGCGCGTGTGTGTGTGTGTCTGTGTTGGGGGGAGGAAGGGTGGGGGACATGGGGGCGTGTGGCCCAAACGCCATAACCCTTCCACATGTGACAAGAACCTGGATATTTTGTCGGCGATTTTATTCATCCGTTATGTCGTTGAATAGGTACTTGATTTTATCAAATCCAAACCCGAACATCTACAACAGATTTTGGCGCATTTACAAACGTCTGCTATTATGGACCTGTTATTGACGTTGGTGCGCGTAGAAGAACTCTCAGAAGGAAAAGGCATTGTGCAGGTAAAGAGAAAAGGAAAAGGTGTATTGGAGACTGAATAAGGTGTCAATTTCCATAATATATCGATGTATGATGGCTTCTTAACTAATGATATCTGTCGTTACCGCTCATTTTCCAATCCTAAATAGTGGCTGAGTGATAACGGGTTATTGGATAATTTGGTAGACAGACTCGATCCGTACCTGGATAGTGAAGTAAGTTAAGGAACGGTATTGGATCGTTTTTTAAGGTGTATATACGTGTATAGTGCCTAATACAAATGCCGTCCTTGTATTGTAGGAACATTCTGTTGCGCAACAATGCATTTGCGAGATCATCCGTATGTCCCAAACAAGTCTTGTGGAATCGCCTAGTATTGGATTAAACGACTTGATCATCGACCTTAAGAGGTAAAATCAAAATAGGGTTGGAAAATGGCTGTAAAACAGACTCAAACCAGGGTATAATGACGCGCATACAGAACATAAAATACTAAGCTTAGCTTAAAACCATATCACTAGTGAGCGAGTGATTCGAAAGTTGGCCAATTTCATGCTGGATGATAAGGCACCAAATTCGACTTCAACCTTGATCAACGGCGTCACAATTATTATTGATCTTATCCGACACAACAACAGGTTCGTCCCAAAGGAAACTTGCGGGGGAGTGGAAAGGATAATAAGAGAAACTTTTCCATGGATGGGATTGGTCGGGAACGCCCGGAGAAAGAAAAGCAATCCGACTGACAACATGTATAAAAACATTGTTAGTGACATGGATAATGATCCTATGCTTAATGGCGCGTACGGTTACAATGCAAATGCAATGATGCGTCAAACATCGGTATCACTGGCTGACATGCTCAAAGTATTGGCGGATCATGTTGGCGATTTCAACAATCTGCTTATAAAGCCTCGATCAGTGGTAATTTCCAATTTATCGCTAGTTAATTTGAGGTTATGTTGGTTACTAACTATAAGCGAATACTTTACTGTATGTTGGGCTTGGTAATAGAGTGGACCCATGCGTACAACATTAGGCGAACAAGTGCCGCTTGGATTTGAAAGGCTCAAGATTTGTGAGCTATTTGCTGAATTGTTACATTGTTCCAACATGTCCAATTTGAACTCCAACACGTTTGATGAGGAAGAAGAGGAAGAAGGACAGGAACAAGAAGTGGACCAGGAAAAGAATGACGATGCATCATCTACTAAGAACGAAGAAAGTGTTGCTGCTGCTTCTACGACTACCGCGTCTGATAGCAATGCAGTGGATGGCCAGCAAGAGACAAAGAAGGATGATGGTGATGATGGTACGCAAAAGGCTACTACTACAACTCCAGCATCCACTGCCGCCGCTACCGAAGAAGCTACTACTACTATTACTACTACTACTACTATTTCAACCAACAACACCGCCGCTACCACTACAACAACATCCAAAGAGGACGGCAACGAAGGAAAGCAAGCTGCTGGTTCGGCTGAAGAAGAAAAGAAGGATGATTTATCGATTGGCGACTATCTCAAGGTTCAATTTGTGGAGCATCGCGTTATGCCTACTTGCATTGTAAGTGTAAACCTTATTCTAAAAGAGCTCATTTCTTTTTTTGGCACATCATCCACTCATGAAAGCTATTGATTTTTGAATACCATCATGGCTATAGGACTTGTTCTTTACATTTCCGTGGAACAATTTCTTACATTACGTCATTTATGATATGCTTCACCAAGTATTCAATGGTCGTATGGATAAGGGATATAACTGCCATTTAGCCATTTCGGTCTTCAAGGATGGCAAACTGACGGATAAAATGGTACAAGCACAAAAGGCCAATGACGAGGAATGGTAAAGAGTATTTTCTGGTTCTATTATTTATGAAAAAAGATGGAAGGAAATGGATGATTTGGCATCAGGATTTACAAAAGGCCATGGTGCTTTGTTTATAAACATAGTGCTAAGCCAAAGGGAATGCGATTGGGTTACATGGGTCATTTGACGTTCATTGCCGATGAGATCATCAAGTTATTCGAAGGATATCCCGAAGCGATCGTCGGCATGATCAAGGATGATGTTGACATGGATGCCTGGAACGATTATTGCAATGGCGAGCTCAAGGATACCAAGGAACGAGATCGTCTTCCCCTCGCTGGCCCTAGACCCAATGATGGTATGGATGGTGCAGCCACGGATGAAGAAGAGGAGGAAGAGCCTTTGGAGGATGCTACCGCCGGTCAGGTAAGACTTGCACTTTTTGTGTCATCTAAAAGACACTGACTTGAAAAAATTGCATACTCTTTTCTTCATAATTAGTATTCGCGGTATCTAGGCAGACATGGTCCAGATGGTGATCTAGACGATGATGAGGATGAAGAACATGAGAACTGGATCACGTAAGTGGCTAATGCAAGATAAAGTTATGATTTTCTGTTTGAAACGCATACGAAGAACGAGATCTCGAGAATTTAAAAAAACTTACTATTGGGCTTTTTTTTTCAGCGGACGCGATGATTATGATCGAGAGTATTATGGCGGTGCATTTGGTATGGGTAACAGTGATCAACTTGCAGCGCATCACATGGCCGGTACACATGATGAACTTGAGGATGACGAGGAATATGGTAGTGACGATGATGAGGTAATAAATCGCTCTAAATATGCTTTTGCCGCGCAGGATGGAAGGTCAAAGTCTCGTGAGTTGGTGAGCTAATTATCTATCATGCATAATACACAAATAATTTTTTTCAGGAATCCGGAAGAGTACCCCAAGATTGGTCGAGAGGATTTGCACCATTCCCACAAACTAGCATGTTGCATCGCACGCAGAGTCATGTCGACGAAGCCGATGATGCTGATGAGGATGATAATGAGGACTTGACCAAAAACAAAAGCCAACAGCAACAACAATCATCACAAGAGCAACAACAACAGCAGCAGCAATCCAAACAGGCTACTACTACTGCTACGAGACAAAACAACGATGACGACGATGAAGACGATCCATTTGGTGACTTTACTAGCAGTGACAATGACAACACGGATTGGAGCCAAGGTTTCACATCTCAGTTCGAGAGTATACATATCTCACAAGATGGTACCAAGGCCACTGGTGGTGGTGACGGTACGTCGTCGTCGCCGTCGGCTACAACAAATGCAACGCCATCGACGGGTAATACAGCAGCATCCACAACCACTAAATCATCACCAACATCTGGAAACGATCCAAAGCAAACGGTTACGCATGACTACGTGCGAGCTGTCAAAACGAAAGAGGAGGAAGACTCAAAGCTAGCAAAAGATTACCGGTCAGAAGAAGAACAACAGGGCGAAATATAACATTTCTTCCTTGTGCGGGCAACACAGTTCATACACGCCAGGCTGATAAACCATCGAACTGATTAGAACCAAGAATGCTTTACAGGATAGTACATATCAACTCTTTGCCCTTTCTTTCCCTTCCCCACACCTCACCCTTTCTATATATATACGCTCTTTCTCTCTCTCTCTCTCTCTCTCTCTCTCTCTCTCCCTCCCCTCCTCTTCCTCACTATGGGTCCTCAAGTAGTTGAAAAGAAAAAAAAAGAAGCCACCAAACGGACCATATAACAAACTTTTACACGTACACATTACATATACTCTATATATACACACACGTATCTTTTCTTAGCTTTGTTTTCCGTAGTCTCACCACACACCCCTTTACATTTTCCATTATCGAAGCAATTTTCTATTTCTTTCTTCATAACTATTTTTTGGACCTATTGTCACTCTGAATCTTATATTTTCAACCACACACACACCCCAGCTAACCCCTCCCCAATTTTCCTTGTAGTATCAATTATGCTTTTGTGGATTTAATGTCTTACACGACTATTTTTTCTTGTACAAAAAAAAGGCTTCTTTTGATTTCTTCTAACTGTAGTAACAAAAAAAAAGGAGGGAGAGTGTGATGGTGATGATGATAAAGACGATGATGGCTTCAGTGATGTGATGAGTTATAGTGGTATGTGCTCGTGTGTGTGTGTGTGTGTGTGTGTGTGTGTGTGTATGTGTGTGTAATCTGCGCTGCTGTTGCATCATATATATTATGTAAAATGTAAGCTGTTCATATATTATTGGGTAGAAAGCTCCAAATGGTACCGAGGACAGCCATAAATGTGGATATAAGCAAAATCAAGTTATTCAGTATGGACTCCTTCCAAGTGATAGAATCTGCAAAGAGTCGGCGGTAACAAAGCAAAGGGAATATAGCAGAAATGCCGAAACTGAACAAGGCACCCAAGAGTGACTAGAGAAATCAGTCAAGTGAGTTAGCTCCATATTCGAAAAGCTACAGTTAGCAGGTAAACCACTGCTGGTAGTAGTAGCTATTGATACGATTGGAAGAGAGGGAACAGAGGGTAAGTAAAAATCAATAATATTTACCACCACACGGTCGAAACCAGGAAAGACGGTGGCAGTATAGACAATCACAAGGCTGACAATGATCCGAATCGAGGCCGTGATGAGATGCTTTCGCCAAGCATGAAACCGAATCCAATCTTCAAACTTGGTCAATAAGGATAACTCCAAACTCAAATTGACTGGATTCAACATCAATCCGTATTTCGCAAGAGGGGTTAAAACCATCAATCCGATGCCAAACTGGGTTACGATCTTGTAATAACCTGGAGTGTTGGCCAGGTTTTGTGTTATCTATTATGTATTATTAACAGAGGCAGGCAAAAGCGAGTGTTGGTGTAGTTATAACAAGTTAGTGGCACCTTTTACTTTCTTTACATGATAATAAACAAAAAGGAAACATTCCGAACAAACGGAGAACAAACGATTCATTATATCCAAACAGACAGTTCATCCTCCCAAAATTGGTATTAATGAAAAAGAAGATGTGTGTATGCATCATACCTCCTGCATTGTTTCCAGGCCAAACATCAGGTAGCCTGCCACGGCCATAGTGATATAGGCACCAGCAGTGACCAGGTATGCAATGTCAACCATGCGTTCATACTGTTTTGGATCGTCCATGTCGCGGTAGATGGATGGAAACACGGCATGCCCCGAAAAGCCTGCCATCACAAGACCAAACGCAAGTGGCACGTTGTACCAATCTGAAGGAACTATTTCTGTTTCCTGGAAAACACGCACACACACACAGAGTAACCAGTTAGACGACGGACATTGAGGGAGTAACTAGCAGAAAAAACACGTTGTCTTTCTTTACCATAGGTTCCAGCAGACTACCCGGCTGTGTCTTTTTCGAGAAACCATCAAACAGCACCGTGACCAAAAGACAGATGCATGCGAGGATACCAACCAAGCTTGTCAATGCCAACTTGCGCATAGGCAGAAACATGGTAGGCGTCAAGGCACAGAACGAAAAGATGCGGACGGTGACCAGATCAACATTGGGCCAGAACGACTGGATACCGTCGCCGAGCAACACGACCATGGCAATGCCGATCGTCATGAGCTCGACAATAAAGAACCCGCTGACGAGCGTGCGGCCACTTTCATTGAAAGCAGCAGCACCCATGTCGCCATAGGTGGCAGCGCCACTTGAAGCATCCAAGCAGCGGACAATGATTTTGGCGGTGTAATTGGTGCCCGCAGCGCAGAAAAAAAAGATCAACGAGCCAAACAGCCAGCCGCCGCATCGAAATGCTAGAGGAAGAGCCAAGATGCCAATACCAATCAAGACGTTGACTGCGTTAAAGACGGATTGCAAGAATGTCGATTTCAAGGGAGCACCGGTGCTGCCTTGTGCTGCACCACCGGTATCTTCGTAGTGTTGCAAGATCTGCTGGGAAAGAACAGAAGCCACGGTCGTGTGGCGTGATAACGAAGGAAACAAATGATAATTGTTGCCTGCGGCAGTACGCTGTGATAAGGTTCGGTTCAAGGATGCTTCGTCAAAGATGGGAGGTCTGGGTATACAATATAATTTACATAGGGTAACCTGATTGCGTTATTATTGCTAACTTGTTGAAGCCCCACATTTCAGGGTAAGGGAAATAGAGCAATTTTGGCCTATTTTGTAAAGACTAAAAAAACAAGAAATCTTACCTTGAATACTTGGAGTCTTCGCTCATCCGGCCTCGTTCTTCTTCGTCCATGGCTCGATGTTCTGAAGACAGAGTGTCTTCGTGAATGCTTCCTGCTGGAGCATTCAGGTTCTCGGCAACGTACAAGATCGAGGCCCGGGAGTATGATCCAGCAAACGATTCCACAGCGTCGCGAAAAGACCGCGGAGATGCATCAGAGACATAGTGATCTTGCTGGTGGTTGTGCTGGTCGCTAGATGCGGGGTAAAGTGATCCATAGTTGGGTGGCAGTCGGGAAGGATGTGTGTTTGAAGGCACACGAATAGGTGACGAAGACATCTTCTTCGAATGCTGGAGTAAAAAGAAGAAGAAGAAGAAGAATAAAGAAAAAGAAAATGAGATGGAGGGTTCCGCTTTTAAAGCCCTTTGACTACTATCGCTACGCACTTTAACCGTTTTCAAATATGCGGTGTCTGCCAATACAATGCCCGCAACAGGGAATGAAACAAAACACACACACATATATACACTGCACAGTGTGTCCCCATTATTAAAGTTTCCATGGCAACCTAGGAAAGCATTCAGAAAGGGCAATATGGGGAAGGCTTATGTTATTTGACAGCTCTGGTTTGGTTTTTTTTTTAGGTTGCGGCGATACAAAATCGTCAATCTGTAACTCTTTTTTGTTCCCAGGCAACAGAACGCATCATCATCATCCTACCAACGCTTTCTCCTTCCCCTTTTCTCCTTATCGGTGAAACCCATTTCTTTTTTCTTCTTGTGACACCTTTGCAAATAGGCCCCATTGAGTTTCATGTCACCACCCATCCATCATCCCATCGTCCGCTTGTCTTGTGTATTCCACCCTCCCCTACTCCGCCCTTCTGTCTTGATGCCACTCTTTGTCCAAAGCAGAGACTAAAGGTGGGGGGGAGGAGAAAGAAAGGAAGAGAGCAAAGGCAGAATGATGCCATCCCTCCAAAGACAAGGACATGATGTAATTGCCAGGCTGTATTTAAAAAAGAAAATTAGTATTAACCAGTGTCCTGCTTGGTCTGGCATATATACTGCACGCACGCGCACATACTCTGTGTGAATGTGGAGAGATACGAGAGGGAGCGAAAAAAAAATAGTCTCCTTAGCCGAGAGAGAGGAGCACGCCTTTTTTTTTTGCCTTCTTCCTTTTCCCTTATTTCTTTCTTCCCCATTCATAATACTTGATCTGTAAATCTTTTTTCTTCTTGACTTACATAAACTTACAAACAGGTAAACCATGGCATTCATGACAAGAGGGAAAAAATAGGAGGGGGAAGTTCTTTGTGTGTGCGGAAAAGAAACAATAACCTTTTATTTTTTTTTCGGGAACCCTAAAGGCGTATACAAACAAGAGAGCTTATACATACATAAAGGGGGAAATGGTCAGCAACCAAGACAATGTTCCTAATGCGACCCATGTCGACTATTTGGTCAATCAGTCCAAGTCGCCGGTGCAAGGTTCGTTGTCGTTGTTGTTGTCGTCAATAAACTACACCACCATGCTATGAACGAAAAATTTTGCTACACCTACAAAAATACTAAATACAATCCATAGGCAACAATAATAACAGCAGCCCCAGCCCTCCTATGGCAGTACTACCACTCAACTCGAGCGCCAAGTTGGATCAGGAACCTAATCCATTTGAGCAAAGTTTCTCGACTGTCGCTGTATCCGATCGACCAGACAGAAGAAACGGGAGCATAAGCACAGCAACTAGTAGTAGTGGCAGCAGCAATGGTGGTGGTGGTAGCATTCATAGTCACACTGGCAGTAACCATCAACATAACCAACAACACCAACTTCATAATAATAATAATAATCAGCAGCAGCAGCAGCAAAAGACAATATTGCCACCTGTGGCAGCTATCACTAGCCCAGTCCCGCCTTTGTTGCGCAGTGGTGTATTGCCCAAAGATGTTGCCAATCAAATTGCGTGGAACTCGCTTCGTGCTGGTCCGTTATCACCGTCCATGCTACAGGGTCCTCAGAGACCGCCCGGGATTGGCGATGGAGTCATTCCACCTAATAGTAATAGTAATAGCAGCACTGCTACCACACACAGCACGGCTGCTACTGGTACCACTTCCATATCGGCATCGTCACCCTTACAACAGCAACAAAGACCCATGAGTCACATATATGCTCCTGGTAGGAACTATTGCTGTGTGTGTGTGGTGAATCTCTGGAGACGCGTTCTCAAAAGCTGAAAGTGTGAAAGACTCAAATCATTTCTGTTTTGATAGATCCCGCACTTTCATTTGCCATGGCTGGTCCGGCGGTGGATGAAACTCCTGCGTCCAATGACTATGTGAACGCACGGTCCGGGTCCATGAGTAGCTCCGCTAGTGGTCCAAGCATTTCATCCGCGACGGGTGGTCCAAGTGGTGGTGGTGGTGGCACCTATCGAACATTCAGACAAGACCACCACCATCAACAGCGACAACAACGGTCACGTCGATCTTCTGCGGAAGCTAACCTCACGACAGCCACTACCGCTACCACTGTGACCTCATACGATACTAATAACGACGAAGACGATGACAACATCGATCCTTTCAATGATGATGATAGCAGTAATAATACCAGAACTAAAAAACGAACACGTATATCCAATGACAAGGACGAGGATGACGAGAAACGCAAAAATTTCCTTGAACGGAATCGGATTGGTGAGTGAACTTTTTGCGGGTTGATGTAATAGTGATGTCGATGTGGGAAAACCAAAGAGAGTCGTACTACTACTACTACTACTACTACTATTGGACGTGCAAGAGAGACTATTACTAATGATTGTTTTTTCATCACAGCTGCGCTGAAATGTCGACAACGTAAAAAGCAGTGGCTCAATAATTTGCAGGCAAAGGTTGAGTACTTGACAAACGACAATGAACAACTGCAGATCCAGACCAACGCTCTAAGGGAGGAAATCGTCAGCTTGAAAACGCTGCTTTTGGCGCATAAGGACTGTCCTGTCGCCCAGCAACAGCAGCACGATGTGTTTACCGGCTTACAGCAGCAGCAGCAGCAGCAAAACAAGAATACCATGGCAACAACAGCTGCTAGCAATAACAATAACACCACTACTTTCATGCATGCTCATTCTCATCATTCTCAGCAACCTCTTCCAGCCCACCATCATCGTCATCATCATCAGCAGCACCATCCTTCGTCAACGGCAGAAGCACCATCAGCCCACCATCATGCCCGGTTCTCATCACCATCGTCGTCGTCGTCGTCGTCGCCGTCCATTCCAAATACCAACAATAGCGCCAACAGTATGCAGCAAAACATGATGACATTCTCAAGCCATCCCCAGGCCCAGACTATGGTGGCAGGGACATCAAGTGTATTGCGCTTTTAAAAATAATATTTTGCATCCCTTCCCTCTCCCTTCACAGCTCCTTGCGCTCTCTTACTCTCTATCTTACGCAATCATCACTCTCTGTAAATTCTATTTGCTTCTCTGCTATAAATTAATTGTCTGTTTCTTTTTCTTCTTTTCTTTCGTTCCTTCATCATCATACACCAACACATCTTCTTTGGCGTCATCAGCTCCCCTCCAACATCTCGTCCATTTCTTGTCTTTTTTGTTTCCTTGCTGAAAAGATAGGTAAAATAAAACTCTCAAACGAACTATTCCACTAGTCAGGTCATCAAGGTGCAGCAAGAACACGTATGTATATATCAGTCACCCTAAATACCGTAAATAACAAATGTATAAAGCTACTTTTTAATGCACGGTTGATTTGCTGCTGATGTGGCGACGCCATGGTGTCTATGGTGCCACAAACTGGGTTTAGGTTTAAAGAAAGTTACTGTGTGTAAGCCATGATTTGAAGGCTACTAAATTTCAAATACGTGCTATGTTCTGTACCATGTCGATCGTTTTAACATCCTCAGTAAAATTTGACGAAGGAAAATGTTATCATTCTGTCCATTACCCAAAATGGTGTCTTTGCAAATGCACCAAATATAACTATAATCCTCTAACAAAGGATCAAGCTGCCTCCCCCCCTTCCTCTCCGCCAGATTATTCTCCTCGCACTTCTCAAAGCGTAACAAATAGTAGCCGTCAGCCCTCGTTCTTCTTCTCCGATTGTTTTAGATTAAAGATAATACAGTGGGTGGCTAAGGTGTATACCAGTGTACTATGATGATGACGAAGATGGATCGGCAAAAGAGAAGGCTGATCTATAAAAAAAGAATGGCCGTTACTCCTACTGTACTAGCCATGGTCCCTAGTGTAAAACCATGCGAAACACCCTACATACGTATGAGGTGAAGTTACTAAATTATAGGCGTTAACTCCAAGCAATAATACATTTGCTGCCATCGCAACAGAGACAACACTCTGGAGAACGCACGGGTCTCCCTTTTTATGTGCTTTTCTTTGACATCCACCAGAAACTGCACTACTACGACGTCAACAACAACAACAGCAGCAGCAGCAGCAGCAGTGACCGAAAAAATCTCCAGCCCCCCTTATCACGACGACCTAATTGTTGGATCTCGAACCCTTTCATCCAAATCCCCCAACACGTGTCTGCCAGATGAAACACCAGACATACAACTACGGCGCGCGAATAGCCAAATACAAGTTTAACCACTGTAGACTGCTGGACCTTAATGTCATGAGCTCTTAAATTTTGCAAAGCTGCTTACTACTACTTTTACTACTACTTCAGTACTACTAACCCGATCCATCAAAGCGGATAAGAAAGAGTAAATAAAGGCCAAGATTATGCAATTTGCTCAAAATAGACAGCTGGTACTGTAAATATAGACGTGTATAAATCAGCATCGTTGCTGTTGTTTATACAGAGCGGCAGCATACATTGTTTGGAAAAGGTCAAATGAACTTTTCTCTTTTTTGGAACTGTTAATGCGCGCATATTTTTTCACTAAAAGAAGTAGTAAAAGGATGTGTATGTGTCTGTCTGGTACAAACAAGGGCTGAGGCCAAGCGTCTGAGTAGGAGAGGGATGATCTTGCATATCTGTGTTTATCCTTTTCTCCATGTTCTTTAATAACCAATACGAACTGCTACATATTGGTTGCTTAACCAAGCGTTAGAGCCGGCTGCTATTATGGTTGCACTGCCTTAGACTCATGCAGCTTCCGGTGATGGTGGTACTAGCAACAGCAGCAGCAGCAGCAGCAACAAGATAAATGGCGCGGGGAATGGGCCGTCATCACTGCTCTAATCTTTATTATTCATCAGCAAACATTATATTGTCTACAGGGCATTGTATTTCGAACAAAAGCTCCGATATGCACATGGAAATAGACGACATACTGAAAATGAAAGACAGTTGGAGAGCGAAAGAGAAGGTTTGGTACTGTCATTTAGAGCACAATGGAATCTATAGACCATGCATAGTGTCTGCTGTATCGTTGTCAGACATAAGACGTGGTGGCAAGATAAAAGAAGCAGCGCTTACATCTTATTACCGGGACTGATGCTGGTTGTTGCTGCTGCTGTGCAAGAAGAGGCAGCAGTTGGAGGTTACATCGAGGAAAGACGTGAGTTAGTTAGAAGCGAGAGAGGGAGAGGCCACTCAATCCACGCCCTGCAATATATACACCACAGACGCGCGTTCTATTATAACGTGCGTTGAGTGGATGATGAGTCGGAGGCATGGCAGCAAATTGCAATATGCATATCTTATTTTTTCATTTGGGGGGTGTTGGGTCGATGGGGGAGCAACGAATTGGAAAGGAGCAGGAGGAGAGTCAATGCAAGGGGGGGAGAAGAACAGTGTTTCTGTATAGAAGCCGTAGAATGAAAAGGGCCGACATGAGGATTTTGTTTTTTCGTGAAATATAAAAGGACCGTGTCTCCTTGACGACTTTTTTATTATTCCACTTTACTACTACTTCTAGTCTTTATACTACTGCTATACGCTTTCTTCTTCTTCTACTACTACTACTACTACTACTATTACTATTACCTTGTCAGAACAAACGAATTAATAATGCTCCAATCACAAGTGATCAATGTTCTTCCACGTCGCATCCTCGCAGGACTGTGGGCATCCCAAGAAACTCGCGTTTCGGTAAATATTCTCCAAAAGAATCTTATTTCTTTTTCTCGATCAGATCGGACAGTTGTTCTGATATATAGTTTTTTTGTGTACCCTCTCTAGTTATCACATATGTCGTCAGTCGTACCACCAGCACACAACAATAGCAAGAGGTATTGAAAGGTTCCACAGACACAGACACATATGGAAATGATTGTTGTTATTGACAAGAGAAATTGACTTGTTTTGGTAGTATCAGTAACCACCACCAGCAGCAGCAGCAGCAACAACAACACAATGAGCCATCATTGCCAGCTGCCAGTGCGCCTTCCTTTTTATGCTCCGAACTACCTGTCAGATACACTCACATCTTGCGCCTCTTGAGCACACTCTCGCCCGACGCGCTCCAATCACCCATTGTTCGCAATGTCGCGCACAGCTATCTTCACGACATTTGTACCTTGCTCCATCCTTCGCTTCAGGGTACATCGCCTCGAGCCCTACGAAACATCTTGACCAAACTCCAACAACGACAGGCTAACAGTCTTATTCGCTTACGATACGCCTTATCGAATTCGACAATGCTGGACAACATCAATACAATTGGCTTTGGCATCCAGCTTTTGCTTGGTAAGAATAACTTTTTCTTTCGTCTAGACATGTTCTAGCACATAGCTCTCTTCCTTTCTTTCGTTCTCCCTTCCCTTGTTCTTCTTCCCCCCCCCCCCCACCTCATACCCCCTTAAGCCCCTATTGAAATCTCTTGGCATACAAAATGACGGGCGGTACTTTCACAACCTTTGTCCACTATGTCTGTATCTCCACTCTCCTTCTCCTCCTCCTCCTCCAGCTTCCCCCTTAAAGCCATTGTATAGGTGCGTGTTCATGCCAATTAATCTCACATACATTTTCTTTCTTTCTTTCGTCTGTTCTCCCGAATAATTAGATCAACATCTTTCATGGTCCAATCAAGACGGCAACGAGGTACAAGCCGTATGTCCAGTTACGATTGCCAAACAAGCCATTGACGATGCTCGACACGCATGTGCTTCCGCTCTCGGTAGCCAAAGCGATATTCCTGAGATCCGCCTGCAGCCACGTATTGAAACCGAACTGACATACATTCCCAACATCCTTCATCGAGTTCTATACGAAACATCACTGATGGCCTTGCGGGCAAAGATATCAGACCAACAGCAACCTAGCAGTAGCAGTTCTAGTGAAAAAAGCTGGCTCCAACGCACATGGAACCAATTGCGCAATAACCCAACGAATGCCCAGCAAGGCATTGAGCTACAAGTCTTTGGCGGTCCTACAAGCGTGGGTTTCCGACTTAATTCAGACGTGCCTCTACTTCCAAGCGACTTATTACAAGACGTACCGCGTGATCCCATTGGCATCCCCACCTGTGCCCGCATCTTAGGCCAAACCTCAGACACCAAGCTGGACCAACATCTCGACTCCAGCGCCGTCTGGGACGCCATGAGCGGATGGCGTTCGGCCAAGGTGTTGGCAAGCCATTTTGGCGGCAACCTGGATGTCATGTCCGTCGATGGGCTAGGCGCTTCGGTGTACTTGGCTCTGGATCGCGACGCTTCCCTCTTGGAACGCTACCCTTCGCGAACCTTGGCTACTGCACACAAAATGTTGTTGCGCCACCATGGTCGTGCTGCTGCTGCTGCAACGCCCGCATTGACATTGCAAACGGCACAAATCCAGCTCGATACTTTCATCAATGCCATCTCGCACGATCCACAAACCCCAGAACGTTTCTATAGCCCTCATCATCATTCCGTGTCGCTCTCGGCTGCTGTGGGTCATGCATAAAAACGAAACTTCTTTGCATTATCTCACTTTCTTCCATACTCCTCCACCTGCTCCGTCCCCCTTTTGCGGAGAGGGAACGATAGGGTACGTTCTTTTTTTGATAGGAGGAGGAGAGTGACGCATTGGATTTCTCTTGGCATTTTCTCTTGTTTCTTTGCATTTACACTCATCTCTCCGTTACAACCACATTACACATGTAATCTATCGTACCGCAACCGTATACCTCGCATTTTCTTACCTTCTAAATCACACTCTCTTTTGCTTTCTACTAATCTCCATGCTTCCCTTGCAACTGACTTTCATCTGCAACCTCCCCCCCCCCCCACTTACATCACCAGCAACAATCTTCCTCTGTATATCTGTCTCTCATCCTCATTTTCGCTAATTTCCTACCATCGATCACACATCCCAACTCACCCATTAGCTCGTTCTTTCCTTCTTATAAGAATATACATTATGCCCATCTGTAATAGTTATCATTAAATGAAACACATAATATAATGCATCATGATTTCAATGACGACAGCTGGACAAAATCACAGATTTGGCTCATTGTAAGTTTTGTTTACATTCTGACAAAGTGCCTCGCATTGGGCGTCAACAGACCTACATGTGGAGCGCTATATCCTATTGTTCCTTGTGGTCAAACACGAACAGTGACATGTGACCACATGCCAAATTTTTCTTTGAATTTTCATATAATTATTAATAGAACGATCTTCACATTACGTCCTGCATTTCGCTGCTCTTTGCCTATCACAGCGGCTCCCCTTTTACTGTACACTCCTATGTCTACGACCCGCCACCATCACACTTACCACCAACCCTTCAAAAAGTATACCCAGTGTTACTTCTCTATTATTTTACGTGTAGATCGCCATGCTATTTTGCCATACCCATGGCTTTTCTTCCAGTAAAAACTCTTGAACTTACTATGGTCACTAAAACGGCGGCGACGAAGGCGACATTCTTAAACCAAGATAAAAATTTATGTAATTTGAAATCCGGGTACCAACCTTGTTTCTCTAAAAGTAAACATTTGGTGCTTTGGTTTTTGTCCCACTTGCAACTATTGACATTATCCTAATGTTTTGCATGAAGCGAGGAGTCGAGGGACCGGTCACGAGTCGTATAATCACCACTTCTGCTGCTGTTGTTGTTGTTGTTGTTGACTACTCTGCAGATATGCAAGATATTTATAGTCATGCAAGACATTTTGAGCTAATGATTACTCAGTGATGACCTGCTGCAAGCAAAAAAGACAGCTGCAGAAGTAAGTATACTGCAACTTATTTACCGACTCTATATACTTTTGATACTAAGAGTTCAAGAAAAAGCGTCTATAGCCGGATACGGTACCCCACCTCTAGTCACTCTCCTTGAAAACTATATACTATATGCACACCCTCCTACCCCAATATGTCTTGGCACGTATAGCAGAACAAGGACAACATGCTGCATAGAAGGGAACTGTGCATTGCATAGTCAATATAGTTGAAAATAAACTAGAGTTTTGTTCCTTTAAAACGCCTTTATAAAGTTGGCAGGCTGGTGCGGTTTGGTTCCCTTTTCGCACCATTGACAAGACATATACTATATAAGAAGGACCACAGGAGATCATCAGGGGCGGGAGGCGTTGTTTCTGCTGCTGCTGCCAGATATGTAAATATTTTGCCACATGATCAGCAATAACAGAAACAAAAAAAAAAAGATAAACCCAAGAAATCGGTGGTGATCAGGAGGTTAAGTTTATGTCACCATGATAAGCAGCATGAAGAATGGATTGCTTTTAGTAACAGTAGGCCTATATGTCAATCAAGTATTTCTCTTTCTCAGAGAATAGAAAAACGGATGAAAAAACCTCAGTCATGCACAATTTACACTAGCGAGGTGTTATCAGGGCTGTCATTCGTATTTATTTGAAGTTAAACTCGATTTTGTATACACAATGTCAATATTTTTACCTTGCGTCTCACTAACGTAAAAATCACAAATCATCGTCTAGTTCCTCAATCAAGCGAGATGGGTTAGCAGAAATAGCCGACGGCAACTATAACAAGCAACAAAAACAAAATTGACAATGCATTAAAGCGGTTGAAAATTTCAAGGTTGGATGGAGGCGATGCCACGACAAAGAATTTGTTTGCGTCTGCCCTATCACAATCAGAAACAACATCAACAAACACAGCCGCAATCAGCTCCTCCCTCTTTCCCTCGCTACCATCCGAAGAATTTGAATTACCTGAGGACCAGGAGACGGAAACTGACTTGGACGATGAGCCAGCTGTTATCAATGTGTAAGGTAGCTTCATCGTGGCTTTATCACAAAAAAAGACACTCACTCTGCGAACTCTATGATTATGCATGCGGATTGATAGGTTTACATAATTATCAGCATGCCGCTGCCACAATAGTCGTATGTAATCTTTTTATTGCAGCTTACCGTCATTGGTATGTAGTTTATGCTATCATAGTAAGCGCGTATCTGACTGTCGTTCTGCGGTATTAATTATTCTACAAGAGCTTATATACAACTTTCTTTGTATATGTTAAAAAAATAGCGAAACAAAAAGACTGGACAATGCGTACCTTGGGTAAATATCCCGCACATGGATACAATGTTATATGATTGACTAGATTATTTTGTCTCTCTCCAGTGACTTTCTCGCTCTGGTAGATGCGGTATCATAGACAAAAAAATCGGACCCGCCTCAGTAAATGCTTCACATCTTCTCTTGCGAACGACGTGGCTCAGGAACCCCCGTCCATTTGAATTCGATTTGATATTAGAGCCACGCATTGATAAAGTTGATGGCGCGACCACATCAAAAGCGTACGTATGAGTATCGAACATTGTAGGTATCTAATATATTTGATTTGAAAGAGTTCCTCATATATGCTGTAGATAAGATTCTCATTTCTCGGAGCGCGCGCGCTAGTCCTCAAAACGGAGCTTTTCCAGTTACCAACAACTAGTGAAAAAGCATAAAATTATCGTCGGCAATGATTGTGCTAGATATTATTAAACATGAGCCTTCTGCACCTATGCACTTTAAATAGTGAAAGGAAGTGTGTACGTCTCGTCTTTTAAGCTAATATTGAACAGACGAACAAATGTCTACATTACGTATATCAAGTATTTAGAAGCATACTCGATATTATAGTGTATAGTGTTTCTACTGATATAAGCAACACAACCAGCTATTGTAATCCTAGATCATGTGTATACGAGCGACTGTAACTGTGCTGATGGTACACATACAGTACAGTGCTTCCAAGAAGCACCGTACACACGAAAACTAACTTTTAATTGTCCTACCACCACCACCATTAGAACATTCTTTTTCGTACTATGCCTTGTTTTGGGTCATTTATTTTGGATTAATTGCATCAACCCAACAGCCACCCTCTTCATTTCCCCCGCATTATCGGAACAAATATAGAATGGTTTTGTCCTCATTTAATTTATATATGATATCATTATAGCGTAGGACACTTAATCCATCTACATCTCTGAGCCCTCTTTTCATCACATTTGGCACGGGTATGACGAGACCTTGTGGTTTGAAACGTCGAACTCACTGTTTCTCTTGGTACTCCAGAAACAAAGATGTATCTCACTACAGTAGAGCTAAATAGTTGTCGCAGGTGTTGATTGAAAACTTAATGATTCTCAATCTGCTATCATGCTACTACTTTATAAGGTCTTGACATTCAGCACCATTTAATATACTCATCGTGACGGTACTATGATACGCATACCTTTGATTGATAATTACGCCGCACGACGTTTCAATTGCATTTGTAATCTACGAAAGGCATTTGCTTTAAAACAAGGAAAAAGAAGAATCAAACCAGATGCCGTTGACTGTATTGTACTGTTTTCATATGAGAAAGAAGACCTACTTACTACTTCCAGTGCCTACTCTACGCCTACCCCAAATGTTGGCTTAACCTTAAAACGTATAGTCAAGGAAAGCAAACATCCTGTGTGACGAGGTTCTGTAATTAATGCGTATATCCAATTTTAAACGATCCAAATTCGTACTAACCACGGAGAAAACATTAAAAGCCTCATATTATAGGACAAATAACTAGTGCCATAGTTAGCGACAAACGCGAAGGCGAAGAAATTACTAAGTCTGTTGACGGTGATTCTATATGCTGAAAAAAAGTTGTAACTGCTGGACTACCTCCGTTTGTGATACGATGGTCTTCTCAATTGTTGTTCCATATCTAATGGTTTTTCTATTACTCACTCTGTCTTGATTTTTGAGCATCTGCACTTGCAACAAAAAGCTAGAGTCAGGGACTGGTAATGTGTGTGGTGCATCACATGACTGGCGAATGCCCGTGTAAGCAAACATGAGGCACATACGCTATACGGAAAGGCTTTAAGCCAACCAATGATGTTTACCACTTTGACAGAATCGAAGGACTGTGGCGCTCTTCTTCCCAAGTTAAATTACTACAGAACATCAGCCGCCTCCCCTTATTGAGCGTCATTAAGATGCGATTAGCAACCTATTATTGATTTTTCTACCATGTATAACATTATGTACTTTTGCTACTACTAGTATTGGCTTGTGATGCCAGAAATAGGATTTATTATTATACAGTAAAACTAGAATTACAGTTGTATATTTTGATAAGCTAAAAAATATGGAAATCAAAGGTTATAATACAAAACGATAAAGGTTGAAATTCAAGCATATGTGATTAATTAAAGGAGGGATCTACAGGTCGTAATAATCAGCAGCCATGGCTGCGGCACTGGTCATATCGATCGGCGGTCGGAGAAATGCATCAAAATATGCATCGAGTTTTTCAAAATCCAGATCGTGCTGCAACCGAACACAAGCGCCAATGTAACCATCCGGACGTACAACAACAACAGATGGGCTGTGCCTAACGTTGTACAATGTGTGTGCCTGTTGGTCGTGATCCAAGTACACCTTGTCGAGACCGAGTGGGAAAGTGGCATGCACGACGGCCGGCTTGGTGTCGCTGAGAAACTTGCCGATTTCTGTTCGACTGGAGCTAGTAATATACAAGAATGAAAACATAGAGGGTGTTGTTGTTGTTGTTGTCGAGGTTGAAGCACCGTTTGTGTCGCTTGATGGGTGGAAATCAGAGGACGTAGTTAAGCGGGGTTGGTCAAGGGATGTTCGGACCGTTGAGACCGGAGATGTGGGAGGAGAGTAAAAGAAGACACGATTGCTGCTGGAAACTGAGGAACGATGTGATATGGATGACAAGGAAAGGCTGGAGTTGCGTTTGACGGGCTCGTCAAATATCCATGAGCCTGATAATAATGGATGATTTGATTGCAGCTTTTCGTAACGCTGCATAAATGAGTGTGGTTCTTCAAGGTGTCGTCGGAAACGTTGCAAAGTCGCCAAATTCTCGGCATCGTTTAGCGATCCGCAAAAGATCACCAATCGGAATGCCGACGTTGATGCATTCTGAGCCATGCGATCGAGTACGCTGTAGTGGTTGGTTTTTATTCTACGCCACCGTTCAGCTGTACTGGTTGTGTTGCTGTGTACTGCTGTGGCAGTGGTCGTTGTTGTTGATGTCATTGCTGGGATAGCGCTCGGATTACTGGTGCTGCTGCGTTTGATGATGGGTGACAAAAGCCAGCTGGTGGTGCTTGAGGATGTGCTGCTTGTTGAGTTGGATCGCTCGCGACGCCATCGTAGCGTGCTAGTACGCGGCGGTCTATCGTCTTTATCGTTGCTATTACTATCTTTGCTGCTGTTATGCGAGGACGACAGTGGTTTGCTGCCATTAGCGATGCTTCCAGGCGGAGTGGCGGTTTCTTTGGTATTGACGAGGAGCGTGAAAAGGGTGTAAGGTTTAAGTTTGGAATTCGGCGCCAAGGTTCCTGGTGCGCCCATCTGGATTTTACGTTGTGCGCGTTGTGTAAAGGATGCAGTAACAGCTTGTATGGTATCCGCTTCATCGACCGACGTGATCGATATAGTGCTTGCAGTGTCAACGTTCAGCATGTTGGCATGGTACGGTGCCTCACCGATGAATCCATGTTTTGTTTTGCTCAGCATGTAAATCAACTCTCGACTCGGCGTTGAGTTGAGCCCACGTCCACTCGACGGTGCGCTCTGGGTGAACAGGTGCATCAATGCTTTCGAAGCCTGGCGGGTATCGCTGAGCTTGGATCGGCACTCCTCCTCGTACGTATCCAAAAGTTCAGGTGATCCACGATGTTTAAGACACAAGAACAGCTTCCAGCACAAATTATTGACCTGCTCCAATCCAAGATCCGAGACCAGTATGCCTTCAGGGCACACCGACTGTGCCGCTCCACCGGCTAAAAAGTAGCGTCGGTTCAAACTGAATTCTTCAGATGTCCTTTCGGTGGCTGCAAAATAGTAATGAACGACAGTAATACATGATGAATAAAGAATAAAGTTTTGTTGGGTCACAGTGTTCGTCTGCACACACTCACAGCAAGACCCGCACCTGCTCACTCGCCCAAACCCCTTTCTCTCTATATATTTCCTACCTGTCCACCGTCGATATGAATGAGGCTTGTTGAATTCAATCTGATATGGCTCCATGATTGATTTGACGTGTTTCTGAGCAAGTAACAACGGCACGTCGTCGTCGATTGTCAAGCGACTCCACTTTGGCTTATGCTCAAACGAAATGTAAGCCCTGTTGTCCCGGTGTCCTAGAAAAGGAAAAGGCAGTGAGCTTATAAAGTCCGCTTGGGGTTATACAATGGAATGGACGAGACGAGCTATGATAATATAGGGGGCTTCCTTTCCAAAGGAGCCAAAGAAGCCAAAACAAAAACAGCATCCTTACCAATATAGAAAAGCGAGTTTGGACCTTTGCTCAATACTGCCATTTTTCGCGCGGCAGGGAAATTGGTTGTAACAGTAGCCTCGATAGTATAGAATACCGAGGTTGATTTCAGGCGTTCATACGCAATGCCTGTGAAAATAACGTGCGATTAAAACCTTGGAGGGTTGGAGATCATGTGTGTCACAAGGCGACGTACCCAATTTCTGTCTAACAAAGCTGTGTGTCCCGTCCGCGCCGAGAACGATCTGTGATTTCCAGTAGTATGGGCCTTGCTGGCTGTTGTCCTGATGGTGTTTGCTCTTACTGGTTTTACTCGTATGGGTGCTGCTGGTGGGTAATATCGTCGCCAAGCACGTGTCGTTCTCGCAATCTTCCATGTCGATCAATTCGTGGTTGTATCGCACGCGCACGCCTTTACGCTGGCTTAGCGCGTCGGAAAGCACTCGACATACATGGTCACTTTCGCATGACAAACTCCAGTTGAACTCGGTTGCTTCGTTTTCCCACACAGGATGCTTATTGTGGCTACCCGTCACAGCTGCGTTTCCGTGGCCTTTGTTTGTGAATGTTTCGAGACCCCAGTGGCGTACACCGTGCTCGAGTAAAAAATTGACAAGATCAAAGGCTTGCAGTAGTTGAAGGGATCGCGGTGACCAAAGGTACGTGGGATTATTTGAAGGGTCATTCGCATCTTTTTTGTCTTTTTTTGTGAAAGCACACATTATTACTGTTAAATTAGGACATTGTAATCACTTGCTTAAATTGGTTCAGCTTGTGGACTCTCGTCATAGCTCTTACCGATGATGCATACAGAACAGCCCATATGACTGAGCAATAAAGCAGCATAGAGTCCAGTCGGTCCTGTTGTTGTTGTTGTTGCAAAAACAATGTTATTATAGTTCTTATGCTTCAGGTCCGTGCGTTACTTGTTTATTTGTTTGTTTGCTGATGTTTACCTGCGCCAACTATAAGGACGTCAGATCTTTTCTCGTCTTGCGACATGGCTCAAAATAGAGAGGAAAACAAAGAGAGGACGGTGGAGTAGGATGGATGGGAAAAAAGAAGATATGAAAAGAGAGGAGAAAAGAGTGTTTGTCTTTTTGCCTAAAAGACATCAAATGTGAAGCAAATAGATGGCGGAACACCAAATGCCGCTATTTCAACGTAGCACAGCTTTGTTTCCGGCTTCTGCTGACGTACCGATTCTTGTGCGCTGTGGATGCGCCCTTTTCGGATCGACTCCCTCGTGTTTGCAGATGCTCGTCGACTACTATTGCTATTGGTTACTATATTCCCTCATCGTTACATGAAAGCTCGCAGCTGTCGGAAATAACCCCACACGATCCAGGGTATGTGGGTACTTCATTTTATGCTGTCAATGCAGTAAGTGCACCAAATCGGCATCGCACATATCAAGGAACGTCCTATTACTGTAAGGGATAGTTTGGCTCGATATGAGATGTGCTGTATAGTATGTCCATGTAGCCTCTTAAACGAAAAGCTTAACCGAAAAAAACAGCTGTTGAAACACGCATTGTTTCTCTTGTTAATATAACCTTAAAATTCAAGTCATGCTCTCACCGGAAAAAGGAAATGTACCTGAACAACTGCACACGTAGGTTGACGTACTAACGCATAAATAGTAAATTCGCAGTGCTGCCATCACCACGGGTACGAATAACATAACACGTCGTCATCACGGACACGCAAATGCTTTCCTAATATATTCTCGTTTACTGTAGCCATCGCTACAGTAAGAGTCAGGATGACAGAGTATGTTTTGATAAAACCAATGAAAAAATGCAATGCATGTCTATAACGAGTGTAGTCTAAGTTTAATTCATACACTGAACCCCACATTCTGCTTCCTTGTTTATTCCATCGTCGTGCTACTTTACACAACAACTGAAACAGGCATTTATCCCTGTCTCACTAACGCTAATATGACAGTAAACGTTATTTATCGTAGCAAGTAGTATCTGTGCTACAGAATTGAATGGCATTTATTTACCAGTACGTCGGCTATTACAATCCATCGACCATATTAAACTCTAATTGGTTTACCTTTGAAAGAAGCCTTCCTATTCTAGTATTAGCATATGTCCCTCTTCTTTTCCCCCCTTTATTAAATATTTCTCTATGCTTAAACGCATGAGTAACAAGTCTTTTCCCAAAAGGTACCTAACTCACGATGACGATGTTGTAATACATACTTAGACAGTACTCTACAAAACAAAAATTCAATGACTACTATGCCATCCTCGCTCCTGTCACCCAATAACGTCCAAAAGTAAAGGCCATATACGCAGATACTCACTCTACTCCACCAATTTGCTTATGTATCAGACAAGGGTGGTGTATATACTGCCCTTTTGCATTGTTTACCCACCTTTTTAAAAATATAAAGAGAAATATAACAAAGACGAAGTAGAGATAGAGAAGCGGAAGATGATGCAACTTCCACTTTTAAGAAAAAAGATAGTAAGAAGAGAAAAAGATGGGATATGCTGGATTGCCAAAGAATCAGCACAGTGAATGGATGGACGATTTGAATGTTGTGGTTTATTCTATATATAAAAAGATATATTTAGCAGCATCCACCACCTTGCTTGGGCTGAACAGCAGCACCCTGGCCAACGCTGACTGTCGATTTGGGCTGTTGTTGTTGCATTGTGCTGCCAACCTTGTCCTTGATTTGCTTGGCCATCGTCAAGAATGCCTGTTCAACGTTGCTAGAATCCTTTGCCGAAGTCTCCAAAAATGGTATATTCAACGAATCGGCCAATTCCTAGTAACCAAAACCCCCAAACCCAATCAATGCATGGATTAGTTTTGTGTTAAATGCACTGCACACTCAAGTCTCTCTATCTCTCCTTGAAATTCTTACCGCCGCCTGTTCGCTTTCGACCGCCTTCTCCATATCGACCTTGTTGCCAACCAACAGCTTACTCACGCCCTCAGCAGCATATCGCTCAATTTCCTGCATCCACTGCTTGACATTGTTGAAGGTATCCTGATCAGTCACATCGTATACGACAATGATACCGTGTGCTCCGCGATAGTACGACGACGTAATTGTGCGGAAACGCTCCTGACCAGCCGTATCCCACTAAAAAAGAGCCCGAACCAACCCACCCACAATAAGAATATATATTAATGATTTTGCGTTTTCTATGCGTGATGTGTATTTAAATATGCGCGTGTGGCCACCCGTGTGAGCACTAACTACTACTTTTATACTTACGATCTGCAACTTGACGGTCTTGCCCTCAAGTTCAATGGTTCTGATTTTCTATTTAAACAGTTTGAATTTAGTTCTTCACTTTCTGCCATTTTTAAAAACACAAATCGTTTCTACCCTTTTCTCTTCCACTGTCTTCATCTTATCTTCATCTCTTCCATAGTTAATAAAAATGAGCGATATAAATATAGCATTTACATACAAAGTCTACACCAATAGTGGAGATATATGACTCAGTGTAGGTGTCATCGGCAAAACGAAGCAAAAGACAAGATTTGCCTAGTAAAATCGTTACAAGATGAGCATAACGGCGTACATTTGTGTATAACAGTGGTAGAAAAGCACTCTTTTTCGTCTAACGTACCGACGCCAGAATCACCGATCAGAAGGAGCTTAAAGAGATAATCGCTACAATTAATAGCCAAGGTGTCAGCATTCAAGTGCCTTTTTACAGAACGTCTATTGTGTTGTTGATTTTTCAAATAGGAAAAAAGGGCACGATACTATACTATTCAGAATTCATGGTGGAGTAAAGGAAAAAGATGTGTGCAAAGTAAAGGCTGGACTAAATGTCGCATCACATTATCCACACTCCATCAGTTAAAATTCCGACAGTAAGATTTACAACGAGTGTCCCTTTTACCTGCGGTCTTTGACGTTGCGCAAGACACTGGCCACCTGAGAAATGAAGAACGATGTATACTAGCTGATGTTTATTGTGCTTAGCAGTATTTGCCTGATCGAATGTAGCTAACACAAAGGCCAGCAGCGCATGATCACAAAGGATGCATCATGATTTGAAAAGAAATGGACCAGACTACGAGACGATACAACGAAAAAGCGTCATACATCTCGTATCAGTCCCCTTTATTTGCCATCGCATACCAAGAAGTGAAGATATAAAAGAAATAAGGACAGGACTTACTGGAACAGAAAGAGAGCTAGAGTATGATAAATAACTCAAACGTCTCCTCGATGACTTGATCGATTATCATACAGGGACCAAAAAGTAGTGAGCGGTATCAATGCCAGTATCAAACCCATAGTATGTATGTGGTCAACCACGGTTTCCTTGTAGAGGACATTAACAGGCGACAACATTTGTACGGTGCTTGTTTATCAAACAACTGCAGATTTAAGAATGAAGATCGCTGCAGCTACAGTATGGGGTTGGATGGTATCTCGCGATAGACAAAAGTTCGTTGGAAAAAAAAGTCGTTGTTGGTAATATCTTTTTCTCTGCCTTCTGATGATTTAAAACGAAAAAATTAGTATTAACAGTAACGGACGAGTCACCTTTTATTAGCTGCCTTACAGCGAACTTTTAATAAAGCAAGGCTAATCAATGTGCCATACCGTATAATGCACTGAACCCCTGAGCATCTTTCTCATCTGACGCAGTATTGCCCAGTGCAAGAGAGATAAACGCACCGTAGATCCAGTAGGCGTTCAGCTTATTTCCACACGTTGAGCGGTTGCCAGACGGGAACGAGGGACTTCCTTTCCTTTTTTACGCGGGCACCCTCAAGCTAATTTTCGATAGATGAGAATCATTAAACGACCGCAGTTTGCTAAGGAACAGCTCGGTGAGTATACAGTAGCGACCATCAGCTACTGTGTCTTGAAAAAAAACAAAGTGATCGGGATGTAGTATACATTCTGAGAGAGCAGATAACTTTGTGTAAGAAGATAAGTTTTCCGATATCATTGCAGAATACTGCAGGCGGGATTTGACATCCAATTATCCACATAAGATGTATCCTAATAATGCACTCATGAATTCGCAAAAAGGGTCCGTACAGGCTGTCTCTACCACACTGCCAAGTGGATGGAATCGGGCGATCATACTCGAGCGTTGCCGATGAGCTGAAAAATTATTCATGCAAATGAAGGAGAGCCAACAGGCGCTTGGCTTGAATTTACCACAGTTGATATGTGTATGGTAATGGAGGCGCACAGAACCGAGAGGCAACGGTAGATGATGTCATTAGGACTAGCAAAATACGTAAAACGACAGCAGTAGATGCTTTTCTCTTATCATAACCTTAAGCCCCTCCTTTGAGCGTGCACAATAAGATAAACGCCATGACACAGACCTCGAAAGGTTGACAACATAATAAGCAGTTAGGATACAGCTGGTTTTGGAAATGGTTTTTTAAAGAAGAGATTATAAAGAATAGGCAGACCATAATTCACTATTGAACGACAAGATCAGACAAAAACAAAGAAGAGCTCCAAATGTGATATAATAGATTATGGTGTAATTGCTAGTGAATAATATAATACATTTTACTTTTAGGAACATCTTTGGTAAATAAAAAAGCAAAAAAGGGAGGTAGTAGAAAGTAGCGCGATCAATACATAAGCGCTAAAAGAGTGGCGGACTTTTCTAGAGCAGGTGTTTAAAATAAATAGGACAATATATAGGAATATGAATGGTGGAGGAGATGGAGGTACAAAATATTACTAATAGGAATAGAAAATAAGGAAAAGAAGAATGATAATGACGATTTAACTGCCAAACTCTTCCTTAAGACCTTCGATAGCAGATTTGCTACCAAAGATTAAACCAACGATGCCAAGCACAATAGCAAGAGCACCAAAGGCCAACTCATAGATCGGTTTGTTGCGGAAACCGGTTAGCCGGTAGTAAAAAATGATAGGGAAGATGAAAATCAGAGTACAGTTGGAGAAAGCGCCCAGCAAGGACATGATGTTACCAAAAGAGGGTACGAGAACAGCAATGACGGTGACGATGACGATATAGATAACACGTACGAGCACGCGCAAGAGAAACTCGACCCAGCGAGAGTGATGGAACGTGGATATCCGCAGCATCTTTTCGAGATCGAGAGCAAACGAAGTCATCAAGACAGGCATGGCGAGCAATACGTGAGCGGTAATAATAATGATAGCGGCAAGTTTAGCGTCACTTTCGGGCAAGCTGTTGTAAACTGGAGATGCGACATCGACGCCATAGTAGTAGTAGCCGGGAACAGCAGTGATAAAATAAATAGCAACGCAAGTTGAAAGACCAGCAACGATAACACGGTTCCAATGTTGTGGGGTACGCATGCCTGCTTCGACGTGAGGATAAACAGGGTTGCCACCGAAACTGAATGCAATGGAACTAAGTGCGATTGGGAACATGTCCCAAATGACAGGGTCGTGATGTGGGTTCAAGTCACGCTCGCTGTCGTCTTTGACAGCCATGGCAAGTACAATCAAGACGGTAACAACGGTAGTCAAGACGCCAAACAGACTGGTGACACCGACTTCTTTAAGTGATTTGAAAAAGATGTATGGAACACCAACGACGCAGGCGCAGATGATGGTCCAGATTTCAAACGTCAATTCGGCGGATGTGCCTTGGCAGACTTGGTGGATATTTTGGCCAGCCAACATGACGTACAGGATAGGAACACCAATAAGCGTGATAGCCGTAAAGAAGAATGCGATCCATCCACCAATTTTTCCGAATGCTGCTTCGGCTACTTCCTGGTAGGAAGTGAGTCGAGATTGTCCATCGTGATATAGGCATCGAATCAACACAACACCCGAATCTAGTGAGTCATAGTGATGGTAATTATGATAGTGGTAAATACATCGTTGAGTTTCTTTCCTATTTCCTGATTCCGTCGTTTTCGTCTATTCGTCGCTGTAAAACAGAACATTTGGCTTACATGTTGAGAAAAACCAACTGAGAAATAAAATAAGCAGGCCGATCCAGCCGCCCTGTGCCAAAGCATACTATTAAAACATTCAAAGTTTAGTCGTCTTTTTCTCTCGAATTACTCGCACGCTGAGCTTAGGAATCACTGTGATAATTACAGGTAATTGTAAAGCACCAGTGCCAGCTACGACACAAACGACGTTAAAGTAGGCATAGAAAGAGGATCCTTGTGCTTCACGTTCAACACCATGACTAAATTTGCCGCCGAGTTCGTAATCAACTATTGAATAAGATTCTCGTCAATAATTTTCCAGGGGGGTTGTTTCTTTTCGCTATTGTTGTTGCTGTTGCTGTTGTTTCATACCTATTGACTGATTCTCTTTGACAGATTCTGTTGTACTAGGAGCTGGGGTATGGTGGCCCTTTTCGGCCGTGATTTCTTTTATGCTCATAAGAATGAAAGGCCAAGTAGCATCGGCACGGAGAAAAACTTTATGTGTTTAATAAAGAGAAAAATAAAAAATTCAGACGAAGAAACAAAGAAAGAGAGGAAATTCAATAGAAAAGTTCGGATCGAGGGATTGGAGAGAAAACAAGGCGGAGTGTTTATCTCGCTCGCTCTTTCGTACTATTTTGCTTGACTGGACCGATATTTCCTTAAGTCCTGAGCGCCGACTCCGCCTTTCTTTTTCTTGGATAAGTGTCATAAAATTTGGTCTTAGAAAATGAAACAAGAACAATAACAAGTGACAAGAGCGAACAATAGCCGTTTAAGTATGTCGTGGCATCCAAATCATTGTCTAACCCAGAAACTAATAAAATTTCCTTTCGTGATACTTTATACACGACACGATCGTCTTATCGCGAGATAAAGGCTGTCAAGATCACAAGTTCTTCGTAATCTATCGGAAGAAAAAACAGGTCGAATGTTACTTTTTTGTGTGGAGAAGATACCACGCATAACCGAATAATTTCCCGAATGCAAGAAAAAACTTTGATCTTGGACTAATCATATGATTTATCTGGTGTTCAAGATCCTGTCCTGTACTCATAGGTAAATGATATATAAGCGGGCTGTGCTCAAAGAAAAAGACCTCCATTTTACCTATCAATCCGACGAACGAATCGAGAAATAAGCGGAAATCCAAAGTTCATTCCTAGTGGAGTCGATACATTTACTGCACACATTGAGACAATGTGTCAAATATGTGACAGGTACTATCAATTCCTGTAAAGTATTAGTACTGATCTGCTTAGGATCTTCAAAGGAGAAAAACTTCAATCTTACAATACCACAGAATGACGCAATTTGCAATTACATTAAAACATTGAGAAATACGCTCAATTATGTTCTCTGCACGACAGCAGGAACAACAGATGGTTGTCAATCACATTTGCGGCACCACGCTTCCAATTCCTCCGATAGGCCGAGCAATTCTTCCATCAACGTAGCAGCAGCACTACTGTGCAATCGTAAAGAGGTCGATCTATTGGCACATTTCTTTTATAACTGATTGTGCAAGAATGCCAACTATTAAAGATGCATATGAACATCAAGATGATAACTTGAGGAATTGTCTTTGCCGCAACGCTTCAACTCAATGTGAATCCCTACAGTATGCGCACTTCCAGCTAACATTACTCACAGTTAGCAAACTCATATTCTTTTTTCTTATTCGCCCCTTACCCAGCGCATCCACTGCGGATATATGGAGAATTGGAATTTGAGAATGAGAAAAACCATTTGTGGAGGTGAGTAAAGGAAAATTGTAGAGGATCACTACACGCGCTGCAAATTTTATTTCATATACCGGTAAAATAAACTGTAAGGCTGTTTCTCAGACAAGTTCAATGTCACTTTGTTCTCCATCGACATTGACTGCTTTGCAGACGATCACAGTAGCAACTATATTGTTCGTTGCAATTGTCTCTATTGTGCGCAAACTGGAACAAGATTGATGAGTCTCGCAGCAAATCTGAGCATATTTTATCTTCTTGAACGAGCCCTTGAGCTCCCTCCTCGCTTCGCATATGAAGAAGGCATACAACAATAACAAACACGCACAAACAAGTTGAACGCAAAGAGGAAATAAACTTTTAAACGGTACATTATACTACTAATCACTAATAGAGTGTCGATGTTCTAGCTTCCCTGCTCTTAGGCAGGTACTGACAGGAGAAACCACGGGAAGGTGCATCGACATCTGCTCCCGTAACCCTCTACCACAAAGCTAGGGTCCTGTCTTGGTCGCTTTGTGGATTATCGAAGGTCGATTGGTATTGAGCTGCCCAGTGCTAACTCACCAATCCACTTACATGCAACCACCTACCTTAGAAGTCGCCCCACCTACACTTATCTATCCTCATTCGCACTCACACCGGCACACACACAGAAAAAAAAGGAAGGGACTTACCATACGTGATTGTGAAAAAGTGAAAAGAGAAGAGAAAAAGCGAGGAAGCAACACGTTGCGGAAAATGGGTGCCTTTTATGCACACGTTCAGATCCCGCTTCCTTTTTTTTATAAAAAAGAAAATGCACCCAACCCCAGTCCACAGGTCCGTGCTAACAACGCGGGAAAGAATGACAGATCCTCTGTATCGTAGACGACAGTAACACGATCATAACGCACTTTATCACACTTTGGTACGCGCTTTTCACCTTTTCTCTTTTTTTACTTTCTGTGTTCGCGTAGTTCCGTTCGCGAAATAATCGAAAGGAAAAAAATGTTCGGAGGGTATGCACACCAGCTGCAACGGGTGTGATGGTGTGTTTCGCCCCTTCCAACCCCCTCGTTAACATAAATTTCACACTCATGTGCTCAGTAGCAAGGCTAAGATTATGTATGCTTGACTTTCGTACGAGCAAACATCCTATATACTTGTATAAGGGAGCGTTTTTTTATTTTTGTTACACAATCCACCACATCACACCACAGTCGACCGAGACTTTCTTTAATGTCTCACTCGTCCCATGAAGGTTAACGCAGTACAAACATCTTATTCGATATAAACGACATTGACCCGAACCCTGTACAGAGATCCTCTGCTCCCTGGCTTGGCCTTTGCGCTAACCCAATCTAATACACGCCCAGTCATCCTGCTGATGAAAGGTATAACACTATCCGCTATCCCTGTTACACCCGCCCCTCTTTGCATATACTATTGGAACTTTATCGCCTCTTACACACAAACACACATATCAACTCTCCACACATCCATAAAGAAACCCCCACAACATCTATCAGTCAATCAAAGAAACAAAAAAAGACAAAGCTACTGTAGCATTAATATTTAGCTTAATTCATTATCTCTTTTCTTTTCTTAACATACAACACCAATCAGCAAGAGCAATTTACATAAAGTCAAACTCTGTTATTTCGTATCCGTTCCCTTCTTCTAAAGCTCATATCATATACGAAATTAGTAGGATGACGGCGTATGATATGTATACTTTCATGCTGTTTGACGTGAGTGGAGGGGGAATGCTCACTTACACTGGGGATGACATAGACACTATTGGTTACTGCTTACCTTATTTCTGGTAACACGGAAGGGATGGAGGCTAGCAACACCAATTCAAAGTGATGACATGCTGCAAATGGAAGCAAACAATAAATAAATATGGGTACTGTAAACTTTACGTTAGTTCACCTTCCTTCTTTGGATTTTAATATGTACTTAGCCGTACGTACTTCGCCACTCAAATACGTAAATCGGTTCTGACGCTGTGTATCTGTACTACATGATTTTGCGTACTTCCTATCTACGGCTTTACGTAACTTCATATCTTTTCTGTGCCTCGTTTGAGTACTTAGATCATACAAAAAGTAAATGGCATAGATATTGGGAGTACGTGTTTGCTTGTATCTGGTATGTGATGAACATTGTGCTTTTCGGGGAACACCTCCATTAATGATACATAAGACAACACATCGCCAGCGCAAGCGATATTATCGCTATGTCAGGCGCGCGCACTTGAAAATGGCTGCAGGGAGCCGCGACGAACGGCCAACGGTCGTCGTAACGGCTAATCTGAAATGCCAAGATTACCTGCTTTTGGTCCCATCCCGCACCTGATGTGCATCATCTATAGGCTTTATTAGTAAAGTTAGACGTAGATGCTATGACACGAGTACTGTTGTGCTACTGTACCATGAATAGTACATATCAAGGTACTATCTTTACTTAATCAAAGCATGCTACTGTGATGATGACCGATAAGAGAGTACTATGACAAGCCAAGTTCACGCTAGTTGCAATCTAAGGATGATTTACTAGCTCCCAAGTCGATACTTTCATTGCGAGCACTTAGGTAATACATGGCTTATGAAGCGACATCCACATTGCTCAAATACTCTAAAACAACTCCAACAGTTTAGATCATTCTTTTGCTGTAGGAAAAAAGACGCAAGACTAGGACGGCTCAAGGACTCCGCCGCTCAACCAAGAGGTATATTAAATGTTCATATCTTACTACTCCTTACACTGTCTATATACCATACCAGCAAGAAACGATTTTTAGATGGTCGTATCTGGAACTTAGAGCAATACCATAACATTGAATTACAAGGTCAGCCAGTTGCAAGTATTAAATGACTACGATTCGAACCTCATGGGCCGTTCGCAATGAAGTGTAGCACGCTTAATCTTATATGTATCTCTTACAGGCTGTTGACAGGGAACGAAACGCTGCTCTCATAAATTCGAAATATTTGATTTATTACATATGTTGTCACTTACGGCTGTCCTCTGCACCGTCCTCTAGGACTCCAAAGGCCTGCTGACATTGAGTAGCAAAGAAATTAATTAATGGATCGCTTAGAGAACGCTCAACAACTAGCTGGTGACTGGTGATGAGCAATAAGGTATCGATGAAGGTAGGATGGCTATAAAGCCATCGATAGCCGAAATGTCACGGAGTATTGACGCTCCTACACCGCTTCCCGTAAGGATGCAGCGTACGTAAGTAGATGGATAAAAGTACTATCACTTTTATCCCTTGAGAAAGAAAATTGCTGCAAACTGACCTATATACTTCTTTACTCTATATTGTAATTCTAGCGTGCTGTTTATCGTTACTAATGCATCTATTTCTCTTATATGTATGACATAACCAAACATGCTAATAAAGCCCAAATGCCCAAATAACCCGAGGGCGGCGTTTAAAAACCTGATTTTCCTAACTTGCTACTGTTTTGTCCCACCACCAACCACCCTTCCACCCTTTCCTGCGCTGGTGCGCGCACACAGATACAACAGCAGCCGAAAGAATGATTATTGACGGCAAAAAGCTTGCATGTGGTAATTTAGAGAACGGCATTGACTTTTTAATTTGAGAGAATTACAAAGATATAGTTTTACTGATAAACAGTACCCAAATTTTACATACATTTTCCCATTAGCAACATGTATCAAAGTAAAGTGGTCAACATTAGAAACGCTGAACAAATAAACAAAAAAGCATAATTTTGGAAAATTTAATGAATTAAACAATAACAATTTTTCTTTTTTTTTTCCTAGGGCCACCGTGCATCGCATTGCAAACACAAAGACCGTCCATTGGTAGAAATTAAGAAAAAGGGTCGCCCAGCTACACAGTGTGAGCGTTGCCGAGAGCTGCGCACAGTGAGGCAATTACATGTAAAGTGCGACTGCGACGACAATTTAGGTAAGCGTGATTTTGTTAAGGGAAGAAAAATCGCCCACGTTTTTTCTAAAATGGTGATCTCTTGAATATTACAGAAACAGCGCGAAAAAGAAAACGAACAGTGCCTTCAGGTGAGTATTAAGTTAGGATATTGCAAAAGCGTGCATGTATCTATGCATTTTGACAATTCACACGTTCCATCCAACTAGATAAAATGATGAAAGAGGCTGCAAAGTCAAACTTGCGCTTGATTGCACCGAAACTTGAACAATCGTTACCACAGGAAGAACAACAGCAGCAGCAGCAGCAGCAGCAACCGCAATCTCCACAGCAACCACCACGGCTATCACCATCGCCACCGCCACAACTTTTGGAGCAGCAGCAAAAGATAGTATTTACAAGTGATAGTCCCCCAGCAATGTCCTGTGGATCTTCCAATACCAGCAGTTGTTGTTCTACAAAGTCGAACAATCCAGCTACTACCAGCAGCAATTGTTGTTCGACTAAAACGGTTAACACCAACACAACTTCGACTACAACTAGTACTACTGCTAGCCAGCATAAAGACGGCAACGATAACACTACCACTAGCAGCAACATATGTCCTCCTTCAGGGTGTGGATGTGGTATAAAAGAAATATTACCAAGCGAAATGAGCAGTCATCTTGAATCGTCTTCCCCGTCATCCTCCTCCTGCGGAACAAAAGCATCGTCGTCGTCATCATCATCATCATCGCCACCAACAGAAGCCAGCAGCGGCAGAGTGCGGATAGTCACATGTCGATGCGGTGATTCATGCGCTTGTCCTGGCTGTGATGCACACCCTTCACGCGTCATGAAGGGACAAAATGATCCTTACACTGGGTTCGCGACAGACGACGTCCGACGACGCTTATCCATTGCCGCCATATGTCTCCCTTCGGATGCGCCGCCATCAAAACGTTCTTCTGAACAACCAACTTCGATCTTGAGAGAAGACGGCATTGAATTATGCGGATGTGGATGTTCTCAGACATTTGACGCTTGCTCAGACTGTTTTCGAGAACTGTGTCATTGAAGAATCCTCCTCTCCCACCAATCCATATTGACTTTTGCGAACTAGCTATTATACAGGCTCCCACAATAACTACTACTGATTATTACTACTACGATTACTACTACTACTGCCGCTGCTGCTATTACTACTTCATCGTCATCATTGTCATATATATGTACATATATCATCTTAAATATCATTCACTCATCTCTCTTACTTGTAACATTTCCTTTTTGTTTATATATCATCCTAATTTATTATAAAGTGTACACAACAAAGTTTTCACGGACTAAATAGATATGTACTAAGGCGTGGGGGTGCAGTTTGAAAAAAGAAGGTGTCAATGTAGAAAGAGAGGGACAGAGAGAGAGAGAGAGAGGGGTAGGAACGCAATTTGTCTCCCTTTGATGATGTTGGAAGAGTGGGGTTTTTTACCCCTGGAAAGATAGGCTTTTTTTGTAGGGCAGCTTTTTAGTCCTTGTTGTTTCATGCAAAAAGAAGAAGAGATTGATAGGCTAGTATTATGAGTATATGTTATATAAGGTCGTGGTAAGATGGCGAATAAAGGGTTACGGGTAAATCAGTCCTGGGAACGTCGGCGGGATGAGTTGCTAAGGGCGCTCCCTGGCCTCGAGGGTGGGTGGTGATGGTGGTGGTGGTTCTCCAACATGATTAAAGACGGCGATGATGCATTAAATGACTGTGAAGCCATCAGATTGCTAGTGCTACCACCGCTACCAGTATTGGCGGTGTTCAAATAGGGGTATACAGGTTGCTGCTGTTGTGGGTACATGTAGCCTACGGGTGCTGCTGCTGCTGCTGCTGCTGGTACTGCATGAGCGGGGTAATATCCATACTGTTGTTGTTGTTGACGATGCTGTTGTTTATTGATATTTTCCAAGGATGAAGCGGAACGTTGATGACGAGGTCGTTGTTGATGGGCAGCATGGTGATGATGGTTATGATGATGATGATTATGGTGAGGATGATGCTGCTGCTGCTGCTGTTGCATGGCCATTTGTTGGAAACTAATATTATGCGATCCCGGTTCTGGCAAGTTGGCCAACAGTCCCTTTTCAATTTTAACTTTGGAGGGATTCAACTTTGGCTTTTGGCGTTTAGCTTCGGCTTTTTCCTGCTCGAGTTGCTTTAGGAGATCCATGCCAGACATGCTGACCCGTTGTTGTTGCTGTTGAGCTTGTTGTGGGGTTCGTAAGAAGGACGGGTGCTGATGTTGAAACTGAGCTAGCTGAGTGTGGTGATGGTGTTGCATTTGCTGCAGATGGTGGAGGTGCGATCCCTCTGCAAAGTGCTGTTGCTGTTGATCTTCTGAGCTGTGACGATGATACTCAGAGTCGCTGTTATAGTAGTGGCTGTTGCTGTTGTTGCTGCTGCTGTTGCCGCCATCGGAATGGCGTTTTGTCATCTCAGCGTGGGGACGTTGTTGTTGAGGGGTAGGTGATCGTCCGTGGAGATTGCTCGTGGAGCCAATGCCGCTCAATCGTCGGTATATCGGGCTGGGTCGCGACTCGGCGTCACTGTCACCATCATCATCTTAATTGATAGATGAAATAGACATGGCGTTAATGATATGAAGGATATGACGGAATCAATTTGGGAAGCTGAGTTGCTTAGTTACCTTCGTCTTCGTCATCCTCATCATCGCTAGGCAAAGGCTGTCTGATCTTGCGCTGAACTGTTGTAGAGGTAGCGCTAGTTTTGTTCTTTCCAAGAGGACGATCTTCATCATCCGAGCTATCCTGATCTTCGCCATCCTCATCCTCGTCATCCTCCTCGTCGTCACTAGGGACGCATTGGCGATTACGGTCCCTGCTGCGCGGCGTTTTCTTTTCTGCACGATTGACTTAGTATGCATATGCAACAAGGAAAGAAACACACACACACACACACACACACACACACTAAACTTTTCTTCTTACCTTGTGTAATGGTAATGGAGGGAGTGGAGCTGTTTTTCGTGGTGCGAGGCTTTGGACGAGTTGTCAGCAAGGGGGTATTCTTACCAGCCAATAAGTCTGGCGTGGTGTCAAATGAAAGACGACTTAGATCAAGGGCGATATTGTCGACGGACATTGTTACAGAAGGGGTTTTTTTTTTCAAGAAACAGCAAGCGTGTTGCAAGATAAAGAGAAAAAGGGAAAAGAGAGGAAAACAAAACGGTAATCAGAATTTTTATAAAAAGAACATTTTTTTTATTTTGACGTGGCGAAGGAGTACTCCAAAAATCCCTTTCTCCCCTGACCAGTATCTCTACAACTTGCGCGTGCGGTGCTTAAGTATATTACAAAAATAGGTATTCTTTCTCTCTCCCGGTCTCTCGAGACGCTCAATCAAATCCAGAAAGAAAAAAGAAAACAAGAGCTACAATACTTTATCACAATTGATTGGTGACGGCCCACCTCTAATTAAAGAAGAATGAAAGCAGGGTGCGTGGTTGGGGTCTGGGCCTATCATAGCTTGCTTTCTTTCTTCTGCGGGCTTTTCTTTTTAGGTTGACGTATCGAAAAATTTGTTGTTGCTGAAAAAATGCATGTGCTGATTTTCCCCAAACAAACAATTTAATGTGCTATTTATGGGTGCTTCGCTGGTAGAGCGGGAAGACACGGATGCATCAGCATCAGCAGCATCGCCATCAACAATAATTAATCAACAATAACAATAACAACGACCTATTCTCGGTAACTATCTATTAAGCCGCAAACCCAAAAAGAAAGTTTAGGTCGAGGCTCGTTTGTTTTTATGTGGCGCCCTGTGCGATGCTAACAGACATGATGGTGGTGACACCGCTAATTGGCTACATAGATCGACGAACGTGTGCGCTGTAGATTTAGTATAAGCCGCACGCTGTGTGTGCGTGCGGAGAGAAACAAGTGCTGCCACTGTTGGTACTGGCCGTCCCGTTACACAGATCATTGGTAATTTCGCCCTTTCCCTTTTTCTTTTTTCACTGGTTGACCAGGCCAACCGACTACCTGTGGCTACCCTTTTGGAGGCAAACAATCATGTAAAGTGTATCATTGTAGTGAAACCCATTCGTTTTGCAGAATCGAGTGAGCGCACACCCTGCACCTGCCTGCATAAACAGTTATGTCTGTTGGCTGAAACCGACTGCTGTTTGCAAACCAGCAAGTAGTTAAGAATAGCCTTCATTGTCAAATTCACCGCTATAAGTTCCGCGCAATATAATCTCTAACAATGAGACCCTTATTGGTCCCCATGGTGCTTAACTTATTTAGGAAGGTTTCTTTTTCTTATGAGAATTGCACAGCACGGCCGTTTTATCGCTCAACAGTAGTCATTGCTTTAAATGTAGGACGAATGCAAGAAAGCAATCCGTCCTCTTTTGTTGCGATTCATATATATTACATATATCAAACTAGCAGTGGCATTGATATGTGCAGACTTTGAAAAAAAAAATTGATTCGGAACACGAATGCTACATATTGCTATCTATCGTAATTACTTGACAACAGAGTCAGTGTAGCAATTATGCGGCGTGCGCAGAAGATGGTCATGAACTCGCAGAATTGGCGACGCTTGCTTTTGCAACTGCTGATAAATGCCCCAATCTTGCTTATCACTCCTTGCCTTTTTTAAGGGTGGACTGATACACATATTATGCATAAATCAATGCTGCCACTAATGAAGTCTCCCCTCTCATCTCCTTTTCTCTCTATCATATCTTTCTTGCTTGAAGCTTTTGGAACAAAGATATATCAGTAAGGTCGCGTGATGCGGATGATTGGATGACACTTGATTAGGTGAGTTAAAAAGAATATAAAGAATCCCAAGTGCTGGGTTCTTAATAATCAGGCCTGAATTACGCGTTTCATATGTATTACGCGCAGCAGTGTCAATCAGATAACCCGATTGGTACTATGAGTTTCCTCATTATTGCTATCATTATCATCATCGATCGTCATCATGTGTACCTTTTGTTTCTTCTCAATCCTCAAAAGAAAAGAAAACTAATTAATCGTCACTATAGTGATTTCTGTGTTCTGATTTATAGCACAATGAATGAGCAGATTGTATGTACTGTGTACTGCTCAGTATGTATGCATGTATGCTAATGTACGTTCCTTCATGCAAACGCCCGAGAAAACGAATAGAGAGGAATGTGGTGACACATGGTTACAAGACAAGCTAATCCTATTAGCGGGGGAACAGAGAGCACCCTTCTCGCTTTTTGCTGCTGGAGTAACGATACTACTACACATTAATACATAGCTAGAGCATGCTCAGGCGTGATATCGAAGGAATTGTTTTTAAACACTAAAAATAGACATATGAGTAGCAAACTTTGATGAGAACTCAACAATTTGGCAAGAGCACATTATATCATGATTAAATACATACATACTTTGTCGTTCGTGCTGTTTTTTTTTAATGGTAAAATACTTTCATCGAACGGTGATAGATCGCGCATATACGGTGCTGCTTATAAAAGCCCATATAGCTCTAAAGCTGAGCTACTGCGCTGCAACGCCAATTATCTGATGTAGCTTAATGAATATACTCTTAATTGGGCTAATTATTGGAAAAGCCATTAATGTCTATTGCACTAGCATGAGATTTGCGTAAAAGAATTTAAAATGGATATACATGTAACTTATGACGATCGTGGAAATGGATTAGTCTGCATTGAGTAATATATGAACATTGGGCGTTTAATATTTGCATCTAGGAAAAGGGAGCTACTTCTTACCCATTGCATACATGCATGCAAGCGTAGTATTAGGAAAGATACATATATGAATATGCCCTGCTGATGGCGCCCATATCATATACAGCTGATGAGCTGATATCATCTTCAGACAACCTGTTGTGAAACATAATTTCTGTGCGCCAATGTATGTTTGGCAGCACCTTGACCTTGTAGGTGAAGTAAATGGGACCTCTTTGCAGTAAAAGAGCCATGCAATGAAAAAATCTTTCTGTAAAAATCATTTAAGTTAGCCCAGTATCGTCTCAGTAAGAATAATATATCGCGGTTCAGCTCCTGCATTTTTCCTTTTTCGAGGTGACAACAACACACGCTAACATCAGCAGAAAGCAAAAAATAAGATGATCTTCGCCTTCTTAGAAATCATAAAGAGGGATAAATGTTGGCAAACTGCTTTTTCCATTATTATCTATTGATTATGAAGGTTGTATCCTTTCCTCTTTTAAAACGTCATGATTGGTTTCATTGTAGTTGTAATTGCTATTCTTATTCCCGGTTAGCTTTAGAAAACAGATGAAGTGTAAGTTACTTTGTCGCCTTCTACTTAAATCGAAACCTTATGTACCTCCTCCCTTGGAACCTTAAAGTATACATACTACCCCTGAAATTATGTGGAGTATCGAGGAGAGCACTAGAAAATGATCAACGGTAATGCAATACCGGTTGTGTAACTTTAAACGGGTTTTTATACTGCACAACATCCTCATTCTTCTGACTTAACTCGGCTGCTAGACTACGATTGACCGGTTGGTAAGCATAACAGGATACTACTATTTTCAGTACAGAGTTGGTATTGATGGATAGAGATTTTCAGGCGTGCATAGTATGAAATGCTACTCTCTACTACTATGTCGGTTTTATGGATACTTACCGTATCATACTACACTCTAATTACGGGTAGCTATTTGACATATGCATCGCAACAATCATTCATCTTTCTGATAGCAAACCGATCCCGCTCCTGCGTATGTCGTCCACCCATCAATTAGCAAGATACCTTGTATAAAAGAAATCAATTAGCTTTTCCCTTACAATATATTACCTCAATCATATATTTAGAGCTTTACATACAGCAGTATTCATATTAGCAATAATAATCAAAGGAGATGGTCACGATAGTGACCGTGCTAAATTGCTGCAAAAAAAGGGAGTATACAATGTGGCCTTGCTTATATGTTAATTAAGCAGTCAATATGAGTCTATCAATGAACTAGATAGATCGCGTTATAATGAAACTATCCAGAGCTACTGCTTGAGTGAAATTCTCAAGAATATAATATATTAAAGTATCGGATAACGGAGACGACGTTGTAAGTGCCTTATTATTGTAATTTACATCTTATCTCACTCTTTTGCTTATCTTGTCATCATACGTTTGATATTGATGCCGATTACTTGTAACCAAATTGGAAAGATCGCATAAATTCAAGGAGTGAAAATTACACTAGCTAATGGGATTTTATATTGACGAAATCAGCAGAGGCAGTGGGCCGAGCCTTGTCAATTTACGGATTTCCAAACGTGAAATGTTGTTATTTAGTACATACTTCGATTAATCCGTCGACATATACTACTCTCTAATTCGTATACATATTCAAGAGTATACAATTACGCGTAGAACTGGTGTGCATTTTTTTAAATGATGTACTCTTTTCAAGCAAATTTCAGGTTTCATGGACATTTGCCCAGCAAACACTTATACTACATAAATATGTACGTCAAGAAGAAGTATGTTTCAAGCTGACAGCTGCATTCGGTACAAAATATAAAATATGAGAAACAAAGGAAATTTATGTAGAGGAAAAATAAGAAAAGGAAGAAATCGATGATGGTTTAAAATGTTAGAAAGAGAAATACAAAGAGAGAAACCTTTCTATGTAGCGCGCTGTGTATATGTAAAGTATTAAGTATGTACAGGCGCTCCTGTATAAGTGTTAAGGTCTTAAGCAAAGCATGTTAGAGTAAAAAACATTTAGTGTATTTTGTTTTACTGGGCCTATAGCTTAACCTATTAAGTTTGCGTTAAGTCTGTGATCTGTTCCGCTGGGTCTTGTTCTGGCGACTTTTTTATCGCCAAGTAGCGCCACGCGTATTTTCGCAAATCTTTTGGCCTCTCCCATAGTTCTATGATCCTCTTGCACATAATGTCTAACACATGGCCATTCAACGGTCGTTGACCTTTTCATTAGTACAGTAGACCAATGGATATTTTGAACTATCATACCTCTATATATAGTGTCGCTATTATATTATTCATCGTCCCGATCACTGGTAGTTCTAACAGCCGCACCGTAGGTTGGATATCGTCGTAACGGTCCACGCCGTTACGATATCTATGCTCAGAACTATATAGATACTCACCAATATCCTACCTAGTATGTTGAATGTACGAAAGACTAAAGGTTATAAAGCTTTCTTCGCCTGGTTCCTTTCATCCAAGTAGCTTTTAGGTGGCTGATGTTGTATCAGCACCCGTGGCTAAATGCTCCCCGACCTTTGCAAATCGCGATCCTGATAAATCGGTAAAGAGATTGTCAATCGTCACGTTTATAAGCACGACATTTTTTATTCATATTTTTCGTGTCTAAGAAGTGGAAAAAATCTTAAGGATGAACATAAGAGAGTCATTCCAGAATGTATTGATAAAAATCCATCATCCGTTTTGGTACAGATGATGGACCGTTTGCGTCAAAATCGTATATCAGCAAAAACATATATATAGTCTCAAGATATTTTGTTGATAAAGATCATCATAATTTCCAGTATCAAGTTGTCTTCGATCCTTCGTCTTTTCAGACCTCTCTATAAAATGAACTCCCGATACCTATTACATAACTGTAACACATTTTCATATTTCACCCAATTGTTGCAGGTGTGACTTCTACTCGGATTGAGATAAACTAGAACGCGACGACCGACAAAATTATTATAAAGCATTGAGATAACAAGAGACAGTTATTGACATGTATGAGTTATAGGATAAGGTATGTTCCTTTATTCCATTAGTTGTAGATTGCTTTACTGTATATAGACCTAATGGGGTCTGGGAGACCGAGATGTGACGTACTGCTTGTAAAAGAATTTCATCTTGGGCATGGATTGGCTCACTCGCAAAGACATCAGCTTAGATCCATGCACTGGCACCATCAGCAAACCAGCAGAGCAAAATACGACCACCCATCAGCAGATCATCGATGACATTATTCTGCGCAAGTATCCCGATCTGACCAAGGACGGACCACAACAAGCTGTAACGAACGCATATTATCAACATTAAATCGACACAGATGATGCCCCACCTGTGGTAGCACCCGAGTACCGCCGATCACCACTAGAAAGTCAGATCATTGCCGAAGAAGTCAAGAAAATGCTCGATCGTAACGTAGTCCGCCCAAGCACAAGCCTATGGCGATCTCCTGTCATCAAGAAACCAGATAATTCGTGGCGCTTTGCTGCTGACCTCTAAGCTGTCAACCATATCACTTGCCAAAATAAACTTCCACTCCCAATAATCAACCAGCTCTTGGACAAATTACAGGAAACAACATAAATCAACCTACAAAGCAGTTACTGGCTCCTATTTATACGGAAGAAGATAGATGCAAACTGCCTTCGTTGCCAACAGTTCACTCGACGAGTTCAACTCTATGTGCTTTGGATTATACAATGCGCCATCTTATACTTCTCAATTTTTTATTTAGCACGCGCTGTCCAAGGCCTTGAAGGTTCCATGGTATACTCAGACGATGTACTCAATTTTGCTGCTATGGTAAAACAACATAAAACAGAGAGTGACGCCGTCTTGTCACTTCTCAGCAAATATATCCTCTAAATTTCATTTAAGAAATGTCAATTTTTCAAGTCAAAAGTCAAATACTTTGGTTTCTATATCAGCGCACATTGTAACTATCTGAACCCAGGGAAGACTATAACCATTGTATCCTGGAAAACTCCAATCGGTCAAAGCCTTACAACGATTCTTATAGTTCTGCGGCTTTCATCAAAAGTTCATCAGCCACCTGTCAACAATTGCCGCTCCTATATACTGTTTACTCCTCTCAGACACCAAGTTTGCCTGGGATCAAGAATGTCAGTGCGCATTCGACAATCTCTAAAAACAGACTATCACCACTGTACCGACCCTGGCCTACCCCAACCCACGATTACCATACGAGCTGCATGTTGATAGCAGTATCTGGGATCAGGAGCTGTTCTTGTCCAAAATGGCCGCCCTGCCGCATTCGCAAGTCGCACACTCACGCCATCCGAATCGTCATTCTCAGCAACACAAATTGAGTGTCTTGTTATGGTTTGGAATTTACAATACTTCCATTGTTACGTATATGGTGCGACCCTCACGATCTATACCGATTATGCCGCTCTCAAGTCCATTCTCGCCACCATATTGCCAGAGGTCGTCTCGCCCGTTGGATTCTTCTACTACAAGCATACGAATTCACGACTCATCGTTGCAAACGTATCAACAATGCCGCGCCAGATGCGCTTAGCCGTTTGACCAAGAACAAATTGGCCTTACTGTGGAGAATTTCGCCGCTAACAAAGAATCGATCTCTTCATCAAATCGATCTTGCAACAAAATGTCCAGAAGCCATACATGTGGGCCAATCACATCCTTTTTCGACAACACCAAGATCAACCACCCAAACTCGTCTTGCCCACGTGTGATGATCTCGATGGTACTCACAGCTGCATACAATGATAACCTCACCGGCCACTTCGGAGTAGACGAAACACCGGACAAGGCGAACCATTTAGCTTGGTGGACGACCATGAACGAGAATGTCAGCGCATCATGCCAAATTTATAAGGTCAGCACTATTTCCACTACCGCCCCCATGGAACCAATATTGCCTCGTTTTGCTGGAGAAATCTGGGCTGCAGATATCACTACCCTTCCGGAAAGCACAAGGCGAAACAAGTTCCTGCTAGTCTTCAATCGAGTATCTTTCCAAATGGGCTGTCATTGCACCACTTCCAAGCTTCGACGTCGCATTAAGACATGGAATCCCAAACAGACTAATCACTGACAATGGTCTCGGACGCCATGAAAGCAGGATTCTACGACTGGGAGTATCTCGCTCGTTAACGTCAATCGAATACCCGCAGTCTGATGGATTGGTAAAAAAGTTCAACTATACGATCAAGACGTCTTTGGCCGCGTATATCGCAACTAACCCTGCTGCATGGGACGAGGTCCTGCCCTTTGTCACGTATGCATACAACACAGCCAAACAGGTGTCTACTGGTTACTCACCGCTCGAGCTCATGTATCGTCGTCGCCCTGTAGTACCATTGCCAAACGAGCTGTGCCCAGCCGCGAAAACTTTTTAAGAAGAACCATGGATGTACTATATCTCAGTACCCACATACCAATATTACATGGACAGGCTATAGAAAGCATACAAAAGGTCCAAGCTCGTCAAAAACGTTTTGATGACAAAACGAAGAACACCAAAATGACTATAACCGGGAGACTAGTCATGCGACGCAACATGGAAAAACAAACATTCCCAAGGAACGCTGAATTGGTCCGTACATTGCCCTCTACAAAAACAACAAAGAAAGAACATCTTTCAAATCAAGAAGCAAGATGAAAACCAGTTGTTTACAACCACCGCCACCACGCCATTTTTCCTCCCTCTTTCCTTCTCTTTTGCTCTTTCATCGAAAACTGTGTTCATTTTCACGTATTTGCAACATTACAACTGTCCACCACAACAAATCAACTAGACTGTCGTGAATTTGTTTCTAGCTTCTATCCAAAACCTTAACAAAGTCATTGACTTGAAGGACTGCCAGCGTATTCTCTGATCTAATAAGCAATAAATGTATGTAGCACTTCTATTGAAAATAAGATTGTTTTTATGCAAAAGGGTATTATACTAGTTGTTTAATATTACCATCGGTCGATACAACATGTTATGAAAAATGTCTTTCCTTGATGACGTTTGGTTATATATTCTTGAAAAGTCTTATTTTTATATTGAGTTTTTTTGTTCAAATTATTTGATGTGAAAAAAGGTACAGGCGAGGGGATAATAGAAGCTTCGATATACTTGGTTTATTAAAGACGAACGTATTACCCGGCTCGGTTCTTTGGCTTTGAGCAAGCCTTGTTGTAATGCTCTTGGGTAATGAGATGAGCCTCGATTGCCTATTGATTACAATGACGGGTTTGTATTATTATTTTCCTAGCCCAAGTCTGGTAGATAACAAAAATAGTACGTACTGGACGGTAGCCGACATGAGGCTGGGTAGCATTGCCGTTAGCCTTTTTGTAGATACCAACGACGACGGCACCACCGAGACCGACGTTATGCTGGAGAGCATATTTGCAGTTGGGGACTTGACGGTCGCCAGCCCGTTCACGGAAGCTGTCATGTGCGCTTTATAAAGTTTTGGATGGTAGTGACAATGAGCATTTACTTTACAAATAAGTCAATTATTTTACTTTTTAATTACCTGTGCACTGAGCCAAGCCAGTGGCACCAAGAGGATGGCCGTTGGAGATCAAACCGCCCAAGGGTTGATAACATATTTACCGCCATATATGTTATTACCCGAGTCGTGTGAGCCTTGTCTGGGACAGTCAAGCCGAGAGCATCGTATGTCAACAACTCATTGGCGGAGGAACAATCGTGCAATTCGACTACTTGGACATCGTTAGGTGTGATTCTAGCAGTAGCGAGTGTTTCTTTGGCAGCAGAGACAGTCATGTCGAAACCAGCCCATTGGATAGCATCAATGGTCAAAAGACGAGGCGTGTCCGTGGCCATTGACTGGGCACAGATCTCAACAGCCTGATCCATCAAGTTGTTTAAACGAGGATGGTACTCGAAGAGACGTAGCAGACTAACTGAAGTATCCTCTCTTGTTTAGGTAACCGGTTATAGATCCCATACTAGCAATAAAACTGAAAGGTGTTGTCCACCATAGTGCTAAGGCGAAGTTGTTGCGAGCAAAAAAAAATAGAAAGGAGTGTAGGGGCTGGGATAGGTGATCTCTATAACCCAATCAATGCTGGTTTATCGTTGGCTCTTAAAAAATTGCACAATTTATTGACCTTCCCCAGCTACTGCATAACGAACTTCACAAGTCAATAGATAACATAAAGTGCAGTAGTACGTATCACATTCAGACAACGTGGAGCGGCCAGATGTAGCTACGATTATATCTGGACCACTTTTATGCAACGTAAAGTGGAACAGTTTTCAATATAGAGACATATTTAATACATATAGTAAAGCTGAATACTACTACTACAACTTTTTAAAGCACTACCTCCGAAAAATTGCAAAAAGGAACGACAGAAATTGAGTGTGGCGCTTATAAAATCTGTATCACAAGGTTGCCGCCTTTAGGTATTTCTAAAGAGAAGCAGCACATTTAGCGATATGTACGATGTGCTTAAATGCTGTACTGCACAGAAATTATAACCTTGTGCATATGTAGGACAAATTCAGTGTGATGTGGCGACGCAGGTGAGCAAGCCACTTGAGAAGGCTTTTCTTTTTCTCAGGACTATGAAAGATCACAAAAAAGCCGGACTCATACTTGCCTGATCCTAGTACATGGTAGGGAAAGCTTTGAGCTCTTGCAGTGTGTATACACCTGGGGAGTTTATTAGATTATGTTTGGCATAAAACGTTGCATATCTCTCTAATCTACTTTTTGCTAGCGAAAACGCATTATTATGAATCATTTCGTTCAACAACGAGACGTGGCTGTGCAAAAGAAAAATGATGATATTATTAACTCATCGATGAAAGCGTAATAGGATTCGATCATCATCCATATATCGACTAGCGTATACTAAACACCGGCGCATTTTCCTTGATGATCTGCTCTCACATAATAGAAGTCAGATTTCTTCGGTTTTAAGTGACGACCCTTTGTTTCAAACTAATGACATATTAGCCTCCGCAGTAGATCTTTTTTTTTTATTTATCAATCAATACTACTGCGCAACCACTGCTGCCCAGTATTATAAAGGATGCTGCTCGATCAGCAGAATTCGCCACAGAGGAAGTGCCACATTTTGGACTGTTTTGGCACGGCATTCCCAGCAACAGCACCGTTACATTGCTAAAGCGAGAATATGTATGGCGTAACAAGGAATGCCTTGTCAGTTACCAGGTAAAATACCGTCTCCGCCTCACCCCCAGAAAAGGGTTGAGACGCCCAAAAAAGAAATACACTCATTACGCATCAATGTTTTTCTTATGTAACTACAGATACCTGCATATTGAACAAAGAACATTGCTAGCTCTGTCCTCTCTCTATAATGATAGTGCGCGCCATCTTTAATTTGAACCGGAGCTTGCTGGATCTACATGTGCCTGTGTCAAAAGGCTGTTGTTTCTTCTCTTCTTGGCAGGAGATTTCCCTAGCATATTTTTTTGCACAGCCCGTTGATGACAAACACTGGAGAAGTTTCTCAGAATTCTGAAGAGATCTACGACATGCTCAAATATAACCGAATAAGTTGAATAAATACAGTTTATTTTGGGGTGTTCCACACTTTCAAAGCAAAAGCAAAAACCGATTCTCAAAGCCAACGTCTAAAAATAGCATGAACGGTAACGATTTTTGTTTACATCACCTGGGGCGCAATAGTAAAGAGGTCCGATCATTTGATTGTGTTAAACCTACTCTGATTAGTAGCGACTACGGCATATACCAGCCATAGATCTTTAGCCATTTATGGCTAACCTCTCTTATCCATTCTTTGACCTCTTCTCGGCTCTTGATGGCTTTGTTCAAGATGCCACTGGAAGTGTACAAACAGTGCTGTGTGTGAAAAGGAGGTGAGATCCCAGGTTTGTGCACATTTCTCAACGAGAACGTTCTGGCGCAGTAGACAGCGGGGCTTGCCAATAGCACCACTACACACTAACTTTAGTTACTGTCATAAACTATTATCGTATACATACTAAATATTGACACAGTAGTAGTCTATCTCCAAGCTAAGGAAAAAGGCTGGATTGCCCGTGACCTGTGTTTCACCGAAGTGCATTGTGAGGGCTTTTTCTGTTTTGCTTTCTTTCTCTCTCTCTCTTTTCTCCTCCCTCTCCTTCACTTTTCCTCCCTGCCCCGCACACTCCTCCAAACCTTTTTTATTCTTTATTATTTTATTTTCGCCTACATTATGTTTTCACCCTATATAAAACATGATGTAGACATTGCACGATCATCGTCCTCCGCTTCGCCACCGTCATCGCCCGTCAACAAGACGCTAGACTTCAACACCACACAACGCCGAATGAACAATCTCAACCCTCATCTGTCAGACATTACCGTCAACCTCGGCTATCCACCGCGGCGAGAGAGCAGCACCAAGCGAACAGTAGCAGCAGCAACGTCGTACTTTTCCATCAAGGACAAAGTGCTGGAACCGCGACGGTTTTTTCAATACAGCAGTCGAAAATATCGCCAACGGACGCGCTGGGGACGATTCTTCTTGCTTGGCGCCGGCCTCTTTCTGTTTATTTTCATTTTCGGATACATACCCTTTTTCAACTTTGCAAAGACAGCTTCGACGTTAACGACTCCTACTTCTGCGGGTACTGCAGTTGCTGCAGAGCCGCAACGTGACCAGATCCTCCTGTATCGCATCATCGGCAATGATCTTCCGCCGCGGCACAAAGAGGGCCAGACCCTGTCGAATCTGCACTTTATTTTGGAGCACGAGCCCTCGTTTCCAAACTTTCGCAAAATATTTTTGTTAAACCGCATTTCCGATCCTACCAGCGAAGCTGCTGTCGTGCGCTTGTTGGAAAAATACGGCATGGAGTACATCCGTGTTCCCTTTGTCGAAGAAGAGTACAAGCAGCTGGACTTTCGGCTGGAGCATTTTCCTGAGCCAGACTTTTTGCATTCTGATGATTACCGCCGACTCTCCAAAGTTGCAAAGCTGCGTACACTGGATTACACATACCATGACAAAAACCTTTATGCAATGAACAATGTAAGTTTTCTTGCCATTTCGCTGTCTTCGATCAACAAAAGCAAACTGGGAGGGTGGCGCTAACTGGATAGCGTTTAGAATGGAGGACGTAATACGGCTATACAACATGGCCGATCTATCAGCAACGCACGCTGGATCATGCCTTTTGATGGCAACTGCTACTTGAGCCACAACGCATTCAACGAGATCAAAACGCAGCTCGATCGGCACGGCGCAGACACCAAATATTTCGTCGTACCAATGACTCGTCTGTTGAATAACTCGGTGCTGTTAAATAACTTGGACGAAAAACCCAAAGCATTGGAGGAACCACAGATTATTTTTCGATACGATGCAACCGAAGAATACAATCTGAACATGCGGTATGGTCGACGCAGTAAGGTAGGCTAGCCGATTTATACAAGTTTACTTAAGTATATTGAGTAATTGGGAAGATGGAATTATCTAACAATTTTGGATAATTAGCTCGAGTTGCTATGGAGACTTGGTGCAAAGGAAGATCGTCGCTTAAATCGACCCACGGTTGCTTGGGAACCGATCGAGCGTCCATACAGCAAGGACAAGGGAAACTTTCGTACGATCGGGTGGGTTTTTCGACTGTTTTCGGGCAATCAGCAGCAGGAGGAGAACAAAAAGGAGGCGTCATCGATCCGTGCATTTAATCGACTCTTGGCGATTCAGTCATCGTTGGACGGTCTAGATGAGCAGATTGCGCGACGGACGTTCCGACAAGATCGTCTGTTCTTATACAACGAGACCGAAATGGCGAGCATTCGACAAGCGTATTGGAGCAAAGACGGACATGTGGCGACAATGATGGAGGAGCTGGAAAAGCGCGCAGAGGTCATCTTGGAGGATACGCAAAAACGTCTCGCACCAATGTCGGTGACGGATGACATGGATTCAGTAGGGCCTGAGGAACTGCCGTCGTTGTTTGCAAAAGAAGATGCGTCAGCTTATTTAGGACCACTCTCGCAGAACGTGACAACGTTAACGTTGGCAAACTACTTCTTGGGAGCGGAAAAGTACGGGCGATGGGCAGCAAACTTGGTGCGCGTATATTTCCTTAACGAGTTTGCGCTTGAAGACCAGGACGAATACAGCTCTGCACGCATGATTCCGGACAACACGCATCTTCTGGACTTTTTGTCAGACCAAGGCTATTCGTTCCCCAGCCTCAGTCGGGTACCCCGAGTTGTACCAAAATACACTACGAATCGGATCGTTAAAGCATCAGATCTCACAAAAACTGACATCACCGCCTTGCTCGACTCGATGCGGCTTTTGCGTCGCACGCAGATGCTCACGCATAAGGAATACATTGAGCTCCAGGCATCCATGGCAGAGGTGTTGGAGTTCCTCATCACCTCACCCACCGGTATCCATCTTGCACAGTTGACAAATCACCATGGGGTGCTGTACGACCTGCAGGTAACCGCCCTTGCAGCGTTCACAGACGATGTTCGACTGTTGCTTCGTGTAGCCAACCGGTGCCGCATGCGGATCGGCAAACAGTTTATGGCGGATGGCTCACAGCCGTATCAGGACGCGTCTGTCCAGACACGATTGCAGTCACTGTCCGTTCCTGCCGGCGATGCTGGCGCTCTGCTTTTGCAATATGAGACACTTAATCTTCGGTATTGGACCATGCTTGCAAGGGGGGTCCAAAACACTGGCGTGGCCAAGGACATCTGGCACTACACTGCCAAGAACTTTGGACGGATATCGCATACAGTGGTAGCACATTTGAAGAACCATGCCACGAGCTCACCGTATGTCAAGGCGCAGCTTGCCCCGTTGGCACACATGGCGCGCTATGCCTTCCTTTACAGCGATGTAGATCCAAGCAGACAAGATATAATTTCTGATCGACAGTGGATACTTGACTATGCTTCTGATTTCCAACCTGTTGACGACAATGGCACCGTTGCATTCTTAATTCAATAACTCACCCACTTATCCAGTCACTTTTTCAAAAATCACACACACTCTTTTTCTCTCTTCACTCTCCTCATCACACACATTATACATCTACTACTTACATAGACCATTCGTTCTTCTGCATACACTCACTACAACATTACATGTTTTTTCTTTCCTTGTTGTTTACACGCACATACACACTCACACACACACAAAAAAGTCAAAAGAGAGAATGGATACCCCCCTCCTGCATTAACTGATATATATCGATTTTTGTATGTATAATCTATTTGTTGTTCTTTTCTGCTTGTGTTTTATTTATTGTTGTTGTTGTTGTTGTTGTGCATCCATCCATGTCTTTACATTGCAAGACCAATGCGCTTCATATTGTCCAAACCATCCACTGCTGACCTTTTTGACCTTCCTGAATCCGTGCTTCTGTAAAAACTGAGCAGCTGTGCCTTGCAATTCGTTTGTCACTGCATTGACTGTGTGGATATCGTGGTCATTGGCCCACACCATGGCACGGTTGATCAGCACCGTGCCTAATCCGCATCCCTGGAACTGATATTTCACTGCCATACGCTGCAGTGTCGCTGTATGTGGCGGCGACGGTTCAGCAAACACGCGAGGCTTCGACTCCTTTGCAACGAGTAAACTTGGCGTCGACAAATGGTAACGTTCACACACCCAGCGACCTAACCGCTGCCAGCTAGGACCCATTATCGGCCTTGCATCCATCACGGGTTTCTTATAACAGGCCAATCCGACTATGCCGCACGGTGCCCCATCCACTTCGAGCACCCAGAAATGACCTGGTGTCCGTTCATCTTCGGGCAGTAGTTCCCGCACGAGTTCAGTTGCTGGTTTGGTATCTTTGTCAAAAGTAACGCGCTTCTTCTTTTTCTTTTTCTTTTGCTTGTCATCATCGTCGTTGTTTTCTTCTTCTTTTGCTGCTGCTGTTTTTGTTGACGGTGGTGATGATGGTGGTTGTTCTTCTTCTTCTTCTGTATGCTCTGGTGTAGCGACAATTTGTTCGTACTTGTTGTAATTAAGATAATAGATTTCCGGGTCGCTCAAGTCGTTTAGTCGCACTGTCTCGACTTGGTCAACGGTTTCGAAACGATCGGTCAGAAAAAAGAGTGCTGAGAAACCGACGAGTGCCCAGCTCACGGTGAAAAAGATACGTAGTGCAATGCCAGTCCAGCTTGGCATATTCATTCCATGTAACAGCACCGGTACAATCGCGAGTAGATATGCGTACACGGCAATCCAAATTATCCAAGTGGTTGGCGACATTAGCTTGCGCTTGACGCCTTCTGGGACAAGCGCAAAATAGGTGCTGTAAAAGAGGTAGTCGACATATTCGCGATCGGTGGGTCTATACGTCCGTATACAAAGTTTCGGATCGTTTGTTGTTGTTGATGATGCTGGCGACGATGACGATGCGGGTTCCGCCATTTTGGTTTTATTAAAGAAAGAGCACAAAAAAAAAATCGAGCTCGTGGGTGTTTCAAGTTGGTTTCCTATACAGTAGGACTGTTTTTTGTCTTTTATTGCTATAGGATGCTTGCTAGAATGCCAAATGCAGTGAGAAGAGGAGATATGCAGAGAAGGATAAGGATGGGCCAAGTGGTGGTGCGGCGGGTCAGGGATAAAGAGAGAAGTAGGGTTATACAGATATATGTGTTTCTTGTTGCAGTGTGTATGTGAATATTAGCTAGTCGACGACGACTGGGAAGATATCCGATGACCCAGAGACACCGGCTTCAGCTGCTGTCGCCTTCTGTGGCGCCACTTTCTAAGCTCTGCCGTGCTCTCTTGGCCAGCCTTAAATACTTTTAAGAAAGTATATATCAGACATGCTGTATAATTGTTTTCCGTTTTACCTTTTACACCTCACTTTTCTTCCAATTTAACTTTTTCCTCTTACGTTCTTTTTCAGTTTCATCCAACTTCTGCAAGAAATCCTGTCCCACGTTGGTCGACCCCGTCAAGGATAAGTTCATGATTTCCTTGAGCCGTATCTTGAATGTATTTTCTAGTGTTGCTGGAAGCTCGTTGTCGATGATCAGGCCGTATAGCTTTGTGCCAAACTGATAGAAATACGGGGAAATTTGTCGAAAGTCAATGCTGGTTGGACTTGCATCTAGCGCGTTGCGCACCCGGGTGCCGTATGCTCTGGGTAACTCTATGGTCACTATACTCCTGGTTTGTTTGTTTTTTTGTACATAGGTTATTAGGTCTAGAACTGCTAACGTTCAATAACAGGAACAACTTACCCGCCGTCCGGAAGCCTGATGAGTTTTTTGTCGTGGATCACATAAGAAGTAGTAGCAGTGCCACATTTTTTAGTATTGCATTTTTTTTTATCGCGCCTCTCCGCAAAACTGTAGAGCTAACCTATATTGTGCGAGCATTTTGGCAATCCAAAACGGCAGTTCGACACGCGAATTGGCTGTAATCTGGAATTTCCACTCTAATAGTGAGTGGGAGCATCTTTATTTTTGTGAAAGTAAAAGGAAAGTGGAACGATCGGTTCACCTCGTTGCCGTCTCCTGTTAGGTTTGCAGAAGCATCCATCTCATGAAGAAAAATGCATGGTATTTTCTATAGGGGAATGGAAACATTGACATTAAATTTCCCAATTTCTATACTGCTTACTCGAGTGACAATACGCACTGAATGTTCTGCTAGGATGGAGTCTATGTCGTAATATTCTTCGTTATTCATGGTGGTGAAAGTGGACAAAAAAGGGCCGTTGTTCCTCGTACTTTGTCTGAACTACTTTTTTTTGAGAAACGCCAAACGCCGTTCGCGAAAACGCGACGCGATTTTGGCAAAAAATCAATTTTGTCGCGTTCGTGATATATACAGCTCGGTATCTTCGTCGTTCTTTTCCTTTGTCTACGCTCTGATCATGTATGATTGCTTTAATAGCAGAAGTGCTGCTACGATTTGGTATGATCCTTGACTCTTGATCTCATGGGTCAAGAAAATGGGTAGTCCTATTTTGTGTGCTCCTTTTTGATTTTGACGATATTTGAGAGATTATGTACAGACAGCATCCTGTAGCTATTTTTTATCATGGGAACGCTCGGGTACTATGAGGCATTGAATGTAACCAGGTAAAAGCAACTGGTTTCCATGTTTATTATAGGTTCTTAAGCAAGCATGCTGCCATGCAGCTTTGCAGCTCTCTGACAACAAATTTTACGGATTTGGAAGGTCACACAGTGAGCTGGATCCCAAAACCGCACTCGACACTTTTTCAAAAAAGTGGTGGCTTAACAACTCCTGGTTAAGCACATTCACTTTTTTTTATCTTACAATGCCCAAGTCAAAGAGATCCACAGTCGGTAAGTTGTCTGTTATTAAGAGTCGTTGACGAATTTAGAGGTCTTTCTTGCAGAGCAGTAACAATTGGATCTATAGTATCACTCACCCGGACCGAGAAAAAGGGCCATGAAGGAAAGGAAAAGTTGATCGAAGAAGTGAGTTTTATAGCACCGTTAGTTGACAGCAGGTGAACATAAGATCTTATAAAAATTCTCTCTAGATTCACGAATGCTGTGATAGATATGATTACATTTGGGTTTTCTCTGTCAAGGACATGCGCAACACGTTTTTAAAGGAAGTTCGTAATGATTTCAAGACGTCCCGTTTGTTTTACGGCAAAAACCGAGTTATGGCCAAGGCACTTGGTACTACACCCGAAGAAGAATATAAAGAAGGATTATCAAAGATCGCATCGGTAAATAAGAGAAGCGGTTATATATAGAGAAAGAGAGAGAAAGAATGTGTGTGTGTGTGTATATGCAGATTGGAGATATTTAATGCTAGTACATGCATATAGGAACTCCACAACGAAGTCGGTCTGCTGTTCACAAGCAAGCCATACGATGAAGTAGTTAAATATTTCAGTGATTTCACACAGCCTGATTATGCACGGTCGGGCGCTATTGCAACACAGTCGATCGAGTTACCGGAAGGCCCTGTTCAACGAGGTGCTGATCCTATGCCACACAATATGGAGACATTGTTGCGGTCCTTGGGTATGCCCACGATGCTCAAAAATGGCATTGTTACCCTACCTATTCCTTACGCTATCTGCAAGGAGGGTGAAACTCTGTCAACAAACCAAGCACATCTTCTTGTAAGTGATACTTGCTGCTGTAATCTTTGCTGTGAAAGGAGCGGATGATACGTGAGAGGGTGTTGGAGATAAAGACAGTGGGGTACAATGAATTAAACTTGCATTACCATTATGCACTGTTTTAGAAACTGTTCTACCATCAACTTGCAGAATTCCGGGTCCAGTTAATCGCCTGCTACCACAATGGAGAGGTTAAAATGGTGTAGAAAAGAAAGGAGATAGGCATCATTTTTTGAGTTTTACATCTTGCATATTATTTTTTCCAGTTTTCCACATATTTCACACATCAATAATTAAAAAAAAGGGCTCCAATATCTAGGATTTTAAGGGGTGAACGAGGTTTTTTTTCGCTATCTTATGTCGTTGTAAATACGCTATTGATGTTATACACATACTTTTTATGGGGGCGTCTGTGCGATGAAGAAACCCCGCATACAGAAAGGAGCAGGATATGTGAAGTAACAAGAGGGCTATTGTTCGCGTGGCTTTTGGGGAGGTGCCTCGTGGGCCTCGTACCCATTTTCATGTCGCCTTGTGAAGCTGCCCTTTCTCGAGTTAAGTTCCTCATTTATGCCCTCCCCCTGTGTACTTTCGCGCGATACAAGATTGGGTAGCAATGTAGTAATGATAGCAGTAAGAGCTATTCTCGCATGTGGAATTCTGTGCCGGTGCCCGTGGCAGCTTAGTGGGTCTCAACACATCTGATGTAAGCGCACGCAAATGAAATACTGCTTTTTCATGTTCTCACTTGGGTTGTTTTGTTCCATTTTGTTAGTGCTATTAGAAAAGTCTCTATAAAGTGAAAATCCATACAGTCTACTCAAACGATTTCTACCAAGCAGGGCAAAATTTAAAGTAAGTGCTGATTCCATGCCTTATTGCAAGCAAAAAATGTAGCCAAACAGCGAAATAGCATACAGGCTGTCTGTGGTCAGCGGCTTGCTGTTTCATGTTTATTCTTTATTAAATAGAGAAGGTTGACTGCATGACGGCGATCATTTGTCACAAATGTATCTGATACGAAGGAATGAACATGCTCCTGGGTTATTGACAAAACAATAGTGATACATGATTTCATCGACCGAATAGCAAGTGACCAAGTACTAGCGCTTCAGGGCTGGCCGTCAGACCCCCTAAATAAGCATGGACCCTTCCTTTCTTCCCTGGGCAAATTTCACGCGCATTTGACTTGCATGCATCTCCACGTTGACTACCACGTTTCATCTTACAGGCGGGGGCAGTGGGCGAGTGGATGACATAAAAACACACATTGGTCCTTTCCCTAGAGAAAGCCGTCCACACATAAGAAAAAAAACCCTTGTCCGATCGCAAGGAGTTTATAAAAGATCAAAACAATACATCCTGGGCTCGTTCGCATGGACGATGGGGACACTTAGGGCCACTTCACGGATCCAGAAAACCACGGGTCAGTTACAAAACAAAATAGAAAAAACGGGCCACTTACACGCGACGGCTATATAACACTCGAGAAAATAGAATGAAAACTCCCAAGTGCCCTGCTGCTGAGGGTTGAAAGCGCAAAACCTAACAAAAAGCATGGATAGAAAAGCAGCGTAACATCATGGAAATTATAAAATAAAGTTCATTATGACGATGTTGAAATGAGGAGGAGCACAATAACAAGACCCGTCAATGACGCAAAACGAAAAAGAAAAAAGAAAAATAACTATTAATTATGACAAAGTAAAAGATGTTATGACGAAATAGCCGTAATGGTCTCTCAGGGGAGGAGGTGGTAGCTCCTCCCCCCAAAAAGAGAAGGAATTGAGGAGAGGACCACATTATAGGATCATAGGAGCTACTCAATATTACTGCTGATATATTTTTACCATCCCGATCCGATCATGGTGCGTGTTGAACCATCGATCCTTGAGCCATACTCCTCTTGCTTCCCCTCCGCTCCTATATGGGCCTCTGTTGACATTTTATGCAACGTGAGTAAAATACCCAGGAGTGCGTGTTACTAGCTTCAGAAGAGGGGTGGGGTTTACACCGGAAAACTATAAAAAAGACCGACATGTTGGGATCTACCATTGTTTCTCTACCTTATTCCAAGCACTTCACTTCTACTTAACCTTGCTTATCCTTTCTATTTCTTTACTACCTTTTTTCCAACTTTAAACCTACTTTGCTCACAATGGATATCAAGAACCTACTCAACACTCAGCAACACCAACAGCAGCAGTATTTCTTCGACGCCGATAATAGCAAGGACGAAATTGTCGAATTGCCAAAGTCGCCAATGACATGGTCAACGGCTTCGTCGTGCTCAGTAGCTGGAAGCCCAACGTCGAGTTACTCGTCACCTCCATCCCCGCCTACCTCGCCTACTGCAGCCTTACCACCCCTCACAAACGTCCTTCAGATTCAGCAGCAGCAGCAACAGCAGCAGCAACAACAACAACAGGATAGCAGATCAGCTCACAATAAGGGAGGATCGGCACCACAAACTCGGACACCATGGACGCCCGAGGAAGATTACCTTTTGGAGCAGGGATACAGTCAGGGCCTCTCGTGGGCCATGATCTCCGCTACCTATCTTCCCCATCGATCTCGAGGATGCTGTTGGGGCCGCTACAAGACACTTCAGAGCAAGGCCATGGAGCAGCGCAAATGGACGAGCGCTGAAGATCGATTATTGATGCTCGCTGTCAAAAAGAACTCACGTCTGTTCAAAAAGGCCTGGAAAACCGTAGCTGAAGAAATCGGATGTCGATCATGGAAAGAGTGCGAACTGCGATCGACGAAAATTTCAGGTTCTATCCGCAAGAAACAACAACATCATCATCATGCACCATCTTTCTAAGTAATTAAACATCGCTGACGGTGACCTGTCGATCAGATCCCAGCTAATCACTACTACTATTTCGCCATACGATCCCTTCACCCTTCTTATTCCTTTCCCTCCTCTGTATATTTGAATCCGACATTACTCCATCATGGACGCAGCACAGTACACACACACGTATATAATACGCACATATCTTTTTTTTTCTTTACGCACGTACACACTCCACCCACACACACAGAGATATTTATACATAACATGCCCCTCCCTTATCACTTTTCTTCTTATGTTTATGCGATACAATGTAAATCCTCATTATGCACATAGTACATTTTTCCATTTTTTCTACTGATAATCATTGCCCCCGCCCCCATTTCTTCTTTTTATTTTGTACAGATTTAGCACAGGAGTATAATACAAACATAATGCCTCATTCGATTCTTATTTTTTTTGTAAACATCAATTTCCTATATAAAATACACTCTATTGAAATTAATAATTGATTGGTTTTATTTCAGCTCAAGTAAAACATGCCGACAACGGGTGTAATCCCCGGTAGACAGGCATTCATGCAAACAATTTTTTTTTTGTTTGCTTTCCCTTCTTTGTTTGTTGTCTCCCCACCCCATTACAAAATGCCTGAACCATGACTTTCTTTTTTATCATTATCATCAGCTCTATATTAAGCCTTTCTTTAGCACAAGACGCGGCTAATTCATCTCTAGTACCGTCTTGTGCTGCGAATGAAACAGCGCTGGTGCCATCCACACGTCTACGGATCGCCGTAATATCCCATTTCTCAATTGTTTCTACATTCTTCCTCAACCCCGAGACAGCTGCACGAGAAGCTGCCTCATTACTTAATATAGAGCTAGAATGGGATCGCCATGTTGTCAGCTCAACCGAGAAAATGAGCCGAGATATCAAGAGTGCAGTGGAACGCGTAAGAGTTTTTATATATTAATATCGATTTTTTATGTAATTCTGGACCTAACCTGGATGAGTGACAGGGTGTTAACGGTATGATTGTATCAATTCCCAGCGACGAGGTATTCCAAGCTGTGAAAGATGCGAAACAACAAAGCAATATCCCAATTATCGTATTCAACACTGGTTTGGAATATGCCAAGCGGCTTGGTCTCACACGTGTGCTGCAGTCCGACGAGAAATCTGCGGATATGATGGCTCAAGAACTACAGAAACGCAATTACTCAAACCCCCTGGCAGTTCAAATTATTGGCAGCGGTCACCTTGACGATACAGCATTCGATGCTCGACTGAATTGGATCAGTCATGCTCTAGGTAGAACGGTTGATGTTCTACCTGTTTATAATATAGATGACGCTGTTCGTGAAGTTCGGGACGCGTTTATAGCTGGCCCTTACGACTCAATTGTGTCACTAGGGGGTCTGGTACGTCGATATCAAACCTTCGGCTCATGATAATGTATATTGTTGCAGACGAAATATTAAAGAGCTTGCCGATCTCTTATATACAGGCTGGAATTGATCTCGTAACCACGGCTGCTTCCCAAGCTCTCGATGTATACCCATACCGTCAGATCGGCGTTTCTTTTTATGATATCGGCAGTAAAAGCAACATGACTGACATTTTTAACCGTTTTCCCGATGCCTTCGGCATAAGCCAACTTCCCTTTTATCAAGCAGCATTACCAGTGTTTTACATGTATATTCAGGTAAGCAGGTACAAACGAAGTTGTCCTCTATGTAGCGCATTTACTGAATATTGTCATCTTATAGATCACTACAGGCTACGGTCCATTTATCAACAAAACAGTCAGCACTGGACCCAATCTTGTGAACAAACAAAACTATCCTGAATATGTTCATGGAGATGAACTTAGTATTATTCCAAGCCACGATCTCGGAGCCAATATTGGTGCTGTCATAGCAAACACTCAAGGGGACACGTATCAAGCAGGCGTCATGGCCGGTATATATGATCTAGCAGGAAAACTTAACTGGACAGTTACGCCTTCACAGGAGGTAGCACGAGGACTATATCAAGTTTGCTCTATTGCTGGTACTTGGTTTTACAACTGATAACTTATATGGGGTGTTCATAGGACGGATTGATTGGAAACGCTACGACGCTGATACAACATGTCAAGGCGCTTGTTGATGGGGGAGTTCGAGGATTGATCCTCCAGTCAAGTGATCCTCTTGTATTAAATTATACAATGCAGTTAACGGACCGTCGCAATATTTCTTTGGCAGTTATTGGTACCTTCTGGGAAAATCTGGAGCTCCAGAAATATAATGCTACGGAGTAAATTTGTTCAACTTTCGTTTGTAATGTTGTATTATGACAAGATTACTAACTTGGAAAATCCTCTATCTAGTTCACAGAATACAAACATCCTGACTGACTCCATAACGCTTGCGAACTCTGTCGCACAGAATCTGGCTCTCGACAATTTTAAAAAACCAGTTTGTTTCAGTGCTCACACTCCTTGGAAAAAGAGTCATTTATGCGAAGGCATCTACCTCGCATATCGTTCCGCAATAGGAAATGCAAGTGACATCCCGTCTTTGGAGGATTTTCAGCATTCGCTTAACTTGTCTACGCTTGCGACAATGGAAATTGATTTCCAAGAAGCGGTCGACTCATTGCAGCAACGAGGCTATGATCCGGATGTGTACGTCACACTCTCCGAGCATGTATTTAGTGCTCTCGACTATGTAAGCTTTATTTTACGGATAAAAATGTGTATTTTGACCTGTACTGCGAGATACAAATTAACCTAGAAGACGTTGATATACAGCGCATGTTACGTGGGCTTTTAGACAACAGCACAAATATTTATTCAGCTCTTAGCCAATATAATCAATTCAAAGCATTCTTGGAAGGCCGCGTAAAACGTGTATGGTAAGTGTGCGAATGTACTTAATGTCTTGCTTTATTATCGTAAAATGATAGCTGACAATGTTTCTCACTAGGCATTACAATACGTATGCGAACGGTTTTCTTGCATTGTTGGATATTTTGCTATCCAAGACTGCACCACATCGTCCATGGCAAGAAAGTGGATTGGCAGTGCCAGAAGTGAAAGAAATTTGTTCTGCGGGTGAATACTACATTGAGCTATCCGACTCTCCCTACTGTGAACTTGTAGACTACGAAATAACGAGCGCATCATTTCGCTGTGCGCCCTGTCCTCCAGATACTTTTTCCTCCGAGCCAAACCAGTCGATGTGTACGCCTTGTCCATATGGTACCTTTTCTGAAGAAATGGCTTCAAACTGCCTGTCGTGCGATAATGAGTATGAAAATACTCCTCAAGTCCATTCCCAATGCGTAACGTATCTGAAAGATCAAGCAGAGAAACGCAGGCGCATATATGTTGGCGTATTTGTACCTGTCGGCTGTATCATAGTGGGCGCCATCCTTGGATTTTGCATTTGGCGCTATCTCCGGCAACGCAAACATGGACAGCCTAAAACGCCTTCAGAAGCTACATGGCTATTATCACTTGACGAGCTTATGCGACCACCGATGCAGCACATGTCCTCTTTACCATCACCTAATTCTTTACCAAATGCGTCGCCTAGTTTATCACCCTCAGCTACACCATTGCTGGGCATCAATCAGGATCCCACTACACCATCAACCTCGCCTCAAATGGATACAGCTCGCACACCTGAATTTGTAGATGCAGGAGCGGCATTGGCGGCACCGTTAGCACCAAAGATACAGCGATCCATGTCGGACGTCAATGCTCCTGACTCCGAAGTCAGTTCACCGCGTCGTCATAGTATTTCTGCCACTCGAGATTATTTTACTTTGGCAACGGTGCATGATTCACCCAAGTAAGTTACTGGTTATACCTTATATCGACGAGTGTCATACCTAATGCTTTAGAAAATTTGTTATATATTATACTAGATTGCTTTTTTACCCCGAAAAGCAATCCAAGCGATTGATACGGGCAATTGGCTTTCAGTAAGCTCTTTCACTTTCTATCCTCATCTTTTTGTGGTTAGCCAAGTAGTGCACGTTTATACTTATATATTCAGTATAGCCGCAACTTACCGGTTTTTGTCAAACAGATCGGGTTTCGACGGGTTCAGCTTAATGACACTGTCTACCATGAAATCTCACTGATGAAAATGGCACGACACTCAAAACTGGTCGAGTTCATTGGTCTCTGTATTGAACCGCAGGGCACATTTATTGTCGAAGGTTAGTGCTACCTAGGATAGCAAAGGCGAGCTATGTATCATCTTTTTTGCTCACTAGTAAAAAATATGCAGAGTATTGCAGCAAGGGAACATTATACGACGTTCTAAAAAATCCGGACCTGGATCTCACTTGGATCTTTCGATTTTCTCTGATCAATGACCTGATTGAAGGTCTTGAGTTTTTGCAGCGATCCAAGTTTTTGTTTCATGGATGCCTTACGTCTCAAGCTTGTGTCATAACCGGCCGGTGGGAATTAAAGTTAACGGATTACGGTCTTTACAAGGTTCGCGAAACCCAGTTAGATCCAGTGACGCTTACGGCGCTCTCCAAACGCTACCCAAAGATTTACCATCGTGTAAGCGGTATACCTTCCGGTGCGAGAGGCACCTCATACATCGGTGATTATGATTCACCCATGCAAATCGTGCCACATGCCGAGAATCTGTTGTGGCTGGCACCGGAATCTGTGCTACCTACTACATTCGACACATGGGTCACATACCCAACCAAAAAAGCCGATATATACAGGCAAGTACTGATATACCCATTGAACAAAAATTATAACACTGACGTTCCAATGCTTCTCATAGTCTCGGGGTGGTTATGAATGAAATAGTAACACGTGCTAAGCCTTATCAAAAAGAGCTCAGAGAATATGGCGAAGGAAATTACGAGGCAGTATTCGACCGGATCAAAAATCATGATCTCCTTCCGGATATGTTGACTTCAGAACAAGATATGTATGTTGGTCAAGTGAATGAGATCATCATAGCTTGCTTGAGGCGTGAAGCTTCAGCAAGACCTTCGATTGGTCATGTCAGAGTAAGTGAGAGATTAACTGCTAATATGTGATTGTTGATGAGATTATACTGTGATATACTGACATTACGTCTTATGAAGAATCAAATCAAGATCATCGATCCACATATAACAGGATCTGACAATGTAGTGGATAACTTGGCCTTATTGGTATGTTTAATCTCACTAAATTCCTTCTAGTGGAAGAATTTTATAATAACATCCGTGTATTTTATGATGTTGTAGCTTGAAAAATATGCCAATGATATGGAGAACTTAGTTCGTAAGCGCACTGCAAATCTCCAGCAACGTACACTCGAATTAGAAGAAGAACGTACACGAACGCAGAACCTGCTAATAGGTATAGCTGAAATTGTATATTTTATTGTGATAGTATACCTCGCGAAAAAGAAAAACATAAATAACTAATATGTTATATCTACATAGATCTCAAGGATGCCAAAGAAGTAGCAGAAGCTGCAGCGGCTTCAAAACAGAACTTTTTAGCAAACATGTCTCATGGTAAGAAGATTATCTAAGAAAGAAAGAAAGAGAAAGCTTGTAATGCTTTATCTTCTTAATTATTCATATTTAATTATTTGAAAGAAATCCGAACTCCAATGAACGCGGTAATTGGCATGTCTCGTATCTTGATGGAGAGTAATTTACCAGCGGAATTACATGACTGTGCTGAAACTATTGAATCTTCAGGTGAGCTGCTTTTTCAAAGTTGACTGCTTATTTCCCAGAGCTTCAGGTTAAAACGCTGATTTAATTGCTTTTCATCTTTTAAAACAAAAAGGCAATCATTTGATGGCCATTATTGATGATATACTCGATTACTCAAAGATCGAATCAGGCAAACTTTCGTTAGAGCATCGACGCATGGATTTGGTAAGTTTGAAACAGCTCAATATATAGAACTTTTGGTCAAGGATTAATCATCGAAGCAATAGATTTTCGTATTTGAGAGCGCTCTTAAACTAGTTGCTCCCAATTATATGGACAAGAATATTATTTTGTGGTACACATTTGATCCTAACATAGCAACCGCAGTCTACGGTGACGTAGTTCGACTGCGACAAATATTGCTTAATTTGTAAGTTAAAAGAACCATCTTGGACCTTTATTGGAGGTTGCAAGCAAGCTGATGCTAATCTGGATTCATCTGATACTACAGACTTTCCAACGCTCTCAAGTTCACGCAAGAAGGATATGTACGTATACATGTGGCAAATTATGAGTCTGCGCCTTCTACACCGACCGACACATTGAATAGCGAATTTGACGGCAACAACGAGACCAAGGGGCTGCTTTCAGATTCGAACTTAGATCAGAGCTCTGGGAAAGAGTTTCTGCTAATTTCTGTTCGTGATACTGGTATTGGTATCCCGAAAGAAAAAGCAGACAAACTATTCCAGACTTTTACTCAAGTTGATGCTTCTACCACGCGTAATTTTGGCGGAACGGGCTTGGGTCTTGCCATTAGTCGCAAACTTAGTCGCATGATGGGCGGCGATATGGTAATATATCACTGCAGTTTTCGTTTTTGCGATGCTTCCATGCTGCGATTTGTACTAACATATATCAAAATCTTTAGTGGTTTGACTCTGAATATGGCCAAGGATCTACCTTTAATTTCACTGTCAAGCTACAAAGGCAGGCAGACAGTCCTACTTATGGGTCGTTCAATTGCTTTGATGAAATTAGTACCCTTTGCCAGTCTGCTATCATTGTAGCCGATCACAAGTACACGCAAAAAGGATGGACCGCTCTTCTCCAATACATACCCTTGCCACAAGCACATGTGCTAAGCTTTCAGGATGCTGAAGAGCAACTCAAGCGCCAAGGAACAGCACACCTCTCGCTTTTTATCGTTGATGAAGAATTCGTAGTGGTTGAAGCGCTAGGGTCCGAGCCAACTACGACCCATGCTACACTTTCCGCTTTGCAGGACCGTATTCCAAGCCTACGCTCCGTACCTACATTATGTGTCAAAGACATGCGTAATCAACGTCAAGAGCGACCTTCCGGAGGTTCTGATCAGCAGCTCATGCTACCACAGCTATCCAAGGATGCCCCGTTGCGAGAGCAAGATTCGCCTACACCGCGCATGGAATACGGCAATCCTTTTGAGTCGGCCTGTATTGAACGTATCGCTTGTATAACAAAACCAGTAAAGGCATCCAAGCTCTTTGCGACGATGCTCAGATTATTGAAACCGCCTCTTGTACCAGAGGACGAAAAGTCTGAGAAAAGCAGCGCACCGCATGGCATAGTGACACCTGCAGCAACTACTAGTACCGGTGATACGGCGACTCCTGGTCAGCCTCGAGCTGATTCTTTAAAGCGCATTAAAAGCGGCTCTGCAAGGACAATGCGTCGAGGGCGATCCAACACTATGACAAGTACGCTGTCAAGTATATCCAGTGGATCGTCTGGGAAACCGCTTAATGAAATTGCTGGTAACGTCCGATCATTGCTTGTCGACGACAATCCGGTCAACCAAAAGGTTGTCACACGTATGCTTAGTCGACTTGGTATCCATCCGGACGTTGCTCAGAATGGCAAAGAGGCGTGTGATATTGTTCGCAAATCTAAACAAGGCGATGAAAATCCAGTTGACCTTATTTTTATGGACATTTGGATGCCTGAAATGAACGGCTTTGAAGCGTCCGAGTATATTCGACGGAATCTTTCAGAAACACCTGCTCATCCCTATATCATTGCCATGACGGCCTGTGTTATGCCTGGTGATAAGGAAAAGTGCTTGGCTGCAGGTAAGCTCTTTTTCATATACCTTGTACACTTCACACGTTTTTTATTTATTCTAAGGAGGTATTTAACACTGTATTGTGTACTAAGGTATGAACGGATACGTCAGTAAGCCAATACGCAAAGATGAAATGGAAGCCTCGATCCATACATATACCCAAGTCGTTGCCAGCGAAACCTCTGCAAAAGAATCCGGTATGAATTCTTTAATGGATGAATCAGCATCAAGCTCGTTGGCCCCGGCAGAAAACGATAAACAGCTACCTTCTGTCACCGTTACAATGAACGACAATAGACCTGACATTCAAGGTGGGGGAAAGACAACATAGCCTCCATAATTATATATGTACATTACCTCCAATAAAAGGGCTCATATGTAAATACGGTACTGGCTTTGCTTCTATTACTGAGCTGAGTGCTGGTAACAACTTATCAAAGCCTCGCCAAAAAGCTGTAACCAGCTGGAAACTCGGTCGGTCTGTCCCATAAACGAGCAGCTGATATCAAATGTTCAGTACAGGATATGACAAGTACATTAAACGACTCGTAAAGAGCAGCATATATCATCTTTAAATGGGTCGAAAGCTACTGGCCATTTGCTAAAAGCTAATAGCTTCTCAGCAAGTGACCAGTGCAGTAGATGACACGTAGATAAGCAGCAGATATCCTCTAGTATGTTCTATAGCAATCTTTGCGGGTTGCTCTTATCATTGAGTTATCCAGTTTCTAGCTTATTATGATCACAGAAGTTCTCACTATTTATAAGAAATGGCTTATCCTTGGCAATTACCACAGTGTGTACATTGAACGGATGAATTGATATTATAAATCATTTATATAGGAATAAGTAATATATGTTGCGTAAGTAAAAGGTACATCCGGGTAATTCCTCAGATAGTAGCTAATGTGAACTACGTGATCCATATAATGACAACTTCTTCCTGAGCATAGCTAATCGGTGTTTCACCAAGATGTGTGTGAATAAGAATATGTCCGCAGAAGTGAGGTTATGAGGGAAATAACAGCAATCGTTAATGACAGATTAAAGAATATGTATTACTGATCATGTTGGATACAACAATGTGTCATTAATCTTGGATCAACAATCGCAATAGAAACATACAATCAGCATCATCTTACATACTCTTTTCTATCCCTTCTCTTTTATCCCCTGGCTACGGTATATCTGTCGTAGCCATTGATCGGTTATTTTTATTACCGACAATACTTCTTTACTGCGGCGTCTTAATGCGCAGCTACTCTTTTGCTAAGCATTAGTCATTAATTATCTTACAACTGCTATATTCTCTTTGTGTTTACACTTCTTCATGGTCATCTCCCTCTTGTGATTTTCTCTTCGTGGTCTCACTCACAAAAAATAAGACATATCCGCCGAAAGGTTTCGACGCAGAGTGAAAACTGGTTTTTTGCAAAAAAATCAAAAATGAGCCGCATCTATACGATGCAATCCTCGAAATACGAGGGGCTCGACCGGGAATTGAACCCGGGACCTCTTCCACCCTAAGGAAGAATCATACCACTAGACCATCGAGCCATACTTGTTTATTTCAAACGTTGCATTATATACAAAACATTGTTAGTAGTAACTTATTATATATTTTTTAAATTTTTTATGTATTTATCTGCATTGCTTTCGTAAATGTATTTGTTTTGTTCATGAATTATATATCAGCTTGTTGATAAAACTCAAAGCTACTAGGAGAAATGTATTGCATATTGATGGCATTTGCTTATAAAAAGAATAATAATTTCATCATGGTTTTTTCTAAGGATTTCATAGGATTTGAAGTAGCATAGGGGGCTAAAAATGTGATTGTTGCAACAATGTTGAAATGTGAATCCTAAAATAGAAAGCCCAGACTACATATTGTAGTAGCTACTTTCTAAACAATAGTCAGCTCTTTTATGGATGTCTAATAATCTACTACCATTGTCCCCTATATAGGCTGCTGTTAACTAACCAAATGTTTACTTATATAACTACAATCTACAATGGCCGCACAACCCTTTAAGGCAAGAATTTTACACCGCATCCCCATCCACAGCAGCAGCTTATTCACCGTCTCAAAAGTTCCACCCTATGCCGTACACTTTGGCGACCTTCTCAGGCATTTTCCAGTGCACTACCTCTTTAAAAACCCAAATGGCGTCGTTTCTGGCGGGCAAACAAACATTCCATATTATTGTCGCAAGACCTGGTGGCGGCTGCTTACCAATATAGGCCCTATACATGCATCGACATTATGCATTCTCTCGTTCACATATAAATACTGCATCCTTGCATGTCGAAACGAAAAGCTCTGTTTTGTCTCTCTTTATAAAACTTTTTTTTTTCTTACTGGATTTCATGACCGTTAAAAAATTAATCAGTTAGATATATCAGCAAAACACACCTTTTCCCGAACGCAGAATCAATGGTATAGCTGCTCATTTGGCAGGCCATAGTCCGGCAACCCCGGGTTTGAGAAAGATGTAAGTGCGGCTACCATCAAGAACAACTGATGAAATAGTCAGAAAGCTAACTGTAAGTTATTTGTTTATCATAGATTCTATCAAAAAAATGTGTCAAACCAGTAGCCGTACGATATCGCACTGACCCAACTGCAGTATTCAGTTTTGAGTGTCATGGTTTATGCCCACAAGACCGCCGTGATTCATAGTAACCGCACATTAGTTCACGAGACACTTACTGATCGCATTTTGCATCTTGTCAATGTATTTATCCAAGATTGTAACTTAAAACCAGATGATAGTGTTGCACTTCTGTGTGAGAGTACACTTGCCTCTCCAAAAACGCATTTTGCAGCGCCTGCAACAGGTGCTATTCTTGTGCCAATGAATATACAGTTGTTGGGCTCAGAGATCGAATACATTGTCAACCATTCTGGTGTTTCCGACTTTGTGTCAAACGTTTCTTCCAATGTGGTTAAAAAACTCAAGGGATATATCCAAGTGGCAAACACGTAAAGCCAGCGCGACGCTGCACCATGTTCATATGAACAAAAGCTGTATTAATCAGATCCTATATTGCTTTGGAACGATTTGCCTCTTACTAGTAACGAAAACGTTATACTTTTAAACACATCTGGTTCAACTTGCAGACCCAAAGGTGTTATGGTTTCTCATCGCGGGCTACATGATGGCTGTATCCACGTGTATCTACGCCAAACAACTCACATCCGAGTCAGTGTGATTCTGGGTAGTACGCATGTTTCATTGTAATGGTCGGAGCTTTCCTTGGACCATGGTGGCAGTAGGAGGTGTGTATTCTCTTGTTCCGCAAAAGCAGAAGCAGCAGTAGCTAAAGTCAACCAATAGATGATATAAAACCTTCGGAATCTATGACTGTATTATAAATATCCGACTCATGATGAACAAGGCAGATATTGGGTTCATTTAAGCAGGAGCCACGGGGTACATAATATTGTGCGACGTCTATTATTCAGACATAAATCTGCAATCACAAGGATGCTGCTCCACTTGGACACACTGTACTTGCCTTTGGCTGCGGTGTCACTGTATCTAGCACACATCCAAAATTTACACGCTCTCAATATCTATCCTACTCGTATTTCCAGACCGAGTTGTTTAACAATAGAAACATTATACAACATATACTTTATGATGGTCATATATAATCAACAGGCAGCTTACACAAAAGTCATATATCTACTTACACTACTAAACAGACAAAAGTCTGCGGCCCTGCAAGTATACCATATGTTCCTGTTACATCTGCTAATTATCCGGAGAAGGAGTGCTTCATTCTCGCGGCTCGTCAGGGCTACGGTGTCGTAGCCATGAAGTACGCGTGTTCGACAAAGAGACATCCAATGATGTGACACCAAGTGGAGAGCTCATTGGTGAAGTGTGTTTTTCTGGCAGCTGTATCATGCTAGGGTACTATAACAATCCACAGGAGACAGCAAAAGTACTCAAAGACGGCGTCTTTTGGAGTGGCGATATGGCAGGAAGATATCTATATGGCGCCATCAAGATTGTCGATCGATCCAAAGACCTGATAATATCGAAGCGGTGAAAACATTAACACTTTGGAAGTTGAAGGTGCAATCCTCCAATTGGACTGGTGCATAGTTTCTGGGCTAGCTTTAGAAAAACATTGGTAATGTAGCATTCAAATCAATATGCGTTACTGACAATGTATTTATACTTTAGCGTGGTAGTTGCTGGACCTGATAAAAAATGGGGAGAGCGTCCGCATGCTTTTATCAATAAAGAGAGAAAACGATTGAAGATGCAGTCATTGCACACTGCCACAAACATTTAGCAAAACACAAGAGCCCTTCTAAAATGGTCTTCACTGGAAGCCTCCCAAAAACAAGGTTTAGTAGAATAATTGTCGTCAAGTCTATCTGACGGTTTAAAAAACTGACAAGGGTTACTTATCTGCCTAATTTTGCATATAGCACTGGTAAAACAAGAAAAACATCTTGATACTTTTCAATGGATGTGAAATGCCAGAGAATAGGATGCTAAGTTTTACATTTTTGCTTTGTAGGCAAAGTTCAAAAGTTTGACATCAGTGAACAACTCTGGAAATCATGCAAGCATCGAGGAGACAACCAGTGATAACCAACATCGTGGTTCAATGAACAATAATTTGCCTGACAGTTATGTGGTGCTTCTTTATTTCTTCGACTCCATACTGCTTAGAGGAATTAAATCATTATCAATTGACCGTATTATTAATCTTCAATAACATTTTCTTGTGCGCAATAGACACTGATTATTTTTTACTCAATACCATCGCAAAAGCTTAAGGCACCTACGATAAAATATGGCACCAAAACGTACGTAAATCGTAGAGGATAGTCCCGCTTTTTATAAGTTGAAGGAGAAAAACCTGATGTATGAGATGATTCCTTAACTTATTATCCCAAGCTATCTTCTACAAAAGATGCGTTCTTCTTCAATATAGTAGGTAATAGACAGCCATAAAGACATAAAAAAACCGTACATGCACCTTGAATGGTGATGTACAAGAACAAAAAAGGTTAATTGACTTGCAGAAAACCAGAAAAAGCAGCGTTTGGCCTTTCCTTGATACGATTCCCCTCACTAGTTTATAAACGACCCAAGAAATAACATCTGTTTCTATGGAAACCAAATTCCTGCGCATGAATTTTTTTTGACAGGCGTAAAGGAGTGTGTTCTGTTTATCAATTGTAATTCCAACGTATCTCGTCTTTATGTCATTAAATGGATTTACCAGAAACAAGAGCTGTTTTTTGTATTTTTTCCTTGTTGCCAAAGCCTCATCCCCAAAAGGGTCGGCATTAAGTAAGCGAGCGCTTCACGCTCTACCCGGGATTTTTTTCTTTTTTGGTATTTTTTCCCTTCTTCTTCTGTGTGTGCTTGCTTGCTTGCGGGAAAAAGGGAGACTCGAAACCCACGATGCTCGAACGAGACATTCCCCATCGCGCGATTTCGCCTGGGAGTCCAAGAGGCATAGGACTTCAACCAGATCCTCACGCACCAAAGCTTGACGTACGATGGTAAAAAAAAGCGATCTTTATTTTCTTCTTCCAGAAACCCGGCATGAGTTTTTCCCGGGTCCGTTTGTTATACTGAGATTGAGTTGTGTCCTTTTTTCCAGGTTTTATGCAGTGGATGGACCAATCGTCAAAGGCGATGCCCAGCTTCGATCCAGTAGAAAAAACAAGAAATGGGTAGCCTTCTCAAAGCGCGATTCAGAAGCACTTGAACGTGCTCTTCAGGTATAACTTTAAGGAAAAGAGAAAAAGAAGAGTTTTTTTCTAAAAAGTAGATATCTGCACACACACATACACGTATACACAGAGTGACGATACGTCAGTAGCAGTACCTGTCAACGAAGACCATTTGTTTGAGGTCAAAGTATTTTATCGCACGCTGTCGCCAATTTACTGGGAAGGACCTGTGTATCCTGTACGACGAGCGACGTGGTTTATGCAATACGAAGGATCGAAATGGGTGCCGTGTGAAGAAGTTCTGGCGCAGCAGATTGAGGCTGGATATCGGTAAGAGCGATTTCTTAGATTGACAGACATAACAATGGAACGTGGCACGGTTAAAATGAATTAAATTCTATTTTTATTATTTCATCATCGATCCAGTAAACACAAGCCCTATGTGAACCCAGAAGCAGCTTTAAGTGCGGCAGAACTTCGGCAATCCAAACGGCAGTCGTTCCCGGTAGCCAAAAAGGAGGAAAGCGATGGTGTATCTAGCACAACGATCGAGGAAAAGAAATTGGAGATGGCGTTAGCAAAGAGGCCAGTGGAGCGCCAATGGAACTTGCTGGGTCCCTATCTTGGACAGTATGTGGCATATACTGGAACAGATACCGCTTGGTTGCTGTCGTAAGTTTTAGGCACTCAGACGAGAAAATAAAAAAGTGGTGAAGTCTTACAAGGTTGGATACGAATTTAGAAATAGCACAAGTAGCAAGTTGGCCAAAAGCATCATTACACGACTCACCAACAAGCAGAATCTGGGCGGAACACGATTGGTTCGAGGCTATCGTGCAGTGGATGAACAGTTGCGAGGAATTAAGAAAGGGAAGCCCACAGCGACAGCGACAGCAACGAAGACTCAAGCCGCCACAGAGAACGACAGCGAAGCCCAGGATGATGCAATATATTTGGATACATCGACTAGTGAAAGTGACAACGAGGAAGAGCTCAAAGCTACCGAGGATGACGGTGATGGAGAACGTCGAATCGATCATCTGGTGTTTGTTGTCCCTGGGTAATTGATTGTTTTTACACATGCAGTCTTTGGATATAGATTGATACTAAAGTATGATTTCTGTTGTGTATAGAGTAGGGCAGAAGTTCTCCGGACAAAGTGTAGTGGATGGTACATGTCGTTTACATTACTAGGCACTGCTACAAACAATTTTTTATATTCATTATGCCCTTTATCATAGACGTCAATGACCTGCGTAAATCAATGAAATTAGTATACCCCACAGCAATTGCATCTGACCGTTCAAACGGTATTCAAGTGCTTCCGATACCATGGCGACAAGGTGTGAGATTTGGCTTATCGGTGAAGGATCAGATAACTAGCGGAGCCGAGGCTGACCTTGGAATGCCGGACGGAGATGATGGATGCCCCACACTGGATGAATTGACCGTAGACAGCGTACCCAATATACGAAATATGGTATCCGATGTCATAATGGATGGTAAACACGTTATTCTCTGCAAAAAGGCAAACCTTTTTAGCAGAATTGTATATAAAATGGTTGCTAATATTCTTAAATTATACGTCATGCTCTAGTGCCCTTGTATTTGACTCCAAAGTATCGCGAGCAAATGACCATCACACTATGCAAGTTGGTAAATCGGATTTATCTACGTTTTGTCAGCCGACACCCAGATTTTTTGGAGCGTAACGGTCAAGTTTCCATAGTGGGCCATTCCTTGGGTGTAAGCCTTTTCTCTCAAAATACTCGAGGAGGGCGGCGTAAAGCCTACTGAGGATGTTTGGACTAACAAAGAAACAACAGGCATTAATCGCGTTTGACATGCTGTCAATGCAACCTGCAAACACCTCACCAGCGGACTTGAAAAACCAAGTTTTGGCTGCATTAGAGCAAGACAGGAAGTCTACTACTAGTAACAATAATAACAATAGTAGTAGTAGTAGTAGCGTATCATCAACCTCACTGTTGTTCAACACGCAAAACTTCTTTAGCCTTGGATCTCCCGCTGGCGTCATGATGTTGTTAAAAGGCTATCGCATTGCATCACGAAAAAATATTCCAAATACAGCGCAGTTTCCAAGTCGTGGACCTGTCCAATTCTGCTACCCAGCAGTTGAAAATTTGTATAATATCTTTCACAAGGTAAACGTTCATTTAAATTTTTCTGAACTCACCCCAGTCACGCTTTCTTTTAAGTTTTGTTGATCCGCAAAATAGAGTACTAACAATTGGGCAAATGTATTCTTCAGTCTGATCCAGTAGCTTATAGACTAGAGCCATTGATATCAAGACAATACGGAACAAACTTGAAACCGGAGCCTATACCACGCATGAAAGAACTGATCAAAAGACAATACCAAGCAGCAAACAAGTCGGGAAGCGGCAAGAACATTACGAACCGAGCAGGTGCCATGTACGAGTCAATAAAGTATGGATTGACGGCCAACCTGGTGATGCGCGGGCTGGGTCTTTCTCGACAGCAAATGTACGACGACATGACGTTGGCAAACAACAGCGATGATGAAAATGATAGCCAGGGTGATGCTGACGATGCAGCGCTTAGCGCCAGTACAACTGCTACAGCAACAACGGATTGGTTATCACCTGAACGGCAATATACACATGCACGATCTAGTAGCGATTCAGCTGTTCATGCAACCAGTAGTTTCTGGGCTAGCAGGATGGAGCGACAGTCAGGCAGCGGTGCGCGACGGTCTCCTCCGGCGCCATTGAACGTTTACTCAGAAGGTGCACGGCGTGTGCGTATGCTGAACAGTACAGGCCGTGTCGACTATTGTCTACAAGAAAACAACCTTGAGAATCCATACTGGAGTGCACTTAGCACACATCTTCAGTATTGGAAGGATCTAGATGTGGCGGCTTTTCTCACAAAAGAGATTTATAGAGAAGAAGACTAAAAAAAGAACCATTTTTTTTTTTAAAAAAAATATTTATATATATTATGTACATTTTTTTTTCTCACATTGGCAAAAAAAAAGAAAAGAAACAAAACCAAGAAAAAGAGTTATCAGTACTAGTAAGTCGTAAAGGAGAAAAAGGCGCGGGGTGGGCGGGGGGGGGGGGGCGCAAAGAAAAGCAAAGTCCAATATGTGTACACAATAAAAAAAAAAAGGAATAAGAGGATGTACGTAAATTCCCATTCACACCTCTCTTTCTCTTGAAAAAAATAATACGTAGTAAAAAAAAAAGGGTGGGTAAAATCAAATGCAAACTGGAGAAAAAAGAACAAGGTGCCGAGTTTTCTTTTTCTTTTTTGTGTGGTTATAAGCGACGGACAGTGCGGTATGAACCTGTACGTTCACCGACAATATCACCATCTAAGCTTTGCAATCCACGAAGAAAATCGCCCATCAGATCATCCTCGGTGTCTTCGTCTTCGCGATGCATGGAGCGTGGGTCGATACAGATCGATGCCGGTCGTCGCACTCCAGCTTCAGGTTTCCCACGGATGTTGATAATTTCCGGCGGATGGGTCAGCTTTTTGCTAAACAAGGACGACGTGGAGCTGAGGGATCGTGCTAGTCGACGTGCATCGTTGACATGTTCAAAGTTGCGGATGGGTGATGGGGAGGATGTTCTACTGTTGTTATTACTGCTATTATTAGTGTGGTTCGCGGTCGATGTTGGGCTGCTCAGTCCGGGAAGCGGACTCGAGTTGGAAATGGTAGGAAATGTAGTGGATACGATTGGCCTTGAATGACTGATATTTTTGTTGCTACTGTTGCTCAAAGTGCTGCTGTTGTTGTTGTTGTTGTTGTTGTTATTATTATTAATATTAATATTATTATTGCCATCAAGCGTACCGAGTGATGCAGGTCGCCCAGAGCTTGCGTGATGAAGATGGTTATGATGACTGTAAGAGGTTTTGTTGTTGTTGGCGAGCATCCAGTCGTTTGTGATATCCAGACTTCTTCGGTTAATGTCTCGTGTGTTGGGGAGTACAATAGGTGGTCGAATAACAACGCTTGGTGTCAGTGAATTACGGCGACTACTGCTGTTCGTTTCTCTCGCAAGGTGCTGCTCTTGATATTGTTCTTGGATTTCGGCTGCAAGGTTGTGTAGATCAGCGCTATGTGACTTTCGATGCCGTAATCGTGCGGATGGTACCGTTGGTTGCAGCTTGTTATTAACAGCAGCAGCAGCAGCAGCAGCAGCAGCAGTGCTAGTACCACCACTAACAGTAGCTAAAGACACCACAGGAGAGGTTTGCGAGGACATGGAAACGGAGCGGTAATGGGAAGGTGCATGGGACACGTTTGCTGATGCTTGTGGAGTGGAGCTGAAGGAAGTGGATCGCCCTCGAAAGTGGGATAGTTTAGGCGATAGGGCTGATGAGGTGGAGGTGGTGGATAGTGTTGACATGCCGGAGCTAGCGTCGTGCAACGAGAGAGGATCTCCTTTTAAAAAGTCGGTCGCCGCTTTCAAGGTGACAAGTACAAAGCTTGAAAATAAAAGCTGTCAGCGTCAAGTGTGCCGAAAAAAAAAGGGGGGGGGTTGTACCTATGTTCAGATCGTTCAATGCGAGATAGACGGAAATGTTCCATGTAGAATACTAGACTGGCTATGCGGGATATACGGCTATGGACAAGAATATAAGCGAATAAGGGTATCATTTCGTCGGCAGTGACGGGTGAATCTAGCCGTTTTGAAAAAAAAAGATCAAGGTGGGAGGTTAGTAGAAGAAGAGCAAGAAGGCCAGACGGTTTTCCTTTCAGTTACCATCAGGCACCATGTTGACAGAAGTGCTCTTGATATAGGTCGACACGGCCTCAGTAATTAGATCCAAGACTGTGCGGATGCATGTAAGCTTTTCTAGCGGGGTAAACGCCAGCTGGTCGGATGCTGCGGGGAAGGGTCCCGACGGCCGCTCTTCGTCGATGGAGACGGATATCGGAGGTGCAATGTCGGTATCAACGCGGCGCAAGCACACGATAGCTGCCTCGAAGCATTCGAGCGACATATTAGCCATCGGATGGCTCACAGCGTACCGGTTCAGCGTGATGGTTTCCCGGGCATAGGCTCTGCAGATGGAGTCGAGATAGTTGTCTTGGGAATGTAAGATGGAACGCAATGACTGGACCCAAATCTTTTCGTGCAAGAATCCCATGACGACGCTACACACCGCGGGGAAGGGCAGAACAATAGCAACAATAACAAGAGAATTGAAATTAGCCCAGTTTTCTTGCCAAAACAAGCCCAAATGACGACATACTTTTCCACTAGTTCCAAAAAATGATCATGCTCAGTCTGCAATCTGCAAGCATCGCGTAGGAGCTTATTTCTTTGAAGGATAGTCTAAAAAAAAACAGAGAGCATGTGTGTATATGCATGAGCAGCGTCGTACCAAATAATAAGCGGTTGCAGCTACACGCTGGCGGTACTACCTTGTATGTTTTTATATACATGTGCTGGATCTTCTCCACCGTGTATGCGTTGAATCCTCGAATGTACACATACGTATCTACAAACTTCTGCACCGTCAACTGAAGCTCGTGCATGGCCTCCGCGTTTTCGGGAAACATGTTGAGAAAGTCCAGGTCGCTAGACGAAATCACAATCAGCTGAGCGTGAGCGAAGAGTGATGGCACGCGCCACACAGTGTGTGTTCTTTTTGATAACCTTACGTTTTGGAGTTTCGAGCGGTTGGGATCGATATCGTGTTTGGGCTCCGAGGCTGCTGTCGTAGCTGTGAAACAAAAATGGGTGAGCCATCGGAAAAAAGACATGAAAGAGAAAAAGAAAAGAAAGACACAGGATGCAACCATACAGGAGCTTCTCCTTCCAAGGGACGTTCAATCATCAGCACTCGAATCTTTTTCCGTCCAATGTAGACCAATTCCTCGGCCATGACATGCAGCGTCCTCGGCTCTTTGAAGCCTAAAAATATTCGGGTCAGATGCATCAAAACCATACACGGGTTTGTCGCTCTTTGTCTTTCCTATTGTGCCTTACCAGAGACCGTACTTAGCAGCGGAATCTCAATCGCAATCACTTTGCCATTCGCTGCTTGGTACTGCTCCTTATAGTACGGCGAGGTATTGTAGCAGTGCGTTTCTAGTGACACATGCGGATGTGGGGGAGGGAGAAGGGGGGTGGGGGAGATCCATAGGGTCAATTGTGGTGCAAAAACATCAACGGTAGAAACAAAGACATAAAAGAAAAGAGTGAAGGGGGATAAACCAACGGGGCATCCCCAGAAAAAATGTTCGCGATCAGAACCAAAGTTTCCAGTTTTTCCTGAAATAGCGCAGCAAAAAAAAAAAAAAAAAAAAGATCCCCAAATTTTTTATGCAGCAAAGGGAGTATAACCCAATAGAAAAAGAAGAAAATGGAGGGAAAAAATAAAGATATAAAAATGGGAACGTACCAATGAAATCCTTTGTCAGTATGAGTCCTTCCAGGGACCGTGAGTGAGGCACGCATACGACAGTAGAGCGAGAAAAGATCAGGTTAAAGTGCGAGCGGATGTACCGATAGAAGCGGTTATCTTCCAGCTCCTCCGGCTCCAAAGGTACGATGGCAGGAGGATGAGCAGCAATGGACGTAGGGCGTGATCGGGACGAGGTGGACGATGAAGGCGAGGGGTTGGGTGACGCTGCTGCTTTGGCTTGCACCATGGACACAAGTGTTGGGTACGGTTGGTCTCTATTACTTTCGTTATTGGCAATGTTGCTGTTGTTGTTGTTGTTGCTGTTGTTGTTGCTGTTATTCGTATTGCTGCTGCTGATTGCATAGTTATAGTTGTTGCTGCTCAAGTTGCCTCCGCCGCCTACGCCGCCATGACCGCAGCCGAATCCAAAAGAAGTCGAAGCTAACGGATTCTGCGAATGTTGATGTCCCACATGCTCTCGTTTTTTCTTTACACTGTTTCTAAAAAGATAAGGAATTGCAAAGGACATTGCCAGAGGAAAGAGGAGGTTTTCTTTTTTTCTTTTGGTGGGCTTTATTGAAATGAAATAAAAAAAAAAGGGAATGAAGCAAGGAAAAAAAAAAAAGGGCAAGTGTGCCATGCTCAATTTTTCCGCCTGCCTGCCTTTTTGAGCAGCCGACACACTCTAGAGTCAAAAGAGTTACACCTCCTAAGGAACCTCCAACACTATCTTTTTCGCCCTGCTTCCGTTCCGCAGAGGAATTGGGAGAGTCGTGGAGAAACAGGGAGAATTGTCTGTATTGGATGCCATGTTATTATTAACAAGTAGTGTTGCCCATTCTTGCCTATGTCTGTATAAGGTGTATACAACAAAGAATGAGATGCTTTCCAAAAGCAACAACTTGTACAGGAGAAAATAAGGAAGGAGGGGGCGATGTCTATTGAAGCTGACCCATCTGTCAAATGGACATAGCAGTGATTGCCACAGCGATAGGTGAAAGGATAATTGAATACGAACAAACAAAGAACAAAGAAGAAATGTGGTGGAGGTGGTGGAGATGGTGGTGGTGTATGTACGCAATATAAAAGCTCATTAATCCACATACACTTCAGTATGCTGTGCTCCTTATTTTAATATCTCAAGATGAACAAGAGTGGGAGGTTGCCCATGAGAGCCAAGCTCTCTCTGCTATGTAGTACTACTGTACTAGGTAGATGCTGGTACCTTCTTCTTCGTCTGCAGCCCCGTGTTATTAGGACGCCTAGAAACCACGAGAAGCCTTTTGCGGATATTTAAAAAAAAAAAAAAAAGTCGACGCACATATTTGACACCCACCCGCACAAAGAAAAACAGACTCTGCTTCTACACGACACGATGCCCAAGTGCACACACAAAGGCTGCGACAAGGAATTCGCTGAGCAAGACAACAAAGACAATGGTAACACTCTATACAATCTAACCGATGCGTCGATTCATGTACTCAAAACGGAGAGAATCGTGGTTGTATATAGCGTGTCAATTCCATTCTGGCGCACCCGTGTTCCATGAAGGTAAGTTGACTTTACGATTCGTACCACTCTAAATGTGTTTTTGAAGAGAATGTATCCTTACTCGTGCGTGTGTGGAAATATAAAATAAATAAATAAATCCGTATATAGGTTTGAAGGGCTGGTCATGTTGCGAAAAGCGAGTCATTGAGTTTGACGAATTCCTCAAGATCCCGGGTTGTACGTTCGGACGTCATAGCACTGAGAAGCCAGCCGCTGCTGCACCAGCAGCTACTGCCACCACCACCACCACCACTGCAGCTAAACCCGAGCCCAGCAAAGTGACCAAGGAGGGCGTAGAAGTATACGGACAACAAGCACAGTCGCCTGCAGTGCCAAAGGCAACAGCTACTGCTGCCGAAGCAGAAAAGAAGAAAAACCAAGAGGAAATTGAAGAGGAAGAAGAGGATGACGAAAGTGTACCCGTTGCTGCAGGTGCGACCTGTAAGCGGAAAGGCTGTGGAGTGCAATACAAGGATGACGCGACGTCCCGTGGTCAGGGCGCTGAAGCAAAATGTGTGTATCATCCCGGCACACCCATTTTCCACGAGGGCTCCAAGGGATGGAGCTGCTGCAAGCGACGCGTGCTCGAGTTCGACGAGTTCCTCAAGATCCAAGGCTGCAAGGAAGGAAAGCATCTGTTTGTTGCAAGTCAAAAGGGTGCGGAAAAGGAAGAGCTGGTTGATTGTCGAACGGACTGGTACCAGACGCAGACGCACATCATCCTCAGCGTATTTGCCAAGAACAAGGTGGACAGTCAGATCAAGTTTGACAAGGATTCTGTCCTGCTGGACCTGAAAATGAAGAAGAATCAGCGCTACAAAAGGACATTCCCACTCTACGCTGTAAGTTGCCTTTTTTACGCAGTGTGTGGTGGTAAAGAAGAAGCTAACACATCTTTTGTCATATTTTTAGTCGATTGAACCTGAAAACTCAAACTTCACCGTGCTGTCGACCAAGGTCGAGCTCAAACTGAAAAAGACGAGCGGTATTTCATGGCCCTCACTGGAGCCTTCAAACATCACCACTTTCAGCACCTTTGGCATCACTGGTGGTGGTGGCAGCGTGGGAGCCAAGGAGGTCTGTATCAAAACCAGGGAGAAAAGAATACGGAAAAGAAACGAGAGAGAAACGTAGGGTTGCTTACGTGTGGAAGCCTTAATCGTCATGTAGATGATGTACCGCAGCGATTCCCCATTCCACCAAACACAACAGTAATCAACAAAGCCTTTAGCCCCCGCCCCCCACCCTACCCACCCTCCGATGATAGAAAATAAGGGTCGCAGATGTGTGTGTGTGTGTGTGTGTATATGTGTGGAGGACGGGTGGCACTTGTACCGGTCAGAATGAAAGGCGGGCTAATACTTGGGGGGTGTGTGTGTGTGTGTGTGTGGAAGGTATTATCTGTGGGTGGGGAGGGAAAGGCGCAGTTGCATCTCCACAACACAAAGGGCGCAGTGTGCTTCCCACCCATTTTATTTTCCTTCTTTTGAAATAAAGCTAAAGATAGAACCCGCGAACGCCCTTTCTTTTTCCTTCTCGCTTCCTTTTCTACAATAGCTCGGTGCTTCTTACTCGCCACCACCACCACGCGTATCATGAGAGGCCGTGCAAAGTCTGGCAAGACAATTGATATTGTACTGAACGAAGAAAAGTTCTACTTTCCAGGAGACTCTTTGCAAGGTATATTGCGCATACACATGCCACTGCCTTTTCTCTCTTTCTCCCTTTCCTCTGTTTATGCCCGCACCATGTAGAACTTACACACCATCTTGACAATGTCCAGGCACGGTCATTGTGCATCCCAAAAGTCCCACCAAGACAAACCATATAATCCTCAGGTTCACTGGCCAAGTCGTGCTTTCGGTCAAAGACAAAGAGACCATCACTTTATTCCAACGCACCCAGAACATCCGAGCTTCTCCTGGTGATAAGGCGTGCATTCTAGAAGCCAAGCAGCATTCGTTTGCTTTCAACTTTGAGGTGCCCAAGGGAATCGAGCTGCCCAGCACCATGGAGGTTAGTAGTATATCAAACTAATTATCTAATTAGCAAGCACAGAATAACTGTGGTTTTTTTTTTTTAATCGTGGTGCATCCATTATCAACGCTATTATCAGTTTGCCAGAAAAGCAAAGGTGCGATATGTGCTTACTGCAATCCACGATCGACCGATGGTGCCCGAGTCGTTCTGTCCAAAGGCCCAATACGTGGTGCCCATTCTCGAATATCTTGATATCGAAGCACCTCAATTCAGGATCCCTCAAGAGAAAACTGCCAAAGCGCCATCCTTATCCAGCAAGCAATGTCAACTCAAGATGTCTATTCCCCGTACCGGTTTTGCACGAGGTAAGGGCACACACAACGCAACAAGAGGGAAAGTTAGGGAAAGAAAAAAAAAACCCCATTGCGCTCACACACACATATATCACGGTTACATCATCGTTTTTTTCTTAAAGGCGATATCGTCACCATCCACATAATTGTCACATGCTCAGAGTCGTTGGTTGTCAATAAGGGTCTACGGCTGGATTTGGTACGGATGGCGGATATTCGTAGCGGACGACATCAGTTTGTCAAGGAGGACGTGCTCAAGACAACCGAGCATGACCTGAACATGATTGGACCCTACAACTTTTCACAAGCCATATCATGCCAGATGCCCATTCCGACGTCAACACCCCCGACGATTGGGTATGACGGAATGACGCTACGCATGTACTACCAAATTCGCGCCAAGGTGCGTCTCACAGACATTATCGAAAAGCCAAAGACAGTTACACTCGAACTCCCTATTGTCGTTGGCACCTGGCCCCTGGCCGATATACCCATCGACGATGACGATGACGACGACGACGATTCCTTAATGATGTCTGTTTCGGATACCGACGAGCCAACACTAACAACAACAACAACAACACACGAGAGCAACAATGTTTTCCGCATGAGCGGCGATATTACTGCTTTCGCCATCCAACAACACAAACACGTACGGAGCAGTGCACCGCATATCGCATTGACACCCAAGGAAGACACTGTGGATCGGTCGGACAGCAAGTCGTCAAAGAGGTCTGCGTCGTCTTGGCGTTCAAACCAATCCTGGGACTCACAACCGCTTTCACGCAACACGTCGTTAACCACGCCGGATAAATTATCTTCGTCATCGTCATTTGCTCGAACGCCCTCAGTCACCGAACCACCTGTTCTACCCCCGCCACAACCAGCACCTTTACCAACCAACAACAACAACAACAACAATAATAATCGCAATAGTTTCATGTACTTTGATCCTCATCCAACATCCAATCACTATCCCCAACAGCAACAGCAAGACCCTCGTCGACAAGCAACCGCCTTTTCAATCTCACCCCCACGGTCCTATGGGGGTCCAGCGCCAATGAGAGCAGGAGGAATCCACGATGACTCTATGGTTTATCCATCCGTACCGCCACCGCCTTATACCACGCCACAAAACGCCAACGTCCCAAACCATGTTCTCCAACCACTACCAACCCCACCATCCGTAGTAGGAGGACCTCATCATCAGCCCATCCTAGATCATGCATCATCCTCATCGCTTTCTTTACAGCAACAACAACAACAACAACAACCTACCACCATGCTCCACCCTGGTGACACTTTTATGACAGATTCATCTGATGACGATTCGTCTGATGACGACGGAGACTTGTTGCGTATTGTTCGCAAAAAGAAGAAGGCCGAGCAAAAGAGACAGCGGCAATCCATGCGTTTGTAGATTTTTATCTTTCCCCTTCTGAATCCATACTCTATTCATTATCTTCCACAACAACGACAACACAAGTAAACTTCATCCCCGCGCCCCTTTGTGTGTAATAACTTCTCTCTTACTGTACATGCTTTTTTATTTTATCTTGTATTTATAATTTCTTACATATATTACTCGTTATTTTTGTACGTGTTACCACCACCATTTAAGATATTGTATGAATTTGTGTATGTGAAATATCTGGGTTATACGTTGTACGTGTGAACTATCTTTTTTTTTTTTATATAGTGTGGAACGCAATTATTAAGTGCTTGTCTCAGTGCTTTGCAAAAAAACTCGTCATCTGCCCTGCAGGGTCCATATCGGTTGGGCTTGTTGTGTGACCTGATTTGGCGTGCCACCCTTGCGGCTGGTTATTTTTCTTATACCCGATCTGAGAATATGCATGATCAGGAGAGCTCTGTTGTGATCAGGTATCTGCACAGGTAAAACCAATGCTTACCAGCCATAAATAAAAAAAAGGCTCTGCCCCAAACATTGCTTTTCATGACGGGGACTGCTGTACCTTGAAGAAAAGTGTCATGATGGGTAGTTCTAATGAAACAAATATTACTGTAACTGCGTTACTAATGGCAGGCGACATTTTCAAAAGAAAAAAAATCTCCCTCCTTTTTGATCCCATTCATCGATCGTGTGAGTAGTTTTTTTCTGATATTGCATCTCCATGTTACTGAAAAGCAAGCCATCATATTTGCAAGTTTCGCTTTTGTAAAGCCTTCCATGACATTTGCACTTTAAAAAATCATCAGTCTTGGTGATTGTAGTAATCAATTATCAAACGTGCACAATGTGGGTCAGTCTTAAAGTTGGTGGATGGGCCACGACTAAAGAGTGAGGTTGTATAGAATAAGAACGAGAGCTCTACTACGGCATATGAAAAATAGGAGCATATTATACAGACATGCTCTGTATCGTTATATTTGCTGCTCTATACTTAATAAATGACACTGTGATGTTTGCCCTGAATGATACGTGCTAAGAGAAAGAAGCTGGATGACTTGCAAAGTGCACTTGCCATCAGAGAATCTTATCCTTTACGAGCAGCATGGTATCTAAACTCATTCAACAAACCCGTCCCATTATTGTCCATAGCTGATACTTCTGCACACCCACCAGTGTGCTCTTCAAGTCATTAGAGCTTCCATGTGGCATAAAGTTAGCATAACACATGTTGAGATGATGAGCTTTTTGCGTAAATGACGGTGATAGAGTTTTCTACATTGTAAAGCTATGCTCTGCATATCATCAAAAACCGTGTAAATGGAACAATGAAGTGTAGTATGAATCACTGTTTTGTAAGATGTGATTAGCTCTCAATATACAGACATGATCGGCGAGATATTATGCCCATCTAAACATGCATATATAAGCTTCTGTTGATAGGGTGTTTTCTGAAGCCAGCTACAGTGAGGTGTCGTCCGTAATCACAAAGTGGCGTATTAGCCCAGAACCGGTATAGGGCAACATGGATCTATGAAAAGGAGAAAACGCAAAGGAAAGGGCCTGTGTACCGCGTCGTAAAAAACGAGGCAAATGGGCACGAAATTCCTCAAAAGGCAACATAGTCACTTGGGGTAGGACGTCACTTGTTTTTTTCGCCTCCAGACCCCGTTTTACGAGCTGAATAGCAACATAACAGACACACCAGCATCGAAACAGGTATCGGGCGTCGAACCACACCACCTTTTTTTTTTCTTAAACTTTTATTTATAACCCCCCCACTCACACATTCCGTAATGTTGCGCGTCATCAACAAGGCTGGTGTTGCGCGCAGAACGCCTACTCTTTTGAAAACCGGAGGTATATATACCAAGACGCATTTTTCTTTACTTAATTCGACCCGAGCAACAACAGCAACAACAATAGCAATTACAACCCGCTCAACACCCGAAAACAACAACAACAACAACAGCAAAAATTGACAACGAAACAATATAATCCGCCATTATTAATAATTATATAATTACTCAAATTTTAATATAGCACGTGCGTTTTCTGCCACTGTCTCTAAAAAGGAGGAAATCGAAGTTTTTATTGATGGCAAGTCTGTCATGATCGAGCAGGGCTCTGCCTTGATTCAGGCCTGTGAGAAGGCTGGTGCTGATGTACGTAGTCGTTACGATCCACTTTGTTTTGTTTCTAGAAACAGCCTTACCTAATTCTGAATGGTACTTTAAAAATTCTGATAGATTCCTCGTTTCTGCTACCACGGTAAATAACAAACGAACTGAATACACGAGATAAAAAAAAACGATCGATAGAGGAGAAGAAGGAAAGGCATTGACGATTGGATTTCTGTTATAATAGACCGCTTATCCGTTGCTGGTAACTGCCGTATGTGTTTGGTGGAGGTTGAACGCGCCCCCAAGCCCATTGCTTCATGCGCTTACCCAGTTATGCCCGGTATGAAGGTCAAGACCAACACGGCCATGGTCCACAAGGCGCGTGAAGGTGTGATGGAATTCCTGCTGTACAACCATCCTTTGGACTGCCCTATCTGTGACCAGGGTGGTGAGTGTGATTTGCAGGACCAGAGCATGCGTTACGGTAGCGACCGTGGTCGCTTCCACGAGCCCCGTGGCAAGCGTGCTGTCGAGGACAAGAACTTTGGTCCTCTTATCAAGACCGAAATGACCCGTTGTATCCAGTGCACGCGTTGTGTCCGTTTCGCAAACGAAGTCGCTGGTGCTCCCGAACTCGGCACCAGCGGTCGAGGCAACGACATGCAAATCAGCACCTACATTGAAAAGACGATCGAATCTGAAATGTCCGGCAACGTCATTGACCTCTGCCCTGTCGGTGCTTTGACTTCCAAGCCTTACCAAATGAAGGCCCGTCCTTGGGAGCTCAAGAAATACGAATCGATCGATGTGTCCGACGCCATTGGCAGCAACATTCGTCTCGACACGCGTGGTGTTGAAGTCATGCGCATTTTGCCCCGATTGAACGACGAGATTAACGAGGAATGGATTTCGGACAAGACTCGTTTCTTCTACGACGGTTTGCGCGTCCAGCGTTTGACAATGCCTTTGGTGCGTGAGGGTGACCGTTTCGTCCCTTCCAGCTGGGAAAAGGCCCTTGAGCGCGTCAGCAACGAATTAAGCAAGGTTGAGGGTAACAACGCCAAGGCCATTGCTGGTCACCTTGCCGATGCCGAATCCATGGTCGCCCTGAAGGATTTGATGAACCGCGTTGGCTCTGAAAACTTGGCTATCGATGCTCCCAACGGTGGCAAGCCTCTTGCCTTGAATGCCGACTTCCGGGGCAACTACGTCTTGAACTCGACCATCGCTGGTGTTGAGGAGGCTGATGTTGTCTTGCTCGTTGGCTCTAACCCTCGCCACGAAGCTCCTATCCTGAACACCCGTCTCCGCAAGGCCTACTTGCACAACGGTCAAGACTTTGGTCTTGTCGGTGAGGCCGCTGACTTGACTTATGACTACGCACACATTGGTCAGGATGCCAAGTCGATCGAATCCTTGTTGGACGGCTCCCATCCTTTCTCCAAGCGTCTCGCTGAGGCCAAGCGGCCCATGATCTTGGTCGGCTCGGGTGTTGTTGAGAACGCCAAGGACAGTGAATACCTGCTTTCCAAGGTCGCTGAGCTTGCTGACAAGCACAAGAGCACCGTCTTCCAGGATAATTGGAACGGTTTCAACGTTCTCCAGCGTGTAAGTATCTTTAGTAGCTTATCCTAGGAAAAACAAACATGAGAGAATGATGGGGACTAACTGATTACTCGTGGTTGTATATAATATCATATAGGCTGCTGGCAGAACCGCTGCATATGAAATGGGCTTCGTTCCCACATCCCAGGAAGCTGCCTCTACCTCCGCCAAGTTCCTCTACCTCTTGAACGCCGATGAAATCAATGCTGCTGATGTGCCCAAGGATGCCTTCGTTGTATACCAAGGTCACCACGGTGATGTTGGTGCCCAATATGCCGATGTCATCCTTCCAGGCTCTGCCTTTACCGAAAAGAATGCCACGTATGGTTTGCTGTGCAGGATTTTGTGTGGAATATGTGAAATTAGAGAGAAAAGAGCGGGTAATGCATATGGCCGTAATGCTAAGACTACTGACAATGTAAAATATATATATTATATAGTTATATGAACACTGAAGGCCGTACACAAATCACCCGTGCTGGTGTCAACCCACCAGCTGCTGCCCGTGAGGATTGGAAGATCATTCGTGCACTTTCCGAGCTTGCAGGCAAGACCCTTCCCTACGACGACCTCCCGTCTGTTCGTGCACGTCTTTCCGAAATCAGCCCTGCCCTTACCCGCTACGACGTTGTCGAGCAACCCACCACCAGCCAACTTGGTCTTTCGACCCTCCGTAAATCCGATGCCAAGAGTAGTGGTGAAGTACTCTCTTCTGTGATCAAGAACTTCTACCAGACCGACTCTATCTCGCGTGCATCAAGCACGATGGCCAAGTGCACCAAAGCCTATGTTGAGGGCAAACAAGTAGATGACGAGCTCGAGAGAGCCGCCGCTTAGAGAGTTATAACAGGAAAAACCAAGACATGCCCCCCCCACACACACAATCAAATCAAACAAACAACCTTGCAAAATCATTCAACAATAAAAAACAATGCTTTTTTGTCTTTCGTAGAAACTAAATAAACAAAATGGAACAAAACCCAACATAACCACGTGAGCGAAATAAAAGAAAAGATAATGATGGAAAGGTAAAATAAAAGCTCATATGTGCAGGGACCAACGTACATGATGCCATGTACGGTAAACAGGTTGTTCTCAATCTCGTTTGTGAGTACAAGTGCCACGTTGACGCTTGACCATAATCAAGGCATCACCGCTATCCATCGACAGATGTGGTCTCGTGTGATATTGTTTTCAGGGGGGCGTCAAGGGGAATAATCTTCGTCTCTTATTTGGGGGAGGGGGGGCTGAATGGGCTTCCTATGTGTATGTGAAATACAGCAGCAGTGCTGTCAACGGGAGCAAGCCACCTTACTACTGACGAGACGTAAACAGGCAAGATTATCTATCTGTTCGCTCGCTCGAAAATAAAGTGTCTATCGTAACCCCCTTTTTCTCCTTTGCTGCTAACCGAAATTTGGGTAATTCCTTTTAAACGGGAGGAGGTCAGGGGGACGGGAAAGTGAGCGAGCGAGCAAATGACTTAGCAGAAAGCAATAATAACAACAACAACAATGGCTCCCTAGATTGATGTAACGTTCGAAAATTATTCTCCTCTCTGACCTAGCTCATCATCTATCATTTTTGCAAACGAGAAAGGCGATCCAACCTCCCCCCCACATAGCCATTAACGAGAAAGAAAAAGGGCTCCTCATAAACTTGCAGCTATTATGTATAATCGTGATATACTAGACTGAGATTCCAAATCTCCTTCTTATTTAGCGATAGGTTGCAGTATCTACAATTGGCCAAGTCCCTGCGGTTGGGCCATGACACCCACGGGTTTTTCTTAAATGATGGATTGCGTTGTTTCAACTAGTATGATGGATAATATGCAGGCCTAGCGAAGCGCGATCGCTGTTAAAACGACCCTTTTTTTTGAAGTAGAGAATATTGCACATGAAATTAAATGGAAATGATTTACATCCTTTACAGAGTATGTAATAAGCTCGTTAATATCGTACAAAACAACGTTTATTCCTTCTTTTCTCAGTTTAGGAGCCACGCTGTCATATATAGCGAGCAAATAGCAATAATAATAAGCAAAGACCACGCGATACATATTAATCTGGCCCTTGCCCCAAATACGGTGAGACGGTCTTTCTTTCGTATCATGTACTCCCATTACTACTATCGATTGGTTTCAAAAAGATGGACAAGTACAACACACGGCCAACGAGCACTAAGAATAATAAAAAAGGGCTCTCCTCACTCACACACAGGGCAGCACATACCAAACACAAGAACCATCCTTTCTCCTGGATGCCCCCCAGAAACCGAGAGACTGTTCTGTAGACAACTCTAACTGTAATGTTTAAATATACATGTTTTGCGGACCTTTTACGATTGAGCAAGCGCCTGACGTGTATGTGATAAGATGTAAATTAGAGCTTAATGCAAATCTTTGACAACCATCGGTAACAGCAGTGGGTATATAGCTTTCCACCTCCCCTGCACCCCCTCCTTCCTCATAAACCCTCATCAGCGAAAACTCATTGGTACTTGTCTCACATCTCTACACTCCCATTCTATTTCAGCCTCCTTTGTAATAGCAGTAACGAGCCACGTTTAGTGGGCAGTAAGACAGAGAATAATGGACCCATCAATTTTCACATAAAGTGCATATGCACCATCCGCTTTTGTTTAAAGAAATGGGATCGATTCTTTCCTGCTACTCCAAGATAATGGCAGTAACAGCGATGATGGTGATATGATGCAATGTCATCATCTACTGGAAATAGAAAGGTCCTCCTATCAAAACATCAACACACACACACAGGCAGCACGTATTCATCATCATCAACATCAGCAACACCACCATCATCATCATTTGCTGTCTCAGATACGCTTGTTACCGCATCTCCTTATACATCATACATATGTCTTGCATTCTTTCCCTCACTTGCTTATTTGCAGCTAAAATATGCACCTCGAAATATTGGGCACCATGTCGTGTTTGTCTTCCGTACAAAACCCGCTGTAATTGATTGCATATCTTTTTACTCCTCATCTCAAGTATACATCATCTGCAACAGAAAATACAAGAGCGCTATTCTTATTACTACTATTCCATAAGCTTCTGATTTGCGATTCTTTCCGTGTTTTCACCGATCATTCAAAGCAAAACAAAAGAAAGGGGGGTGAGGTGTTACTTGTGGTAATTTGTAATAGCGAAAATAAAAGCAGGATTGAGCTCCACTCTAAATGATCGACATGCGACGACGACGATACGGCAAAAGAACAACAGATTACGTTCTCTTTTGAAAATCAGCAGCGGAAAAGAAATGCGTATTCTGTAATGTTCAGATAACTCTTTATGTCAAGAAATAGGGGGGGAAGAATTGGGGGAATGATGTGGTGCGCTAGATGTCTTATATGCAACTCACTTTGTTTGGATGAGGGGAGACAGAGAGAGAGAGAGAGAGAACGAGAGGGGGTGGGGGATCGTTGGGTAACATAAAAAAAGGTACCGATTCTTCTATACCGTTGGTTTACATTGGGCATTGTACATTTATGGAGTTGATCGCTGAGAGTGTGGGTGTCTTTTTCCTTAATAGTTGCCGCTGCAGCATAACTGTAAAGTTTGAACTCTCTATAAATGATCCAACGTACTGGGCCCTTCCCACCTCTCTTTCTCTCTTTGTCTCTTATCTTTCGCTCAACCGCTATACTCTTTTAATTCAACTTCTTTTTCTCTGTATTGTGTACTTTACTACTACTATTAGCACTGCTACCAAAAAGATCATCGCTCTATAGAACAATGTACAGCTCAGACTCATATGAAGTTTATGCCCATGATGCCGTCAGCACGCCAAATAACAATGACATGCATTCTTTGATGAACTGGGCCTCTATAAAGCATGAGCCACAGCCTGAACAGCAACAGCAGCAATGTTATCCCCCAACCATGTTCCACGCGCCTCCTCCTCCGTCGCTTCAGTCTGTAATACCATCCAACTTGACATCCACGACGAGCAGCAACGGTCCACACTATTATGACGACATCAACAATGTGCAACAACCTTATGATATGCTGCATCACCACAACAATCTTCATCGTCTTTCAGTTTACTCTGCTCCTTCGGCATTGTCGTCTTCCACTAATACTGTAGTGGACGAGCTCTATGGTGGTGGTAGTGCTTCTATCGCTGCCGACGATACCCAAAGCATGAAGAGTAGTAACGGCAAGCCGCCATGCCTTTCGCACGCGTCGCCATCTTCTTCGCTATCGTCGTCGCCATTCTCGCCAGACTGCTGTTTGCAGCAGCCTCCTCTTCCAACGACGCCCGTCGACCTCTACTATCGACAGAACACCATGGTACGTCGGTCGTCCGATTACGATCAGCATCATCATCATCATCAACATCACCACCCTATGGATTATGGTGCGTCATCCTGCACATGTCCCGCCGAGTCTCCTAGTGATGCTGTTGGTGGAAGCTATTACGATACTACCTTTTATACTATGCAGCACCCAATGTCCCCAATCACACCAGTGGATATCGATCCGGGAATGTGTATGGCAGCAGCAACCATGGCAGCAGCAACAACAACCATGGCAACAGTAACCAAAGGACATGAAACAGCAGCAAGCTCAGAAGCTTCGTCGCCGTCATCGCCGTTGTCAAACACTACAACTGCTAATTTTACTACCAACAATTCTGCTGCTGCTGCCACCACAGCAACAACAACGGCAGGAACGACAAACGGCGAGATTCGGCCCTATGCCTGTTGTATGTGCACTCGAGCTTTTGCGCGCAAACATGATCTGCAACGGCACGTCCGCGTCCATACTGGTGACAAGCCCTATGTCTGTTTGTGTTGCAAAAAGGCATTTGCTCGAACAGACGCTCTCAAACGTCACCTTAGAATGGAGGAGGCATGTCGTCTAAGTCCCGAAGTACAAGCCATGAAGTGTGCCGGCAAACGTCGGTATCGCAATCTCTGATCTCGGTGCATTATTACCTTTCTTTATTTCTCTCTCGTTTTTTTCTAAAAAAAAACCTTTTCGTTCTTATTTCTTATCATTATTGTTCACTTGTCTATCCACCCCCATGCGTACCCCATCCCTGTCCATTCCCTCCTTCAAAAACAAAGCGTTTGATTTTCGCGCCTCCCAAAAAAGAAGCAAGACAAAAAAAAAATACACTCAAGCTAATTCCCATTGAATATTACATTACTGCCACTTACTGTTGCCTCGCCCGAGCTCTTTCTCAAACTCCTCCAAAATCCATTTCATCCATCCATTATTCTTTCACTGTTATCTTCATTCATCGTTCCGTTTCAATGCTATACTTATTCTTATTATTCTTATTATGCTTATTACTCTCTATCTCTCCCCTACACACACGGCTGCTACCTTTCACATCGTATCACTTCTCTGCGCCTCTCTGTCTCCTTTTTTCGTTCTGAACCCCACCCTCCCCCAAAAAATTACATATACATTATACAGCACCGCATACTACCATATAAGCCAATTCTTTTACTTTCCCGTTCTCTCTCTCTATGTGTATGCCTTGGCACAAAAAACAAAGTCATAACCGCATATCCCTATTTGCTTTCTTCAATCAATCAATCAATCGACCAATCAACCAAAAAGAGACCCCCTTTTTATTCTTGCATATCTTTATAAAAGTCATAGTTAGTTCTTCTCATCATATACCTTATTTTATATACATAAACACTTTAAAAAAAAAGAAGCTTTAGCCGAATAGCTGTTACCGTTTCCCTGCATAGAAAGCACACTATTACAATGTTGAATACTTTGCATGATCCTAATACAATACAATACAATAATACATACTCGTTAGTAGCAGCACTATTAGAGGAAAATGAACTCGATCGTTCTTTTGCAGCAATCCCAATATTAGCTTATTCTTCATATCTCTCTTATTGGCTGCATCAACCATCCCACGTACACTGCATCAAGTTTGCTTCTGTAGACGCTGCTGTCGCTGATCAATATGCCCCTGCGTTATTGAGTGGGACAGTAAAGTTTTGTTTGGGTGCATGATTATTATTATTCACCCATTATATTAGGAGCAAAAGAGATGAGCAGCATGGGTCAAATATAAACCATTTTTAACTCAAAGCCGACTTGTTATAAACTTCTTTTTTTTATCAAGTAGCTTATGTGTGTGCGAATATTGAGCAATATAGGTAGTGCGCGCAACTACACTTTGTACAGATAAGATATTTACCCAGGATCAGCTACGTCGTTGCAAGTAAATTATAAGCAAGAGTGCGCAAGTGAGAATAGAAACCACGCGGGCCCATCATCATCCAATTTCTAGGGGGTTGTGTGCTCTTCATCTCTGTATCCCACAGCAGACACAGCTGCATTAACCATATTCATGTCAAATCCGAAGTAGATTTGAATTTCACCAAGCGCGTCTTGTTGCCTCACTTGCAATTTGCCTTTTGAAACGAGAACTATTGTTTTCCATTAAGGATGGTTAATTGTTGGCGATGCTAGTTTCTAAAAGAGAGATGCTTGCTCATAATATATAACGATATTGCTGGTGATGGTGATGGTGAACGTACGCAAGAGATGATAAACCGCTTGTGCAACTTCTGATCGATGCGCGGTCGGAGAGAGTAATGTTTGGAGCGCGACTGGCTCCCCCTGTTGAGAGAGCATCCATTGTGCATAGCTATTTTGTGTTGAGTAACTTGAGTTAAGGTTTGACGTTTCTTCTTGCAGTTTCTACAAAGCAATCAGTAAGCAGTGATAGGAAATGTGTCTTACCTAAAAAAGACATCTGCATCTCTGTCATGATAGAGATTATTCGTCGTAGTAATAGCTGTTTCTGCCAACATTGCTGCTGCATCTGTGCCTGAGATGCATACACACACACATATAAAAAATAGCGTAGCATTCTTTTTTAGGAATCATGTCATGCAATGCAAAGCAGTAGTAGCATAACCACAACCATTACTGTCTATAGCCAAAACACCACCATCATCTAATAAGCAGCAACAGTACTAGTAGTACTGGAAATAATAATGCAATGCAGCACAGCAACAATGGTTATACCTTGAAACACCATATCATCGCCGTCATCGTCACCACCAGCGCCGCTGTCATAATCCATGTAATCATCTTCTTCAGGAACCCGGGAAAATTCCGGAGACCGACGAATGCGTGATAATCTTCTCTGTTCTTCATCATCTGAAGTATCAAAAAGCAGGGACTCAGATGAACCCGAGCGTTCTATTTATAAAAAGTGTGTGTAGAATGTAAAATGTAAACGTCAGAATCTTATTGTAAGACTCCTCTAATGGTATATCCATATTCCCTCAATTAACCGTAGTATATTACTGTCTGATTCTCCCTTTCCTCTTTTGTTTTTTATCCACCCCTCTTCCCCCTTTTTTTTAAGAACAAACGTTACCACGGCTAGTATTGAACCGTTGATCAGCACCAGTCGATGAATTGTCATTTAACATGAAATCCATGGAAGAACGTAAAGATGATGCGTCATCGACGGCTTGCTGGTTCCTTCTGGCCCGTTCCAGTTCCACATTGGTCATTGCCATCGGCAGCAAGAATTCCTAACAGATATATTAATGTATAAATATAGTGTGTAGTTGTCTTGATAGTAATTTAATACTCAAAATTAAAAAAATAGACTTCTTTTGCTTTACTAATGATGCTGATATGTCAAGTATAAACTTAATAGTGTGCAATTTACCGATTGAAGCTGATGCTGCCACATTGCATTCGTCTGCGCAATGTCAACTATTATTGTATTTAACTGTTAATAATAGTAACATGATAATACATCATCGTGCTTGTAATATGCAAGCTACAACCACCATCTGGGAGAAAAGTAGTACTGTACCTGGCACAAGCGGTCGATGAAGCCGTTGCTCGATTGAGGCGGCCTTTTTGGCCTTGACAAGCTTTCCTTTTCCCCTTTGATTTATAAAGATGTCGTATGGATCACGTCTGTTGATGAGCGTATCTCGTCGCTGATAAAAGCTCGCAGGCACTGTGGTTGTTGTATCGCTAATCAATCGCCGAGTTTGTGTTAGTCTTAAACGGCGTTGCTGTTGCTCCTGCTGCGGCGCAGTAGCAGTGATGGTAGCAAGTGCTGCATTCATCCCTGTTGCTGTTGTATTTGTTGCCTGTGCCTGATCAAGTACATCCACACCGTCATCGGTATTGCGGTCGCGGTCCTCGTTTGCGTCAAAAGAAGGGCTGCTGCCCTCACTGACAGGGACCAAATCAGACATGTCCTCAGTAGCAAATGTCGATCGTCGTGATGATACTATAGGAGGTAGCATGTTGATGAAATGTTCTCCTCTACCCCCATCATTGTAGTTGTCGTACACATGCGCATCACTAGTATCACCTTCGTGGGGGTGAGAAGAGCCGTTCTCTTCGGCTGGTGTTGTAACTCTGCAGTACTCATCTGTTGGAGTGCGATCGTCCGTTGAAGGTGGCAAGGAGGCAGCACGTCGCAACAACAGACGTCGTTGATCATCCATAATAGCCGCCCATACGTGCCGGTCGTCGTTCTCATCACCATAATTCTCGCTTCCTCCAATGTCACCGTCGTCGTAAAAGTCGTCGACGAAAAGATCTGGTATAGAGTAGCCTTCTGCGTTTGGTTGTTGTCTCCCTTCTGCTATTCTCGGAGGAATGTGAGGCATTACGTGATGGTCCATGTTGCTGTAGTAGCTAACAGCAGCATCGGCACGGTGGTCACCTTCCAAGAAAACGGGTGACAAAAGATAGCTGTCGTTCATTCTGTTCACCTGTTCACCAATTGAATAGTTGTCAGCATCTTGTAGCTCCTCGATAGTACCGGCAGCCGACGAAGTGGCTGAAGCACTGTCGTTTGTATATAACGCCAAAGGAGGGTCCACATAGGTCCAATCGAACTGTTTGATGCGTCCAGGTCGACAATGAGTTCACAGTGCACACAATATCGAGGTAATCGTTATAGACAGGAGTTAATCGTACGAAGAACAGAAAGGTTTGTTCTGTATATATCCACTTTCGTTTCCACAAGAATTTGTATATCGAACTTACCAGATCTGCAAAAGGATAGTATGTTTCAGTGGACGGATGGCCACCGATGGCTTCAAGCTCTGTTAATGTGATGTTTCTCAGTTTTGCAACAGAGCTTGGCAAATCAATTGTATTCGTTGCTTGTGGCTCGAATAGCTTTGGGCGCAATCTAGACCACAAATGAAGCACATCCGCTATTATAAAAGACGAAAGGTATGTCAGCATTAACAATATGAGATACAAATGCTGCATTCTCCTTTTAATGTAGTAAGGAGATAGTGATGATAGTTACAGTAAACCATGAGTGATTGCTGTCGCAGTACTTTGGCTGCGCCCAAAAGAAGTGCAGAAATCACAGGAAATGTGATTGGATCTTTGGTCTCGTCAAGCATGACGTTACTTTGAGCATAGCAAAATATATCAATAATGCCACTGGTAATGAGTCGTTGTATTCATCTTTATAGAAAAGTGATTATTTTCTCGCGCTTCGGCAATGCTATGTCATCATACCAGATATTGGCCACATCGATTGCTGCGATTTCTCGTTTCGACAGTCGTTTAGCTCTTGGGGTTAGGGTTGCAGCGTACCTATAAGACAAGCCAGTATGTGTTACACGTGTGAACAATTATAACATACACGTACAGCACCGTCATTATACAGAGGCACTGCAGCTTCACGCCCCCTTTTATCATTTGATGGTTATACCATATTGTCAACAGCTCTTTTTTACGACTTTCCGGTAGCCTCATCATTGTATGTACAAGTGCGAGAAGTATATGAGAAGGAAAGAGAAAGAAATTTTATTTCGAATATGCGCGGGTGTCAAAGCTCAATAAGAAAAGCATTATCATTTCGCTTTTTGGTTTCAGATAGCTTTCGCTTCACCTCTTCAATCTGTTGGGGTTGGTTTAAGTCACAAAAATTTAAATGAGCATAAGTGACCTTCATCACATCCGCCTTTTCCACTCACTCCTCTCCAATAGCAAGCGCACATATATACACACGCACAGAGGTGAGATCCATTCTAAGACAATAACAAGACATTACGCAAGCTTTACCTTGTGATCTAATTCTTGTGCTGTGTTTTCTAATATGTGTGTTGCTGGACAGATGACGTTATCGACAAGATGCGTGATTGACTGACCATACACACCCGTATTGTACAGTTCGGTCATTTTATCGGACGTCACATTCCGATGATCGCTATAGAGTATTCTTTTTGACGTCGCTGCTTCGTACTCCTTGTAGTGTTCCTCAAACATCCGCTTTGGCAGATCCAAGAAGGTTTCTCGCATAACAGGAGGTACGGTACGGCTGGGAACGATTTCGATTGGTACGTTGACGCGAGACACCGTGCCGTCTGGTGCATTTTCGGATTGGAAACATGTTATTTGGACACGCTGTGTGTGGTCGGAACTGCTGTCGAAACAGGATACGATTATGCCGAAAAAGTGGCTGTCGAGATATTGTTGTGATAACTGTGTTCGTAAATCTAGTAGTATAAACGTCCATTTCCATCAGTCAGTAAACGCACAGTATACTTCAACAGCTAGCAACAAATCGACCTTTTCCACTTTACCAACATGTGATGGGAACACCGTGATATGAGGATGACTGTGGTACTACATCGTTATTATTACAGTCAGATCTTACTCCTGGAGGGCTATACACTGTTGGCACAATTCAAAAAAGACAGAACTCCCGTTTATTTTTTTCGTAATACTCACCCATCCAATGACACACATTTTTCGACCTAGCCGTTTACCAACTTGCTACATGTTTTTCAAACGTAGCGTCAGCACATGGATAATGCGAGTATATAATTCCCCTCAATCTTTTTTATACCTCAGCCTCGAGGGCAGCAAGATGAAGTTGTTCGGGCGCAATTTCCACTCTATCTTTGCGTTTATCAGAGCGTGTAAGCAGCGAAACAGCCTCCACACTGGCGAGTGCCCGGTTTGACATGAATGGATTGGTGTTTTTCAAACCCTAACATATATCAGCAGTTAGCAAAGTATTTGTCACAAGTACAAAAGCTCTATAAATTCTGTATAAGGGCAGCCAGTACCTGCCATTCGCCAATGAGCATTCCAATAACTTCTTCCTGCATTTTCAGAGTCTAAAGTCAATATCAATCGGATATATGTTTCGTCGTATACGATTCCTAATCAGACCTTCTCGGTTGATAATGCATGGGATAAAATGATGTGGTATACGCTGCTAGGAATCAGAACTTTCATCAACATGATGGGCGAAGGAAGGGAATGGGAGAGAAAGAGAGGAAGAGCTGACAAACAAAAACGTCAAGGACCATTTGCATAAATTTACCAGCCGCTAATTTTTTATTTATTTTGCTAGTTAAAATACCAAACTTCTTAATTAATCGCTCATGCCCATTGTAAGTGAGAAATCAATAAATTCACTCGCGCGTGACAAGAAACGTTCCAACCCTTTCTCACTTTATTGACTGATTAGGGACTTAAACAAGACGACCATTTGCAATTAATGGACCAATCGGACTGGTACAGTAATGCGCAAAAATACTGGACGAGTGTACAACCGACCGTGAACGGCATGCTCGGGGGATTCGCTACGGTGGATCCGATCGATGTAAAAGGCTCATTAAACTTTATTGATGAGTTTGTGCATGGTGTACGCGGTGTCAACAATGTCATGCGTCAAGAACCGGTGATTAGCAACAAATATGCCTGTGATTGTGGAGCCGGGATTGGACGCGTGACAAAAAACTTTTTACTTCGTGTACCGTTCCAGCATGTTGACTTGGTGGAACAGGCGCCCAATTTTGTTCAACAAGCCAAAGAGTCGTATTTGCGCAACGAGATTAACCAGGGGACTGTCAAGGACGTGAAGTGTCAAGGATTGCAGGATTTTTGTCCCAACCCGGGAAAATATGATTTGATCTGGTGTCAGTGGGTGTTGGGCCATTTGACAGATGGTGAGTTAAGTTCAAGCTAGACTCTTGAAAGAACTTTGTAGGAGGCTAGGAAGGGTGGGGTGTGGGGGTGGTATTGTTTAAAGTATGAGTAAATCTGATGATAAGGTGGGCTAGGCGAAAGAAGGGAGAGTTTAATGCTTGGATTTTTTTGTTTTGGGTTATTAGATGATCTGATCGGGTTTTTTAAACGATGCATGAAGGGACTTAAGCCGCATGGATTAATTGGTATCAAGGAGAATAATTCGTCCAAGGATTATGTCGTTGATGAGGAAGACAGCAGCGTCACAAGGTAATACATGTACATATTGAGGAGGAAAGGGCGGGGGAGGGGGTTACTGCTCTTCTTGGTTTGCTTTGAAGGAGCCGTTGATCAACAGAAAATTTTCAATGTTAGACCCAATGATGCTTTGAAGCGTTTGTATGCAGACGCTGGTTTAGAAGTGATCAAAGAAGAAGTGCAGCAAGGGCTCCCTGCAGGCCTCTTCACAGTCAGAATGTAAGTCGTCTTCTGATTGTCTCCCTCACCCAATGCTCTTTTTTATGTGCATTACATTTATACATGTTGCATATCTAGGTACATGTTAAGGCCGATCCAATCATCTTAGCATGCGTCTATCCCTCAAGATTCAAAAGCATGGGCGCAATTGTCCACTCCAATGTCTTATTAATAACTCCCACAACTATCTCGCGCATATTACTAATCTACACACGAACACAACACATACTCATCCCTCCAGGAGCCATATAGGTTGATCCATTTCTCTCATTCATACATGCAAAAACTCCTAATAAACAAGAAGTTTACGTGAAAAACAATCAAACATGTACATCTCGGTGGTTTTTCTTTTAGGCAAGCCTTTTTTTAATGCACAGAATGAAACAAAAACAACGCTTATTTCTCCTAAAGAATGATATATATGATGCAATGCAATGCACAAATTTCCTTATTAGCAACCTATCCATATGAACGATTTTATACAATAATGCTTAAAATGGATGAGCACACTTACAGGGATCTCAACTTCACCGGCATCGATGGCATCGCAAAGATCCTTGGGGCTCTGACCATCAACAGTGCAGCCGACAGAGTTGGCAGTGCCGAGGATTTCCTTGACAGTACCGCTCAACTCACGAGCAAAGGACTTGAAGCGCATGGTGCGGGCGATCTCAATGATATCATCAAGAGCAATGTTACCGGTGTGCTTGACTAGTAGTTGGAGAATTCAAAAGCATTTTAGATTTTAACCACCCCAAAAAATCCTCAGTTTTCCCTTCTGTCGCGACAAAGCAAAAAATATAGATCCTCAACATGTATAAACACGTACTGTTCTTGTCCTTCTTGCGGTCACGTGGGGGCTCCTTCAAAGCCTTAATGACCAAAGACGAGGCCGAAGGGACGACGGCAACCTGAGCCTGACGGTTCTGGATCGTCAACTGGATGGTAACACGCAAGCCCTTCCAGTCCTTGGTGTTCTTCATGATGTCTTCACCGACCTTCTTGGGCGAAAGACCAAGAGGACCGATCTTGGGGGCTAAAATTCACATGTTCCAAAATTCTATGGGTTAGTTTGTTTTTTGACATGCTTTACCCCTTCTCGCAATTCTTTTCTCAATTAAAATCGTTTGCTGTCATTGTTGTATATACGCACCGAGAGCCGAAGAAGCAGCCAATTCACCACCTATTAAATTTGGAAAGGGGGGGGGGTTAACATTTTATTTTTGGACAATGTCGTAAGCACCACAGTGTGGTTGAAATGGATACTTTACCAGTGGCGCGCAAGTAGATGATCTTCACCTCTGAGGGATCGAATTTGGGAGGCATCTATGGAGTGTACATGATCGTTTGTTAACGTTGATGGACGTGATAACATGGGATGGATGGATGGATGGATATGGATGGGGGCTTCAATGACTCTCACCTTGCGTGTCGAATAAGAGAGGGGGTACTTCCATGGTGGCGGTTGCTACTCTACAAAACTACGATGCGGACTTGAATAACTGATTCTGGGGAGTACCTAAGCTCCAATGAAAATCATCACTGATGCTCTTTACAGCGAATCACTTTTCTGGGTGCCGCAACATAATCCTCGGGCCCATGACCCTCAACTGTATTGTTACCCTTAATACGCTTTAAGCTAGTGGTAACCCCTTTAATTTTACAAAGGCTCATAAGTATAGATAGACATGTAGAGGATAGCAACTAAGGGCTTAAAGAAGCATCATTGTTGAGGAACATCTGCTATACTTTTTTCTTTTTCAATAATAGTAGTAGTAATAGTAGTAGTTTTGGAAAGGTACAAATAAGAGGTGACTTCCGGTGGGGTTTAGCGTGAACGGCGCTGCATGACAGCTGAGAGAGCACAGGAGGGAGAGTAAATCACTGTGAGACAACAGTCAACAAGGTAAAAAGAACCGCATTTGCTTTGTAATACAGGTATATTCATATGGCAGACTACTACTAGCACTAGCATTTAAAAGTGCAATCACCAGTCAAGTAACGAAGGAGCGCATGGCTGGGGTTGTTGTCGTTGTTGCTGCTGCTGCTGTGCCTTTGCGCAGCCAGCTTGGAAGACCGCTCGTAACAATTGCTGGATGACTTTGTCCTCAGCCACCGATTGTTGGACAATATCCAGACAATGACACGGTGTCACTCGACCATACCAAATAGCTCGCTGACCTTGATGGGTATAAACCACCAGATTGCCTGCAAACGCATGGCCTATGTGATATATCAGAAGAGCATCAGTAAAAAAGATTCCAATCTGATTACAGCAAGTCGTGATTGTTTCCTTTCTGACCTCCGAGATGGCTAACAAGAGCCACTTGAGCCTCCACCTGACACAGCCTCAATGCATCTTCTAGTGCCTTTTGGAGCATTGGGCCTATGGTACCACAGCGCTTATCCTTGCGTGCATGACCACACACAAGCAACAAGTTTATATACGGCGAAGGGTGCGTTACGAATCCAGATGGGCATCCATAGACAAAGTCCAACAAGGCCGTCGCACGTCGCGGAGTAACATTGGCAATGATAACGTTATCTGGCATCAGGATCACATCATGTGCGTTCCGTTGTGTAGAGAAGCGTGATGGGAGAGACGCGTTTGTCACCATAATCCGATGGCTCGCCTTATCTTGTTCCAACTGTTGCGTCGTATTCGCGAACCGGATCGGATGAAACCGGTTTGGATCGTCGCGCTGCCATCGCTGTTTCTTTTTGTTGTCCTTGTTGATTGCTTCAATCAACGCTCGTGCTAGTCCGTCGTCGTCTTCAATATGTGGTGGCCAGTCAGTTTTGCCAGTCAGAATGATGAAATGAACCGCATAACCCGGCACAGTGTTGTAAAGGGGTCGTGATTGGTCAATGTTGAGTTGGGTGGGGACAATGGGATGCAAGGCACAGGGCTTGACGCAGCCCTGACAGTCGCTGGCAGGTGAAACGCTAGGTATTGATGTCGTCTGAAGTGATGGTAGACAGGATGCAGCACAGTCATCTGGACAAGCGGATGGGTATAGACTATTCACGCATTTCGATAACCATTCCATTTTCTTGCTCTATCCATCCTCAACTAAAGAAAAAAAGAGAAGAAGAAGAGAAAAAAAGAAGGGGGAGTCAAATTTCGTGTGGAATCGATCGTCGTTTGAAATTCGGGTCACCAGTGCCACATAATCAGTTTCAGCCTTTACTCAACAGGGCATAGCCAAAGGGATGCTGTTCGTTCGTACCTTACTGTTGTCTGATGATATGTATGTCTCGAAGATTAACAGGCACTAGCGCAAAAGGTACAATGACAAGGGCAGACTCCAGATGCATGAAAAAAAAGGAAAAGATGGAATCTGTTTTTGTGCCTACAAAAATAGTCGTTTTGAAACTTTTCAACAACATGCTGTCTGGGGAAAAGCAGCAGGTGGAAATAAGATGAGATGTGTTGGGTGTGTGCACCTAATTGATTTATCTAACAGGGTCACATACTTCTTGCTCAAGCACACATGCTTGCATGACATCCTAAAAAACGCATGAGGTGGTTTATGTCGAGGAAGATCAATTCTCCAAAAAAAGAATAACACACTTTTTCTATGGGTGACACAAGAGGCCTATCTGATCCGGATAACTTTAATAATGTGGTACAGAGAACTAGATGCTACTATACTACGAACGCATCACCATGTTAGAGAGTCAATAGTGACGACACTTTCAAGGCAAGTCGTCTATAAGTGCTATCATGCTTTTCATTGCCAAAAGGTACGAGCACAGAAACCTTTGTCCACAGGTTAAGTAGTATACATAATGGGCCACAGTGTTCCATGCTAGATGGAACGCCGGTCTTGGTGCATATACTAAAGAGCAGCTCATATCTGGCTGTAGAGCTAAACTTTAACATGCGCGAGAGACTGATATATCGCTTTCAAATCTATAATCGATATATACTAGTAGTGTTAGTTTTTACACGCTGATATGTACGTCACCGTGCACCAGATTCCCTCTCTTCGTCACAGATGAACGTCACATGTTTTTATGTATCAACCACACTATTGTGTGAAGAAATGTGTTTTATTATTATCACCACTTGTAGTTGCATTACTGAAAAGGAGGTAGCGTAGGCCCATGAGAAAGTCCAGCAACTACCCGGATCCTTGAATCGACGGGCATTTCAACGAGTGACAGTGGATCTTCGTCTTCACTGAGACGTTCTTGTTGGAGGATACTATCATTAATTTCTTTGGACCGCAGTAATCGCCGCCGCCTATACCCTCCTCGTTTCCGTATAGCACTCTCCAGTCCACTGGAGAATATTTCGTACTGGCAGAATAAACAGATCCATTCGTCCGGATTATCGCTCTTAATCATTGATAAGTCCGAGGTACTGAGATCCACATCAAGCCAATCTGCTTTTCTTTGCTGTTGTACTTGTTGCTGTTCTCGCTGATGTGCCTTTTTGCCTTTCTTTGTCAAAGTCGTGATGTCTGCTTGCAGTTTTCCTTTTGTAGTAGTAGTAGTAGTAGTAGTAGTAGTAGCAGCAGCAGTAGTAGTGGTGGTGGTGGTATTCTTCTTTTTATTGTTATCCTCATTGGTTTTGGTGGTCGTCTTGCCAGCAGCAGCTTCTTTCTTTTTGACTTTGACTTTGTTCTTTTTACTTCCACCTTGCCCTGGGGCTGATGATATAGATGTTGGTGAGGATGCTGTTATTGGTTTTGATGACAAAGACGTTTTCGGTATGTTGGATTGTTGTTGTTGTTTTGCCGGAGCAGCTGCTTTAGACCCGTCGCCGTTTCCCGTGCTGATTCCAGCAGTCGTGTCACTTGATTTACTCGATGAGGGCTTGACATTTTTCGTCCCACGTTTGCTCATTGACGCGGATTTTCGAGGCTCCATTGTTGGTAATGTTTCTGGCGATCCGGACGAAGGTGATGCTTCTTCAGTTGCCAGTTTACGACTACTACTGCCCGGTTCACCCGCCGATCGCCTTGCTATTCGCTCCCGACCCGTACTTGCAGCAGATTTCAACCCTTTGTCATCCTGATTTTGCTGCATGCTTTTTCGTCGTTGTCCTAACTGCTGCTCATCAGTAGCCTCTGATACTGCCGCTGGTACTGTTGATGCTATCGAAGCTTTTCTTTTCCAACGCGGTTTAGGTAGTGGCAATATCTTTCTCTGCTGAAGGATAGCTTCTAATTCGATCGGATCCATAAACGCTTGGTCTCTGAAATCGTCTTGCGTGTCCATGTCGTCGTATTCATCCGCATAAACGCCTCCTCGCCTATACGTTGGACGATCTGTTGTATATAGCGGCTTTTCTGGTGGTGACGGGAAATTTGCGTGTCGATCTGAGGAAAATGAAAACTTGAAATTCTGCTCCGGGACAAAACTGTTGCCACCACTGTTGCTAGTGGTATCGCTATTACTTGTTGCCGATGACGACGGCGTCTTGGAAGGACTTTTCGAGCCGATTGCTCGAGGTTCGCTGTTGCTACTGTTGCTGCCACAATCAAAACCGAATTTAGAGGCTCTGGGAATAAGAGAAGGCAACTCTGCTGCAAGTTGCTGAACAAGTTCGAGGTGTTGGGGTTGGGGTATATGAGCCGGGTCAAACAAGGTATGTGCTTTCATGAGCGAAACGAGTTCTTCGAGATCCGCGGTATCACCAGAGGAATGAGAATTGGGTGACGAAACGAGAAGGGAAAGAAAATCGTGTAACTTTTTTTCAGGTTGAGATGGCTTCACGTCGCTACTACTGCTGCTACCACTGATGGTGCTGTTGCTGTCTCCTTTGGTCTTGTTCGTCGTCGTCGTCGTCTTTGTAGTCGAGGTCTGTCGCCTTGGCTTTTCAGTAGTATCGCTGAAAAAGTTAATGCTCTCGGTTGTCGCCGTCCATGATCGCTTAGGTAAATTGAAGCGGCCTTTTTTTAACAATGGAACGCAGAACAGTTTACACGTTGGTGAGACAGATTCGCAATAGCCCAACAACTTCAAGTTACCCTCCCCGGAAAGCCGCATAAATCTGGTCTCTTGAGAGAAAGAGGGGTTTGAAGCAACCTACTAGAAATGCCGCTATTGTTGTCTTTGGAGCTATTAGTGGCTGCAGTAGTTGCATTAGTGGTGGGACAGTGATGATGTTCGATGAACGAGGAAGCCATCGGCTCTTTCTTTTTCTGAGTAATGGTGCAGCCACAAGTCGTTACAAAATCGCGATTCATAAAAGGAGGCATATACAGTTTGGCGAAACCGTTTACTGTTTGCATTTCAAATTTGGGTGAATGAGAGATTTGATTGGCTGGTCAATGTCAGAACCTGTGGAATATGCTCCTTGTTTCTCCCTCCTCCAAAAGAATTGAACTCTGTGTCTCTGTACTCCCAGCAGAGATTGCGAGACGATAAACATAGACCCAGCACTACTTATTTCTGGTAAATAAGCTAGTGTACATGATAAGAACAATTAATGTAACAATGACAACGACAAATCGTTATCCTCGCCTATGTGCTGATACTAATCCATTCAGACGTCACAACAAACGAACGGGCGCCGTTTCAATCAATCTCGCACATGTATAATAGCGCTTCCTCACTTATAATCACCTACCGCACTGGAAGACTGAGCGATGATGACCGCTTTGTTTGTAGGTATAGATACTGTACAAATATAGTAAAGCTATCAGGAAACCAGCGACGAACTATATAGTGGCATAGATGATTGACAAAATGTATGTCTAACTTATTCCTGCACTTGTCCGTCAATGTGATCTACCTTATGACACATGCTTTCATACCCTGTGGAACAAATTCATTTGTGTACCGTTAGAAGCGGTTGTGGTTTGTCTCGGATAGATTTAAGCTACAGGTGTACCGACATTAACATACGATTTGTTTAATAGCCGCATGGCATATGAATTTCTCCCCCCTTATTCTCTACAGTGTTCTCATTAAATTAAAAGCATACTTCCGAAATCGCTGTATTTCTCATTGCTAAAAAAATCATTATATCCATAGTACTTAGGTCCAAACTACTCGCACAGCTGCACGCTGCGTTACCATATGTTGTTGATTCCCCTTGTTCATAAATTTCTGCATAGAGCCAGTACCAGCTCTTTTTGAGGTTTTATCGTAATACTGTGTTTCGTCATTTAATTCAAGTTTTCGTTGGAAAAGAAAAGGAGTATTAAGTACTGTAGGAAGAATTAGCTACGCTGCTAGTCATCACATTGATTGGATACATACATGAAAAGCGAAATCATAAGTTGACTTTCGTCTATATACAGTGCCGATATAAATCACTAAAGTGTATATACTTGTTTACTTTCCTTATCCATTGGGAGCTCTTCTTTTACAACATGTTATGTTTCTTACTACACAGCAGCTTGTTTGACAACCAAAGAAGTTGGCATCAGATACATGAAATGGGCAGCAGCATGCTATATATAGACACTTTAAAGAAAGCAGAATCCGGTATATGATTAACACGCTATAACAACTACTAGTAGTAGAAGAAAATAGCGGAATGCTATAGTACCAACATCGGAGAGAGGGTCCCCGTATATACACATTACTTATCATTATGTTGAATGACGACTGACCTTTTGAATTTTTTCAAACAAGAAAAGATGGGGGCGCATGGATGAGATTTGGTTGGAGGAGACAAAGAATGGGATAGGTTCTTGTAGATCTTAAATGAGGAAATCTTTCTGTCAGCGTATATTTCATGTATCTCTTTCGTTTTTATATACTCAATAACTAAAATGTAGTACCCAAACAAATATAAATCTTTCCCTCTATCCCATTCTTGAAGGTTCTACTTGTTCTCCTTCGGTACATGAGCATCATTATTTGCCATCTTATCGATGTTACACTCGGTGTGAAAGCGGAACATTGTGAAACGCACTTTCAGGCACACGTACAGAAATCACGTACGTCAATCTATTATACGACGGTGTATTGCACAGAAGTATCACTTGGAGAGAACAACAATAGCTCAGAAAGAGGTTGTGTTGATCTGTGTGTACGGAACGGGCATTCATTGGGCGACTTTACGAGGATATGATAATATAAATAGCAACGTGTGGAGATATGATGGGAGCGGACAAATGGATCCAAAATCCGAAAGCAAGGTGATCAATAACAAAGAAAGAACCTATTCTACCACATGGGCTATTCAATCTAGACAACAGACCTTGTTCACACTGACTGAGTCATGTTACATAGAAACATACAGTGTTATTAAATGCACTAGAGTTATCGCTATATACTCGTTGATTATAGACTACATCGCTGTCAACGCACAATTGGAACTATAAGTTCTTTTCTCGCCTTCATGTGTAGGTCTCTCGAATTCAACATTACGTCTACCGATCTGAGTTACTCAATGTAGACATTGCTGTAGCTGTACCTCCAGATGCTTGTGAAAAGTTTCCTACGGATAAAAGTAAAGCTGAGAAGAAGGTTAGATCGCCAATTTGAGATCATACATACCCCGCACTGATACATAAACCCGGATCATAAATTCCATCCCAGTTTATTAGCGAACCGACAGATAGCAGGTAACGGTTGGTTACTAAGAGTCTCCTTAATAGGGTCATGATATATTCCATATGCTAGAACCATCGGCATAAAGCTTGGATGATTTATTACTTCACCATGTATGTCATCCGTATGTTCGAAAACGTTTACATGTGGAGATAATAAAAGGCCTTTTAAAAAAGATACAAACAAAGGGCGACAGGCCAGTCTTGTGAACTTAAGTTAATGTTACTCGCGAGAGTGCCAGGCTAGTACTCCTTTAAATTCCAAGTTCATACCAAATCATAAGTGTAGCTATACAATAAACTGTTTATGCATGCACCCATTCTAATTTTATTGATTCAGTTAATCTATAAAAAAAAAGCACGTGTAGTTGACAACGCAAAAAATAAGTCCATTTGTCGTAACCAGCTTTTTGATAGGTCGTACCTTCTCGGTTGAAATTGAGTGAGATGGGTAAGTGTCTAATTGCACTGTACACACCTAAAAAGATGTTTTAATGCCTTTGTGCCATTCTTCTGCTTTATATTCGGAGCGTTTGATTCATTCTCAATACGCGTGAATACAGTATCAGTTTTTAACTTGCTGCCAACAGTATTTCTTTCGTCAAAACGCTCAGAATCGATCCACCAGAGTTGGAACATTATAATGGTTGATTCCTTTTTTGTATTACTGGCCTGTCTATCGGATTACTGCGAATTGATCATTCACTATCATTTTAAAAAAAAATGTTTAAACAAAATATGAGGAGTCTATAAAAAGTGGACGATCTGATCCCCCAGAGGAAATCATATGGTGCCAATGTTAAAAGCTTCAATATGGAACATTCTTGCTATCTAAGCTCCGTTGTAGTGTATCAGGCAACATGTCCGCTGAGGCGCAATTGTATGAATTTACACTGCCGAAGAAAACAATCCTCAAACGTTATAGAACGATACAAGGCATTAAAATGGATTTCGTTGCAAAAGAAGATTATTGGAATATCCCACATTGGAGAAGATTAAAATGCGAAACTAGGTCGACTCACACGCATCAACCACAACGCTTATTTGCCATCGTGGTGATTATTGCGCTACTTTGATTATCGAGAACAAAAGTAAAAGATCCAAGCAAGACCGTGATCCGACAAACGATCAGGATCTAAGCAATTCTTCCAAACACTTCTTGCGTCTCTCGGGGAGCGTTCAACTTTTCTGGACGTTTGCGCTTGTATATATTAGTTTTCAGCCTTCAGCTTTCCAGGAATTGTTCAATATCACAACATTTAAAATGCGCCGGGATTTGCGACGAACAGCTTATACAAGATGGTGAGATAGTCAAGTAATTCGGTTGTTGACATCCTGCATACAAACAATGACTTCTCATGCTCGAGCAAGGGGCCTAAAAAATCAGTCATTCTTACAAGCGAGTCAGTCGCATCTCTCGATCATGAATCGATGCATAAGCGTTCTTGCATTTGACTTGTTTATATCTGAGAGCATTGACGTTGTGACCAAATAGTTTGGGACCAGAGTTTTAGTAAGAATGTTATCAGCGTAAAAAAAAAGAAGAGAAAGTGGTGGCACGAACATGTTAAGCACCGGATAGCGACTGCCATTTCTCCTTCTTCTCGACCATCATCCTTCAAGAGTAAAAGCATTCTTGTATTTTCGCAGCTCTATGAATCTAAGCAGTCTATAAACAAGAGTGCTATCGTATCTGGAAGAAAAATCCACCTTTTTTACGCCGCCATTTCTGTGGTTGTTTACAAATGAGATTACAGTCGTAAGCGGAGGAGATGAGATGGCTCGGTTGTTGCGCGCTTAATACAATTTACTGATGAAGAATTATATATTCGTAAATGAAATATATTATATGTACATGATGCAAAATAAATGTCATTAGCCCATTCATCACGCGTATAATAATATTATTGCATCGTTTACTCATACATTCTTTAATACCTCGTGCCACGCCAACTCTTACCACGAAAAATAAGCTGACTGATGCAATTGGCAATCTGCATTGTATATGTGTATATGTGTATAGCATGACGTGTCACATTAAATTACTCATGGAGGTTACGCGACAGAGATAATGCGCGGGTAATAACTAAAATGATAAAAGGGTCATTCTTCGCCTGTAAGCGCGAGGGAGACATAACGCAAGCTTAAACACCACTGACAAGGTGGAATCCGTTTACGAAAACCGAATGGTCAAGAAGAAAGTGGTACTTTTTGAAACCGGAGAATAGTGGGAAAAAAGGCCTTTTTAAACCAAGCTTTGACAACGCGAATCCGCAGCAGTCAGTCAAGCTTGAAGTCAAGCGTGTCTCAGTTGCTGCCGTTGATGGCCATTTGTTTCAAACGGATCTTGCATCACAGAAAAGAAAAACACGGACGCAACCTCTTTTCTTTCTTTCAAGAACAATAGCAGGGTCCGTGCGTAGAGAGCACGGTGTCAAAGAGTTGCCACCGCTTTATATGCACTTGAAAGAGATCCTAAATCTCAAATAGTACATTTACAAACAAAGTACAAAAGTACATCACAAGGTCGATCAATACGCGAGAGATCTTTCTTTGTGAATTGGAAAGTCATTACCCAACGAAAGATTAACTTTTCGTTATAATAATAATCAAACATAGAAAGCTTCTCTTGTTGATTATTATCTTTTTGTCATTTTCTTATTGTATTTTAAAGAGAAACCCTCTTTTCTAGGAAGTTCCAATAGAAAAAGAGGGGAAAAACTCCTGCTGTCTCTTTTTTCCAGGAAGACAGCAAAACCTGATCGAAGACGCAGGTAGTGAATGGTCGCTACGCAATGAGAGACCTTCGCCATTCACTAGTGGCGCCCGTGCCGTGTGTGCCCACAACGTCAACTAAGCACAAAGATGCCTCAAGGTTGTTGTACTACGTTGGTGCAGCCCTAGGGCATGCTTCCAACAACCTTGCTACCGTTGAAGCATCTTTCGGGTAAAAATATCCACCTCGACTCGGCGGATAGCTTTCCAAGTCAAGGATTCACACAACACTTTGCGCTTCATAAAGTTTGTGTAAATGGAACTGAAAAAGAAAAAAAAATGGGAGGGGTGGGGGGTTTTTGGTATTTTTATTCAGACAATTTTTTGCCGTCACGCTCGGGTCTTCAATGAAATCCATCATTTTGATTGGCTCTCATTTGTAAGGCTCTGGTTGGCTCATTTTATGGACCGCTTATACCATATGACGCAAATTAGCACAAAAGCAAAGGGAAGGGGAAGGAGATGTGTAAGTGATAGTCGTCGTCAAGAAGTCAAATACGCTATAGCAGCAGTGATCGGCATGTATCACCCTACGCTATATATATGTTTCACCATGCCGATGTACCCTCCGATACTGTCGCCGCTTGTTTTGGGAAGAAGTGTCAGTGCACACGCCCAACCTCGCGTCAAATGCAGGTACAAGAAGAAGTTCCGAATGCCAACAGGTTCATTGAGTACGTGAACTACAAGAGAAAAAATGATGCGACTGAACAACGCAATCAGGAATGATAAGGAAGAAAGACAGAATGCCAACGATGATTAAGAACGACGGATGAGTGCTCGTGTGCGATCTGGGAAGTTCTCACGTCATTTGCCCTGGCGGACCAGATATCTACAAGTGATAATGTGGATTCTGTTCGACCCATGAAATATTCTGATGAAAGTTCGCTCGACCCGCTTTTTATAGGTTGCTGATTTGTTATGTATACGGTGGCGAAGGTGTGGCAAGCTCCTTTTGCGGAGACATGCGCAGCTAGCAACTTGGGCGGACACTTTATTATTGCGATTGATGAGTAGCGCTATCAAACTAGATGACGAGGACTGATAATGTCTCATTCTATCAGGACCTTCCAATTCTACAATGTTTGGTTCTCCTGTTAGACTTTGCACTGCATTCTCTATTGAAACCGCCTCCTTTTTACACTTCTTAAATGAATTAAATCTCTAAAAGTTAAAACAGTGCAAACTCCTCGTTGTTGATACATCCTGTAGTTACTGGAAGTATTGCAACTAGACAATTGTCAAGAGCTCTATATAATAGTAATGATATACACAGCTTTGAGAACAACAGCAATGTAAAGAAGCAAAGAACGATATTACTTACAGTTATTTCAACGAAGTCACCAAAATCTATGACAATTTGTGGGAGCAGTAGAGGACAAGTTTTTTTCTCGAAAGGATATTGCAAGGTGCACTGAAGTTCAATGGAGAAAACAAATGTACAAAGACAGGAGATGGCACGAAGAAGAGGTCTTTAAAATGGATTGATTTGGTGGGACAATGTACTATTTGGAGCTGTGTTGTGCGTGCTGACAATAAAGTTAAAGAGGTATCTGCAGTGAACCTCCTTTGTACTGCATACTACATGTGCGACCAAGTATATGCTGTCTAAGGTACACCACCAAGGCTCCGCTTTCTAGTAGTAATGTATATCACATACGACACTTTAGAATAGTAGATGCCCCACTGATCGAAACCTGCGAAATATGTCCGTTTCATGACGTGGATATTGCTTCAGTGCCAGTATTATGGATTTGCATGTAAACGGCAATTTATTCAGATAAGTAATGTAAAATAAGAGTGTGTGTAAGGTCAAAATTAGGAGCCCGATGATCCTTGGGACATTTGGCTAGAACAACGACGACGATAGGCATTAAGTAATACTATTAGCAATAATGATTTGGTAAAATAAGCATGTCTATGTATATGAGCTGCGAAACAGTGGAATAAAGGATTAAGTTAAATGTTATACAATATGGTGGTGAAGTGGATGAAAAGGGAGATTTTGCTAGAATGGCCGGTGACGGAGAGATGCCAAGGAGGATTTTGTCGACAATGAATATGAGGAGGATGAGGAGGAAGATGGCGTGATTTCACTTGGACTTCGTTGACTCGTAGCTGTTTGAAAAAGTAAACATTGAAGTCAGTAAAGCACATGTAAATTTATATGTATTTGTAATGAAAACAAGTACCTGATGCTTTAGCTCTGACATAATAGTGTGATGCCTTTGTTGGATTCCTTTGACCAGCGAGACCCGCATCGTGAATCTCACCGGCACGTATCATCGCGCTGATGTCTTGCTGTGCTTCAGCCGCCATTTCCCAAAACATGAGTGCTTGGACAATGTCTTGCTCCACACCGATGCCTTCATCATAGCATTTTGCCACCTCAGCAAAAGCCTGTGCACCACCCGCATCTGCAACTTGTCGTAGCAGTCGGAAACCTTCATGCTCATCGATGGGTATACGTCCCCAGCCATGGATGTGGTACAAAGCAACCATGATATTAGCATGCTGAGTCTCTTCTCTGAATTGCATTGCAACTTCGCTGAACCAGTCAAATGCCTCCTCACGCAAGTCTTCTGCTTCTTCGCTGAACTCTGGGACCAACTCATCCGCCATTGTGTGCTTGAGGTTGCCGATCGCCAATTCAGCCAACGGTCCGCATCCAAGTCTGTATGCCGTTTCGTACCACTGCAGTGCCTGGTCCCTGTCAATGCCAATAGACGGAGCATCTGGCTGCTGTTCAAGGTAGCCTTCTTCAAAGTAGGTTCCCACCATAAGCGCGGCTGTCGCATCGCCGAGCTGGGCAGCTTCGCAAAAGCATTTAAACGCGCGTTTGTAGTCGCGAGGCACCACACTGGCAAATCCTTGATGATAAAGGTTTCCCAGCTCGCGCAGGGCTTCTGGAACCATGAGTTTCGCGGCCACGTCATACAGATGGAAAGCATTATGATATTCTCGTTTGCGCCACAGGATGTATGCCAGTTCGTATTTGGCACGTGGATGGCCTTGATCTGACGCTCGTACAAAGTAATTCCGTGCGACTATCGGATTTGCTTCTAGTCCACCTCGACCGTCCTTGTGGAACATACCAACTTGATATTGCGCTTCTCGATGGCGTCCCTTTTCTGCTGCACGGCGATACCATTCCAATGCACCAACGTCGTCCCCTTGCATGCTCCTGAGAACACCAATGCGGTAAGCAGCGTCCATGTGCTCAGACATGTCGACTGCTCGGTGATACCATGCTGCAGCTTCTTGCAGGTCCTTTTCCGTCTCGTGACCAAGCTCATAACATTGACCCAACAAAAACATGGCCAAGCTCATTCCATTCTTGTCTTGATTATCATCATTAGAAGCAACTGGTTCCTTGATAATTGATTGCAGAGCTGCAAACCCGCCTTCTTGCTGCAACCCGCCACGACCCTGGAGTCGGTATGATGCAATCATGGTGCGCGCTGTCAAGCTATGTGGCTCCGCCTTTTTCAGCCAGCTGACGGCTTCACAGTGTCTGCCCAACTTGCTGAACGTTTCTCCTGTCTTGATCATCGCGCGAACATTGTTATGCTGTGCTGCAGCAAGATAGAGCGGTAAAGACTTTTCAATTTGTCCTCGGACAATGCTGGTACCGAGACCCCGTTCATACGCAAGACCCAAATGTACCAACGCTTCTACGTCACCAAGGCGTGCCGCATCTTCGAGCCATTCGAGTGTGTCGCGGCCATCCCAAGTTAGGTCATATCGTTGTTCACGTTTTAGAATTAGAGCGAACTGGCGCATGCACCCTGCATGGCGTGTGGAAACACCTTGATCGAACCGTCTTTTGGCTTCTTGTTCGTCGTCGTCGTTTTCAAGTGCCCACATGCCCAACTCATATGCGGCAGCGCCCTCACCTTCATCAGCAGCTTTGCTGAGCCATTGTTTGGCTTGATCGATTCGATGGTCCACATGTTCTCCACGCAAAAGCAAAAAGCCTAAATATATAGATTATCTTTCTGTTAATAGGTGGTGCATGCTTGGATTTTTTTTATAGCGTTGTTTCTTAGAAAGTCTTACCAAGATAGTATCTCGCCAAACGAGCATGTTGTCGTGTTTCGGCGGAATGATGATTCATATCTTCAAGCAAGGGGACCATGGCTTCGAATTGTTTAAGGGCTGTTGCATGCTGCTTCTGTTGAAAACAAAGAGCACCTAATCGGAAGCGTGCTCGTTCTTTGATCCAATCTACTGTTTTCGCTGAGGTGCTTTGCGCAACCGCAGCTTCGTACCATGTGATTGCGCTGCTGATATCTTGAATTGTTCCTCGCCCGTATTCGTAACATGCACCTAATCAATAAGCAAAAAGTTGTTAATTTTTTTTTGCTTCAAATATTCTATGTGAGCAGACTATTTTAAATTATTACCAAGCATCTCGAATGGTTCTACTGCGCCTGAGTCTTGCTCGACCATATCATGCAGCCAGGCAGATACAATGGCCATGTCGTCATCTGTACCCTTGTGTTGGAACACCACAAGGCGGCCCTTGGCAAGTCTGGACTTCCATCCCACAGAGCTCAACAATTCATTTTGCTTGGCCATCTGATCATACTTATCGAGAGCTTCTTGCCACATGGCATGGCGTTCGTACATATCGGCTAACGCCAACCCTGCCCTGGTTTTTTAGAAAGAGAAGAAAAGATCAGTTACACAATTCGAATACCCAAATAAAGTGTCAACCTTTTTATGGAAACTTACTTTGGATAACCTAGCGACTCTGCTTGAGCATAGCAACGAATGGCTTGCTGTAAATCCACTGGCACGGACCACCCATCTTCATAATAACGTGCCATAGCGCACCACGACAACGCATCGCTCTTTTCTTCAGCGGCCTTTTTCAACAACTGGAGGGCAATGGCACGCATATTGTTGACATCACCACTGTTTTCCTTGATAAATGCAGAGGCTGCGCCAGACTCGTAAGCCGCAGCCAATTCGCGCATTCCAGCGGCGTCGCCTTGAGAAGCTGCCCGTCTGAGCCAATAAAGTGCTTCTTGTTCTTGTCCCGAATCAGTGGCCAACATGAGTTTTGCCAATTGCACCATGGCGACGACCAGACCTTGCGATGCTGCCCGTTCAAAGAGATTGGCTGCCTTGTCACTGTCAATCTCGGTAATGGGTGGAATGGCCTTTGCATAATAGAGCCCGAGACTGTACTGGGCAGTCCTGTGTCCAGCATCGGCTGCCTTGACGTACCATTCGAAGGCTTTTGCGGGATTGCGTTTGATGAGAACAACAGGCGGTTCGGACACGCCATTGGCCAACAAAAGAGCAACCTGAAACTGACCGTCGGTGTCGCCGTTTGTAGCTGCTTTTTCGTAATATTCGAACGCTTTCAAGATATTGGGTTGGACAAATACGCCTTCTTCGTAGCATGCTGCAACCCAGTAATACGCGTCGACAAAGTGATCGCAGTCGGCCAGTGTGATCAACTCGTTAAACGCCCACGCTATTTTCTTTTCGATGCCGCCCCAGCCCTGAAGTCGGTAGCGGGCGACCATGAGTCGTGCTGTGTTGCGTTGCTGGATCAGCTCGATATTTAGTTCGTTATCTCCGGATAGGGATGCGTTGGCGACCTTTTCGAACCAGGGAAATGCTTGTGCACGCCGTCCGATGCGTTGTAAGAGCTCTGCAAGTGACAGCTGTGCAGCCACAGACCCTGCATTGGCAGCCTTTTCGTAAAGCTGGAGTGCGTTTTTAAGATCCATGATGCAGCCTCGACCGTGCTCGTTTTGTTCGGCCAATAGACCCATTGCACGGATATCTCCTTGTAGTGCGGCTTTGTTGTAGAGCACATGTGCCTTGACTTCGTCCTTGGGCGTACCGATGCCCCGTGCGTGCATTAGACCGAGTGCGCGCTGGGCAGGAGCATAACCAGCGTTCGCTGAAACAGTCAAGTGTTGGACAGCGCGCGCCGCGTCCATGGCCAGGCCCAGATCGCCCATCCGGTAGTTGATACCAACAAGATAGTGTGCGAGCGCGAGGTCACGATCGGCTGTAGCGGTTGCTGCCGCCCGTTGGTAGTATGCCATGGCTCGTAAGTTGTCCTGTGCTTCCTCGTAGAAAGAACCCAGTCGTAACAGCGCTCGTGCATTATTCTTGTTGAAGAGCACAAGAAGAAAGAAAGAAGAGGGAAAAAAAGAAGAGGAAACAAAAACAAGAAACAAAAAGTAAGTAAAAAAAAACAACAAAGCTAAAAGTGAGACTTCAAATGAGAAAGGGAGAGAAGAACAATGGATCCACTCCCATTCAAGGAAATCCCGAAATGAGGGGGTTGTTTTTGTTTGTTTCAATTTTTACATTTACCTGTTCAGCGGACAGTTCCAGCCACTGTACGCCTTGTGCGGGCTCGTTCACATGGTCGATTAATAACAGACCTAGGGCTGCCTGTGCATCAGCATTGCCTTGTTCGGCCGAGCTGGTATACCACTTTGTTGCATGCGACAGGCTGGGCTGCTTGAGGGCAATGCCGTGGTGGTAGTAGAGACCCAACATGTACTGGCCCATGGAGCTGCCTTGTATCGCACTCTTATGAAAGTATTTGAAAGCCTCTGCCTGTCTTGAAGGCGAAGAGAAAGACGCTGACGAAGCAGCAACAAGCACGCCCATTCTGTAATAGGCAAAGGCGATCATTCGAGTAGCAGTAGCAGTAGCAGTAATAGTAGTCGTGTCTGTGCCTGTTGCCTTTTTGTACCACTTGAATGCCCGCTGTGGATCGGGCTGTCGGTTCGGTGTCAGGCCATAATCAAAACAGACGGCGAGCGGCGCATATGCTTCCGGTGTGTTTTGCTTGGCAAGTCGCTCCAGTTCCTGAAAGCCTTGGTCGATCTTTGGTTCTGTGCCAAAACCATGCACTTTGCACTGTGCTACCCAAACGCGCGCCATTTTTGAGGATGCATCGTTCACGTGACTCGAATACATTTCGGTTTCTGTGGTGCAACTAGTAAAAGTGTAATACGAGGAGGATGATGACGACGACGCATGTCGTACATCCGAATCTTGGGGTGAGGTATGCTGTAGATCTGTGCTCGATAGTAATGATGATGATCCGTTAGTAGCAACAGTAAGTGTGCTAGAAGGTGTAATGACGCTGCTTACTCCACCGCCACTTCCTCCGCCGGTAATAACTGCCGACTCGTGCCCCAGCTTGGAATGACATGAAGATAGTGAGGAAAGTGGACTTATTGCTGAAGATGATGTGCTGGCTGCAACAGAAAATAAAGCTGTGGCGAGCGATTCACTGGACGATACAGTTGCAGTTGAATAACAGGATATCCGTTTATCAGCAGCACTACTACTATTACTGCTACTAAAGCCCTGCAGCTGCTCGCTTGTTGGACATGTGGATGGCGGTAAAAGTTCGGAAACCTTCTTTTCGCTCAGGTGGCGTTTTACTAGACGATAGGAGGCTTCCTGGACATTGGTGTACAGCTGAATCGATCGGCGGGTCTGCTGCTGTTTTGGTTGTTGTTGTTGTTGTTGCTGGTTATGCTTACTGCTGCTACTAGCACTACCTCCACTATTACTACTAGTTGGCGACGACTTGTTGTAACCACGGCTACTACCATGATGATGTTGGTTCTTGCTTGTATCACTGCTTTTAATGTTTCGATGACGATGGTTCGATGTCGATGCAGTGGGCGACTTCTTCTTCGAGAGCATATAAATCTCGCTCTCAACATGAGAGATAGAGGTGCTTGTCGATTTCTGAGGATGACTTTGCTGTGCACCCATGGTATCTGACAACGACTGGTATGCTTAACGACAATGTTTATGTTTTTGTTGTTCAGATGCAATGCAATGCAGACGATTTAAAAACAGGAACAGGAAGAGAGATGAAGAGTGAGTAAGAGAGGAATATATAAAGAGGAAGAAAGAAAGAAAGAAAGAACCAAGAAAGACTTCATAGAAGAAAGAGAGAAATATGTGGATTGAACGTCAAAGCTATATATAGCTATTGTTTGAGAGTGTTTCTTTTGTCGCTTAGCCAAAAGACGACACACCATATCATCCAAGAAAGCGACTCTTATGATGGGTCAACTGGTTTCATTTTGCGTGACGAAAAAAAAAGGTAAAACCTACTGGGCGTAAAAGTTTTGCGTGTGTGCTTGATCACGCATCAAAATGCATAGATTGGAATCCTCTGTGAGAGAATCTTGCTGTATTTTTACAATTCCGCAGCCATCATTCCTCAACAGCAGACCATTGAATGTCCACAAGCACATGATGGTAGAATATGCGCTGTATAACTGGCTCTCTTTGCATTCGAAGCACAACAGGCAGCGCAGTAATAGACGCCGATTAATGGAAGAAGAGCGCACCTAATAAATTGGCTGCAGATAATTGAATAGCATATCTTTGTCATTCACTTTTGAGTCGTACTGCATGTAGTCATGTGGGAAGAAGGTTTGCGTGTGCTTGGTGGAAGTGTCCAACTGGTGAATGTTTTCAGCCTTGTGCGCCGCTTCTTTCAAAAAAGTAAGTTTGCATGTATCATCCTTGGCACCTATCACTTACTCAATCACATACACTCGGACAATCTATTTAACCGAATTCTCCCCCATCCCTCTATTTCGCAGTCTTCTTTGCTTTAAAAAAATATTTTTTCTTACAAGTGTGTTGACTTTTTTGATTTTTCTCTTTCTTCTCTCTCTCTTCTCTCTTTTTCTTCTGGTCGGTTGACAATTTTTCTTCCACACATTACTCTTGCTTAAGCCCCCATCCTCCCAAGCTGCATTTTCGCAATCACACCCAATCTCTACAAAAACAACAAAGTCTCGACTTGTTCATGTTTTGTTCATCACTGGACTGGAACGAATATTCCCAGCAGCAGCAGCAAGACAGTATAGAGCAGTACAACTTACAACACTTTCTCAAAGTTAAAAAGAAGGCCTTTCTTACCATTTCCTAAAGCCAGCCAATCCGCACTTTTTACAATTTTTCCACCCTCTCCAATTATTCCCCCAAGTTATTCTTTTTTAAAAAGCAACAATGGCAGCAGCAATCAACGTTCGACGTGACGTCAAAGATTCCTATTACCGCTACAAGATGCCTCGCCTTATTGCAAAGGTAATAATACAATTTTCTTAATTATTCCATGATGTTCTATTGCAATAAATAAAAAAATAGAGGAACCTAATTTTTTTTATATTTCTTTTTAGGTTGAAGGTAGAGGCAATGGTATTAAAACTGTTATTCCCAACATGGCAGAAATTGCACGCGCTTTGTCCCGTCCTCCTTCGTATCCCACAAAGTTCTTTGGATTCGAATTGGGCGCACAGGTCAAGTGCGACGACAAGAATGAACGCTACATCGTAAATGGTGAACACGACGCTGAGAAGCTCCAGTCGACCCTGGATGGCTTTATTTCAAAGTTTGTGTTGTGCCCTTCGTGCCAGAACCCTGAAACAGACTTTGTAAGTTGCATTTTCCTTTTACACTATGAATTGAAGTCAAATAACCGATGCTTATGGATTGGAATGACTCAACATTTATCTTTATGATGTTGCTGCGGATAGGTTATCAAGGGTGACGTGATCCACATGGACTGCAAGGCCTGTGGCGCACGCAACCTGGGCGACAACCGCCACAAGCTGGCCGCCTTTATTGTCAAGAACCCTCCTGCATCAGAATCCAAGAAGCAGCGCAAGCAGCGCAAAGCTGCAACAGCTCAAGCCAATGGCACCAATGAAGACGGCATGCCAGACTCGCCTGTGCAAGAAGACGGTGACGATGTGGCTGGCTCCGACGACGATCTGATCACACAGCGCATCAACAAGGAGGCTGCTGGCCTTAAACTCGAGAGCAAGCTTGCGCAAGAAGATTGGTCTGAGGATACAAGCGAACGAGCTGTGGCTGAGCGTCTCAGAGAACTGACCGTCGACGGCATAATGGGCGATGACGACGACGATGCCAACAAGTACGAACAATTCGGCGTGTGGCTTGAAGAGCAAGGGGATCCCAGCGACCAAGACATCATCGCCAAGGCCGAAGAATTGGGCGTCTTGGGCAAGTACAAAGCTTGCCAGGTGCTGATCCAGTGCGTTTTCGATGATAACGTTGCCGTGCAGATTCCCAAGCGTGAAAAGCTTTTGCGCAAGTTTGTGACGGGCGAAAAGCATCAAAAGGCCGTGCTGGGTGGCATCGAGCGTCTGGTTGGTCTGGAGCACAAGGACAAGTTGTTGAAGAAGGTGCCCACAATCTTGATGAAGCTTTATGAGACCGAATTGCTCGAAGACGACGTGTACCTCAAGTGGGGCGAGAAGCCTTCCAAGCGTTATGTTGACAAGGAGGTTTCCAAGGAAGTCAAGAAGGCAGCCAAGCCATTCTTGGAATGGGTGGCTAATGCCGAAGAAGAGTCGTCTGAGGAGGAATCGGATTAGTTAGCAGTAGCAGCAGTTAGCCTTTCTGAGATTATATTGTGTGCATGAGCCTCGTACATTAAGAAAGATATTGGAAATAAAAAAAAACCATGGTTCTATATTGCGAATTATATTGTTTCTTTTTGCTTTTTCTTTCAGGCTCGTAAGGAGTAGTCGGCGAATGAGTGGTAAAAACCCCAGGGGTCGGATGGGCAAGCCTGGTAAACGTATCTGGAGAGAGCAGTAGAGGATAAATATTAGCGTCATTAGAATTTTTTAGACGTACCTTAGAGACAACCTAGAAAGAAGATAAAAGTAATAGCATTACCATGAGCTTGTCATTAGGAGCAGCTTAGAAAGGGGTAGGAAAGTGGAGCAATGATCGAAGGGAAGGACGGAGGGAGGAGTCAATCTGATCTTTACACTCAATTATACACATCGTCGACTACTGGTACTGCTTCTCTGCTTTTAACTATTGTCAAATTGAAATGTATGGCAAATCTCCTTGTTCATTCAACAACGTGCAGCAGCTCATGCAGCCACTTTATGTCTGGGCAGTGCTGAACAAGGGGGGAAGATGGGGAGAATACGAGTAAGCTTTTATAGATGCAGTTATGGTATATGTGGAGCGTGTCTATTTATTAATGTCTCAGCGTGCATATCCGCTCTTCTTTTTCTCTTTCTCGTACCAGAAAAACCTTCTTCTTTCTCTCTCTCTCTTTTCAAATTCTCTATCTTTTTCGCATCTACACTTTATAGTATTCACACACCATGGGTCTGTTGCGTTTCTCGCGGAAGGACAAACCGTCAGCAACTACGAGCACAACGACTTCATCAGTATCAACGTCCGGACGCTTCGAAATCCCATCCCCTGTCAGCAGCAATAAGGACACCAGCAGACAGCAAAAGACAGTCAGCCGAGACTTTTTCAGCAACAGCGCGTTCAGAGCCATTATTGGTGAGCGCGGCAGCTTGATGGATGACATTTACAGCGAATTACAATTCGACTTGCAGGGGAGTAGTAGAAAGCCTATTATACCGTGTTCCTCAGCTTCGACATCAACAGCAGCCTTTGAAAATACAAAACCAACACTTGTTGCCAGCAAAAGCGCCGCTTTACCCAGACACCGAATCAACAGGAGTAATAGCAATAACACGAGTTCTCAAGGCTTCCTTGAGCAAAATTATATGGAAGCAAATAGTCGTCGCCAGCAGCTACATCATAACCATGCAAACCCTGGATCTTCTAATAATAGAATGACACCAGCAGCACCACCACAACCCTTTGCGCGCCCGGACGTGTGGGATGTCGATCATCAAACGAGGAGAAAGAGCAAGCAGCATTACTATAATTTCCAGGTAAGCATAAGAGAGAAAATGTACATTTCTACTTTAAGAAAAACTAACAGTAGCACTTTTTCTTAGTCGGATATTCTGCCACCACCAGTCTCACAGCGGATGCAAAAAAAAGAAAAACATCAAGCATCTAGACGATCGCGATCTGTGCCGGGCAGCGGCCGTCAAATTCCTGTCATTAATGAGCCAACCACGGCTTCTGCCGAGCCTTCCGCACAACGACAGCAGCAGCACAAGCAGCCAATGCAGAACTGTGCAACACAAAAATGCGACTTGCTGCAACCAGGCAACGCACTGCATGTGCATCTACCGCCAACTCCACCACCTGATGCCGAAGAAGAAGACGAAGAAGCAACAACGAACCATGGTCACCATGGCAACAGCAACTGTCACTGTAGAAACAACCATCACTATGACAACCATCACCATCATCACTGCCATCAACATAGCAACGACAACTGTCATCACCAACCTCCTACCACTCCTTCATCATGTCCACATAGTCATCATAATCATCATCATTGTACTGCTAACCACCATCACCACCCTACCATGGACAGGTATGTAGGAGAATCAAAGAAACTAAAAGTTTTGTTATATTTTGATTGAACTAATTTTTTTTTTAGTTATTCACCGTGCATGGCTCACCATACGTGTCCGAATCGACCGTTACAGCAACCTTATCACAATCAACATCATTGCCAACACTATAACCATTGTATCCACCACAATCATTGTATGCACAACCACCACCACCACCATCATTATCATCATCATCATCACTGTTGTTGTAACGTTTACTCCCCGCCTCCTCCTCCTTGTCACCCTTGTCACCATCATCAAACCCAGCACAACCACCAAGGTCCACAACACCACGATGTTCGGCGATCAGCATCAGCTGTTGTACTTCCTAGCCATTCCAATCCTGCTTTAAAACCATCGTCGATGACGACTCGTAAAGGAAAATATCGAGTAGTCCAAAATGAAAACAGCAACAATGCAGGACATTGTTGCAACAAGAACAAGAACACCCAATAATAATACTACTAGTGCCCAGCAGCAATTATTTTAAAGGGGGTTGGGCATGCTAGATGCCAGTAATACGAGGCTAGAAGATTGTACTATAAAATATTACACACAGAGACTGTATCATCTACCCATAAGAAGGTGCCATCCCTCCTCCTCCTGCTCTTCCCCCCTCTTTGAGTTAATTAATCATATATGCTAAAAAAGAAACAATAAAAAATAAAGAAGGGCAAGACCCGAGCACACACACATCACGCACGACATATTACCATGTTTATCAACTCCTACCTCAGTAATAGCAGTCCGATAGTGGTCAGTTACTGGCAGTTTCGTAGGCTGCTGCTGCTGCTGCTGTTGCTGCTTTTTTTAAATACTGTATGTGATATAATCCAGACAAAATGATCCCATTAACATTTCTGGGTTACACACGCACACACATACACTATTTTTAACATCTTGGACTCCGGAACTGGGTGGGGTTTCCTCGCAATCCAAATATGTCTTTTCGTATCAAAAAATAAACCTTTTTTTTCTCTTTAGCTCTTCCGCCCTTCTCTCCCCCGTCCCAATCCGCGCCCCTTTTCTTCTTTTTTTTTTCTTTTCGTCGTCTTCTTCTTCTTGCTTCCTCTTTCCCTCTCACCTTCTTTTTTTCTTTATAGACCCTCTTCACACTTCTCTTTGCACACACACATACCATCCAACAAAGAAGAGAAAAAGCATCCTTCCCCCCAAAAAAAGAGAACAAGCCATATATCTACTCTTTATGTCCTTATAAACAAACAACAACTCAACTCTATACTTATATAACATAAAATGGGTAAACAGAAAAGAGACGCCAAGGCGGATCTGACGACACTATCCAACTTGACCGACGATAATGTGGTGGGATGCCTTCGCGCACGATACGAAACGTACCAAATATATACCCGTCTAGGCACGCATCAGCTCGTCTCCATCAATGCATATAAACCGTTAGCGTTAAACGACGATCAGACCGGTCTTGAATATGTCGCAGCCTACAAAGACACCGCCCAACCACAGCAACAACAACAACAACAACAGCCACACATTTTCGACCTTGTGAATCGAGCGTATTTCTACATGCGCCGTACCGGTAATGATCAAGGAATTCTGGTAGTGTAAGTATGACCTCTTTTTGTATAAAAACCAAACAAAGAAAGATGACAAAAATTAGTTACAACAACATAACAACGAAATAACCCAAATGTTTTCTTTGCTCTGCTCTCTTTCTCTCATGAACGGTATGACAGTGGTGAATCGGGCAGTGGCAAGACCCAGATCCGAAATTTGATTATCCGCCATTTGGTGCGACTGAGCAGCCATAAAAAGGAAACCAAGGTTCAAGCTCAACTTGTGCATTCGCAAGCCATTCTCGACTGCTTTGGCAGCGCTGCCACCCACCAAAACAAGGATGCATCGCGCTACGGCTACTACGCTGAGGTCCAGTTCAGCGAGCGAGGCCGCATGATTGGCGCCAAAATAATCCACCATTTTCTTGAAAAGTCGCGCCTGACTTCATCGTCCGACGCCAATTTCCAGGTATTTTACCATCTCGTCCGCGGCGCTTCCGACGACGAGCGCCAGCAACTGCAGCTTCAAGACGAATTCAACTACTTGCGCCACTACCAGCAGAGGGTGTCCGAACAGGACAACCTCGTGGATCTGAAATCTGCCTTGAAACTCGCCGGCTTCCGTCGCGAACATATTTCCCGCATCCTGCAGCTCCTGGCAGCCATTCTGCATCTCGGCAACCTGTCATTCGTTGACCCTGGCGGTGTCAATAACCAAGACGCCGCCTATGTCAAAAACACAGACATTCTGGACCTCGTCGCAGACTTTTTGGGTGTCGATCCGCGTGCTTTGGAGAACGTGCTGGTGTTCAAGACCGCCATGATCCGTAAGGATGTCACGACACTCATCCTCAATGCAGAGCAGGCCTCGCTGCAGCGGGACGAGTTGGCACGCACCCTTTACTCGCTTTTGTTTGCCTGGATTGTCGAGCGAGTCAACAGCAAGCTGTGCGCCGAAAAATTCAACAGTTTTATCGGTATTGTGGATTTACCTGGCTATACGCAACCTCCCGCACAGCAGCAGCAGGCGAGCAAGTTCCATTCGTTGGTGGTCAATCTAGCAGCGGAACGTATCCACGGATTCATGACCAGCCAACTCTTTGCAACAGACGTGTACGACCAAGAAGGCATTTCGGTGCCACATGTCACACCGCGCTACCAGGCTGCCAATGTCCATGACTTCCTCTACCGGCCGTCACGTGGCGTGTGCTCCCTCGTCCACAGCATGTCCGAAAATGTGCGCAAGGGCAAGAAGCAATTAACGGATGCCGACCTTGTCGACTCGCTCATCAAGTACAACAGCAACAGCGCGTATTTCTCATCGTCCAATGCACCTGGCAGCCAGCAGCGACAGTTTGCTATCCAGCATTTCCAGGGCAACGTCACGTACGATCCCAACGGCTTCCTGGAGGCCAACAGTGACCAGGTCTTGGTCGACTTTGTGTCCCTGTTTCGCGGCGGTCCGGGTATGCCCGCCTCCTGGAATGCCTTTTTGGTTGAATTGTGGGACAAGAATTTGGCAACACAGAGCCACCCCAAGGACCAGGATGCGGTCGTGTCGGCCCAGCAGAAGCCCATGCGTCAGCCATCCATGCGTCAAAGCGTACGAAGAACCGCCAAACAGCAACAGCAGCAACAAAAGGAAGAAGCTGCCACCAGTGTCCTTGGCAATCTTCAAGTCTCCATGGACGAGCTGTTTGGTACACTCGAAGAAGCCAAGATATGGACCGTCTACTGTTTGCGGCCCAACGAGTCTCAGACTGCTGCTCAAGCCGATTCTCGATGTCTTTCACGGCAAGTCGCAGCCTTTGGCCTGGCTGATGTCGCTCAACAGACTGCAGCGCAGTATGGCGTTGCGTATACCCATGAAGAGTTCTTGGAGCGATATGCTGCCGTTCTCAACGGTGAACCAGATCGATTACCACGCGCTCAAACTGAATCGGTTGTACAACAGATGGGTTGGACAGCTACTGATGCAGCTGTCGGATCCACAAAGGTAATTTAAAAATAATTTTTGGAGAGAAAATGAACTTTATGCACTGATAAATGAACGTTGGTTTCTCAGATCTTTTTAGGCGATGCTGCATGGCGTGTGATGGAAGACCAGCTGCGGGTGCTGGAAAAAGATGAACAACGACGCAACAAGGATGCAAGCAAAGTTGCGGCAGGAGGAGCTATAGCAGGAGCAGGAGCAGCGGCAGCCATGGAGGACGATGAGCTCATGTACGATGACACACCACCAATGACGCGCGATGGCCACGACCCCGAAGAGTCACTCTTGCAGCGTGACATGTCGCGCCAGTCTGGCTCAGATTTTAACCTCATGGGCCCTACCGGTCTGCCCCCACCGCCTGTGGGTCGGTTCCAGCAACAAGACGATCAGCGCTCGTTCTATTCCGACGACGAATACTACTACCATGACAACTCAAGCCGCGGAGGAGGTGGTTACCGAGACCACGACGACTCTGTGTACGGTTCCGAATCGTATGGCCAGGAAAACATGATGCTGCGACCTACGGCACCGGTCATGGAAAAGGAAAACCTGGACGAAACCGAAGAAGATGAATCACAGCAGTCGGGCCAACGCAAGAGATGGTTGTTTTTCGTGTGGGCAGTGACGTGGTGGATCCCATCCAAGTTTTTGATCTGGTGCGGCCGCATGAAGCGCAAGGATGTCCGCATTGCGTGGCGCGAAAAGGTGGCGCTGTGTATGATTATTGTATTTCTCTGTGCTTTCATTATCTGGTTCCTGGTCTTTTTCGGCGAAATCGTGTGTCCTCATCAGGCCGTGTTCTCGGAAAGCGAGTTGCAGAGCTACAGCGAAAAGGAAAAGTCATATGTGTCAATCCGTGGCGAGGTGTTTGACCTGACCAATTACGCCCCACGCCACTATGTAAGCAACATTATTCCAACCGATACGGTGCTTGAATACGGTGGCACCGACGTCACCGACCTGTTCCCTGTTCAGGTGTCTGCCTTGTGCGAAGGCACCACTGGCTCCGTTTCCGAATACGTGTCGCTCAACTACCAGGTCAACTTGACGGACGACAATGCCCAATATCACGACTTCCGCTATTCTTCGGGCACCTATCAACCAGATTGGTACTATCAGAAGATCACCATGCTGCGACAAAACTACAAACTGGGACACATGGGCTACGAACCAAAGGCCATCAGTGACCAGGCATCTAGCGAGACCACAGTGCACGGTGTGCGCACGACGCGCAAGTGGGCTATCATTGACGAACACGTTTACGATTTGACGCAGTACGACATGGGCGGTCGCTATGTAGCTGCTCCTCCCAACGAACAAGCGCCTGGCAACATTGACCTCAACTTTATGGACCAGGCAGTGGTGAATCTGTTCCGACAGAAGAGCGGTGAGGACATTTCTGAAGATTGGCGAAACCTGAACATGGATGCAGCGGCCAAACAGCGACAACTTGTGTGCTTGCGCAACCTGTTCTTTGTCGGTATGGTCGACGGGCGTAACTCGGCAAAGTGTCAGTTCTCGACGTACCTGCTGCTGATTGTGACCTGCTTGCTCTGTGCCGTCATTGTTTTCAAGTTCTTGGCCGCCTTCCGTCTTGGCAGCGCGCGTGTACCTGAAGAACTCGACAAGTTTATCATCACCCAAGTCACCTGTTACACCGAAGACGAGGAATCACTGCGGAAAACGATCGATTCGATTGCCACCTTGCGATACGACGACAAGCGCAAGCTTTTGTTTGTCATTTGCGACGGCATGATTGTCGGTAGTGGAAACGACAAGCCCACGCCACGAATTGTCTTGGATATCCTGGGCGTCGATCCGCAAGTTGATCCCGAACCATTGTCGTTTGTTTCGGTCGGCGAAGGTCAAAAGCAGCACAACATGGGCAAGATTTACTCTGGTCTGTACGAAACATCCGGTCACGTCGTCCCCTATCTGGTCGTCGTCAAGTGCGGCAAGCCTACGGAGCGTTCCAAGCCCGGCAATCGAGGCAAGCGTGACTCGCAGTTGATCCTGATGCAGTTCTTGAACCGCGTCCACTTTGATGCGCCCATGACACCTTTGCAGCTCGAAATTTATCATCAAATGAAGAACGTCATTGGTGTCAGTCCGTCGCTCTACGAGTATGTGCTGATGGTGGATGCCGATACCGAAGTCATGCCCGACGGAATGACGTACCTGGCTTCGTCCATGGCGCACGACTCCAAGATCATTGGCGTTTGCGGTGAAACGAACCTGTCGAACGAAAAAGCGACGTGGACGACGATGATTCAAGTGTACGAGTACTTTATTTCCCATCACATGATCAAGGCTTTCGAATCGCTGTTCTCGACTGTGACCTGTTTGCCCGGCTGTTTTACCATGTATCGTATCCGCACAGTGGATGGCAGGCGCCCATTGTTCTGCAGCAACGACATCATCAACGACTATCAAATTAACAAGGTCGACACGTTACACAAAAAGAATTTGCTGCATTTGGGTGAAGATCGATACCTGACGACGCTGCTGCTGAAGCACTTTCCCAACTTCAAGACCAAGTTTGCGGCCGATGCTCAATGCCAGACCAATGCTCCGGACATGTGGAGCGTGCTGGTGTCTCAACGTCGACGATGGATCAACTCTACGATCCACAACCTCGGCGAGCTGGCGTTCCTGCCCCGTCTGTGCGGTTTCTGCTGTTTCTCGATGCGTTTCATTGTCATGCTCGACCTTATCAGTACCTTGGTGATGCCAGCCATCGTTGGCTACCTCGGCTACCTGATCTACAAACTGACCCAGCTTGAAAACACGGTGCCGTACCTTACTATCATTGTGTTGGCTGGTACCTACGGCTTGCAGGCTTTATTGTTTATTGTTAAGCGACGATGGGAGTACATTCTGTGGATGTTGGTGTCGATTCTGGCCATTCCGGTGTTTTGGTTCTACATTCCTCTGTATTCGTACTGGCACTTTGATGACTTCTCGTGGGGTAACACGCGTGTGGTCGTAGGTGAGAAGGGCAAGAAGATCCAGACTGTTGACGAGGGCGAGTTTGATCCAAAGTCGATTCCAACCATGACCTGGTCGCAGTACGAAAAGATGCTTCTGGCGGATGACTACTGGAGCGACGGTATGTCTCAAGGCAGCAGCAGTCGAAGCAGCTTCACACATCGCAGCCGCGCAAGAGGTGCCAGTGGTGCTGCTACGCCAATGAACGAAAGTGTGTATGGCGGCGCACCGATGAACGACACTATGAGCATGTATACCCACAGCATGATGATGAACAATAACAGTCCAAGCAACAACAACAACATCAACAATCCACCGTCTCAAGCGGGCTTTTATGCAGACGGAAATAGCGTCATGATGCCTTCGTCTGCATCGATACCCATGATGCCGTACACCACGTCACAGCCGCACATGCGTTCGTCGATGGTTTCGCAGCAGATGCCTCAGCAGCGGCCGTCCATGATGGCGTCGTCGTCATCGTTCATGATGCAGCCACCTCCTCCTCCGGCGTCCGTGCACGGAAGCAGTCAATCGCTCCTGATGGAAGACTTCAACAACTACAGCGGACCGTCGAACGAGGAGATTTTGGCCGAGGTGAAGCAGATCCTTGCGGCGGCAGACTTGACCAAGGTGACCAAGAAGCAGGTCCGTGAGGAGTTGCAGGCGGTGTTTGGAGTCTCCATGGCGGGCCGAAAGGACTATATTAATGCATGCATTGAAAATGTACTACAAGGGCGCATGTAACATTCTTCTTCCTCTTCCTCTTCTTCCTTTATACTAGTTTTCCCTTCATTCTTTCTCCCTTTTGTGTATTTATTCTTCTTCTTCTTCTTCCTTGTTCATCTCTCTCTCTTCGCTCTCACTTACTCAATTCACTCAAGCACGACGTATCTCATCACATATACTATTAAAAATCACTTTTCTTTTATTGAGACCATCTATGTGACGTCTACGGGCAAGCCTCCTCGGAAAGCGCTTGGCGACAAGCGTCGTGATTTCTTCTTTTGCTGGTCCTGGTCTTGATCTTGTGGGACAGTGAGGACTTGGACTTGGTGCTGGTCGTCGTTGTCATGTTCGTTCTCAGAGTCACCCGGTGAGGGTGGCTGGGAACGGGTAAGCTTAATATGTCGCGTGGCAACACGATCTGCCTGTCGAGCATCATGAGTGATCCAAATGCAAGCAAACTTCTTCAACGTTTCTTCGACTTTCCCTGCCGAGTCCGGATCCAATGCCGATGTGGGTTCTTTTAAGAAGGATACCTGGGATCATTAGTATCTCTCTTTCTTTGTTCTTCATAAACAAAAATAGTAGCTACCATCCAATAAGAGAACATCCGGCTTAAAGGCCAAGGCGATGGCCAGTGCACAGCGCTGCATCTCGCCACCAGACAAGTTACTCCACTTTTCGGTAAAGTGCGACTCGGACAGGTTCCAGCTCATGCCGATCTGGACAGGGTCGCCGATGTGCTGCTTGGCCGTTTGGCTCGAGTATTTCTTGACAATCTTGAACAAGTCCAAAGGACAGCCCGGATGGGCGGTAGGCCGTTGAGGAATGTACATGACACGTGAGCGCCACACTGGGATCCCATACTCGGACGGTTTTTTGCCTCGCAGCTTGCTGTAGCCGCCCGTATAGGGGACTAGCTCGGCCAAGCATTTTAACAAGGTTGTCTTGCTATAGCAGTGTACCGTACCATCAACAGCAGATGATGGAGGAAGATATTACAAGGGGAAAAAGAAAGATGTGAGCCTATTTTGCAGACAGAGTGGGAAAAAAAGTCTTTTTAGGAAAGAGTACGGATGATGGTTACCCAGTGCCGCTGGGACCTTGCAAGGCCAATATCTCGCGCTGGTTTAGTTCAAAGTCGATATCCTTAAACAGCCATCGACCGCCGTCTTCGAGGCGCATCGATATGCCGTGTGCTTCAAACAGAGGCCGACCCATGCGTGCTCAGTTACTTTGAAGGAAGAAGAAGAGAAGAAAAAGAAGGTGCGGACTATTATTATTCGACGAAACATGGTGTGCTGCCTGCTATTAAGTGCCGGTTTCTCCTTTGCAAGCAAGCAGGCCAAGCAAACAATGGGAGAAGGGAGAGTTGGATTGGGAAGGTGGGGGGGGGGGGTGGGTGGAGGGGGAGGGAAGAGAGAGAGAGGGAGGGGAGGGTGTCACTTTCCGTTTTCGATCACTTTTTCTCTGGCCTTGTTTTCCCTTCTGCACAGCAGCAGTCAGCACTTAACACACCCGCAAAGAGAGAGAGAGAGAGAGAGAGCCAACCGCACACACACACACACACACACACACACACACACAAAAGATAACACTCTTTTCTTATTTTTTTGCCTTTTCCTTTTTCTTTGCAGCTCTTCCTGCTTGCTCTCTCTCTCTTTTTTCCACTCTTGCGCTGCCTCATCTTCCTCTGTCAATCAACCTGCATTCACTCATTGAAAATCCATGTGTGCTCTTCCAATCGCAGCAATGCTGCCAACGACTGCAACAACAACAACAACGACAACAACAACGACAAGGCGACGGGGCGTAAACTGGCACACGACGTTCTACAAGACTGCGGGCTATCCCAAAGAAGTGATCGTGATTGAAGACAGTCCTCCGTTGCCGCCAGCACAGTGCACGCGCTCCAAGCGGAAGCGTCTTCAAGAGGAGCCGGTGGCAAGCAAAAGACGAGTGCAAGGTTGGTTGGGTTCTTCCTATTGTTACATAAATTTTTACCGCGGGTTTTATTTTCGTTTTGGTGGTTGCTGCTTTCAATCAACCCTTTTGCTAAGACCCAAACGCTAATTCGCTCCCCTTAAAACCCAACAACCACCACCACCACCACCGAACGCAACCTACTAGCCGAGCCACCACCGGCCGCCAGTCTCAAGGTAAGCTGCAGACTGTCTTTCCAATCAACACAGGACCCTGCTCATTCCCTTCCCCCCTCCCTCCACCCCTCCTACACACAGACTAACCAAGTCGGTTTAAAAGTACCCATGCGTCGTCGATAAAGACGGCCATCTTGTCTTCCGGGCCAATTATGTCCTCAAGGGCCGATGTAAGTCTTTTCCCATGGTTACCTGTCGGATGGCTTTTTGAGTGGGTGACGTGGTGTTCTTGATTGAAGTTCGTCTCTCCTTTATTCCGGGTAACCCCACACAGCACACACCATCCCACTCACTAAAACCCTAACCCTACCCCCCCCCCTTTTCCCATGCAAAATATTCCAGACAAGGCCGTGGCTGAACTGGGCAAAGGCACCTTTGGCCAGGTGTTCAAATGCAAAGATTTGCTCTTTGGCAACTATGTAGCCGTCAAGGTCATCCGCGCGATTCCAAAGTACCGCGAGGCCAGCAAGATCGAAATCCGTGTCCTTGAAACACTCAAGGAACATGATCCCACCAACCAGTAGTAAGTGCACCATCTTGTTGTTACTGCTCTTGTTTGATATTCACACTTGCATTTCGCATATCGTTTTAGTCAGTGCATCCAGCTCCATTCTACGTTCACCCATTATGATCATGTCTGCATGGTCTTTGATATGCTCGACCAGTCCGTCTTTGATTTCCTCAAGTTCAACAATTTCCATCCGTTCCCACTGGCCCACGTGCAAGACATGGCCCGTCAGATTTTGCGCAGTGTTGCATGTAAGCCTTTGCCTTCCTTCCATTGCTGCTGCTATCTACTGTCTACATCGAATAAAAAGACTTACCAACTACTTTGAAGATATGCACGGACAAAATCTAGTCCATACCGATCTAAAGCCAGAAAATATCATGCTGGTCAATAGCGCCAGTCGGACCACTTCTGTGCGAACCATTGAAAATGGCAAAGCACAGGTTAGCTAGAACATAAAGAAAAAGAACTTGTCGGGAATACTCACACAGACTTCTTCTACTACTGCTAAATAGAAATGGGACAAACAAGTACTCCTCAACACAGAAATCCAGCTGATTGACTTTGGCTCAGCCACGTTTGAGGACGAATATCATTCATCCATCGTCTCAACACGCCACTATCGCGCACCAGAGATCATCCTGGGCACCGGCTGGTCCTACCCATGCGACATCTGGTCCATCGGCTGTGTCCTTGTCGAGCTCTTTACTGGCGATGCCCTCTTCCAAACACACGAAAACCTGGAGCACCTGGCCATGATGGAGGTTGTCCTGGGCAAAATTCCAGTGCATATCATCCGAAATGCAAGTTCAGACGCCAAAAAGTACTTTTCCAATGGCCGCACACGATACCCTGACAAAACCACAAGTGTCAAATCTCGCGAATATTTTGCAGAGACAAAGCCTCTTGCTGTAAGTAGGCGCTAATTCTAGTTGCGCCGCACTGACATTTTGTTCATGTGTGTGTGTGTGTAGGCTGCTGTTGACAACTAACAATGAACCGCCGAATTTATTTTAGGAAAAAATATCACCCACGACACAGTACAATCGGCTATTTCTAGACCTGTTGCGTAAAATGCTCATGTACGACCCTAAAAAGCGCATCACTCCAGGGCAAGCGCTTAACCATCCATTCTTACACACCCGTTTCGACGACTTTGGACATGTTGAGGAGCCTACGCCTCCACTTTCGTCTGCAGAAGATTCACAAAACTGAGAAGAAGAAGCATGATCCTTTTAGCCTCCCCACCTCCTCATCATCATCACTTACTAGTCGTATTTACTTTACGCTGACGAAGAAAAAAAGAGAGAGAGAGACCCATCGCTTTTGTTTTTTTTTTCTATCCAACGCACTGCTGTACATTCACACACACAAACACACACACATGTACACATACGCGCGAACACACACACAAGAGTACGCATTATATACTTCCATCACCATCATCATCCATCCGTCGTGCATTTGATGATACGCACACCAAGTGTGGCGTACTTGTTACTGCTGCTTCTTGTTGTGGTGATAAATAGTGTGGCTGATAGCGAAATTGTAACAACCTTTCTTAATGCAGCGGCGCCTTTTCGTGCAGTGTTGCAACCGACTGTTCATGGCTTCTACCAAAATCTCGAGCCGTGAGTTCCTATTTTTTTTTTCCTTGCATTTGTAAAAAAAGAAAACCCACTGCATTTCTAATTGGACAAACATCCCCACATTCTAAACTAAACACTTTCTTTTTTCTCTTCCCTTGACGCCTGAAAAACTCGCCACCGGAAAATATATAGTCACTGTGGAACAGACGAACCCTTTGGAAGTAGGCAAACAAGCCAAATATGTCATTCGACACGCCGAGAATATGAATGGCAACGATTTCATCTTGTCTTTTCCACGAGGTAAGAAAAAGAAGAAAAAGAAACTCAAACTACATCTAATGGTGTTGTTGTATCCCACAATAAAACAGGCGCTTACACCGGTATGCGAACAGTTCAAAAAACAGCTGTGGTTGAACTTTTGTCGCATTTGAAACGGTTAAGCAGTTCGCTTTCGCTAATGAAGTTTGTGCCTGAAAACAACAACGACAGCGCTAATGGTACCGAGCCCAAACATGTAAGCAGCGAGCTATCGTCGTTTCGTGACCCGTTGAAGCTCGAGGAAAAGCTTGTGCCACTGCTAAAAGAAGGTCTGTCGTCCTTCAAGCATGGCGAGCAAGAGACTAAGATCACGATCATTATTGCCTACTCTCACGAGGTAAAAATATCTAAAAGGATAATTCCTCCCTGTCTCTGTCTCTGTGTGCTTGTTTGCTAAGAGAATTCACTTGACTGTTATTATGAACCTGTAGCAAGGGAAACCATGCTTTGCCGCACAATTCTTGCCATTGGCGGCACCCGTACAACAACGGGTCAAAGTGAAAGTGGAAAACAAGACACGTAATACGCCTGTAGTGAAGGATTCTCAATGGGTCAGGTATATAAAAAGAATACTACCTATGGGGAGAGGAAGTGTGGGTAATGACACCAATTTTTGCATAGGGAACGAGCTGGACTGGAAAAGAGCAAAGCACAGGATGTCAATGAAGTCGTGCTGACCGACGATACCGGGAACTTGTACGAAGGCATGTCGTCCAATTTCTTTGCAGTCAAGACAGACGAGCGTGGCAAGGCCGTGGTAATGTGTGCACCCCTTGAACATGTGCTGCTAGGCACGGTCATGAAAATCGTAATGAGTGTCTGTGAAAAGCACCACATTCCGATCGAGTGGCGTTTCCCGCAGATTGCGGACGCACGGGCCAACAAATGGCAAGGCTGTTTTATAACCAGTTGAGTTTCCCAACTCTCAAATCGAGAAAGTATCTCCATTACATGCAATAACAGGCTAATTTCTTCTTCGTTGTTTAGGTACTTCACGATTGCTGTTGCCCATTGAAGGTCTTTATTTCAATGATGGAAGGTTAGTTAGAAAAACCGGGGGGGGGGGGTAAGGGAGGATGTTAAAAAGAGTGGAGAGTAGGGCAGGAGGAGACAACTAAACCGGATGTGTCGTAGTGCACCAATTCTTTTTCCGGAAGCATCCGAAACCATTGAATTCTTAAGGCATCAAGTGCAGCAAGAAATATACAAAAGTGCATACAAGATTTGCCAAGGATAAAAAAGGCACATCTATACAACAGCAGCCATGTTCTAATTACATCATTATGACGTCGTTGTCGTGCGACGCAAATCAAATTCAATTATGAAAATCACCTCCTCCGTTGTAGATATTTTCGCATAATAGCGCAGCGGCTGTCCGTCCCAATATTTGAGAACGTCCATCTCGAATCCAGGCACTTTGACAGTACACTTGTTGAAATCAATGTATGGGTTCGAGAACTGCATGTTCCATACTTGATTTGGGCCAACATCAACTGCCTTGCGGTTTTGTGGATACTTGAAGAACGCACGACGGTCTTCGGGTGTTTTAAGGTCCATGGACAATGCAGTGATATTTTCTTGAACAGACTCACCATTGGGTGATGGCCAAGTTACCGTTGTTGTTGCTGTGTTTTCTTCTTCTTTCCGTTGTTGTTGTTGTTGTTGTTGTTGTTGTTGTCCTGGTAATGACAATGAGGAGTATGGTTCAACCTGGATCTGGTTCATTGTGATAATGAGAGGACTGAATGCATACGGTTTTGGATCCTTTAAATTAGCCTGTAAACCGGGATCCCACCATTGTGCAAATTTGAGCAACAAGGAGCTGCCAAAGGGGAGTTGCAACGGTCGTTCAAACTGGTTACCGAATTGAATATCGTCAGCGGTGATACAAGGCTGTTCTAGAAGAAACCGACCACAGATCTGTATGCAGAACAAATCTGTGTTGTTTTCGTCGTCAAAGTATTTGCTGTGGGGTGCGTCTGGGTAATCGCGTATACGTGCTGTAATGTAGCCGTCAAACTTGTCGGTTTGGATCCGTCCAGGATGGGCATCGTCATTGATTGTAATAGGTTTGAGTGTGTCCAGCGATGCACCTATACGGACGGTAAGATCGAGGTTGCTCATACTATTTTACTGAATTATATTTGTAGGAAGAAGAAAATCAAGAGAGACGTGAAAGGAGTAATACGTCATGTTGTTCCATGTTTCTTTGTCCTATTTGCTAGAAAGTGGACTTATTTACTATTATGCAGACATTTTACTGTTAAACCCCGACGACCTTTGTGATGTGCTGAAATGGATCAGTGTGCATAACTCACCTCTCTCACCACCGGGACAACAGTGGAGTCATTTGGCTCTTGCCTAATCTCGAGCCTAAATAACAGCAAAGACATATCTATTAATTTGGCTTCTGGCAACTGAATCGATGATGACAATGAGAAAGAGTTTACGATCTCCCAACTCGCACGTGATCTGTAATGTTATTGTGCCTATAACTAGACTAAAATGCACAAACTGAAGCCGATCATAATCTGAGTAATAACAAAGAATCTATTGCGTTATCCTAAAAAGCACCATTATAAATTTACTGCAGTAAGATACTGTAGCAGCCATGTACGCAGGTAATCGTCACTAAAAATACAAAGTATATACGCAGGCTGAATTTAGATATATCATTCTAAATAGAATATCCAGATTAACAACAAAAGCATGCTGTGCCAAGTTCTAGATTTTTTGACAATAGATATCGATTGAACCCCGGTCTTCGGCAACACTGTCATCACTTGATAAGTTTGATAAACTGGATGTACAAAGATAAATCGACCCAAAATGAGTTACGGCAGCTGTCAAACTTGCTGTTTTTGAATTCGGTGTATCATAAATGTACGGAGCCTCTGAGCTAAAGTTCATTACACTGCTCGCGTGTTGCCCTTATTCGACTTCTATGCTCTTATTACTGTATTTATCTTGTTTGTAATCTAGTACTGTATGCATATAGGTTAATTGGATATCATATTGTACAAAGGATAACGATTAATTCATAAATCAAAAAACAACTTTCGCTTCACCCATTCGTTTTTAGGATTGATTTTTCAAACACTTATATTAAGAACACTCCACGGCCTCCACCACCGAACTACATACAGACGACCCCTTTTACTTTCAACCCCGTTAGCTTTGACCCCTCGCTATGATATCTTCAAGTTTGTTGGAGTTATCAAACAAACAAGATTAGCAAGGATTACAAGTTGTTAACGCCTACCTTCAACCCTCACTAATTTCACACAAAATTTAGAATTGCGCGCTATGTAATTAACGAGGATCTACTGTGCTTGAGTATAGCAACCTAGGTCTCTTGGCAATAATTAAGATAAATTGCATACATCAGTTTGACGAAAAGCCACTGGTTGTGAGCCTATTTGGATATGCTCGTATCATACGATGATAATTCTTGCAACACATCAAGCATTTTAGATAGAGTGGAATCCAGGAAATAACAAATAATGAAGTGGGCTCCTTAAGGCTTTTTTTCTCTTTTATCTTTTTTGCAGAGACCGGCTAAATACTTTTTCTTTAAAACATATGATACTCCCTTTCACTTTTGTATCAAATACAGTATCAGGAGAAGCTACGGCACATTTATAACTCACAGTTGCTGATAATGATACTACTATCTAGTGAGAACTATACACAAGTTGACCCTTAGTAACATCGGAAGCGCAAAATTGACGAATATAACTCACTACATATGTATGTATACTACACATGTATCGCAGAACCATGCTGTTGTGATGTAGTAGGAGTAATATGCTAATTACATGGTCTATATGTAATCCCATCACATATTCTAACTTACTCTCTTTTATAATGTCTCCTGCCCATAATTAATATGTAAGCATTTTAGTGGTCTCGAATGATGATTCTTTTCATTAAGGGAGTATGTAACATAGTGGTAGTTCAAGCAAAAGTAATGAAAACTACGTTGCGCTACCTTTATTTTACGTGTATGTATGCATATTTTGATCTTGTGTGGTGGCGTTCGGCGCGCCGATGTGACCTATTAGTGAACTACCCTTCGTAACAGATGCTTTTGTTGTTTTGCATGTCACTTTTTTATTTTGGTGTGCGATTTAATTGGGTACATTTAATTTATTGTATAAAGTATAAAGTAATAATGATAATAATAGTAGATAGAAATGACCACTACTAGGGATTAGTACGTACTCATCTCCAGTCCTATAAATGATACAGTAGTCAGTTCTGAATCGCGGTAATGATAGCCCTTGTTCTTCTTTCACAATTCTCACAAAGTCCTTCAATTGCGGTGCTCTTCTATATCTCTTCATTTCGTGAGACTGGTGTGTAGTTGCTTTTATTTTCCTGTTGTGAGGGGAGCCAAAAGGTTTTTGTGTGACCTACAGATCACTAGTGTCCCGCCTTTCGTTAATTTTGACATTTACATACGACATAAGTGAGTCTCTCACTGTGGTTACTTAGTCTATCATTGCCATTCTCATTGACAAACATTATCGTTTTGTAATAGGAATACGAAAGGCGTTGCCTTGTGGTAGAACTACCCATAATAAGTATATCATTTCAAGCACGAAGGCATGTGAAGGCGATTTAAGGCTTTTTACATGTTGGGGCGCTCATATAACTATTGGGAATTACTACGCGCACGACAAAAATTGACCTCGCGCACGACATTTTTTTTGGTAGTTTAGTATTCCGCAGTTGTCGTGCGCACCGTCTCTTGCACAGCCTGAAAGACCCGCGCACGACAAAATCTGATCTCGCGCAACGACAATTTTTTTGGCAGTTGTCGTTTACCTCAACGTACTCGACGATTTATGTTCTTTTTGTCTCATATTTAAGCTCTTGTGCCTTGTCTCCGGATTTAATTGTTCTTGTTCTTCGCCCTCCAAATATTCAACAATTTGGTTGACACATTATTATCATCTTTCGTTATATATACGTCGAATATTACACTGACCGTCAAAAATAATTTTATTTGAATAGAATTACATGACAGCCCTAGCTCTGGCAAGTTTTGGAACACGAAACACAGGATATGTCTTTGCAGCCAATACCATCGTCATTGATATTAAATTGGTGACAACACTTGGTGCACCGGCTACCCACTTTTCTATGGTCTTGGCTACGTCTTTTTGTGTTGACTAAGAAATCGTCTCGCTTGTGCTTCAATATATTATAATACTTATGTTGGCACAAAGTTGTTTGCTTGCCATTTGGATACACGGTATGTTAACGTTCCAGTTACTCGGCATATATCATCATAGTTCTGTCGTGCGCAGGGTCTTTCAAACTGTGCGAGAGACCGTGCGCACGACAACTGCCAAAAAAAATGTCGTGCGCGAGGTCAATTTTTGTCGTGCGCGTAGTAATTCCCTAACTATTACCATCTTGCTGTAAGTGAGCGGTTTCTTCCATTTCTTCTAACACATGGTGGGGACGGATCTCGCAAAACAAAACAACTGGGCTCGTCGTCATGGAACGCGAGTCAAAACGCGTCACGTTAATCAAAACTTGTTGTCTCAATGTGTATCGTTTCGTTACGGCTAACCAGCGAAGAAATCCTAAATCTAGCTTCTTCGACCGCATATACACACACAATTGCTTGCAGAACAATGTCCGCTTTAAATATCTTCTCACGGAACGCGGCGTCGTACAGAGCCACGATAATTGCTGTGTACTTAATGTAACTTGCGGCGCATAACATTAAAGTGTACCAGATTGAAACCGGTAGTAGTAGCAGTAGCAAGTGATTTCATTTAAGGCTGCTATCTAATCACGATTATCACCAAAATCAATCTTTCTCCTTAGCTTGTCAGTCACATGAATGGTGTGTGGTTCTATAACTCCCTGTAGGAGCGTATCATCTATAATTCATCCTCAACCACGAGAGAAACAGTAATTGCACGTTTTAAATATGATCTATGAAACGATCAAAGGGCTAGAAGCGTGTTCGAGAAGAATTTTTGAAGTACAATACACGTAACCTCGATGCTGCTTTAATGCACTCGTCTCATGACCTTCGCCAAATTATTAGTCTACTGATACTGTCAGCAATTGAACTGGTCGCAAGCAAGTATTTTTCAATTCTTACATGAATTTATGAGTAATCATGCATAATGAGGAAAAAAGCAGCTCTTAGCAATGGTGACACGCGACGATCGCATAAACCTTAAAAACAATGCTCAGTATAAAAAACCCGCTTCTCCTTCCTGTTCTCTCGCCTTTTTTGGTTCCCAGAATAGCCCTCACCATGCTCCGTGCACGAACTCGCCCACGACTTGAACGCCATTTGTCAACCATATTCGACGATCCGGCATTCGCTGATCTACGACTGACCTTTGTTCACCCCATGTACCCATTCAGCATGCGGTTCGACGTCCACAAGAATATTATCTCACAATCGCCCTTTCTCAAAGACATACTAAGTAACCTGACTGAACTCCACAACCACACGACAGTGTATGTTTATGACAGAAACAGCAGTAGCAATACCAGCAACAGCAACAACAATGAAGCGGTTTTATCCAAAGAAGTCGAGTCAAAAGTGCTCACGATCGATTTGGCTGGTGCACTACTCAATCGTGGATTCGTCTTGACACCGTGTCAACATATCATTCGCCGCAAATGGCAGCGTCCTGTATCGACGTCGGCTTCGACGTCAGCGTCGCCAGCCTCGTCGTTGTCATTAGCGTCAGGATCAACAAAGCCAACGCCAGCAACAACAGCTGGTGCGCATTCGTCGGGCGCTGGCACTATCAAGCCACTCGCGTACCACATTCTGTCTTCGCACATTCGATTCGCGTTGCGATGGATGTACACGTACAATCGACAACAACTCATTCAAACATTGGAAGAAGAAGATACACTAAGAGTTCTTGCCATGGCTGTACTGTTTGGATTAGACGATCTTGCGACGGCATGTGTCGAGAAATACATTGAAGAGCAGCTGTCCATGCTGACAATCATACGCGATCTGGAACATATTTGCCAACTGCCACGAAATCATCACGCGTACTTGCAGCTCAGGGACGCAGCACTGTTGCTATTGCTACGCCATGGCGCAGACGAACCAGAATTATTAAGCGAGCTGCCAGTTGACTACATGGCCGATGTACTCAACGCGGATATGCTATTTGTCGGATGCGAGTATGAGCGATACTGTCTCATTCGCGAGGTGTTGTCCCTGTTCATGCGATCCGTCGGAGAAATCACTTGGACAAAGAACGGCCCTGTGGATCAAGATCGCAAGCGGCTTTCGGGATTCGTCAAACCGAAACCCGTTACAGCCTCTGACATTCGCTCGCGTAAACGAAAGCGCATACCATCTAATGAACTCATGCCAGGCCATACCTCAACGCATCGTGCCCATAAGCTTGCCCGTCTCAGCTTTTCGGCGACTGTCCCGTTCAAGAGCTTGGCTGAGCATGGATCATCTGGTGGCGTCATTGACAAAGCAACCGTCCTGTCACATTTGCTAAAGACAACTATCAATTACAGCAACATGACATTTGAACAGCTCACCAAGGTTCTCCAGGATGGCATTGTCGATGACGAGATTGTGTTCCGGGCGTTCTGGCAACGTGAAGCGTTTGAACGACTACTGCGTGATGATGGCGACCACGACGACATTGTTGATGAAGAAGCCAGTGACGAGCGACAAGCAGCGTTGAATGATTTCTTTGATGTCAGCGACTCGGATGAACGTCGAAGACAAATGCTGTTGGGAACGCCCAAATATCGATTCTGCATGTCCCTCGAATTGTCACCACCATCTATTGAGAACGGCTGGATCCGAGGAGACTGCGTGTCATCAAACGAGGAAGAGCATCGCGGGGATGATCGTGATAGTTCTTGTGTTGCAGTGGATGGGGATCATCTGTATCCGAAAGAGGTGTCCGCAAGATCTGGTGATGACGATGATGAAGAGGAAGAAGAAATTTTGAATTTTAACGAAGATGACGACGAGGATGACGACGAGATTGGTAATCATAAAGTTGGTGAGCTTGCCGTTGCTGTTTCGCCGCCATCCCCATCCAGGCGGCTGTCAATACAGACGTCATCTCTCAGCGCTTTCAATGATGACAGCAACGACAAACCAACACAAGAACAAGAGCAGACGAGTCGAGATCACAAGCATGTTATCTGGCGAAAGAAGTTTTATTCACAACCCGAGGCAATATGGGGTGCAACATATCGCGTTCAAATCGAGGCACAAGTCATTCCCCGGCATTTAATGGTTATTCAAGAGCATGATGACGAGAAAAGAAATAATGGCGAAAACAGCAGTAGCCTTGTTGATGAGGACGACAGTGAACGAGATGGCTCCAAAGATAATCAAGTACTGGTTTGTCGCTTTGAGTTGCAACAAATGCTCCCGGACAGCTCGGGTAATTTTTCAGTTGCGTCGACAGCACACCTCCACAAAACCAAAACACCCGTACTGTTGCAACGACCCACTGCTACAGAAATGTTCTCATCTCAGCCGGTATCGCCCGCTCTTAAACAAGAAGCAACTCCAAAAGCAGCAACACAACCAAATATACCTCAGCGTCGCCGCTCAGCACCTTCACAGCTCGCTTCAAGTGAAGTATCCAGGCAACCACGCATTCGTTACACTATCCATTGCCTAAACCAACGGGAAGGCTTGATCGAAAACCGACTTGTGGATCCCGAAGACCGAGTGCTGGTAGCGGTGACTGACATGAGTGAAGACGAAGACAATACTCATACGGGTTACGTTGGCCAAGTTTGGTTGGATGGATGCGATTTCCGAGGGTCTATCAAGGTGGATGCTGTTGTTTGCTTGGAGGTGCATGGAGCCTAGCGTTTGACAATATCTCCTTCTTCCCTATTATGTCAAATAAGGCATAAAGTTGCTGTATGCATATCTTCAATAATAGTAGTAATAGTTTTAAAAAACGCAATATGTATTATCATTGGCACATCCCTTCTCTTTTACATGCGCTATTCCTGATTTTCTGCTACTACATGTAAAATTTCACTCTTCTTGAGGTACACGTCATGTGAACTAAGAATTACTTTTTTTTTTCGCGGATATTTTGAAATATTTTGACCCTTACACTGCTATTTCGTCTGCCAAGAAGTTTGCTAATAAGAGGCAGAACCCTAATGAGCTCATTTGTTATACTTCACATTTTAAGAATATCTTTAAATCATACATTCCTCTTTGGACTTTGATACGAGCTGTATCTAAGATGGTCGCCTCACCAACAGTATCATAAGCAATGTTTAAGAGCAACCCGACCGTAACTATAGTTACAAAAAGCCAAGATACAAAGCGATCCTTACTACATGTTATAGTCGCCATCATGTAAGATCATTTCTCGAAAGCTTTATTTTAATGTAGAGTGTAGTCGATAAGATCGTATCTTGATTGTTCGTATTTACCAGTTTTTTTACCATTTGCATAACTTCGTTGAGCCACATAGACCAAATACCTTAGCAGATTGATCGATTCCATGGCTTTTCCTTGAGCATCAAACTTAATAGCATTTGTGATATTTTATTGAGAATTGCTTGACGGACTATCATATCTGCATCAAGCACGAACAAGGTAAACAAGTTTGGTACGAAATGGAAAGTTTACGCTGCCAAGGATGGGCTTCAGTGCCCATATTTGTCTAAGCCTTTCACCCTCTAAAAGATTCACGGTTTACTCAGCAACAAAGCTTTCTGTCAAAAACTACATTACACTACACTGCAAGCAGATAGGTCAATTTCAACAAATTGAGCATCTCCTTGGCCTTCGCCAGCTGCGATATTTGTACTTAGGTCCAGCTTGCCTATTGATATTATGTGTAGCAACGGTGGGAGCAGCTGACTTGATGGATACGGCTGGGATGCCGTCCTCGGTCCAAGGAAAAAAGTTTGAGACGTTGTTTTCGAGTATTTTACGCGACTTGTCTATCATGCGATCCACTTTGTAAGTGCTTCTGCAGGTTCCGGTAATGAAGAAGTATTTTTCCACATATGACTCACGAAATCGTCGTGAAGAAGCACTGTTTTGCGAACAAAGTGGTTAGCCTTTAGTTGTGTTTGTATACGGTTTGCCCATGTGTAATATTGATTAAAAAGAACAAAAGGCTGTTGGAGGCGCGCCCTGCTTTTCGCGTTATTTTGTAGAATCAACTTTTCAAACCGTTTATGTTCTGTTTTCAAAACATTTTTATGCATTTCTTGCTTATCATGTTTGTTATCCATTGCTCTCATTGCAGAAACAGTCTTTCAACTTCAAACCGAACATACGGTAAGCTTTCTCAACTTTAAGTCGCGTGTAATAAATCGTGCAGATTGTGGTAATTAGTTGAAAACAGTACTTGATTGGTAAATGGAGTGACGCACAATAGATTTTACAGCCGAAGCAATGTATGGCCGTCGAGTTGTTAACATATTATAAGCTTTCGAGAGACATTCATCCCTCCCAAAAAGAAGGGATCACTTGTCGCCAGACTTTGACCTCATCAAAAGCTATTCCAAATTGGATGTTTGCAAGCTTGATGTGTATCATTACTTTGCGAGAGGATGTAGAAACTTATGTACTACGTATAGATGCTACCAGTTTTCTGATCTAATTAGTGTAGCTGAGTGGGTCACGCCGAGCTAAACAACTTACAAAATCTTCCTTCAGAATTGCTAATGGACAAGTGTGGAAAACACTCTGAAAGAACAATAGCGGTAAAGTGACCACAGACATGTATGTGATATGTATTATTTAAAAATGCAGCACCGATGCACTGAGAGTGATGGATAAAAATGCGACTTTCTCGCGATCATCTACTTCTGGGCCAAATTATGTATGAATATAAGATAACCTCTTCCGCATATCGTATATCGGTCGAAAAGGTAGGCAGGCTGGAAAGGATTTCATCAAGTTGGAAAAGTACAGTATCATAGTGAGGTTTTTTTCTGGCCCATTTTGAGGCCACCCGAGCTCACACTGTGGCAGATGCGGCACTGTTTATGTTTGAAAATGTGGGTCACGAGATCCCAACAGCATGGCACTAGAAAAAGTCTGAAAAAAAAAGCCAACTTCTTTCTTTCTCCTTTGTTTTCTCTTTCTCCAAACGCACCTTACAAGCGTGCGTTTTATCACATGCTATATCATGTCAACTACCAGGCCAAGTACCTCCACTGAACCCGCTGCCCAAGAGCAAGAGCCGTACAGGTGCTGCGGCGTAGCCTTTTCTCGTAGAAGGGATCTGGATAGACATAGACGAAGTGTTGAGCCACACGTCTCGAACAGTTTCGGTTTAAAGTGTGAAGCCTGCGGTACAACATGCGCGAGACTGGACTCTTTGAGGAGACACCAAAGAAATCCTCGCTGCTCGATACTGTTGCGTCAACAGAATTGCGTATATGATTGCTCTCGATGTTCTACCAGTTTTGCTGAACGAGAGCTATTCGAGGATCACGTCCTGGAGTGTGAACAGAGGTATGCAGGAAGAGCGTCATCGTCGTCCTCGTCTTCCTTGTCGTCCTCATCGTCCTCATCGTCTCCGGCCGCTTTTGAGGAGCAACCAGACGACCGTGGTTATGTAGCCACTGTATCTTACGGGAGCCACCCGATCGAGTCCGATCCGGCCTGGCTTTGGGACTTGGCAAAAGGAAATCATTAGCAGCAAATCCCTGATTTTGTTTTGCTGTAGGCAGGAAAATTAAGTCATGACAATAAATATCAGTACAATATATGTAGTCATACTTTTCTTCTTTTTATGCATTTTTTCAAACTGTACTTCAGCTATGCATCATACATCGATGGCTTACAAGTCAGCCGATTTCTCCTGTCGGTAAGCTCATCGCATATCTACCTTATTATCAAATAAAAAAAACAAATCATCATAAGTTCAAATGCTAAAAATTGAATATAGTCCTTTTTTATTAAAGTCAGACTTTTGTTGTATTACTCTTTGTGACTCAAGAAACGCTACCTCGTTGAATGATTTACTTCTTTACGCACGGTCCACCTCACTACCACCAACCATGTGACGCCTCCTTATCATTGCTTGCGTGCAAACTCTCATATCACTCTTCGTGCTGACTAGGCATCCAGTTCAACGACTTTGTTGGCTTAGCTTTGTAATATTTTTGGGTAAGCCTATAGGTCTATGTTGCGCACCCTATCATATTGACGGTAGTTGCGCATCACCTTCGGTATGCTTCCTCAAATTCCCCTCCGCATGAATATAGCTCACATTGCCATTATAGAGGGCAAAGAGTATTCATCTGATAAATAAAGCCCTAGTGTGCTTTATTTAATAGTGAGATACTGGACTTTACTAATTAAGCGACCACTTATACCCGCTTAAACGGAAAATCCAAGCAATGTCAATAAACAAACAAATAAGCATTTCGGGTACTGTAACTGAAGTTTATTTGCATGCATGACGTATACGTTTTATGATACTTTGCACAGTATAACTAGTATTATAACATTCAATGCAGCATCCTTCTATCTGTTGAGCCGTATATTTTTCGAGGCTGCTATCTATATATGACAAAAGAATTCTAAAGAGAGCAACGAAAAAGTAGACCTAGGGGAGGAGTGTCGATCGAGAAGCCAGAGGCCGGGAAGTGATCATATATCGCGCGTAGAAGTGAATTTTTCTTTCTAACGATGCTTGTTTTATTAGTGTGATCGCAGCAAGAAAGAAAGAATGACGTATAATGAGCTAGCAAGCCTCTACTGTGTCTGGCATCAAATATAACTTAAAAAGGCAAACGTACAGAAGTTCCATAACCTTTATCATTCATATCAAACGGCAGTCATTTTGTCACATGAGGAAGATGATTTTGGATACTTTTCATTAGCATATAGCGTCATTAATAAAATTATTTTGTGTCATTTAAATATACAAGCACCAGATACGGGAATGATATTAAAAGGATTAGCTACATATTATATAAGCAGCATTATGTGCATGAACAGCTCTATGAGTCTGATGCAACATCTCACCTTGGTAGGATTTACATATATACAGTAGCTCTACCTTCTTTTACTTATTTTATACTATATCTTTTGTTAACTTAAAAGTATATGTTGTAATCTGGTGGATCTTGCAATCTATGTATAACTGCTACTAGTAGTTCACACTAGTTGCACCACCTTTATTGACATTATAAACTTCTGCGATACGCTAAATATCCAGCTGCCCAAAAAAAAATACTTTTGATGAATTATCTTGGCTTATTTTTTTAGTGAGGTGCCTCACTGTACCTTAAAAACAGAATTCTGTCGCAGAACACACAATCGTTGCTGCAATCAGGTGATGATTGCATATGTAATATTATGTACTGGCTGCATGTATGGGACACTATTGTTGGAAGGCATTCTCACCACTTGGAACTTGTGCATAGACCTAAATAAATCAAGCATTAACCAGTGACATGATAAAACGTTACCATAAACGACATTAATTCTAGAAGGTTTTCCGCAAACAGAAGTGAATTTTCCCTTCTCCTATTTTTCACGTGTTTCTTTTAACAATATGAGCGGATTTTTACAAGTTGAAAGAAGCCATAAAAATTATTAAAACTTGTCAATTATGTACGTGTAAAATTTAGGAAAACTTCCTTGCAGGTGCTTCTACTTTTCCCCTGCTTTTGACTGCACAGTGCTGTGCATATCTGCATTATATATTTTGATTCGGAGCCCGCCATCTTTACTGGGCACTGACGATCAATGCGTTTGTATCGATCAATCAAGTCTAAATGCTGATGGTGTTGATTATACACATTTTTCATTGCCTCGAACAATGAGGAGCGACGATAACAATTAATAATACAACAAGCAATGTTACCTGCTTATTATGTCCGTCCATGGATGCTATAGCCATTTATAGGGCCAACAAGAGTATATAGCGCTAATGCATGTGACCCTGCTATCAACCGTCAAGTCTACAATGCAGCAGGTAGTACTTGATCCAAACGGGCGCTACAATTTAGGTGGCGGGTGTAATTGCGAACATCTGATCTGAATACGCCACCATCACTACCAACGTGTGGAACGTTCCACTATGAGCCCAGTTAAGCTTACATGCTAAGAAGTGTAAGTACTCGCGTACCGGTAATTCGGTTTCTTAAGCTCCCCGCTCCCTCCGTGAAAGGAAAGCGCCGCTCCATACTTACGCGCATGGTGGGTGTAATTACGGCATCGTTTTGATAAAGCTCGAAGGCAATATCATCGATTCCTCAACAACATAGTCCTGAAGCAAGCTTTTAAAATAGCAACACGTTTCAAATTGCTTAAATACGAAGCGTACAAAAAAATTGCTTACGGATTTGTACAGAAAAAATATGAAACAAACAAAATAATGGTTCTAATACTTTCTGTTTATGTGCATGTAGAGAGGTATGACCAAGAAGCTACATCGTAGTAGATAGACGTAATATTTAAGCAGCAAAACCGCTGCCTTACACTTCATGCAACTGCGATCATAAATCATTATAATAACAAAAGTCAGTGCGAAGTATTATTATGATAAATATTTTCCGTGTTTATTATTGGTGCAGAAAGAAAAGTACAATGACAGGCACACATGAACCATCACTTATGACCAGACGTCTAACCTGAACAGTGTACAATGTAAAGGCACAAATGACAGTGACCAATAATAGATGGTTAGAAGGCAGCGATGTGTGAAACAAGCATTGATCGAGAATCCTTGTTTCAAATCTCCCAAATAGAGCGTATTACTTTTAACGTGCTGCGTGAATGTTTAAAGATGCTGGTGACCAGCAACGGCGCCGTCGCGTAAGTATAATCTCATTATAAGTGTGGTCCATCAATAAGCGGTCCTTTAATAAATTTAAAGTATTTATTTGCTACCACACGCTTAATATCCTCTTTGATTCATCGCTCTACCCTATTTTCACTTATTAAAAAGACACATAACAAAACTTTCTTTTATCGTAACTTTTCACACATACATATATCTATATATTATCCTACTATATCTATATTATGTCAAATAGTCGTAGCACTCGACCCGATGGCGTTTCGCGCCGCCGACGACAGCCAGAGCCGCCGCCTCGAATATTACAGGAATCTGAACAGCAACAAGGACATGACGAGCAGCCTACATGTAGAACATGTTACAAAACGTTCAGTCGCAGCCGTGATCTTGATCGACATTTGCGAACCGTACATCGACCCCCAGGAACCGGGATCCAATGCCCTGATTGTGGGCTTTTACTGGCCCGTCGTGACAACGTACGGAGACACAGAGGGAACCAACAATGTCGGCACAGGCTACGATTCGGACAGCAAAGCTGTAACATGTGTTGGGCATGCAATAAGGTGTTCCATTCAAAGAACAGCCTAATGAGACATCAAATAGCTTCGCATAAGCGTCGCATGGAATGTAGCGTCTGTGGTGAAGTCTTCTTGAATCAATCGTGCGGATTTCTTCTTGAGCATCGTGGTTCAGCGAGCTGCATGCGCCGCTTTGACTTGTTTTTGGAGCTTGGAGGTTTTCTCGCGTCTTTGCCTTTTCCAATTCCGCCCACAGACGTCAATGATCGTGCTCGGGCGATCCCTGGAAGCAGCAATGAACACACCCAGTCGTCCTCCTCTCCTTCAACATAACTGCTATAGTACCATATAATCGTCTACTGAAATACGGCCGCTCATTTTCTTCACTTTACTTTTACTTACTGTTTTACCTTCCTGTATGCTCCTTCAAACCTATTTCTATGTTCTATATTTTCTTCTGCTGGTTATTTGTGTACTTATGCATCTTCCTTTTTTTCATATGTCCTTTTTTTTATTCTTATGTCTTTCCATTGTTTTCATGGTGTGCACAGTTCATATTCAACAATTTACCCAGAAATATTATACCTATGTTTACCAATATTTATATATTTTCCTTTAAATATATGCCTCTCGTGTTCAAAATAAGCCCAATCAAGGATCAACTTCTATAGCTTTAATGCTACGTCCCTTCATCTTTATTTAATGCTAGCAAAAATTAGGTTTTTCTCGATTGTGTAGCACAATCAATGTTATAATATACAATTATGATACGATATGGGAGACACCCCGCCATCGGCTGCTGCTGCCTGCTGTAATGCTGATTCATCGATCGTATTTATATCATGAGGTTTCTTCAACGGCGCGCTGCATATTTACATATACAGCTAGGCTCATAGGCATAATGACAAATCTAGATAGTCGTAATTTAGATAATGTCTTCTTCTCACGTTTCGAAGCTCAACATCACAAAGTCAAAGATTCCTGTCACAGCCTCAGGCATGAATTTTGGGTAAATAGCGACTGGCACTATCGTTACGTTGAAAGAAGAAAACAGGAGCAAAGGCATGTTAAGAATACGCATTGCTGTTGCTTCATTGATAAGATATTACAAGGGATGATAACCTAATCATGGATAAATCATGGTTAAAGATCTAATTGGCTGGCTTCGCGCACAAAATGTTTACTGAATATAGACAGAAACCATTGATATTGCCTCATTAGCAGCATGTACTTCTTAGCGACTCTCCTCGCCCAATTACTTTAATAGTGATAAAGCCAAGCTGCTGAGCTTGTAATACGACAACAAAACCACTGTACAACCGTAAACGCCACAATTGGTTTATATACAGAGTTAAATAACATTGCTAGTAATATGTGCATTATAGATACCTGTAAACGTAGATTTTTGATGGTTTTCTTCGAGCCGGAGCGAACGCGTTGGCTCTAAATGAGAAAGGTTGAGGATTCTACATTGGACAAGACATTGCATATGAATCTAGAGGAATAGTCCATATCACCTGGTCATAACATTGAAAACAGTGGTAATATTAGAGACAAACAAATCTCCCGCATTTAATGCCTCGAATTGGGCAAAAGGGCACAACGCCTGAGCCTTGTGTGGATGGGTATCTTTTTGGGCAAAACGCCCATTCAGGCTCGGTGTAACAGAAAGAAATTCAGCGAGACAGAGGCAGAGGCAGAAGAGAAGAAGGAGAAGAGCGGGCGCAGCATATAATAGAAAGTATAGTAGCATCAATAAAACAGAGCAGAGAGGGGGCGTGTTATTTAGACTGGCAAAAGAAAGTTCCGCCGCTGCGGTGACTATACTCATCGCTGCCAATTTGGTATAAATAACCCGCTCAAACAACGGACTCTTTCCCCTTAGTTTCCGCTTGCCACTCCTTCCAAACACTCCTCTTTATCTACCATAAAAAAGTTTTTCTTCTCTTCAGTTCCAATCAATCATGCTATCCATTCGAAAGGTTTTTGGTAAAAGCAAACGCAACAAACAACAGAAAAAGAAACAGAATTCGTTTGTCTCCACCGCTTCATCCTCGACCGGTTCTACGCCCTCAACATCCACACCCACTACCCCAACATCAGGCCCCTTTATCCATGACAATCGCGGCATCTTCCGCACACTCGAGCCGGTGTGGTACTATGGCTACTATTCCAATCAACAACAACAACAACAACAACAACAACAAGATCCCAATGGAAACGACGGTAGTGACAGCAACAGTGACAATGATACACATCAAGTTGAGCAGGGAATGGACTGGGTTCAATTTGACTCGCATTGTCAAACCGTGTTGGAAGTGGCCTATCGACAGAACAAGGCATCGTGTGACCTGGGCCAGAATTGCATTGTGCATTTTACAGCAGCCAAGGATGACTGGGTGTTGAATGAGACTGTGCGACGCGTCGTGGCGCCGGTGTGGTGGTTCGAGCAAGACTCGGTTATTGATGGAAGCAAAGGCATGTGTCGCTTCGACTACAAGAACCAGGCCCGTTTAGAAGCGCTGGCAGACGAGGACCGGTCCAAATTGTCACTGGTGGATGAGGCGTTTCCACATCCGTTCACCATTACCCTGGTTCCCAAGTCGCGCGATCAAAGAGAGGAGTGGCGAGGCTTTCTGCATCTGGAGTTCCCTGCAGTCTATGTCAACAGCCAGCACAACCTGTTGGCCAGCCCATACGACAGCAGTAAAGGAGCAGCGCTGGCAATGGATTACTTCTATGACGGTTCGATGGCGTCATACCAGCAGGACGATTACTATGCTACGAGCACCGATGGTGCTGGTCGTCGCTTCTCCATTTAAAAATTTCTCGCCAATTTGTTGCTCATATATCATACAGCCCATCTATATTGCATCTGTTCCTCGTTCCTCATTATCCGCTTCCGTTGCCCCGCACCCCTCCCCAAACCGCCTGCTTCCACTTCTCTCCTTCATGTCATCCTTCTTTGTTCCCTGTACCTTCTAGTCGTCAGGACCATATACCACTCATAGCTCTCCCTTTTTCTCTCTTTCTCTCATTTTTACAAAATCACAGACAGACTCATGGCAAGACGCACAGCGCAGCATCAACATTTTTGTTTTCTTGTTAATTTCTATATATAATTTGTACATAAAATAAACCCCGACCGTTTTCGTGGTTCAAACCATTCTTGCGATTTTCCGAAGGTGACCCACCCAGAGGTAGCACCAGTCCTTCCTATAACCGTCCGTGCACTTCCGAGCCGACCATCTCGTACTTGAGAGATGATGTGAGATGCTGATAAGATATGCCATACTTTTGCAGGCAAAGCGTGCTCGTGCTTTGATCGTTTTTCGCTTCCAACCGACAAAAGGGCATCAAAGAAGTGATATAGTTATGACGGCAGCGACCGTTGACGGTAATGTCTTGTTCATAACAAAAAGAGAAAACTCTGTAATCGTTGCCTTCCGGACGATGCTTGATCTATTTTTACCTGACCAGTACTATTCTGGATATCCAAAAAAAAGTTTTCGTTATGCACCCTATATATCCCTCTCCCCCCACCCCCTTTCCCCGATACCCTTGCTGCCCTGAATCTGGTCCTAACAACTCAATAAAAAACTCGTGTCTCCTACATATATCCCAAAAGAGGGTGCTATTTATTTCCATGGTGATGATACATGTGCTTTGTACACTAAACTTTATCAAATTAAAGCATTACGCGCACCCCCTAAAACTCTATGGCTCTGGTAATTAAGGAATAAGAGATATGAGCATGACATGATGCGGTGCAGTAGATCGACGCTAAACAACAACGTCTCGTGTTCTGACGCCATCCAAGCATAATTCAACAACTCAGCTACAATGTTTATGATTATGAGTAATGGTAATATCTGCATTGCAGCACATCCAACATAAAGAAGCTTATCACGCGGATCAAAGCTGCCATGTCACTTTTCATTGATTGCATACTTCACAATCCCAACTTATTGTAACGATATATAGCAAAATAAGTACCTTAATACATTCGAGGTTTGTGGATAATACTGCTGCATAGTCAGCAACTACCTTTTGTACTTGTGCGTCGTTCGTCGATTGGGTTTGTTCATAGTCGTTGCCAAGTACAGACTAATTGATACATCTTCGCTTTCATGTTTTTAAAACCCGCCTCCTAATATGGATGTCTTTCTCTCCAACGCGTGCGGACATCTCTTCATCGAGACACATCTAGGTATATACGGTTTTATCTACCCTCAAGAAAAGATGTCACTACTACTAAATGGAAAAGCCATTTCTTAAAAGTAGTGAAAACTTGTGTTATATTTGATAATAAACCAGTCTTGAATCTTTTTGAGTCTCGTTGACCTATTCTATCTCATTTCTGTTTATATGATGATAACACACTACATTGTAAACTTTTTGACCCTGTGTCCGTAACCCACACGTCCATAACCTAGCTGTACACCTCATATAGCACATACATCTTTTAGATTTTTGTTAGAACACCCACTGCTGGTGATGCATAATCCAAGGTCCTTGGCAACTTCTTCTTTATTGAACATTCAAGTGTAATCACACTGGGATCGTACTTTGCGCTTGACATCTGAACAATATCGCTCGATGCAACTGCATCCGCAGTGGAATGTGTACAGGTCGCTATATTATTTGGGATACTTTTCTGAGACTGGCGTTAGCTGGTCTATGGCCGCGTTAATACTCGCTGATAGGCCTATTGTCTTCTTTATATAAATCGGAACATCCAAGTAGAATGCTTCTTTAATTTTTATAATTTAGTTGACTTTTTTCATGCAATAGTGTTCAGCCAGTGTCGTAGTAATTGTCTGTGTGTGCTATTGATGGTTAACCGAATATCTTGGATACGTTCAAAAGGTGTTTCATGCAGCATATGTCATATAACCTATTGTATTGATTATATGTATCACACCAGGACCAGCTAAGAGGGGTTGACTTTCAGTGCCCATACCTTTTTCTTGTGACAGACAACAAAATAAACCAACAACAAATATGCAAATATAACAAACAGTGGCTTCTCATGCATACACTAAAGTTATGACACTTGAAAGGTGTCGTTTTGATTTTCTGCACCATACTTGAGATTTTAAAACAAAGGCATATGAGTGCGCGTAGCATGACGGATGTAGTTTGCGGGACTTTGAGGAATTGACCATTAACTGCTGTGTACTAGACTTATCCTACTGCAAAACACCCATGTAAGCTACATTGTGTTACTTTAAAATTAGCACGTTGCTTGCAGCAGCACTTGGCATGTTCTCAATGCTTTTGGGAGCTTTAGGTAATAAAAAAGTTATGTTTTGAGGTCCTGTGTAATGGGGTTGAATCGGATTGAGCTTCAGGTCATTGCTATCCTGGTGCTTTCCGGCTTCTCCGCCGCCCAACTCCATTCTTTTCCGTTAAATGATTATATACTCGGCTGTGCGAAGATGAAGAGAGGTGAAAAACGCATACCACGAGCTTAACAACAAAGCAGCTCTTTGACACAGTTTACGGCAACACGGGTCACTGAGTAGATGCAGCAGATATAATGCCGCATTGATCGAGGCCGCCAATTGGTGGATTGGAAATCGGATTAAAACTTGATGCGACCCCCGTGAGCCGCTTACAACTTTACTCTCTTTCCTTTCTTTATTTCAATCGATCATGTCCGAAACAAACCTTTCCGGCGTTAAACACATTGTGCTAGTACTTAGTGGAAAAGGTAAAAAAAAACAAGAAAGCTGTCTTTAACATTGTTGTGTTTGACTACCGCAGGAATACTTAAAAACAAAATCACTGTTCACCATATAGGAGGAGTGGGCAAATCGTCAGTAACAACACAATTGGCCCTTAGTTTAGTCGAGAAGGGATTTAAATGTGGAATCATGGATGTTGATCTTACGGGCCCTTCCATTCCTCGCATGCTCGGTCTTGATGGACACCAAGTGCACCAATCGTCCAAGGGCTGGGTGCCCGTATATGCAGACAGCAAGCAGAATCTGGCCTGCATGTCGATCGGCTTTTTGCTTACTAATAAAAACGATTCCGTCGTTTGGCGAGGACCTAAAAAGACAGGTATGCCTTGAAAAATTTAGATTGTGTGAGAGAGAGAGAGAGAGCTGCTTATTAATTCTCTTTTTTTTATGCAATATAGCAATGATCAAGCAATTTTTACAAGATGTATGCTGGGGCGAACTCGACTATCTGCTGATTGATACACCACCTGGCACATCGGACGAACACATTGCTACCATCGAAAACTTGAAGGAATATTCTCCGGATGGTGCCGTGGTTGTGACAACACCTCAGGGCGTGGCGATTGCGGATGTGCGTAAAGAACTGTCGTTCTGTAAAAAGGTCAAGTTACCGGTATTGGGCGTTGTCGAGAACATGAGCGGCTTTGTGTGCCCGCATTGTACCGAGTGCACAAATATCTTTGCATCCGGTGGTGGCGAGGCTATGGCTGGCGAGTATGGGATCGAGTTTTTGGGACGTGTGCCAATTGATCCGGGTTTCACTATGATGGTGGAAACGGACGGTGACGGATCTTACGTCAATTCGTTTGAAAAATCCAACCTGTTCCCCATCTTTAAAACTATCAGCAGTCGAGTAGTAGAATTAACGCCATCACAATAAGCAGGTGCAGCATCATCCTCATCCTAAACCCACACCGTTCGCTCTCTCTCTTTCTCTCTCTCCCCATTTACCATACATGCGAAATTTGTACATATGAATACACATAATTGTTTATTATTATACACTTATACTTGGAAAAGAAGACTAGAGCAAAAATACAACACTTTTTTTTGATTTATATGTTAAGGAGAATCTATACAAGTTTGGTGACATCCAGTCCCCAATTGCTTTCTAAATGGTCCAAGATGGCGGGTATACTGGAGAGTGTGTTGAACGTCTTGCGCTCAGCTCTGCTCATAATATCTTCAAACATATACATCAAATGATGATGGAAGATGAAATGGTTTGTGCCGTATCCTAACGCCAACCGAACGTAATCTTCAATACATTCCCAAGGTGTCACATCATGACCTGCGAACAATGCTGGATTCTGCAACAAGCCTCTCGCCGACATGACGCCGTTCACTCCCGTCCGCTCATACATCTCCTCTGCATCTTGGTTGGAGAAGATACTTCCGTTGGCAATCACCGGTACACTCACGGATTCCTTGACCAGTTTTATACCATCGAAATTGACAGGCTCCGTCGATTTTTGCCTTCGTGTTCGTCCATGCACAGTCAAGAAATCCACACCCACTGACTCGGCTCGTTTGACGAACTCATAGGTCTCTTTCAAGTCTGGATGCACACGGATCTTGATACTGCATGGAATATTTACTCGGCCTTTGACAGTCTTGACCATGTCCCGAACAGCTTCTGGATCCGACATCAAATATGATCCAATGTGTTCTTGAATAGCCCATTTTTGTGGACAACCACAGTTCAAATCTACACATATACACATTCACTTCCAGTGTTATCTCTTTGCGCCCTTATCGTAGAGCAGGTGTATTTGTAGTAGTAATAGTACATACCAATACCACCAGCGAACGGAGCCACCATTTCTGCAGCTGCTGCCAGATCAACACCATTGCTTGCTGCAAACTGAACTACAACGGGATCGTCTGCTTCATTGGTAGAGTAATCGGTTTCACGAGCGAGATCTGAGTTCTTGAAGACATCGGCGAGGATCATTGGGGTATATGCGATATCGACGTTGTACCTTGAATTTGCAGGGTGGGTGTGAGATCCACTTTTTGAGGTATAGAAGCCTATTCTTCCTTTTTTTCTTCAAGATAGAAAACGAAACTTACTTGCGAACGAGCTCCCGAAATGGTAGCTTGCTGTAGCGCACCATGGGCGCACATACATTGACCCGATCTTTGGAATTTATAATGTCAAGGACCGATGTCTTTGCCATGCTATAGTGATAAAATTGGAAAATGAAGAGGAGACCGCTACATTTAATATTCTATTCGAATGTTTAAGAGGCGCCTATGTATTAAAGGCGCAGGCTGTCAATACATGCGCCTTTTTACTCATCCCGCTACCATAAATAAGCTTGTATATGTCATGGAGGTCATCTCGTCTGACCGACCAAGATGAAAAGAACGCCTTCTTATGCTTTAGCGTTGTTCTCAGCGTTTTTTGATTTCGCTATATCAACGTACAAAACGATCAATTGTAGACGATACGGGTTGGTAATATAATATTTACGGAATAACAATAGTAATAAAAGAGTGGATGAACTACAAGGAGGTAAAAGATATTTACAAAGGTGGCAACTGTCGAACATAATAAAAATACGAAAAAGAGGAAAAAGGATGGGGAGAATACAAATAAACTTTTTTTTTTATGTGGATTGATGGGAGGTGAGACGTAAAATAATCAAAAGTTCATGAGTGGTGTATGCGAACTTCCCTTTGGATAAACGACCAATGTGGCAACAAACAAACCGATGGTGATTCCAATCGAAGACTCAATCATGGCAAGCGCAAAAGATGCGCCCTGGGTACCCATGGAATCGTCGCCTGAAAACATGCCATAGCCGGCCTTGATGCTAAGACCTCCCGGTACGAGATAGAATACACCCAATAGGACAGCGTCGAATGACATTTTGCCAGTAAATTTGGTCAGCAGGTTGCCCAGGAGACCCAGGGTAAATGCAGGCACTGTTTGCAATATCTGGGCTGGCGCATGGGCGTAGCACTGCAGCAAGTAATTGACAACATAACCAATAGCAGAAACGATAATCATGGTAGGCCAACGGAACGGCCGGGCTCTGACGAAGACGCAGTAGGCCAGGGCAAAAAGTGGTACAAGTAAAATAAAGAAGCGCTGATCAATACGTTGGATATCGCAGGTAGTAATATCGGTTGCTCTTTGACATTCACTGGCGTTCCCTTTGTTGGTAATGTCCGGATCGATCAGTCGGTACAGCTCGGAACCCATTTCAATACCGTAGCCGAGTAAGAACGAGTAGACGATCGAGTACACCATGCGCACCACACCACTGACAAGTTGCCTAGAGACAAGCTCGACCACGGCAACCGCCATGGGGTAACCAGGTAATATGACAATGAAGGCCGAGAATGCAATGGGTGTGAAGCAAAAGCCGTATTGGGTCACTGCTCGCGCCACAAACCCAATGATGATACACACAGTTACTTCCCAAATAGGCTGAAAGCTCTGGATCCGGCCGGAGAAAAATTCATAAATGGCGAAAATCACTATCATCGGGACCCATCGTGGGTTAATTGCTTGTTGTTTCCTTTTCTCGCAAGTAAATCATTTTTTTTTGGATAAGGACACTTACTGGCTAGACCGGCCGAGACGCATGCGTCGTACCAAAAGCCACCGAAAAAGATCAAACAGCCACAGAAACTTGCGAGTCCATAGACGAATGGATTCAGCCAACGCGGATAGAACGATGGTTCATTGGCGACCGTATCAATGAATTGTAATGCCTCATCCACGGGAACTTCACCATGAGCAACTAATTTTTCCAAGCGATATATTTCTCCGAGCTTGTGCATTTCGAATGTTTGTGATTGTCGTATAAAGTGCGTTTCGGTTGTATGGGTGCCTTGATCAAATACGGTCATGAACATGACATTTGGCATATAAACGTACTCCGCATCGACCCCTAAAGTTGTGGATACGTGCCGCATGATATATTCCAAGCGATGTGCCGGACAGCCTGTAGATGCATGGTGTTAAAGATGTGTATAATTCTACGGCGATGTCGTTGCTATAGTAAGTAATTACCATAAAGCATGAGTGACTTGACAAGCTTGCGCAAAAACTCTTGCTTTTGCAGAATGTTGGCAATCTCAAAGGTGATTCGAATACGATCTTCCAGAGTGATCGGCTCAAACTGGGAGGCGGTGGTGAACATGCTGTCGATGGACGACCGTCTCGATACGGAGGGCGACATAAGCTTCTTCTTCTCTAGACTAGGAACCAAATGGTTGCTTGCGGTCATTGTGGATAGCCAGCTGTATGGACGGTTGATCATTTTCGGTCGCTGCGGAGTGAGCTTGTCGGCGGCAGAATTGGGGTCTGTGCTTGAATGCATCGGGACGTCGTACAACGATGCAGGTTTCTTCTTCAGATGCTTTTTTGCTTTCTTTGCTTCCTGAAAATTATTTTAGTCGATAAAAATTAATAAAAGGGGCTTATCTTCAGAAAATGCAGGGACTCATCAAGCACTTGAGACACTGTCGGCATGGATCCTCATTGCCCTCTCAACTAGTTGATCTTGTTTTGCACTAAAAAGGTACCTTCTGCTGCTTTCGACGTTGGTTTTTTTTCTCCTGTTCTTGCTCATTTCGACGTCTTTGTGCTTCCAATTTCATCAGACTGGAAAGCACACTCCCACCACCGGCTCCCATGCCTAGACCCGCACCACTCATTGCTCCGGTAGAGGTTCCACCAGAGTCGATCGTTTCGTGTTGCGCACATTCCGGCATCCCACCGGGGCTACTGACCGTCTGCTCCCCGCCCTCCAGATCTGCTTCGTCCATGACACTGTTGGAACGAAAGCGTCGAGCCAACCGATCGTCTTGGCTAGTCCCATCACGAATACTCAGCATTCTCTCAACAAGCGCGGCTGATTCCATGACGTGGTCCTGAAAACGAACATGGCGGTCTTGAGCTTCCTGGTGGTCGAGTGCTGCTTCCAACAGCTCGTTATCGGATCCAACACCCGCTGCTGACTGATGCTCTTTTTCCTTGTCTATGCTGCTTCTGCTCCGGGACGAGATTCGGTTGTGTCGAGTAGGAGACGGCACGCTAGCCCAGTTGTTTTGTTTTTCGCCGTCATCATCTTCCATGGTATCGCTTTCGCTGCTTGTGCTGCTGGTATCATTTTGTTGTTGTTGTCGTCGTCGTTGTTCTCTTTTTGGGTCGTCTTTGGGTGTGGCTTCAACAGGTTCGCACGGGTGGACAGAATCAGTGGTCACTCTAAGCTCTGGTATATTTGGACAGGATACGGAGTGGACGAAAGGCGGCCGAGTGCTGCTACTGACGCTGCTTCTTCGACTATTTCCGCTGCCTTCGGGTCGCAGGTTATCCATAGAAGCGTGTACGGAAAGTGTGTACTAAATGTGGAAGGGCGGTTGTTGTTGTTGTTGCTGTTATTGCGTAGAGGGAGAGAGATAAGTGAAAAAGAGTCTAGTACGCAAGAAAGGGCGGTCGCAAACAATATAGAAAACGCTAGCTTTTTATTGTCGGAGATTTTTTTTTGGAACATAACCATAACTACAGAAAAAAAATATAAGGTTTGGCCTCCTCTGTCAGCATTTCCAAAGGAACAACTATTTCGCATGATATTTCTGCGCCTCTAGATAGGGTAAGGGGGGGGGTGTTAAATGACCTGTAAAATTAACAAGATTTTTCATGATCAAGACCACACGTCTACTTGTTTGTTCTTAATGTTGTTGATGCCTTTTAAAGCGCAATGACGCGCGGACAAATGTTTGTTAGACTCGGCTATTTACAAACTATACAGCGGTTGGCCCTGGTCTTCTACACTACTGTATAAGTGAAATTCACCCTACAACAATACAAAGTAGCTCCTAAATAATTTTTTTTATCAAAAAGAAAGATGAGATTATACTTAAGTTATATATATTCCAAGTGTTTCCGTTGAAAAGCCATAAAGTTTTGCTCAGTAAAGAGCACACCCAGCGGATCCCCCAAACAATACGCGAAATTAGTCGATTGCTGGATTCAGAGTCAACAAATGCTAAATTTCGCGATTCTCTCACAGTTCGCTAAACCTGCTTCTCATGCAATAACTAAAACAACAACCTCCTAATTCAACCGAAAACATGCAAAACAATCGTTCGCCATCCCCAGCAGAAACACCCCATTCTCTCGCTGCCCCCAATACTACCTCTAAGGGTAAAAAAACTTTGAAGAAAACAGGAGGACGGGAAGGAAACCTCAACTACTCGGTAGTTGAGGACCTTCAACTTTGTAAATCGTGGTTGAAGATTTCGCAGAATCCCATTGTTGGCGCTGATTAAGAGTCAGATACGTTCTGGGAAGCAATTCGAGCACACTTCGCAGCCAACGTTGAAGCCCGTTGTGAACGTTCTGCGAAAGGGCTGTCAACTCGCTGGAGTCGAACTTTGCAGAAAGAAGTAGCAAAGTTCACTGGCTACCACAGTCAGGTCCTGAACCTCAGACAGAGTGGACAGAACGAACTGGGTCAGGTAAATACACTATATAGAGTATGAATAGAAGCATATTATACAGGACCTGATACGTAATGGTAATTTCTAGCTCACCCAAGCGAAGGATATGTACCTGAAGTTCGAGAAGAAACCTTTTGGTTTCGAGCATTGCTGGGAAGTTCTGCGCAAGCATGACAAGTGGGGCGCAAAGGCAAAGGAAATCAGCGACAAGCGTAGCGGCCCCAAGAAGGACAAGAAAGGGAAGGGCAAGGAAGGAGCCGCTGCCGCTCCTAATGTTGTCCAAGAAGGTGTGGATGGTGGATCTTCGTCCAAATGTAAACCAAGACCCACCGGAAACAAGAAGGCAAAGGAGCAGGAGGCTCTCAAACGCAGCTACGAGCAAGCAATGAAAAATGAGCTTGAGAGTTTCTCGCAGAAACAAAAAAGAAGAGGAAGTTTTTCGAGCAGCTTGTAGTTGTAGAGAAAGAATAGAGAAAGGAGGAGAGAATGGCTTTTTCATGTCACGCACTTTCACTTTTTAGGCTTTGAGATTATGACCTTGGTGTCCTCCTTATCGAAATGTTGGTGCGAAGAAGAATCTTCAACATGGAGCCTATTAAATTTCGACATCCTGCACCCTTGGTATCTCCTCCAAGTTCTCCTGGGTCCGCTCGTTCTGGTTCCATGTCTCCTTTGACGTCACCTGGGTCCTAGGTCGCCTAGTGGTCCACGGAAACAACAGCAGCAAAATCCTGGTGTCCATCCCCCTCAAAAAATGTCCAAACGGAGATAAATGTCAGTTTTTACATACAGTAGAAGTAGTAGATTCAACCACATCATGTGGATCTCTTCCCTGATCTTCATCGTCATAATCGTTTGATTAGCCCCTGGTGTCTTGATGTTGCCACCAGGTATGCCATATCGCCTCTCTTGGGTAGAGGGTGGTGTAGTAGATGTTGTACTCTTGTAAAGCCTGTCACCAAAAATGAAGCACATTATCTACTCACAAACGAGACAGAAAAACTTGCCGAGTAACATTCAAGAAACCATGAACATGTGTCCCGTAGAAAAGTACTGCAAAAAGATTTTACAGTATGTTACTCTATCACCAAGGTTGTTCTTAAGTATAAAGAAGAAAGACCAACATGTTTAAATCGGGCGGGCAAAAAAATAGCAATTTGGAGCGTGATAATCTCCGGGTAATGATACATTTTACATACAGTAAAATGGAGAATGATAGCTAACCTAGAATGGGTAGTGGTATATTGACGGTGTCGATGTTTCGGGATTGTTAATGGAAATGCGCGATAAGATTATGGAGCGTCTAGCAAATAATAAAACCTGTCAGGGGCGCCGGCCCCGAACGACTTCGGTCGAGGCGGGTGGCCTTTCTGAGCTTGCTCAATCGGACAGTAGGTTCGATTCCTGCTGTCCGGATACAACATCCTTCCTGTGGTTCCTTTGGTGAAAACTGGTCATCTCGCGGAAATTCCTGTGACAATCTGCATATAGCCCTCCCTGACGATCAGTTTGGTCCATAGTAGCACACCAGTGTGCCTTAGTCGTTACTGGCAGTTTCTGATCTTTGCACACTATAATTAATGATACCCGATTAATGGTTTCCTTACAGAAAAATAAATAAAACCTGTTACTCCTGATGAAGAAGTATGACGAATGGGGTAAAGACTCCGGACGAAGATTACAAGATAGTCTATTACTATATACAAAAAAGCAAAATGAGTAGGGCTCTAGCAAAGATGGGAGGGGGTGATCTCCCCTCTTTTTTGTGTGTCTATGGAAAAGGTAATATGATATATGTTGGATGTGACGGTAATGGTAGTAGAGAGAGATGAAAGAGGAGGAACAGATACTCTCAAAGGTTTCTGGGTTCTATCATTTTGTATAAACAGCATTGCATCTGTCGACAAAGGCTTGCAGCATCATCTTGGACACTTGTTCAAAAAACACAGTGGAAGCTTGGGCATGGAGTGGCGAAGCGAATTCAAACCGGATATTAAAGTCGACATAGCACGAAGGATGATGTAATGCATCGGGCTGATTGAGTTTGTGTGCAGGCAAATTGGGTGTGAACCGCCAGGTCGTGACAAGCTCTTTAAACAACGATGCATCGCTCGAAACGGCCTATATTAGATTCGGTATTCGGTTAAAATTTAGTTGATGGTGCGATTGGTGAGCTCCAAGTATGCATATAAACTTTCCATGTACCTCGACGAATTTAGGGTGCTCGCAGGTTACTTGGGAGGTATACTTCTCTTCAAACATTTTGAATCCTATGCCGAGTTCACCATCAAACACCGTCCTTTTGGTTTGACCAGAAACTGGACGAGCACTGTAAACACGAGAAAACGTGCAGAAGGGGACAAATTGCTCGTAATCTTTGACATTGGAGACTACATTGTACACTTGTTCCTGTGACAAACTGTTCTTTCGTCAGCCCTCCCGAGAAAATTCACACATACGCATTCGATATATATATATATTTTAAGCAGAGTAGTCCCTACTTTAGCAATTGGCGTTCGGAATGTTCTTTTCGGCTCGAAGGCAAAATGTCAGGCATGCTGAAAAATAAACGATTACAGGAGAAGTAAGGGGCAGCATTGGATCGCGAGGCATTGGGGACGCGTGATGCCAAGACCCTGAGCACCATTTTTCTTTCTTATGTCTATAAGGTATGTTTTCCTGTCAGGACAAACACCAGGCGACAATCCCAGCAAAGTTAATTGGGGGGTTTGGATTACTCGTCACATGGCACCGACGTTACACATGCAGTCTTTTTTTATATACACTTTGTTCTTCTAAATTTATTCTCCCCTTTCTCTTCCCTTTCTTTCTTTTTTTTTCTTAAAAAAGCACGACCTTCTTTTGATAGTCTTCCATTAAACCATACATAAACTTTGATCATAGCAGAAATAGACCCGCATGTTTTTGGCAGGGAAGACCAAGGAATTCTATATTGACTTGCAAACCAATCGCTACTACAAGCCAGGAGAGGCCATTAAAGGTAATATGCTTTTTTCGAAGGAGGAATAATATAAAAATAGAATCCAATAAGCTAGGAGAACAACAAAGGTTGCAGAAATGTAAGATAGTGTATGTATATACAATCTAACATCACCAATCTCGAAACAATGATGGGTTGCATAGGGGATGTTGTTCTTGACCTTGCAAAAGCGAGAAAGATACACCATATTCGAGTAACACTAGCTGGTGTCGTACAAGTTGGCGCCAACACCCTGACTTTGTTTAGCCGTGAATGCCAGATCGCTACTGCCCCGGACGAGTCAGGCAGTGCACATCAGCTGGAAGCCAAAAGCAACCGATTCCCTTTTGAGCTTAGCATTCCCGGGTCCAGTGCAGAACTTCCGACGAGCATGAAGGTAAGAAAAACTGTTTCCGCGTTTGTTCATTGTATAGTATGGAGTACTTGGTACATTCTAAATTATTATTTAATTATACAGCTGACACAACAAAGCGGTGTAAGGTACACAATCACTGCCGTACTCAAGATTCCATATACGCTGGTACAGTCATGGTCTCCTCAGGACAGTCGAGAGATATCACTTGTCGAAGATATTGATGTAAGTCTCCCCGAGTATAAAGTCAAGGCCCGGGCGGATGAACAAGTCAAACACCAAGAGAATACAGCGGTAGTTTCGATGCATATTCCCAAAACCGCCATTGTACGAGGTAAAGCATAAATCCAAACAGGTGGGATTGCGAGGGAACACATAACATATCATCATCAGCATCACACACACAAACCCATCTGACTCGTTCCCTCTCTCTCTTGTATCACACCAGGCGACATCTTGCCTGTTACAGCAATTATCAAACATTATAAGGATTTTGTAAAGCCAAAGGCGGTAAAGCTCAGTTTGGTGAGACGGTTCTATCTATTCGGCAAGGGCAAGTAAGTATTACACTATCAACTGGAAGAACGATGGCTTATATCAATCGCTGACGCGCATGATTCTTGTAGAAAACAATTGGTTGAACAACGCACCATCAAATCACGTGTATATGATCTGGAACTGACGAGCGATAACGAATACAAGAATGAATTTGTGGCAAAGATATTCATTCCACAGTCTGTGGCACCAACCACATCTTCCAGCGGCCGCATCTTGCGTGTCGACTACACGGCACATATCTCGGTCGATCTGAACACGGTGGATCGTGAGGATCCCCGCTATTTGGAGTCTCATGCTGTTTATATGGACATTTTTGTTAAAATCGGTACAACGCCCAAAGCAGAAGTATCTATTGACAGTGACGAGGAGAGTGACGAAGAGGAACCGGCCGAAGATGAGCTTCCAGAGCTGTCAAAGGATATGGAGCAACTCGATTTGAGCGATGAGCGCGAGGATGGTCATGAAATATCTTCGGTCTATGCGCCAGCACCTGTATATGCATCGCCACCGCTTTCGTATGTGTCACGCGAGAACAGCATGACTAGAACTACTAATGCAAAGGAACTTGAACCTGCTTCAGCATCTTTATCAAGAAACAGCAGCGTCGCAAGCAGCAACACCACTAGCAGCAGCATAAGATCAGATCCACCAACAGCAGCTCTATCTCGTGATAATAGCGTTGCCAGTACCGCCAGCAGACGAAGCATCGCCGCCGCTGCTCCTGTTGCTGAGCAACCACCCGCGCCTCTATCTCGAGATAACAGCTTAGCAAGCACAGCTAGCAGAAGAAGTATTGCCGAAGTGCATGATCCCTTGTCACGCAATAGCAGTTTTGCCAGTACTGCAAGCAGTAGCAGAAGACCTGCACAGGACAACTACCATACAAGATCCAGTAGTCAACATTCTTCGTCCTACTATCAGCAACAACATCAAACAACTACTCCTCAACTACAACACCACCAGCTGCACCGAGACGAATCACTCCACAGTACCATCTCACACTCATCCACGCCATCCACATCGCCCTATAATAGCCCATCCACAAGTACGTCTGCATCACGCAATAACAGCGTGCGTATGTCGATGCCTGTTGCTATGCCAGTACCACCATCACAGCAACAGTTTCCACGACAACAGTCGCCATCAGGAATGGCTATGCCTATACCAATGCCGATGCCTCACGTACTACAGCAACCGACCTATCCACATCATCACCAACCCCCTCCCCCACAGCAATATTCGACATCACCACATAACCAGCTTTATTCCTCTTCTCCGCATAATTACCATCATCAACCACCGCCTCCAACAACATATTTCCCTGGACAAGAACCGCCACCACCTCAATTCGACGCACCATTACCTCCTCCACCTCCATCCCCTTTCAGCAATGGCAGCAGTCCCAACTTGCAAATGCCAATGCCGTTGATGCCTGGACCTGGACCACAACATTGGCCATCCCAATCTTCCTTCCATAGTCCACACATTTCCCACGACAATGCTCCTCCTCCTACTCCTCAACACCCTTCACCAGGTTACTGGTAAAACATTAAAAAACCGCCAAGTAGATCCACTGCGAATTAAACCACAATTTCCGGGTAAATAATATATTTTCTCCTTGTGAACACTGTATGTATGTTGGAATTTGCACCATTCTTTGTTTCTCTACCAATCGATAACTGCTACGACAGGACGATGGTCACTGATATACAAACGGTCATCAAACATGTTGGGAAGCACACCAAAGCGACGCACGGTTGCGTTATTTTGGTGATGATGCATCATCATGATATAATCGATCCGGAGCGGTGCAACGATTTCAGGTTCGCCAAAGCTAGTAAATGTATCGGTATCGCCATAGGGCCCGCTCAAGGTTGATCCACTTGGCATTTGATGTGTTAAAGTCGTTGCGAGCGCATACCGGGTATCCACAAACAAGTTTTCCTCTTGTTTTTGATTCTGTATGTTCTGCATGATTTGGCCAGGTCGTACTACGCGATGCGTCGGTAACGTCATTCCTTCCGTTGTGCGTACAGGCTTTCCTGTATGCGTAGCCACTTTGAGCTGTGTCTTTTGGTTGAGTTGATCAATGTTTTTCCACGTGGAGTTATCTTGTTTTGCCTGACCACCCGTCAGCGTCACGTATCCGCCATCCGCTTCGGTCGAGTTCAGGTCTCCCATCAAGATTAATAGCTCGTTTTTCTGGACTGCATGGTTGAGGATGACTTGAGCAGCACCCTTGCGCGACTCTGGTCCTTCATGGTCAAAATGGGCGTTGTAAACATGGAAGCGGGATCCATCCGACAAGCGACTAAACGTCACCACCGTGGCAATCCGCGGGTGCTTGGCGTCCCAGCCTTGGGTGCCTGGTTTGTCGGGTTCCTCCGAGAGCCATATGAGATGCCAGTCTTCCACCTTGAGTTTGTCCTTTTTATAAAAGACAGGACAGAATTCGCCTTCTTTCTGTCCGTCAACACGACCAGCACCTACCCATGCATATTCGTCACCGAGTATGGAGTCCAAATCCATCACTTGTTGATTAAACGGTTCCTATTCAAAAATCAGAAGGCCAAATTGAATATGTATTATTAGGCAACTTCTTGCGTGTGTGGGATTATTTTTGTGGTTGAACAAATACCTGAAAGCCCACGATATCCGGTTCCCACATCAATACCGTGTCGCCAACTTTCCACTTGCGTACAGACCACGGCAACTCGCCTTCAAATTTGGATGGCAGTTGTGGTGCAGAAGCAAACGGTTCACTGCCACCCATATCCAGTCGAAGGTTGAACGTCATGAACTTCATTTTTTTCTTCTATTTGTGTGGTAATATACACGAAAACGAGAAGAGGAGAAAAGGAAAGAGAAGCAAAAACCGGGATGAAACGCCATGGATTTCTGCATGATGACGACCCTTGAAGCGAGATTTTGTACCACCGACATTGGCACAAAATAGTACTAATGATTAGCGAGGTTTTTTCCGACATGGCGGTGATTGGCCCATACAAGACGATGTTATTAAAAATCACCTTCTCTCCTTCCATGCACCGAGGCACAAATGAAAGGGAATATTTGATCTACCCGTGAAAGTCTTTGGTGTTGACCCGCTGAGCAGGATTTGGTAACAACATATCATCTTACCCTAGTCGTAGAGTCAATCGACCGGCAGATAATTTGTCTCTATTTTTTGGCCATACACATTACGCTTGTCATAGTGAGCGCGTCAGTAATTGCATTTCGATCTTCTTCCTTTTTACAGAACATAACGGCTCTTTCAATAGATAGGTACTGAAAGATGCAATTTAACTAATCAAAGCTGATAGTTATAGCTCTCTATTTATATGTATAAATGATAATCATCATTTTCTTTCCCTTTCTTTTTGCCCATTTTCGGTAATCTACCTTTCGTCTTAACTTGGATGTATTTTGTTTTTCCGGACAAACAGTTTGAAGCCTGAGTGCTATCAATTGTAATGACGGGAACTCCCATTATGTAATAAGTTGGAATAGTGGTTTCTTGGCGAGATACCCCTTTGTGTTAGAATATAAGAAAGAAGAAAGTGCCGTACATCAGTAGGTTTCCATTTGACATGTGTTGGCAAAGGAAAACATTATAGAGACATAATGCTCTTGTTTTTTTTGTGCATCCAGTTTCGATAGAGGATAGCCAAATTCAACTGTCTATACCGTACCGTAGCTACTGATATTTCTATCCAAAGTGATTTTACCAAATAAATATACACGCTATGGATTTTTCGAACTTGGAGTTTATAACTATCTTTGATTTTTAAAAGTGGAGGAACAACAAAAAAGAAAAGCACGGGAATGATATGGAACAGGGGATAACATTAAGGAAAACATGAGAACAAGAAAGAAGTAAATAGTAGTATAGACTACCTAAGCAAAAGTATGGGCATGTATCATATGTGCGTGAATGTATCAAAACTATTCGTTTTATAAAGCAAAGGGTGCAAAGATAAGTGTTGCAAGAATTGACATGAAGAGCCCGGCCAGCGCGTTTGCGTCCGTATTTGAGGAAGCGCCTGATACGTGAGGCGTGTGTTGTTTTTGCCTTTGCTGTGGTAAAGGATCGCTACTGCTCGGTGCAGATGATGAAGAGGCGAGGCTTGAAGAGGATGCAAGGGAGCTGCCAGCAGCAGCAGCAGAGGAGGAAAGCGTTGCGTTTTGAACGTTCTGTGCCTCAATAGGATCATTTAATGAGTCATGCGGCTCTTCATCGCCAAGGCATTCTGCAGCTGTTGAGAACTGATAACCGCGTTGGGTCAGATAGTTGATGATATGGGGCACTTGCGCAATGGATTGGTTGTACAAATCTATAACCGATTCCTCAACAATTAGTGCCCAGAGGAGGTGTGTAGACACATAGTGAAGCGATTTTCTTAGAAAAAAAAAAAGAGGAAAACTTACCGTGTTGCAGGCTGATATATCCAGGGTCCTCATGGGGGTTCAATCCAGTGTCAATGCCGGCTGCTGCACTCTTGAAGGCACCACGTATTTTCTTGGAAGCATCCGCGCGCATATACACATCGTAATCCGTAGGATCAACATTCCATAGCAAAACCTTGTAGCCCATAGAATTTAAAAGTGCCTTGACACGACCATCAGCTTCGCCGAAAGGAGGACGAGCATACTTGGGCTTGATACCAATGGCATCCTTGATGGCCTTCTCGGTTGCCTTCATTTCGTAAATGATTTCGTCGTTCGTCAAGCTCATCAAGTGTGGATGCGAGTATGTGTGCGAAGCAATTTGGTGACCTGCTTCATAGGCGCGCTTAACCACTTCGGGGTATTTCTCAACGTGGGATCCCATGACGCAGAATGTGGCCTTGATATCATGCTTGTCCAAGATATCGAGCAGCTGTCCAGTGTATTCACTGGGTCCATCGTCAAATGTCAACGCCCAAACGTGATCGCGCGGACAGCCATAAATATCGGCTGGGGTGGGTGTGTTGCCGCATGTCTCAAAGCATCGATCGTTTTCGGGTCCATCACAATCGACGTTCTCGCAAATACCGGAGCCAATGGGGCGGATGGCAACGTCGGGTACTTGGGCCAGATCGACTTCTTTCAGCCAAGCCTCGTTCTTAGGCACTTCGACTTCTTCGGCGTCACCTTGGGCAATAACCGTACTTAGTGTAAGTATTAGCAGGCATGCTGCAGCGAGCAAGAAAAACTTTCTGCCCTCCATGATGGGTTGTTGATTTCCTCGCGTCTTCTTGTCTAATCTAGTGACCCTTTATATATCATGAAAAGCAAAATGTTTCCGAAAAAAAAGCTTTTCGCCTCCTCGATATTGACAGCCTGTGGATGTGTTTGGTCGATATGACGACAGATCGTGTGCGCATTTAAAAACAATGAAAGCGAGTAATCATAAGCTAGCTTCATTTTAAATAGTTTAAGCATAAGATAGTAGAGTGAGAAAAGTTACTTCTTTTTTACTCTATGTGTTTTGACAGACACCTCAATATCAAAAGAAGACTCGGGAATTTCATGCAGTTGTTGCAAGCAGTGAGTTGCAAATGCAACCGAAATTGACAGTTGTGTCTCTGCCTTCAACTTTTTGCTACGAACCAAATTTCTAAAGTGAAGAATTGACCAACACAAACCGTTGGCCATAATAAACAAGCTATTACCATGGAAGGCATGTTCTCAACAGTGGAAAAGCAGGTACTCGAGACGCGGCTCGTTGCTGTCAAAAAGTACAAAAAACATCACGGTCAATTGGTGCAAAGACACTACCAGCGGGAGCTCTGGGCATTACGGACCATGTCCTTGGAATCTGAAGCCGAAGCACGAGAGAATCACGTACGCAATATAATCAACTTGCTATTAATCGCTAAATCGAGATGAACCTCAAGACATGCTGCTAAACTGTTATGTTGATTAGGTCATTTGTTTACTGAGTGCCGATTCAACAGGTGGCGCTCACTACTTGACCTTCCCTTACTATGAGTATACGCTTATGAATTTTGTGGAAGACAGAGACCGCCAGTTTGCTTTGAGTGCACTGTACCAGATTGCACAGGGGCTCATTTTTCTGCATTCGCAAGGAATTGTTCATTGCGATCTGGCTCCTACTAATATTTTGGTCGATCATGACCAACAGGTGGTCATCGCCGACTTTGGGTGCGCCCATCTGTATTCTTCAAGTACAACATACCCAGACTCTGGCTTCAACTCGATGGAAGAAATCGGTACCAGGTATTAAAAAGAAAATATTCATCTATTGAGTGTGTACTTTGCAGAGTTTTAAGAAATAACATTGGGTGTGCCTTTTTGCTAGATACTATAAAGCACCTGAGCACTTGTTCGGATACCGTGTGTATCAGCCGGCAACCGACATTTGGTCACTTGGCACTATATCTTGTCACCTGTTACTAGGACATCCGATATTTGATGGACAAAGCGATTTAGAACAAATTGGAATGATAGTGCGTTCGCTAGGCCCCCCTCCTATTGAAGTCAAGGAAGAGGTAAAGGAAGAAAGCCAAGGATGTGATCGGGCGGAGGATACACTTTCCAGGCGCAACAACAACGATAGTTAAAAGAATACATTCTAGGAAATGAGCATGTACCCAGACATCGACAAGTTGATCTTTTTTGGGGGCGATTCTCTACTAAGCCAACAAGACAGCGATGATGACGATAGTGGTGGCAGTGACGAGGATGACGAAGTGGATGCAGCAGAGGAAGAAACACTTCACGGTGAAAGTGTTCAAGCCAATATTGCAAAGATGCCCAATGCAAAATCGCTTAGTTTAGGATCAATATTGAATGAATCGTTTGTTGCACGAGAGGATCAAGTTTTGATCCGCCGTATGTTGACATGGTCTATCAAGGAGCGAATAACAGCCAAGGAGGTAAGATGCCAGTAAAAAGTGGCCTATTACAAGGAGGAAAAGAGAGGGGCAAAGAGTATTTTGCAAAAAGTGGGATACCCGTTTTCTGATTCTCACGGACCTGCTGTTTTCTTCGTAACAACGGACACTCATAAAATGACAAAAACAAAGATCTCCAAGCTAGTATATCCTGTCCAATAGTCATGGAGCATTGACCCAAATTTGCTTGGCCGTTATTATTGCAGTTCTTGACTCATCACAAAATTGATGTCATATCATACAATTTAACGCGGTGGTAAAAGTCAGTTAGTCAATACAAGTACTGTACTATATCAGTCTATTTGCAGAAAGAAGCGCGCAACTCATTTCACACCAGCTTTTTCATGCCAAAGGTGCCAGGACATCTTCACTAGCGCATTATTAATGTCTTCATTATTCTTGGCCTCCAGGATCCCCACCCCCATCCTCTTGATCATCGTCCTCGTCTTCGGTTCGCTTCCTACCTCATCCTGATTATTCAAATCTTGCTCTTGGATTTGCGCCTTGATGCTTTGGCCTTGCTATTTGGGCAGCGCAGATCAACTGTTCTTGAGTAAATGTCACCACCGCTGTTTTTACGTATGCCACATAAAAGCGACACAAATTATTTCCAGCGCTATATTTAAGATCGATGACACGGCCCACTATGTGTTCCCAATCTCATCGACTTCTCGCTCGTAGTGTGGTCGGTATAGATAAGCGTACTCGCATTGCTGCTATTGAACTGTATGATAGAAGATACACGTAGTAATACAGAAGAATCACGTATGTCTTACCGGCAGATAGGGCATTGAGACGTTGGTGTGCGCGGATTATATACAGCATCACAGCACCAAAGGATAATTCTACCTTCTCGATTATTCGCGATGGTGCGCCGAAACTTTTACTTGTTGGTAAAACTGCAAGACAACCTCAATGTTAGTAACAAGGAAACTTAAACTTTGAATACAAAAGAGCAAAATAAAGGTACGTAACATACTTGTGCTCTCTGCAGGTGTAAAGGTCTTGTTCATGTTAACCAACACTTTAGTGGACGGCTGCTACAACCCGTTGAAGGCAAACAGAGCATATGATGCTGGTCCTCAATTCGCCGATCACGACGACAACAGTCCGCTGCGCCAGTATGCCCCAGAAAGTCTGAACAAAAAAGAAAAAGTGAAACGTCGTTTAATACACCATGTTCACATATGGCTGTGATGTTTATATTGTTGCCCTGATATTGAACACAATCATAAACTCCACCGACAAGGGCTCAAGTCTTTTGATCCCTTGAAGCCGGGCATCTCCATAGCCGACAATGATAGGCAACGGCGGTTGATAATTAGGATGACGAAGCCGCTCGCGTTGTGCCGCGCGACGGTGATCTTTGCGTTCCTTCTTTGAGCTTTTGGGGAAGGATGCCATTAAAAAACAAAACGTGGGCTATTTCTTGCCTTGATGTGCAAGATATAATATCTCTTTTATATAGTCATACGCTACTTACATCGTCTGGGCCAGAAATTCCCATCAGTTTGCTTGCTAAACGCTCGATGGCAGAGCGACGGGCGCCAAAGTACCTCAACTGCATCTCGCGATGTTGACAGTCGCAACTAAATTCTCCAAAGGCTCTATAAATAATGCTGTGAGTATTACGGATTGTGGAAATAATATAATACTTACTTTTTGTGAGATTCGCCTATCATGCGAATATAAGCCTCGAAACCTTGCACTGTGTGTATCATACAATAAGAAAATTCGCTCACATCCGAATAAACAGCTCGTGTATGTTCGTCACATTTTGATAAACACAGGTTTTTAGGGCTCGTTAGACCAAGTTCAAGACGAAAGTGTTTGACCTCTTTCGAGCTATTTGGTGACCGCTCTGTAACTGTAGTTAAAAAAAGCAACCAGTGAATAAGTCTCGGGATGCAAGCGAGCAAAATAGGAAATGAGACTGGATGAAACTGTACCTCCTCGTATTCCTGTCCTGAGCCTCTTGAACGTCAATGACACTAACACGCCATCCATTTCAATATAATTATTGAAAATTTGCGGTCCTCGATTTTCTTGTGGCACCTCTCCTCTACTACTTGGAATTTAAGAAACACAAGTTTGAGTATATAGCTGTCAAAGAGGGAAGCGTTCAGAAGCAATATATGCAGCACTCCTATATTAACTGACCCAGTAGGTCCCAGTATGTTGGTATTCTTCTGGTAACATGGTTCAGGAAAAGAGATACTCCCAAATCTCTTCCATTTGCACCTCGATAAGCTGGCAAAACTACCGCTCGCTGTTTAAAGAATTCCCGTCCGCTGTTGGCTCTCCTGGGCGCTAACACTCGCAGTTAGATTTGCTTCCTTTTAAATGTGTATATATAACACTTCTAGAGTGCAGAAAGTAAACTTACCAATACATGAGGTGGCAGTGTGATACACATTTGGTATTTGGTAGAAAACTCAGCGGTCAATAGGCATGTGCGTTACTTGCTGGTGCTTGGCTACGGGTAGCAGTGTTTACCTCGATCTGCCGTCGTGCTGGACAACGCGTTGCAGAAGCCTAAGGTAGGACCTTGTCATTTGAATGAACATAGCAGCTAGTTCTTGGAAAGCGTTTTGGATTATTCTACTGGGAACTCCTCCCTTGTTGGCGAACGCGACTTTACAGTGTCTATGGCGTTAGATTATGCATAAAATTGACGTATCCGCCAGATCTATACTTCTGGTAGCAGGCGATCATTACATGACAATAACTTCCCAGCTGATGCGAAAAGTATGCCAACGCATTATGATAAGCATAACGTTTACGTCGTATGGATTCTACAGAGGCATTTTTTGAAAAGTGATTTATACAGGAGAGGGATGAAAATTTGAGAAACATAAATTGATGAGTATTAACGTTTCAACTTATAGACAGGCGAGTAAATTCCAGCTCAACAAGTAGCCGGTAAGCAAAAGTACGTGTATAATGGTGTTCAGTGTTATATTTTTTTACTGTACACATCCGGCAATATGTTTTATATAATAATAAATCGTTGCCTTAGAAAGCTTCTATCAATTTTTCATGGAAACAATAGGTCCATTGCGCTTGTGTACATAATCATCGCTCCATATGACGGTTGTGAAAGTACAGTCGTCTGCTCAGTTATATTGTTTGGTTGTCCAGAAGAGCAAGCAAGGAATATTTTTTCACATGTATTAGTTATTTATGGGTTGCTTATTGTCAAAGAACATGGCTATCAAACCCGACATTCAGTCACTTCTTTCGAACACTATGTCGGATAAATAAAATTTTGCCTATAGGCCTTAAAAAAAAGAACATGGCAACGCAATACAAGAGTCTATTCAATTTCGTTCCACTGCTACGAGACATAATGACCAGCAGTACAAACTCTGTTTAACCCTTACCTGCTCCTCCTTCATCTTACCTCGGCACCACACTTTGTGCTCACCATTTGTCATCATTCTGATGATAAGCTCTTTTTGACGTGAAAGAAATCAAACATTTGGACAAAGCATAGAATATTAACTTGACATACATGGAGAATAGCAATTATTCTTCACGAGAAAATTTTGCTGCTGTAAAAATTAGCATACAAACTTATCGTAGAGTAGAGCCTAATATGCTATAAAGCACACTTAATTCTTCCCTTATTAACCAGTGTCACTTGTAGAAGTAATAGTGCAATTCACTCATGATTTGATTTGTATATATCGCCCATACACAAGTTTCCGATGTTACCGTCGCCGTAAATCATTTGAGGCCCCTCCATTTCCAATGCTGTCGGAAAAGGGGACAGAGGTGCCGGTATTGGGGTTCGCCCCAACTGTCTCCGCCAAACACTTCTCTCATTGGATCCTGCGGGGTCCATTGCCCCCAACAAACCCAGAGATGGACACTCTAGTTTTGTAACGCTAATATTAATCCCTCACTTTTCCCCCAATCCTTTCTTACTTCCTTTCCTGTTTTCTTTCCCCTTGATCAATTAATGCATATTCGCCGTTTTATAACCTGATAATAATGGCCGATTTTGCTGATTCTCTTATCAAGAATCTTGGCCTGCACGCAGCCCCACGACTCTCGTCGCCTGTCAACTTAAGCGACAAGATTGGACAACTTGGCGAGACCTTGCGCTATGCTCGTACATCCTTGTCGCTTGCGTCCTTAAGTCAAGCTTTGATCGGTAGTCCTGCAAGTACCTGTGAAGATACCGCAGCAGAATCATCTACCGCCACTGCTCCAGTAACACCACCTGCGCCTGAACACGCCAAGGGACGCTTGTCTATCAACTTGACAGAGGCTCGCAATCTTACCATTGCTGATCCCACTAAAGCAGACATTTACTGTCTTGTCCAGTACGATAAAAATGTATTTTCAACTAATGACCAAGTAACTCACGACAATGACGGCAACAATAGCAGCAGCGACCAACAACAACAACGAACAGCACCTACAGCCAGTATCCCTATCCCTAACGCTTCACAACGACGTCATGTCGATGTGTTTCAATTGGCAATGGAAGTGAGCTGTCCTAAATGGCGTTACAACGCAACCTTGTAAGTACTAGTCGACTTTTTCATGTTATTCTCGGTTTATGTTTTTTTTTGACACAGTTCTAAATTTGGATTAGCGACGTGTGCAACGACAATGACGAACTGATTGTTCACATTTATGACCGTGGCGACCGTCTGCCGAATGGTGACGATCGTTTTTTGGGTATGATCTCCGTCAAACCTTCGTTAGTTCCCAAAAAGATGTTTGATCAGTGGCATCGGCTTGTGCCACGCGCAGATGAAGCTTCTCAAGCTTACGACGGCAAGGTCACTGGCGAATTACGCTTACAAATAGAATATACCACTGTGGGTCCTGTAAGTTAACCTTTATATAGTAATAAATGGCCGGGCTATTTTATACTCTTACTAAATGGCTCTAATGAATGTTCTAGGCAAAACTGACACCAGAGGCCTTCCGCACTGTACGAATGATTGGCCACGGCTCGTTCGGCAAAGTATACCAGGTCGTTAAACGCGACAGCAAGCGTACCTATGCCATGAAGGTGTTATCAAAGAAGCTGCTGATTGCCCAGAACGAAGTCACTCATACCATAGCTGAACGCAACGTGATGATCCGGACCATATCCAATCCGTTTATTGTTACGCTCAAATTCAGTTTCCAGACCGCTGATCACTTGTTCCTGGTCATGGATTATGTGCCTGGTGGCGAATTGTTCTCTTACCTGCAACGGGAGCACTACCTCAACGAAGATCGTGCACGGTTCTACGTTGCTGAACTCGTATGCGCGCTTGAACATATCCACATGCACCAAGTCGTATATCGTGATCTGAAACCCGAAAACATCTTGCTGGATGCACAGGGGCATATCGCCCTTGCGGATTTCGGACTATCCAAAGAACTTAAGCGAGCGAACGAGACGACTACTACATTCTGTGGCACGTCAGAATACCTTGCACCTGAGATGGTGCGGCAAGAACCATACACGCAGGCCGTTGACTGGTGGAGCTTAGGCATATTGCTCTATGAACTGCTTGTAGGCGGCGCTCCTTTTCATTCTGTGCATTTGGACGTGCTTTATCGCAAAATTTGCAAAGCACCGCTCAAGTTTCCCGCACAACCTTCTGTATCGCCGGAAGCCAAGGATTTGATTGCCCAGCTCCTTGATAGAAACCCTGCCACACGCGTTGGTGCTGAGCAAGTCAAGGCACACCCATTCTTCAGGAATATCCAATGGGATTTGATCGCTCAAAAACAAGTCAGACCTCCTTTTAAACCTGTGCTAGCAAACCAACGACAGACATCTTCTTCATCATCGCTCCAACCACCATTCACCATGAAGCAACCACCATCATTCCTTGCCGTACGAAAGAACGCCACAAGACCCTCATCACCACTTAGCTCATCCAACCAGTCCGCATTCAGAGGGTTCAGCTATGTTCGTGACGACACCGCAAGTATTGCTAGCAGCCGACGTACAGTGGCTTCTTCTTTATTCTCGGATGATGAAGATGACGACGATTTTTGGTCATAATGTGTATAGTTTTTGCTTTTGCTTTTCCCTCATTCATCTTTACATGCACTTTTTTTTTCTTTTGTATATATGTTTTCTTGTCTACTTTTTTATATGATACCTCTTCATTTTTTGGGTTTTTTTTAGTATTCTATGTCTTCTTCTGTATCCAGAGTTGTACTGTAATGAGGAATAGAGTATTGTTAATGATCCATGCAAACATCTAAACCCCACTGCCATGTAGCCACTCGGCAATTTTTGTCTAATAAACGCTAGCGTAAACGCCTTCTATGTCGTATGTAACTTAGTCAAAGGTGGTATCTTTTCACAAGGAGGAAATTGGGCTCTAAAAAATGACCATTGTCATTACTGCAGCTATTATGGTGCATTGCTCGCCGTTGGTGATGGCTAAGAGTATGTCTCGCTAATTTGTAATCATATCTCTGGCCTTCGTCGTGCTTCGTGAACAGACAGTTAGTCCCGATTGCATGTTCCAGGGGTTATTCTCTCTCGTCGAATACGCCGTTCAGTACCGCTACTAGGGCAGTGAACCGGTTTTCTAGCGCTGCTAGTCGTGCTGTTGTATTGTGCAAACGTATACTGAGAATACTTTCGGTCAGACTTTTAAAGTGCTGTATTAGTACACCCTGCAGAAACTTGCCTAAGTGCGTCATGAAGAAAATTACTGAGTTAATTCAGTGTTTTTTTGAAGAGACCGAGTGTACGATTAACTATATATACTAGTTGCAGAAACATATACAGCAGCGGGCAGATCTGATGCTAGCATTAGCAGCAAGTATAAATATTGTAGTGCAGATTTTGGTGGTCATTTAAGTATGTAGATACATGTGCCAACCGAAGGGGTCAATGTGGGACTTCGAGAACGATGCTAACAAAAGATACTCGTTCTCTATACCCGAAAATTGTAACGACCAATCGATAGCCTTTGATGAAACGACCCATCTACACCAGAAACTCGTAAATCTACCTACAAGAGCTACTGTGACTTACTCATTTTCTACATATATTGCTTATCGATTGGAGATGAGACTATTTAGTTCTTACAGCTTACTATGTATAATATCACTGATTTATGTAACACGTGAACATTAGGGAAAAATACTCAGGTATCCCAAATACGCTGGTTAGCCATGTACAGCACAGATGATAAAGCGCGCCATACTTAACTTTTACGCATCTTCGCTGTATAAAGCGAGTGCTTATTATGGTTTCCATTGTATTTATAATCATGAATTATATACATCTGCAGATGGCTGTCCCATAAGCAATGTTAACTTTTAGTGGCAAATAACATATGGTTCAGAGCGACACTGTCTTAGTAGCAATGTTATATCGTAACAAAATGATATATGAAGAACATATGTATAGGAGAGACCAACATACAGTAACATTTTGAGAGAATTAAGTCATAGCTTTGTTTGCCACGTTTCCTTTATAAAAAAATGGATGTTTTTTATAAGAGTAGCATACAAATTACATTAGCACTAGAGTATCTGTGTAAAGGATTGTTAAATATTTTTGGTAAGTCAAGCTTGTCTGGGTATGCGAAATAGTGGGTTTTTTTTAGTTTCTTTCTATATCTGGGATATACATAGCAGCCATTCTAAGTCGAAGGTTCCTCAACAGGCTTTTGTGCAAAACATACACCGTAGGACCACATGGCATCTGGTTGTTTTTTCATCTCAATGCCAAGTTCCTTGACAAATGCAGGCCATTCTTCGGAAGGAATGTTTAGAGCTTTAGACAAAATGGGCTCTGCACCGGTAAAGATGCAACAAATGTCATGGATAAACTCGCGTGTCAATTGGTCTTGTTTAGCTATAAAAAGTACAAAGTAATAAGTACACAGTCAGCATCATGCACACGATACAATTTGAACGTTTAAAGTAGAGAAATTTACCTAAATAAATGTCTTTGAGTTCTTAGTGAATAATGTTATAGTTGACGCTGGCCATGATCTTATCCATCTTTTGAGAAACAAACGGTTCTTGCTTTCGCTCATACATCATGTCGATAACTAATCGTTACATGACTCGGGTTCATTAATACATTCGATAAGGAGATGACGCCAATGATAAGCACTCTGCCCTGTATATTTTGTTGACGCTACACTTACATGCTTGTCCAGCCTTGTTTACAAACTCATTTCCTTTCTCCTAATTTATACAATTAGAAAAGACAAACCAAAACGCCGATTAGAAACATTTGCATGCATGTGTGCGTCGTTGACCTTTGACAAGCAAACATTGTCCTTAAGCCATCAGAAAAAACAACTTTGGCTTACCAGCATGCCGGCTTCAACAGATTGAGCACATCCGCCAGGCTTTAGAATACGATACACTTCACGCCACATGGCAGGCCATTTGGTCCTTACGCAAACCGATCAGTAGCAAACGCACATAGACAAGATCAAAAGAGTTATCAGGGTATGGTAAACCTTCCATAACGTTGGCAACCTTGAATTCAACATTAGTCGGTCGAATTTCTTTGGGAAACACGTCGACCATATCTACGCCTACGCATTGTGCGTTTGGATTTTCCGTTGCGAAGTCCTGAGTTTTGTGACATCCAAAGTAAGAAAAGGTATTAGACCCACTCTTTGGGTTTTTTTCGGCCATACTTTTTTTCCTGGATGTTGTCTTTTTGTCTTACCATAATCCAAGTCCCTGGTCCACAGGCCAAGTCTAAGACTTTTGCACCTTCATCAAATGGCGTAGGAATGAGTGGGATACCCTTTGCTACGACATTGCTGTTTGTGAATAATAATAAAAAACGAGAATGATATCGTTAGTATAACAACTTAAGATCCTCAGTTGCATCTTTCCTTGTACGTATGCAATCTGTGCTCACTGTGTCGGAGAGAACGAGAGAAAAGAAGAGCTTACCCTTCCAAAAATGTTTTCAACGCAAAGTGTTGCTATTATTGTAATAATAATACTTTTTCAGTAATTTATGCCTTCAATTGAACTAGAAATTTGTGCATAATACATACGCCGATCAAACGGTCCATCTCTTCGTCATCATTAGGAAACCAATATGTCGAGTTGGAAATTTGATGGATACGACGTCTGACGCTCGAATTATTAGAAACAGTATGTTGCTGACTTTCGTCAATTGTGCCTTCCTGTTTAGAAGAGGTCGCGGTCGTCGTCGTAGATGCGGACCGAGGGGTAGGTGTGGCTGAGGATGATTTTCGCTTCGATGATAGTTTATTGCCCATTTTCTCTACACGCATGTGCACAGTACACACACACAAAGGAGTAAGTTGAAAGGGGAAGGAAGAGTGGGAAAAGAAGGGTTTGGGACGCACATTATTCCAGATGAGTTAAATATACCAATAGTCGCTTCACCGCGCTCGGAATCCGAATTGTCTTACAAAAACTTTATCGTCTCATTAAGTCAAATACCGTATGTATGACGCACCAGCAAACAAGAAACTGGTAAAGACAATAGCATAGAACTGGGATGTGGTTGTATGCTTAGCACATCGATGAGGGTTGACGTACATGCAGGCTAATTAAAAGTCTAAAAGCAAACAAAGTGTCAAGCGATGCGCATCTCTTGACTATATTGTACTTACTGCAGTGAACTCAACCCTTGTTTGTAAACACACCGAACATAACCAAGAATCGATCATCAAGATTCATCTCAGATGGTGGCACAAAAAGTCTTTTTTCCCTTATCATTCGTATGCTTACAATAATATATGGGAAATGCAGCACGAGAATATATCCGCCTGATGCTGAGTTGAGAGTGACGACACCTTTTCTTTATTATGCAGTAACATTTTACCGTGCAGCACCTAATTCATCTACAACAAGATGGCCTGCTTTCATACCTAATACATAGTGTTTAGTTTAAAAAAAAAATGCCAAGTTTTAGGAAGTCTCCCGTGATGTAGAAAAAAAACCTACTTTCGCTGAGAGCGGCAGCATGGGCTGCCGACTTTCTCTTTGATTTATGTTTCCTTTTCTTATGGTATCGAATCACTGAGACAGGCACGGGAGCCTTGTGGAGTAGGTACGTGGATACAGATCCCATGAGCATTCTAGATCATTACCTTTTGTGTTAACGATTTTGACAGGTCATCATCTTAAAAAGGTTTATCCACCAAATGTGCGCTATTTTCCTTTGATGAATTGAAATCAATATTTACCCTTTCATAGTGCTACGTCCCCGGCAACCGCACACAACCATTGTCACTGGTAATTCGTTAATCTATTTATATTGATTTTAACATGCAATCCAGGAGTTACTGTTAAGACAACAATAATAAGGCGAAAGGTTGTTGTTAATGATACCAAATTGTGTAAAACCTCCCGAACATGACCACGAGTAGCCACTGTCACCAGCTTCACGTTAAAGAGAAGCATATGGCTTAACAACTGTTTTGCTCTCGCATTAAGCGTTTTCGAAACACCTTGTAGCTGTTACACATCATTCATATTATTAGTATTACCTTCACATGCGCTCCAAATTACAATTAATTGGCTTACCACTTTTGCTGGAGTCATGTCTAATTCTGCCAAATCTTGCTCTTGGCTTACTACAGTAACAACGTGGATCTCATCATGGTCACGTAACATCGTTCCCATTGTCCACTCCATCGCTGAACGGCTTTCCTTACTAAAATCGCTGGCTACGAGATACACACGTGGTTTGCGATGTGGCTTTTGCTCTGGCGTGGATTGTCCGTAATACTGACTCAAAGTGACACGATCAGCCTGTTCGTTGCCTATGGGCTCTGTAAACACAAGTCGTCGATGAAAACGTTGTGTAGATGACGACGAAGAGGAGGCGGTGCTGTTGAGACGATTTGATACTGGCTCGGGTGATGGGATATGTCGATTACGCTCGGTTGTTTTCAATAGCTGCTTATCCACAATTAAATCTTCTTCTTTGTCTACTTCTTGCAATTCATGTTGATGTTCCTTGAGTTCTTTAGAGAGCATATCGATTTGAGAAGCAGAGGATAATGATGCTGATGACGTTTCGCCTTCATCTTCGTCCGAGCTCGATGACGAAGATAGCACTGTTGGCGTTTTATTGCGCATCAATGGCGACAGTCTGTTTTGATCTGGTTGTGGATGGGTGATGGTAGCTTGTGGGACAGCTTCATCTTTTGAGTCGACTTGGTTAAGCTCATCAAACTCTTGTTGTTCGCTAGGTGATCGTGGTAGTAGCGGTTGACTTGGCGAAATGGTGACAGCGGGTGCAATCTGCTGAGTGTGATCATCATTGATAACATTGTTATCGTGCTTGTGGTGATGGTGGTGATGACGATGAAGTTTGCTTCTCATGTGGATAAGAACAATTTGAATATGGTAAAAAGAAGAGAAAAAACCGCAGCTTTATACAAATGTTCCCTTCAACCTCCCTTGTCATTCCAATCTATGCGACCCCCTCCTGATAAGCACACGGCATAAAAGCAAAAACAACTTGTTTCAGATGGAGAACAATTTTTATTACATGGCAATTGGAGCGTCCCTTAAAACAATTTAGAACGAATCAGTGGCAGAGAACTCAAAGACAACAGCCTTGCCAGTGAGCTTCTTGTACACAGCAGAGAACGTATCCAACTTGTACTCCAACGAGGTGGCATCCTTGGCATCCAAGAAACTAATCAATTATAAAAAGCGCATATATCAGCATCCGTGTATACTCTTTCAATCGCTCCCACTTAAGACTATATAATCAGTAAAGGTCACTTACACCTTGATGGTCTTGGAACCGTCAACCTTGACACGGGTGCGCTTGCCAACGATCTCGGAAGGATTGCAGAGGTCTTCCAAGAGGGCATCGTGGACAGCAGACAAGGTGCGGGATCTGGGACGAGGCTGCTTGGGGTTATCGCGACGCGAGGGCTTGGGGAGGATACGGCGCTGAGCAACGAAAACGACGTGGCGGTCAGAGAACTTCTTCTCCAATTCGCGGGTCACTCTGTAAGAAAAGAAAAAACAAACAAGCACGGAGTTAATCAATCATATCGAGACAAAACAAAAGCGTTTTTTGCAGCATGCCCTATTTTCTTTTCTAATTACCTAGCCTGGATCTTGGTCCATGCCTTCTGGGAAGGAACGGGGACGAAGATGACGATGGCCTTCTTGCCACTGCCAACCTCAACCTATGATAAAACCAAACAAAGTCAAGTCTTTAATATTCTTGCCCACGACGAGTTCCTTCTTTTCTTTTGCCGTAACAGTTGTTTAAGTATATTGAAGAGTAGTTTACCTCCTTAGCGGTGGTGATTTGAAGGGGACGCAAGTCCTTCTTCAACTCGGGAACGTTGTTCTCCAAGTCAACGAGAGCTTGAGCGACGGTAAGCTCGAATTCGGTCGTGGGCTGTGCACCAGCGATCTTGGTAATCTTGTGAGAAGCCATGCTGTGCTGTAAGAATGCAAGAGAGAAAGAGAAAGAGAGAGGGTCAAGTCAGAATTATTTACCATCTTTTACGAATGTTGAAATTGGCCCATTCATAATTTTTTTTCTTCTCTCCTCATATAGTTTCCACCCATCCATCCATCTATCCATCCAACTTCGTTCATCTATTCTTTAATTGTTGCATCCATCGTCTCTAGGGCTTTTGTCGCTATCGTATTTCCCGTTTCCCCCTTTCACCATCCCACCTTAGTGTTATACGTACACGACGCGATAGAAAGGGAGGATTCAACCAGTTCTGCCCTCACAGCCATCTTCGAATACGAGGCGGAGTTTTTAATATTTGTCGGCTCTTTTTTTTCAAGCCATCGGCCAGCGCTGTGGAGTTCTTTGACAGGATCTGTCAAACTCCCACCACCAACGGTTATGGCAGCATCACTGTTTTTTGAAATATTCGTGTTGATATTAGATGGCATCGGAATTCCTAGTATAATCTTTAAAAATGATATAGCCCCCAATCCATATTATATAATTCCTTAGTATGAGTTACCATAAGGGCTACAACTGCGGTATCTATAAGACACAGAGAATAGATAGGCTTTTTTCTTTAGTTTTATCGGTAGTATACAGGCTATAAAAACATATAAACCAAATTATGCGCGAATTGTGTATGGTCAAGCATAAACTGCTTGCGCTGATATAGCACCATTCCATTGTTCTGCTTTATCATGAATCCAAACGGTACAGTATAGGCAGCACCATAAAAAAGCTTATCCAGATCAAGTACGAGAGTTATCCGTATCAATTGTCTTCCAGATTTTTCATATCCTCAACCAATACCATCCAATATGTCTGAACAACTGCTCAATCGTCGACCGACGGACTTATCAGGAAAGCATCACTTATAAGTGCACGCTATTAAAGTTGACAAACCTTTACGGGTACATACATTTATACTCATCATCCTTCTTTTAAACTGCTTACACTTGGAAAACTGTTAAAATCTATTTCGCACGCATGTACAGTACAGTCATATGTACTACTCCCTTCATCAGCTGGAGCTTAATTTGTTTTCTTTGTAACTGTATTCATACTACTGGAAATTTCCGTCTACTGTACCATTACTCACACGTACTTGACGGAATGGATACATACCTCGTATCCAGCAGGAAAATGGGGTACATACTTTGGACATCGTTAATCTTAAATCTAGAAGGCTCTTTTGAGCAAACAGTTGAAATAGAAGATAAATGATAAACGATATCTTCTCTACTTTATTACTATTAAGAAAGGGATCAACTACTACAACTTTTTTTATAAAATATCTACAAGTTCATGCTTGGCCTTAGCGAGAGCAAGAAGACTATCAAATTCTCCAGAGTTTTTGCACATTTTGTAGAACACAGTATCTGGGTTCCTGATCAGTTCGAGTGGGCTATACAAAGTACACAAAGAAGATTGTCAGTTTTTTAATTCTCAAAAAGCAAAAAAATAGCTTAGTATATCTTACCTTTCAAATTCAACAATTTGTCCTTGATCCAGTACCAAGATACGGTCATACTCAATGACCGTATGTAATCGATGGGCAATACATAAAATGGTGCTTTCAGCAAACTCGGTCGCAATTGTTTTTTGGATAGCCTTGTCGGTCTGGAAATCTACACTGGCAGTAGCTTCATCCATCAAGACCAAGCACGAACGACGGAGCAAGGCTCTTGCCAAACACAAAAGTTGTCGTTGACCCTGCGAAAAGTTCTTGCCTCCTTCGCTCACAGATGTTTCCAGATCACGGAAGACATTTGCGTTGACTGCTTCTAATTCATCGGTATCAAAACTGTTTTCGTCTGACGGTAGTAAATGAACACGTTTTAGAGCTCTAAAGATATCATCGTCACTGAATTGTTCAAATGGATCCATGTTGGAGCGCAGTGTTCCAGAAAAGAGTGTGGGATCTAAACATTTGGATTAGAGTTATAAAATTCATCGATTCCACATACTTTTTTGTTAAATATATCGATCATCAATAGTGTATTTAGGTTATCTACCTTGAGGAATAATAGTAAGACTGCCACGCAAGTCTTCGGTACCAATATGCTTGATATCCAAATCATCAATGACAATACTACCGCGTGTAGCTTCGACAAATCGAAAGAATGACAGAGCAAGCGTGGATTTACCACTACCTGTACGTCCGACAACACCAATCTTTTCTCTAGACTTGACAGAGAAGCTCAAACCTCTCAATACAGGATCTAGATCAGGCGCGTAGCGGACTTCAAGGTCATTCACTTCGATACGACCTTCGGATGGCCACTAGATAATGTTATTGTAGGAGTTAGCAAACGAACTCTTCATTTAATCCTTTGAATTTCCTATTTGATCAACATACCGACGATGGTGGTCTAACATCAGTGATAGTAGCAGCCTCTTGATCCATCTCCATGAACTCAACAACACGCTCAACACCGTTGAAGCTCATTTCCAAGCTGGTGTAGCGTCTGATACCCCAGAACATCTGATAACAATGAATCGTCATTAGTAAAGACAAGATTATCAAGTGCGAAGATGAGCACCAAGTATGAAAGTTCATTACTTACATAATTAGAGAAACTCAAGACAAAACTCAAGCAGAAACCAGCAGCTGACGCATCCAAATGATCCAAGCTGGAAAGGATAATCATTCCAACAACAATGCTGATAATGGCACCAAGAATGGAGAACTGAGTGCTCACCCAACGGTTCAAGGACCAGACATAGTAGTACGGTCGCGCATTGGTGTCCACTCGTTTCAGCATTTCTTGCATAAACTGGCGGCTCACACCAAAGGCACGGATCGTAGCAACACCCACGATCGTTTCGGAAAAGTGACTGAAAAGCGGTGAGCGAGACACGGAGTCCATTCGTTTAAGTTCTCGCGAAGTAGAGACAAACATGGCTCCAACAGCAAGACTGAGCACAACAATGATGACTATTGGGAAGAAAAAGATGGGAAGGACGAAAGTTATCACAACGACAATGGAGAGAACTTCAAGCGCAGTGATGAGAAAGTTCAACATGTCGCTGGGAATGTTTGAGTCGATGGTTTCAAAGTCCTTGGAGAAGCGGTTGAGGATACGGCCCACGGGTGTAGTGTCGAAAAATCGTAAAGGCGCACGGAACACGCGTTGCAATAAACCCTCGTAGAGTTTGCGACTCGCTCGCAGACCACCAAAGTATATCAGGACAAATCGCAGAGTACCAATAAAAATGTTAGAGCCCGTAATCAATATATAGATGCCCAAATAGAACTTGACGCCTCTTGCTCCAGATTCTTCTCCTTCAAGGGCATGGAATCCAGACGGTGAAGACGACAAGAAAACTGGTAGGTAGCCGAATGGTTGCTGTTTTTGTAGCGTCATGCTGTGAACGCTTGATGAATTGGAGGCTTGAGTCCAGACCTTGACCCACCAGATTTCTGCAATATCCAGCGCACGAGCTCCAAACACGGCTGCGATGAAAACGAACCAAAAGAAATAGCTGCCGACCATTGCCCAATACATCTTGTACAGTCTCATTTTGACTTTTCCAGTGAATCGAGCTTTGAAAAGAGAGGAGAATTCGAACCATTTTTAAAATGCATTAATAAACTCTTGCAACTTCTACTTGAAAACGAAACAAGACTTACCCTCTTCCTCGATCAATGCACGGGGCTTTTTTTGACTAGTCTCTGCAGCGGTAGGTTCGCTGGTGGAAGTACTTGCCGTGGTATCAGTAGTGGGCTCTGTTGGGATCTCATCTTCAATAGGTTCTTCTTGATCTTCGTGTTCTTCGTCCATGATAGTCGCCAAAGACCCCGACTGTCGAAGTTCTGCTGGAGTACCAGCAATGTCTGTACGGCCGCCACTAACATGTACTAAATAGGCAGTACCGTTCAAACAAAGTTTGACATGATGCGTAATTAAGATACGAGTACGTCCTTTCATGAGTGGACCCAAAAGACACTTGTCATAAAGATGCTTAGCAGTATGTGCTAATAATATTCAAACGAGGGAAAATAAGGTTTTTAATGATTAACCGTGTTGAGAATAACAACAGCTGTACGCTTTTAAAAAAATACCTTTCTTACCATCAACAGCACTGAGGACATCATCCATCAATACATTTTTTGCTCGAGAATAAGCTGCTCTGGCCAAAGCGACGCGTGCCTTTTGACCACCGGAAAGTGTAATGCCTTTTTCACCGATCTCGGTCATATCACCGTCTTCCAAAATAGACAGATCCTTGTCCAATGCACAAGCCGTAAGCGTGGCTTCATATCGCTTTGCAACGTAAGGTAAGCCAAATAGAATGTTGTCACGGATAGATGCATTCTGAAGCCAAGCTATACAGTAAAGGGTTTGAATTGACATCAGTTACACAATCACAGACATCATCGAGTCATGATAATAAGTATATCTTGGGATTTTATGGCAATAAATTAGATCTTTACCTGTTTGAGAGACATAGGCCAAGGCATGATCCAAGATCCAGTCTTCTTCTGGAATGGATTGCTGGATCGCAAAGTCAGCAGAAACATCCTCACAGATAGGTGTTCGAGGACAATCAATGCTACCCTTGAGCACAACAGTTTCGCCAAGCAAACTCAACATGAGCAGCGTCTTGCCAGAACCGGTGCTACCACAAATCAAACTCAACCTGTCATTGGGGAAGTGGACGTTGATATCCTTTATCATAAACGCGTTCGATTCCAAGGCCGTTTCATCACTGCTCGAAGACACGGTGCTGTTTTGCTCTTCAATGCTGGGAGATTTGGACGTCCAAGACACGGTAGCATTGTTGAAGGCAATACGCACATCCTTGGTAAGATCTACCGCTGAAGCTGGTTCGATCTCGTCTTGATCCAAATAAAGCTGAATTCGACGTACACTAAGTGCGCGAATTTACGTGTTTTTCTTAATCACCTGAGGACCCTTGAGAAACCCCAATTTAACCAGAAAAAGAACTTGATTCTTACCTAATCAAGGCTTGCAATAACTCGATAAATGTCTCGGGAAGTGCGTTCAAAGCAAAACGAAGCTCATCAAACACAACAATACTCTATTTTGTAGTCATAAGTTGCCATGCCCCTGAAGTACCAATAAGTTTAGATTGAGATTCTTACCGTGAAAGCTATAGCAGCGGTCAATTCCTTGCCTTCAAGCATTGTAAATGACCAGAATGATAGAATAGTAACCAGGAGAGGTGATCTAGTTGTACGGTGGTTGAATATCACTTGAGCACGCAAAAGAGTAAGATCCTCGAAAAGGTGGCTGAACTTACCCTTGCCAAATGAGAGTGAAAAGAGATTCACAGATATACGTGGTACGCAAATGGTGCAATTCGGTATTTCTTGACTCTATGATTCTCTTTTCCCACCCCTTTTCTGAGGCAAAGAACTTGATTTGGCGAATACCTTGAAGAACTTCGTTCATGAGTGAAACACGCTTGTCACGAGCATCCATGAGCTTATCTTGAGTACTGGCGAACAGCTTGGCGTTAAAATGATTGATCGGCAGCGCAATCACCATGACAGACAGACCCAAAAAGCAGGAGAGACCAAGAAGTTGGTACAGAAAGTAGATGCCAATGACCAACTCGGTAGGAGCAGCGAAGATGGTGAACCACCAGGTGCTAAACTCAGAAATTCGGTTGGAATCCGTACTCATCAAGTTGACAATTTGGCCTGTTGATGATACATCCTCTTCGTCCTCGTCATCGCCTTTCTTTTTGTCGCCATCGTTGTCGCTGTGGTCACTGTTTTTGTTCGTCTTTGAGCCGTCTTGAATTTTATTTTGATCGTCGCCAGCAGACACACCCGTGTCTCTGCGTCTCAATGTCTTGCGATAAATTTCAATGTTGAGCATCGCCTTGATACGTACTTGGACCGACGATGCAGCTATCCAAACATTCCCAATGAGTAATGTCGAATGACATATGTAAACACATTTATATTTTTAAAAAAAAATCAATGAATGCATTTCTTTCTTACCCCAATACCAGAGCTGTCCGACAATGACGGACAGAACTATCATAGATGTTCCGAGTCCCAGAACGATCAATAAACCATCCCTCAGGCCCGTTTCCTGGTGACCACCAGCACCCATTTCTTGGATAAGGAGCAATAGCTGGTTGATGAAAAACGCAGGAACGTAGTAGAATAGCGATGACACGAACGCTGTGATGATTTGGATGATGATAGCCGTTCGATTCGCGTGGAAGATGCGATAGAGTAAGCGCCGACCACGTGAAAAGCCGAACATATAGAAGAGATTATAACCACGGTAGATGGGCGGCAGACTCGGCAGATCGTCGTCGGTTAGCTGTTGTTTCGTGTAAGCAACCTTAATAAGAGGTCGGAGCCAAGTAAAGAACAAGAAGCTAAACACGGATGACACATTGACATGGATAACCGTACGGCCATTTTCATCCAGGAAAGGTGGACCACGTTCAGCCGTGGAAGTAACGTAGAGCATATCCATCGTCAAGAGTAATCCCACGAGCCTTGGTACACCTTCGGACCATGTCACCGAATCTTGCGTGCGTTGTGTCAGTGCATAAAATTGATATATGGCGACGATTAAGCCGACAAAGTACACGGCGCACAAATGACAGTTCAGCGCGAATCCCCAATCGTTTGGCAAACGGTGCCGTTGCGAGGTCACTGCAAGCGCAAAAGCATATAGCCACGTTGCAAGCGAGAACGCAGTACCCATGACAGTGTAAATACCGAGACTAGATCGCTCGTCCGAGAGCGATTGCACGGTCGAATAGAGATCGTAGATTGCAAAGAGCAAGAGGACGGCTGTTTCAAAAGTAATTCGCGTTGTGCGATCGTTGTCTGCATAAGGGACTGTGAGATCGCGCTCATTGTCGAAATGGAGTGGAGAAAGGTCGGGGCCAGCTTCTTCTAGACGTTGGCGGGTTTTATGGTCGTACACACGTTGCAAGGACAGAATGACGGCACTGCCACATGCTGAAACGGCAAAGGCAGTCGCTAGCCAAAAACTCGTCGGTATACTACTGTCTTCTTCCATGTATATATGGAGCGATATTGAGGCAATACACACGAAGAAAAAGGGAGAAAAAAAAACAAGAAAAAGAAAAAACGATAAGACCGTATATAAAGGGCAAGAAAAGCTTGAAAAAAAAAGCCCTCGAATAGCTTGTGCAACAGTCGTCCTTCACCACAGCAAAGACTAAAAAAACCCCACGCATTGAACAGCCGCCGCCGCAGCGCAACTATGACAACAACACGCGCTCTGCTCCCTTCCCTTCATGGAAACATAAGCTGCATATCTGATCCGCCTGCATAAACAAACATTTCAGCTACATGTTGCACACCGGAAACGCCCAATTGTAACAACAAAGCAAGTTTGGCACGTCTTCGTAATCTGATAACGCTAATGATTGAAGATTGATGATAGACAGGCAATCCAGATACTTTTTTGAGATACCGAACAGTCCCCTTGCTGGGATTCAAGGCTAACGGGTGTAAAGTGCGTGCTGGGTTACGCAACTGGGTGAGTGGCACCGGGCATGCAGTGTATGTTGCGCAGTATCCATGCGTCAATTATGCTTCTTCGGCTAATACAACTCCTGCTGGTGCTGCTGCGGCACCTCTTACTTTCCATGTTTTTCGTTTTGGCACATGCTCATTGCACCCACAAGTATGGTTTACACTTATAATGTAATAGTGGCGCGTATAATGTAATAGTGGTAGTATGTGTATGTGATGTTGCATCGACTTCCCCCTTTTCGCCTAAGCCATGATAATGACTTAAACAAATAATAACATGACAAATTCTGCATGCAATGTTACAGTCTCACCTCAATCTCACTCAACCGGGGTAATGACTTGTGTTGATGTTTACGTGTTTACCTTTATTAACTGACTTGCAAAACGGGGAAAGATATTGCCACATAGTACTATTAGCGGATGCAGTTCCGCAGCACCTCCCACATCTTTCTTCCCGTTTAGCAATTTTTTCCCCTTTCATGAATAATTATGCAATGTGTATAACATTGTCTAGTGCCCAATCAGTTAATAGACCTCCAACTTCTCGGTGACACTAGGAACAGTGATGTATACGTATACAAAGAGTAGGGAAAGTGACCAAGCAACATTTTTTCCAACAACGCCGACCAGTACACTAAGCTTTAGCTTTAAACTTTTACAGTGTCTTTAACTCAATATCACTGATCCATTAAAAATGATGTCATTGTTTAGCTAAAGTTGACGTCACAGCCCAAATCATATTTCATTTACGATTTTCTTTTTGCTGCCATAAATGTCCAACTGATGCATCAATCAAACTGTTGGCTGATAGGCACATATTGCGCCGACATCTGCAGAACGTCCATCACGTAGTTCTACCAGCTTTAAAACTTGGTAACCGAAACAAACCTGGCACACTCGATGGAGATGGTCCTCCAGTAATCAAGTATTGCCCATCATGCGAGCCTGAATTCGAGTTGTTTGATGAGTTGAAAACTCATTCGGAAGAACACCTTTACGCGACGAAGAACACCAGTTCTGTTATCGAGGACACAGCCCAGATCAGTAACAGTAACCAGTCCTAAAGTTCCCGTGAAGACTAAATCGTGGTTCAGGACAGTGAAAAAGCCTAAATGAACAACGAGTCAATTTTACCTCCTGCTCAAAATGATCGAATTTATTGTCAAGGGATTCGACGTGTCGAACGCTTTTTACGACTTTCAGTGCGCTGTGAATCTGAGGATCGCCAAGGGAAATTTGCTTATGTTTGAATCACACGTTCAGCATGTTCTGGCACTATCGTCGATCTTCTTGATAAAACCACGAGGATGTTACTGCTCATATTCCTCGCGATAAAATGCAGCAAATCCTCCACGAGCTATATGAGCGTCACCAGATCAATACCTTTCGCAATCCGATCCATCTATTATCCACCATACTGCGATCGCTTGATGTAAGTTTGAAATATCTGGGGGCCAAGTACGATAGGTACTGTATTGATTTTTTTTATTAGGATTTGCGAATGAAAAAAATCGACGTTGACGAAGTAACGGGTCGACTTTTTCTCTCAAAAAATGAATTGTCTCCCACAGAATTCTGCATCGCTAAATCAGTTGCATTGCTGATCCAAAAGCTGCTGGTGGACAGTATCGAGAGCACAATCTTGGAGCAGGAGCTGATAAATCGATTCGTGGAACCTGCGTTCGCACCATTGTTCGAAGATGCAACGACAGATATCTTATTCCGCTGGACGGCCACAACCAATAACGAATGCCGGGCTTCACCTAGCATCACAATCAATTAGGATCGTCCTGATGCCTGCATCACTTCTTTGAATGGTGGTGCTGTTTGGGGTACTAGCCGTGGTTTTGGTGAAGTCAAGTGCTTCAGTCAAGCTGAAAACAAATTTGCCGTAGCAAAAGACCTTATCCGTCTCGGTCATTTCTCCATGAATGCAATCGATATCCATAATATGAATGGTGTTTAGGTCTGTCAGGTTGTGGGCCGTCATGTGTTTTTTTACTTGACGAAATTAGTGCATGACGGGTTGTACATTATGCTGGAAATCGATAAGATCGAAGTGCCTGCATCAGTATACGCTTTACCCACCTATACCACCCAGGCACATCGACTGTTGAATGTGATCAGCATATATCAGCAGTGCACTCCTTGCAGTGACGTTACAAAGGACATGTTGTGCAGCCGAAAACGCAAAAACCAATGATATTGAAAATAGTGTTGTTACGAAAACCCGGGATCGCAAGCGTGCTACCGATACGACATACCATCACCAATAAAACCCTGTTCATTGATGTGTGCATCTATGTAATCTAATCCCTTTTAAATTATTTACACGGCTATTCTACATGCCAACGGAATCACAACAAACTTTTTTGATCTTTGTGGGTTTTTGTTGAGATCCATATGCAACAATGGTGACCTGCGACAGAGATTCGGTGGACCGGCAATATGCAGAGAACACTTACAAGACGTTCGATGGGTACTCGAAAAAGCTACGTGAGCCGAAGTTGGTGGTCAACGTGAAGAAATACGGAATTCGTTGGTTATCAAGTATTACAGCCAGGGGAATTTGTCCATCTACGAAGAAAGTTCAAGCAATCCAAGATTGGCCGGTGCCGACAAAATGTTCAAGAAGTCGGTCATTTCGTTGGCCTCGCGTCACACACCCAATTTGCCATATTGCTGGTTCTCAAACGGTCCCTCTACTGATTAATTGCCTGGTTTCCGGCTCCCCGCCGGTGCATCCTTCATTTTGCTTGTGCACCCGCGTTGCTTAATAAACCCCCTTTCCTCCTCTTCCTATTTTTCGCGCTTTTATTAACATGAGCAATCTCTCAGAAATTGAAAACAGACTTATGCATTTGCTTGACCTTGAACCCAAAGATGAGTCGCGACCAAAGCTAAATTCCTGGTTATGCGAACTCGAAAGAAGAAAGGTGCGACTGCAGTCGAAACCGCAGGAACAACAGCAAGGCCAACAACTGGAACAGCAGCAGCACAAACAACAGCAACAACAATCGGATCAAGAAAACGAAGGCGAAGAGGGCATGGAAGGAATCAGCCCGGATCTAGAGCTTGCTGGCAAGCTTATTCGCGAGGCGAAAGAGGAACTTGCCAAGAAGAAGCTAGATATTGCAAACGCGTGCAGCATAGCGCTCAGCCAAGTCGAGGAGATGTTTGGTGGCGAGCCGATAAGGCTTTTTACCATTTCAAAATCACGCAACATATGGACGCAGTTTGCTGCTGATAAGCGAAAGGAGTTGACAGGTAGGAATCACAACGCGGATACTAGCTTGTACAAAAGTCATTGTGTACTTAATTTTTGGATCAAGGAAAATATCGTGTGGATAATGGTCTGGAGCCCAACAGATTGATAAAGCCGGAACCAAGGTTATCAACAAAATGCTTTCGGATGAATACAAGGATATTGAAAGAAAACCCGATGTACTCAAACGATCGCAAGGCGAAGCAAACGTTTACAACTATCGACCAATGTATACTTGTTTGAAGCTAACACATTATATGCAAAATATATAGACAAAAATGTTAAAGCCGCCTTCAAGTACTATTACGAGTTGGAACAGATAATGAGCGATAACCACGCCAGTCGCCCCCTCTATCTTTCAGAAACTCTGCACATGCCAACAAACCGCTCAGGTGAAGCCATAACAACATCTTCACCGCCATCTTCATCATCACCATTACCCTCTTTACCAACTCAACACCGTCCAAGCTTCGACAATGACCTTGACAACATATACGACGACGATGACGGCGAAGACATTGATGAAGGCAACCCACAGCAGCACCAGCACCAACAAGCCTCATCGTCACAACCGACTCGTGCCCAATCCAAGAAATCCGAAAAAATAAGAAAAAACCCCTTAGCAGCAACACTCTGGGATATAAATAATGACAACAAGCGGTTCATGGAAGAAAGTTTGAAGCTCAAGCGAGAACTCGCAAAGCACAAGATGGATGTTTTTGAGCATCAACGCAAGCTAGATATTCATCAACAAATACAACAAGAGCGAATGGATCGTCAACGGCAGCAATTAGAGGCGAAGAAGTTACGGATCCAGGATCGTGAATCCAAAACAGCAATGATGAAGATAATGTTAGAAGCTGGTTTCACCAACAATGCGATACAAAAAGCCGTATTTGACGATGATGATGACAAGTTCAACTCGGGTGATGATGATGATGACGAGTCATTGGCAAGCGAGCTGCAGGAGATTGTAGATAAGGATCAGGGCGGCAATGATGACAGCGAGAATGACAGCGACGAGGAGGAGATGGAAGAAGTAGTCCGTAGTAGAAGATTGATGTTGATACGATAAGAAGAACAATGATAGTAATAATAATAGAGTAAATATACAATACATAATGACAGATAGAATGATCTAATTGTGATTGTGGATAACATGATGGAAGAGCTCTTCTCTTCTGGCCTTTCCTGGTGTCATTCTATCACTATTCGGGGTTGTCCAATTCGCGTTGTTTTCAGGCTGTTGTTCTTGCTGATCATCAACGACAGCCCGAAGTTCTTCGTCGTCGTACATGTCTTCGAGATTGTGCTTAGTTATGATGTTGTGTAGAACAAAACAAGCCTTAATCCAATGGATTATTGGCTTCGCATCTTCTTCATCTATCAAGCGCAGCGGCAGTTCCCGAAGGCTTTGGAAGCGCATCTTCAGCATTCCAATCGTATGTTCAATCCGAATTCGTACCTTTGATGTTACGCAATGTTAAGTGAATACAATTATATCCTTACAGCACACCATGTGTATACTTTCTTACCGAGCTAAGTTTGTAATTGAACATTTCTTGTTCATCTGTCAAGCTGCCGTTGCGTGGCTTTTTAAATGGAACAATAACGTTTGGCAAACACTCAAAACCTGAGTCACCCAGAAGGTACTCTTCAGGCTTAAAGTATTGCTCAGGATGATGGCGGAGAGCGCTGTTGCTGAAGATGCGGCTGTCGTGGGTAGAGCCTGGCCAGCCGACATATGAATAGATGATTTGTTTCTGGCTATTGCATACCAAAATGCCAGAAATACCATACTTCTTTTTATATGAGAAGTAGCTTTGCGGCTGAATGCAAGGCTCGCTTGCAAAGGGAAAAAGAGTGCCGTCAATGATACCGATGCAATCTTCAAAAGCGGATCCACGACTTATATCACTTTTGGACAAGGACTTTTCTGCATCGTTAGGCCATTGGATATAGGTACTTTCAAGAGCCAAGATAGCCTCAATACACCTATTTGTGTAGTTGATCACAGAGCCCTCTAAAACGTATTACCTTACATTAGTCTCACGTGTAAGACGTATGTATACAACTAAGTTTATTATGCGTAGTACCTCCAATCCCAGAGTATCTGGCAACATTCCCGATGCTTGCACCATTTCCGTAGAAACCAAGACGGCGCAAAGCGACAAGCAGTTGCACAAATACAGATTTTTGTGGTTTCTGGCCACTTGAAACAAAGATTGCATTCTCTTTAATCAAATCGAGAATTAAGAATGCATCTTTAGACATCCTAACTTCTTGGATAAATCGTTGTTCGTCCAACTCGTTGAAAAGCCAGTGGATCCTACTAGGAGCACGAGCGACTTTTTGTGCTCTATCAAGGTATCGTCGACTGCAACTTGCGTTATACACTTCCGTCCAAGGAATAGACAACAGTAAATTATGCGATAGCAAGACATCATCTTTATCGCTATCAGAGTCCCCTGACATATCTTCATCATCGTCAATCATGGCCATCGTACTCTCGATTTGCTGTAAGCATGCCAAAACTTCCAGGACACGTTCGTTTTGCTGTTTTTCACTGTATCTGGGCATACTTGGGAACAAAGATGAATGTTTTGATGAAAGAATTGAAAGAGGGGAAGTTGAATGAAAATGAAAAAAAAAAAATTGAGTAATTGAGTACCCCAATTATTGGGTTTGAAATGAAAACTGTATTTGGTAATAGCGAGATTTTTTCATTTCATGCCCCTGTTATTTAAATATTAAGAGGAGAATAAGAAGGCGTGACCGAAAAAGAAATATGTAGTAGGCGCGGGTATCTACTACGTTGGGAACAGCGTGATATCGTCGGGCACACTTTAAACATCAGAATCAAACTTACAGCAGTGGCGACATGTAGTATATATGTTTTACTTTCCAAGTTCAAGAATGCAGGCAATGATAATAGTAAGAGCTGATCGCTGATTTGGTGCTTTTTTTAAAAAAAGTGAAGAGCCTAGTAACGCTCACTTGAGAAGTAGTAGCTGAACTCTGCCCAAATCAGGCTCATATTGCTACAGTTGTGTTGTATACATTTAAGTAGTAGTCATCAACAAATATAGATATAAGAATCAACAAAGTATAAAGGATTTTCTCTCCCCAGAAGCATGAGGTAGCCACAAGATCTGCAATTGAGTAGATACAAGGTTTCTGAAAATGTTGCTTTCTGCATAATCCTACCTTCGGTGTTTTTTTTACACAGGCACGATCGGGGAGAGTTGAACCGACCAATGTGCCTAAAATGGATTTTCTCGTCGGTTAAACTTTACCCTTGAAATCTGATTCGCGCGCAAACTCGGTCTGGAATGGTTTGACAAAAATGAAATCAAGATCCGTCATGAAGGCTATATATAAAGAGGAAAACCTTTGTTTTACGTTACTCTCTATCTGATACTTTGATTGCTGCCAAGACTAATACCATGTCTTCTACTGCGGCTACGCATAATATTGTTATTGTTGGCGGTGGTTATGCCGGGGTCCGCCTAGCACAAGCACTCGAAAAACGGTTTTCTGGTAACGACGAATACCGGGTTTTACTCATTGACAAGGTACAATCAATAAAAGAAGGAAGCTTGGCAGAAATCAAGTAGCCATTACATGAATACATGGTGGAGAAAATCATTTAAATCTGTTTGATTTTCTAGAAATCCTACTTTTACCACATCATCGCTGGTCCTCGTGCTGCTGTAGAACACATCAACAACGTCATCCCTTACACGCATACATTCAAGGACCAGGAAAAAAACCTTGTGGTACAAGCGATGGTCGTGCGCCTTGAAAAAGACAAGCTGTATCTTGATAAACGATTCGAAGGATCCACTGAATTACAGTTTGCTTATACAGTACTTGCTACCGGTATCCGTTACCCTACACCATCCATGCTTCGAGCACTCAACATCGACGACGCTGGGCACAATAACAACGTGAAATTCAAAATCTAGTCAAAGAAGCCCATTCGATCCTGATCATCGGTGGCGGGCCTACGGGTGTCGAAGTAGCAGGTGAAATCCTGGAAAAATACAGTGACAAGAAAATCATATTGGCGCATGATCAAAAGCAGCTATTGAACGATGATATTCCCGCCTGGTCGCGCACACAAATGTTACACAAAGTTAAAAAGAACAATGTAGAGGTCCTATTGGACGATCCGGTCATACTGCCTGCTGCTACATCTATCGAACAGACAATCTATAAGCCTGAAGAGCCGCTTACGACCCGTAAAGGTACTCGATTACAAGTGGATCTAGTCATGTTGATGTTTGGTATGCGCGCAGAAACAGGATGGCTTGAGGACACATTGCCTTTGGCATCCAATGGCGGATTCATCAAGGTCAAGCCTACATTACAAGTGGATGCGCCCGGGTTCGACAATGTTTATGCTGCTGGCGATGTGGCGGATATTGATGAATACAAGCTGGCTGGAAGGAGTATGGGTCACACCCGTGTTATTTGTGCAAACATTATGAATTCAACAAAGGGCAAAGAACCATCCAGGACATACAAGGCGAACAACAAATTTTTAATGGGAATCACATTCGGCAAAGTATGCTTTAATTCATTGTCTGCTAATGTTTAATAAGCACTGACGAAAGACTGCTTTGACACTTCTTCTAGAAACAAGGATTTGTCTTTACACCATTCGGGTCATTGGGTGACTGGGCGATTTCTTTTGCCAAAGGCAAAAAGTTATCGACTAAACGTTTTTGGGGAATGCTAAATTTGACCGAGGCTTCCAAGTAAGCTCTGTTTTTTCTTTTTGTGCCTATGTGGAGTCATACTGAATAAGAAAAAAAGAGAGATCTCACTGACATTCAGGCTGTAATGTTCATAGTCCAAACGACGAACAATCATCCAAGAATGGGCCTTCTTCTGTTGCCATAACTACCGTGACCCTAGCAGTCGCCGCTATAGCCGTTTATTATACCTCTACATCGAATCGGCACTACTTCTTCTCTGCTTACCAATACTTATTATCCCTTACTTCGCCACCATCATCATAATCTTGAGTTTATTTTAGAAAAGCATGTTTCTTTACATTGAAATGATACCACTACTACTTTAATCAATAGCATATCTATTTGCATACATTCTAGTATAATGCAAAGTCAAGGCATTGGTGAGCATTTTATACTTGGTGAAGGAAACCTTTGCTAAATCCTTTGATTTATTCCTTTGCAAAATCTACCTTCTTGGTGCTTTATCATCCAGATAAACAAATCCAATTCACCAGGCGTCACACCTTTCTTTGTATGACGTGCACTAATACAAAAACTACATCATATCCATTTCGAGCTACCTAATAACATAGGAGGCTAACTAGTATATAAAAGATACTTGTATTTACTGACTTACCTTCAGTTGCGTTGGTATAGGTACTATCGTTAAGCAGTGTACACCTTTAACCTTCTATGGTGCAAGACAGCTATAACCGTACATTTCCCAAAAAACGGCCAAATTTCTTTATTTTTAACACCGAAAAATACTAGAAATAAGGGGATGCCGGCCTCCGAGCACACTGTCTCCGACGCCACCTTACTATGCCTTCGTGGCCTTCATCTCAATCTCCTCTATCATACAACCGCTCAGATTCTTTCAGGTATTCTAGTTGGAGTGTGGCGAGCCCATTGGCTTTATATTTTCTTCTATCCCATTCCACCCTCAATCTGTCATCGGCTCTACCCACAAATTACGCATCACCTTCCGTCAGGAAGAAGCTCTTTTTCCTCATCAACCCCCATAATTTCCCTTTTATGCCTATGCCCTACTTATTTCACACATGATAAAATCTCCAGATATCTCCAGATTTTGAGACACACTAGTATGCACCATAAATCACGGAAACATTATACTCGGATGATCCAGTTTATGTAAAACAACATCTGTACAGCAATGAACGCCTATGACCCGAATGGGCTGGCGTGATATGATGTCGTTTGTGATCTTTTAACGATTATTTACGGCTGATGATGCACTTGGAATGGTTGTCTTGTTACTAGTTATATTGGTGAATTATAATCCAAAAAAGGAAAAGTATCAGGAAAGAAGGGGGGAGATAGCGGATAGTGTTATGCAAGTTGGTTAATATCTTATCAGCAGGATGACTGGGCGTGTATTAGATTGGGATAGCGCAAAGGTCAGGCCAATGATCAAAGGGTCTCTGTACAGGGTTCGGGTCAATGTTGTTTATATTGAACAATAAATTGTTTGTTTGGGTTATGTTTGGAATAAACATGTGCTGAACGCCGCAGCCAGCGTCTTCATGGGATCAGTGAGACATTGTAGAAAGACTCGGCCATCGTTGTATCGACTGTCGTGGCGTGTGTAACGAAAATAAAAAACGCTCTCTTGTACGAGTATATGCGCACGGCAATTAACGATTGCTGATCCTCCAAGCCCGCAATGATGGATGTGGGCAGCTTAAAATAGATTGTCAAGAGTAGAATATGGAGCAGCATGGCTGTTTTCAGCATAGTATGCGCGTCATCCTAGAGCTACTATTATCCATACAGGCTGCTTCTTCAGGTTGATACTGTTGTTTGGTTTGCTCGTTTTAACATCCTTCTCTATGAGGCTTGCTTTATAACCACGCTGTATAAGAAAGCTGCTTATTGCCATGGCATTCAGTAGTCATGACAATCCATGTTCCTGAAAGCCGCTTGTTGCCAGGACAAGCATGTCAAAACACATTTTATTTTATTCGCGTCACCCATTTTGACCAATTCCGAGCGAAATGGCGGCTGCTCTTGCGAAGCGATTCGCAGCGCTTTTTTCACACAACCGCAACCAGCGCAATGGGCAGACTCGTAGCAACACGCACATACTCAACCCTTGTTTTTTCGAGGCTCTGAGGCCAAGTTACGATGTTTTTTGCGCAGGGTTTCCATTGTACTTTGCTGTCATGCTCGGTTTCTTCATGCGCAGACCTTCCGTGCTGGCCGTGAATAAAGTTGGGGGTGGGGGGTTGGATGGGGGGATGGAACCAAAGTTGGGGGACGTCGCTCGTCCAGGCGAAAACACTACACTGTATACGCTTATGGAGGTGTGGTTTTAGACTGCTTGTCGTCTTTAGTCTCACATTGAGCTCGCTCGGTGGTCAGCTTAACGAACGATAATCGTAAGCTGGCAAGCGTGGTGGATGCAGAGAAAGGGATTCTTTTCAAGAAAAACAGCGTCGATCGTATATCCTATCTGTCTGCTTTTCCCAGGGTGCGCGTGAAGTATGATACATGTGAAAAAAGCAAACCAGATTGGCTCGGAACGTATCCTCCGAACTAACTTTTTTTCCTTTCCATTTTTCTCGCGAACTGAACTACGTGATGTGCATTGGAATAATAATAAAACTTTTTTCCTTTCCATTATTTTCGCGAACTGAACTACGCGAACACAGAAAGTAAAAAAAAAAAGATAAAAAACAGTGCCAAAGTGTGATAATGCGCGTTGTGATCGTGTTACTGTCGTCTGTCATTGTTGTGCGCTTTGTTGAGCACGGAGCTTATCTTTGCCTATTTTAGTTTTTTGTACGCAAAAAAAAAGATACAGGAAAGGAAAAAAAAGCAAGCGTCCCTTCAGAATCTCATTGAGCCCAGACCAGAGTTCTTTTTGGAAATGAACTTTTGCCCATAAAAAGACACCCATTTTCCGCAGCGTGTTGCTTCCTCACTTTTTCTTTCTCTTTTCATTTTTCACTTTTTCACGATCACGTATGGTAAGTCCCTTTCTTTTTTTTGTGAGTGTCTGGGGAGGGAGTGGGGGCTAACGCGGGTTTTGTAGGTCGTGGGTGGGTGGGTGGGTGGGTGGTGGTGCTTGGTTTGTAGGCATGGGCGACGGAGGCGTAAGGTAAGTGGGTGAAGGTAAGTGAGTGTGTGGGTGGGTGGGTGGTGGTGCTTGTTTTGTAGGCATGGGCGACGAAGGCGTAAGGTAGGTGGTTGAAGGTAAGTGAGTGTGTGGGTGGGTGGTGGTGCTTATTTTGTAGGCACGGGCGACGGAGGCGTAAGGTAGGTGGTTGAAGGTAAGTGGGTGGGTGGGTGGGTGGTGGTGCTTGTTTTGTAGGCATGGGCGACGAAGGCGTAAGGTAGGTGGTTGAAGGTAAGTGAGTGTGTGGGTGGGTGGTGGTGCTTATTTTGTAGGCACGGGCGACGGAGGCGTAAGGTAGGTGGTTGAAGGTAAGTGAGTGTGTGGGTGGGTGGTGGTGCTTATTTTGTAGGCACGGGCGACGGAGGCGTAAGGTAGGTGGTTGAAGGTAAGTGGGTGTGTGGGTGGGTGGTGGTGCTTGTTTTGTAGGCACGGGCGACGGAGGCGTAAGGTAAGTGGGTGAAGGTAAGTGGGTGTGTGGGTGGGTGGGTGGTGGTGCTTGTTTTGTAGGCATGGGCGACGGAGGCGTAAGGTAAGTGGGTGAAGGTAAGTGGGTGTGTGGGTGGGTGGGTGGTGGTGCTTGTTTTGTAGGCATGGGCGACGGAGGCGTAAGGTAAGTGGGTGAAGGTAAGTGGGTGTGTGGGTGGGTGGGTGGTGGTGCTTGTTTTGTAGGCATGGGCGACGGAGGCGTAAGGTAAGTGGGTGAAGGTAAGTGGGTGTGTGGGTGGGTGGGTGGTGGTGCTTGTTTTGTAGGCATGGGCGACGGAGGCGTAAGGTAAGTGGGTGAAGGTAAGTGTGTGAGTGTGTGGGTGGGTGGTGGTGCTTTTTTTTTGTAGCTTCGCGATTGGTGAGAGCGGACTGGGCATCTCAATACCAATCGACCTTTGATGATCCACAAAAAAGCGACCAAGACAAGACCCTAGCTTTGTGGGGAGAGGGTTACGGGAGCAGATGTCGATGGACCTTCTCGTGGTTGCTCCTGTCAGTACCTGCTTAAGAGCAGGGAAGCTAACACATCGACACCCTATTATTGATTAGTAGTATCATGTATCAAATAAAAAATGTTTTTTTTTCTCTTCCCGTTCGCTAAACTTGCTTGTGCGTGTTTTATATCACCAATATAAGAGCTGCCTCCCCCCCACAATTCAAATTTCTTTTCAAAGTCAGAGAGTCGATGACGTTGGTGGAGCGCGCTATAAAGAAAATTTCAGGAGAAAGAATAGTGTCTCCTCTTAATTTGGCCAATACAGCAGTATAAAAAGCACGACGATAATTGACTGATTGGAGCGAAAGCAATTACGGCACAGTATTAACACTTTGCTTATTTCTATGAATGACCAAAAGTAGTGCAGTAAAGGGCAGTAGAATCGAGGGGCATTGCAACGAGTGAGTTTCTGTTCCTTTCTCTGTAGAGCTGCCAATTGCGACATGCCACAAGGTCTTTGACGATTTCACGTACAAACAATTGAAGAATGCACATTTAATCCACATGGACCTTCAGCAGCAGATTTAGTAGCAGCATAATGGAAAAGAGAACAGTGCCTACAGGTACGTCGTATTGCAGAGGAGACAGTTGCAAACGCGGCTTTTTTTTTTTTTGGCTTTGTCTGTTGTTTGACACAGCACAGCTAACAAGAACGCTACGCCATTTCGAATAGAATTGCCTGAACGATTGATGGAAGGATTGAGGGAAACGACTACTAATTGCAACGGCCTTGTTGAAGCAAGGATAAGGGTAATATTGACGGGTTTATATTGCTCACTTTTCGTGTGCTATTATGGCTTCTTTTGCGACCGCTGTTTGGCCATTACTATGCTACTACAGGGCTGCTCCATTCCACACACTGAGCGATTTCTACATGGCGTAATAACTGGGCAGAATGGGACCAACGCGATCAACAGCACAGCATGTAAAGTACGACTGTTTCAAGATGAGCAGCTGTGGGTGAAGTTGTTCTGCCTCCTCCACCAAACTCGTTGCTGATCTCTAGACTCCATTGTTACCACAACAAACATTCAACTGCCATTGACAAACGCCGTTGCCATTGCCGCTCATGACGCGACTCTAGTGGAAACTACTCCTGCGACTCAGGCTTGCCGTCAGTCTTTTCCTCGAAGCATCCACACCTAGTCATTATTTCACACAGAAGCTAAAAATCGCGGTTGGATGGAACATGGCATAATTATGGACGTAAGTCAAAGCACAGTACTGTGGAACACTGTTATAAATAGCAGAAGAGCTGGGTTATATGTTGGACTACTGGGTGAAACTGTATACGTATGATCGGGAGTATGATATCATGGTTGGTATGTGGAGAGAGAGTTTTACTTCAATAAAGTTGATGTTTTGTTTATGCCTATATGTTCTATGTGTTGCCATTATATAGAGTGTGTCCTATATCAAAAAGTCGCCTGCGGCGACCCTTGGCAAGGCGTTCTATACTTGATACTCCGTTGTGTGTAATTGAACTCAGTATCACTGTCTTTATCATCAATGTCACGTGCCTCGCTTCGCTCGGCTGAATGAGCCCCCACGCTGCGCTCCGAATATCAGTGCGACGGTAGCATATGTAGTTCTCTCTCCTGCAGCACTTTTTGCATCGTTCCTTTCGTTTTTTTCGCTACACCCCCATTGCAATAATGAGTACCAGAATCGCTCTTAATAAATTTTATTTTGATCTTGAAGTCCACTCTTCTTTAACTAGAATCCATCACAAGTACAACAATTTATAAAGCTATGAGAACTTTATCTCTTGTAGTAAAATACAACCATACACCATAGTGTTGTCATGGCAACGAAAAGCGTGACAGAGAGACAGACAGACGACCCAAGTGATTTCAGAAGGCGATTTCATACTCCGTATAGAACGCCTAAAAAGGGGAAGTGAAAATGAAAGGGAAGGGGGTGTTGCTGGATTATAAGTGACAGGTTTTAGCATTATGCACAGCTTGCCCGAAAAAAACACTTCACTCTCCACCAAACACCAACCCACAACCAGCAATTGTAGAATTATTCCTCGCCGAAATATTTGCACCACGAATCGACAAGCACGCTTGCTTCCAGTTTTTTGTAGCCAAGCCGATTTCGTTCAATAGGAATATAATGTTTTGCCTGCGAAAATGCCTGTTCAGAACCTGTCGATGAGGCAGCAGGGATTGCCAGGTACCTGCGCGCCATGGTCTTTAACTCTTGCCAATTGTTCATCTCCAAACGCCAGTAGTCGTGAACCAATTTGTTGTCCTCCCCCTCGGTTTCGTCAACAATTGTGTCTGCTGCAGTGTATTTTTCTAAATGGTCGACGTTGAATCTCTTACGTTTGATTAAAGCATCCGGATTGGAGGGCCCTTTGCTCGCATCTGTGGTGGGCTTGTAGGATTGCCATGTCTCCTGTACTAGTGCTATCGCTTCTGTATAGTAACGGCCCCAGTTCTCGTCTTCCCACCATTCGTACTTGAGGCGCGGGTCCATAGCAGTAGCAACAGCATATACGTGTCCTTCAGCCTTGCAATAGTAACCCTGCAATTTGTTCCAACCGCAATCTGTTGCTTGAACCAACCCAGGCCAACTTCTATAGTATTTAGCATATCGTGTAAGTACGATATATCAAGCATGATCCAGGTATATGGTATCATAGTTTATGGCTTATTCTACTTACTCTTTCCATGTGCGCTTGTAATAATATTCAAGCTTCTCTAACAAACGATTGTAGGCGAGAATTACCTGGTTCATTTGTGGCATATGAAGATCCGGAGAGCGATGGCGTTAGCCTGGCAAATTCGTGTAGTAGATCGGAATTCCTTTCCAAACATGCCCACTCCTTGTTAGTCAACTCGTACTTCTCGAGACCAGCGATATTTCTGCAAGCCCGCTTCACCGTAATAGCTCGTTGCAACATAGCATATGTTGAATTCCAACGCGTGCAAACGTCCAGTATCAATTCTCGAGAGTGTTCCACGTCGTCGACCATACTTTGCTGCTGCTGTGCCTGGTGCCCGACAACGTTAAAGGGCCCGCGATTATATGCTGGAAGCACAACCCGATTTTCAAGAACAAAAATCCAAGCTACAAGAAGCGATTGAAGAAGCAGGGCACATTTGCAAGTTCTACCCACGATACCACTGTGAAATTAACTGGATAGAGCGCTATTGGAGAGGTGCAAAAGCCATCGCACGTCGAGAATGTGATTATTCCTTTGCTTCGCTACGTAGTAATCTACCAGTTTTCTTAGATTCCATTTCACCTTGACCAGTTGAAGAAAAAGATGGAACCATTATGCAGCCAACACCCACTAAGATCCGTCGGTTCTACAAGCACTGTCGGAGATATATTGGAACTTATAGCCAAATGAAAAATGGCAGACAAGCCCATGAATCTGTTGTACAATTTACTAGCCGTAGATATAGATCCCACTGCCGAATTGGAGTTGATGCTGCCTTCTGAGAAAATAAATGCATGTCTCCGATATTTATATAACCGCGAGATTTGAGATTTCTTCAAAATTTCGAACAAGATAAGGTTTTAACGGACAGTATGCACCATACTTGGGGATTTAATATGTGATCATCGAGTTTGAGGATGATCACTTAGTAGAGGTCGAGGAATGGTCATTACAATTTTATCCATAAAAAGATCATAGAGAGTTCCCGTGTAAAAGAATGAGATTTTACTGCGGCCAACTGCATCATCTGTAGGAGTCGCCTTGTCCATGGGTTTGTCTCCCAAAGGACATAAGGTTTCGACGTCGCATCCTCCTTTATCGACTAGTACTGACCGCAATAATATAGCACTTCTTATCCATAGTATACGCTATTGAAGACCTAAAAAGGTGTTTTTTTCTTTTGAAAGCTACAATAGGCCTCACTGGACTCTTGTGGCTCACCAATATCAACTGACAGTGTTAAAGGAGAAGTACAATACTCTGGATTCAAAATCTATTTTAAATAGCAAATGATGGATAAGTGGTATGTCGGAATTTATGACCTTTGCTACCAAGCGTAGCGGCGGATAAGCAATGCAATGACAAGCATCACCAGTGCACCTATTAGCCCGTCCAACCAAAGAGGGGGTCGATTACGTCTTGTTTGTATACGTGGAGAAGAAGCACCGTTGTTGTTGTTGTTGTTGTTGTTGGTATTGGTAGTACCACTACTGCTAACATCAGTGACTGTTGGTTGCTTGGCTGGTAGTGTTGAGGGCGAAGTTGTGGATGGCTGCTTTTTCTTCTCTTGTTGAACTTTTTGATGTTGTGGTGCAGAAGACGAATCAGCTGTTGACGAACAAGATGAATAAGACTGAGAAAGAGAAGTTGATAGGGTAGGTTGTATCTCCTTGGTGCTATCGGCAATTTGTTGTTTTTGCTCAACTGGGTTCTGCTCAGTTTCGTCTTTGCTTTTGTCGTTGTTGTCTTTCCGGTAGCTCAGCGAGAAGTTGGGTATATCTTGTTGATCGGATGAGGATATCTTTTTCCGTGGAGCATTATCGCTAAGCAGTTCACCGTTCCTAAGTTGACATACGCTACACATCCACGTATTCGACCTAAAATACAAGCGATAACCACACAAAAAGATTAGGCGTCTTCCGGTTCTTAGAATGCTCCTCAAACGCACATACGTAATTGCGCGCTTTCCCCATCTCTCATGCTTTTGGTAAAATTTACTACGTGCCCATACCTTTTTGCAAACACTCGCCGTTCTTCCTTTGTGTAATCGAGTCCACCAATTGCTCCTCGAGCTTCAGTGGGGAAAAAGCCCATGACGGCCAGTATGACTGTTCTAACTAAAACAAAGTGAGTATGTCTCAGTATAAACCAAGATGAAATCGCCATTTATTTGTACTTACTACCCCAAGCCGGCTGCCAATACTCGGGATGATATCCAGTAATGCTCAAGCACACTTTTGTGTTTAATTCAAAACGTCCGTTCGGCTATCGTTATAGATAGATTAGCTTCGTCAGATTAAAAAATCGTCCTGTAAAAGTATTAGACTTGGTTCTTACCGTCAAGAAAATGAGTTCTGGAGGTTTGAACGGGTACTCAGCGGGAAGCAATATGCGTCCATGATACCTGGGCAAATTATTGAGCGACACGTATGACCTCTGTTTCACGGAAAGAAAAAGAGAGAATACAAAAGCAAACTGACCTTCCCTCTTCAAATTCTGTGTCGCCAGGACCACGTACCGTAAAGTGCCATTCAAAAAGATTGTCCTAATTATTACAAAAAGTCAATTAGAAAAAAAGTTATACTTCAAATATGAAGTTAACGTTAAATACCTCTAGAGGATGAGCCTCGTATTCGTAACATGACTCTGTCGCCAATTCTCTCGCCTCTTGCATAATCCGCTTGACCGCTTTATTTTTTTTTATAGCAACGTAAATTTGTTATCAACAAGAAAAAATAACTAAATTCTATGATAGCGGAAGAGCAGTATACTTGCCTGGATTTTTGAGATTATACTTGTTGGCCATGGGGTGAATTGAGACGATTAAATTGTGTATACAGCACACGTAACAATAAAGAAAATAAAATTAGGGCGAACTCATTTTTCTGAGTCACCCAAGCGACGGATTGATTTACCAATAATGCAACTTGGCTTTGTGTGACAGCAACAGCTTTGCATGCCAATTCACTAAACTGCACCGGGCTGGCCATTTTTTTTGTCGGTGAGCATTTTTGCTTGGTTACCTATTCCATCATGTGCATTTGTTGCCAGGAGGCGACAGCAAAAAAGGTTCCATCTAGCCTCACAGACAATAATGACCAATACATCGTAAAGAATAAGCTTTCGAATGAAGAACTCATGGGTACCTGAAGGTTGGCTCGATAAGGGAACTTCTTATCTGTAACAAAAGAAGCTCATTTAGCAGTATATTATGTACCTAGGCGTATAGCAAAGTGCTATAATGTAATGTGTGCTTAAAACAACACTACATGTTGTGCATTTTGAGGGACCGGCATCTACTCCGAATTCGCCGTGCGTTTAATAACATGTGTATGTCCGCTCCAGAAGTGCTTTTTTTCTTCTTTTCTCTTTTTATTATAATATTTTACTTTTCACTTTAAACCCTGATGACGGTACGATTACAACAACAGCCACGGTCAAAGAAGATAATAAAGCCACCAAAACATGACCGGTTCGCTCACATTCAACCTCAAGGGAGTTGGGAGATTCCACGCAAGACATTTCATTATTCTATTGGTTCGTTACTACATTTGGTTTTCATACGATCGATCGGTCGGCTTACCGCAAGAACATAACTGTTTTCTTAGGGTTTCTTGTACTGTATTTATTCAAGAATGGATTTGACTCCGCGGACACATACCCTGCCCTGGTGGCATTTTTGAGCATTGTACTGGCTACGGAAGCTCTACGGTTTTCTTGGGACAGTTTCAACGTTTTGTACTGCAGAGTAATGGGTTCGTTAATGCGCAAAAGTGAGGTCAAGTCACGCATCAATGGTACGGCCTATTATCTGGTTGGCGTTCTCATTGCATTGTACGTCTTTCCCAAGGATATCGCATCCTTATCGATCATCTATCTCTCGTGGGCGGATCCAACAGCGAGCATATGCGGCCGTTTGTGGGGCAAGTATACACCAAAGTACGGCAATAAGTCGTTGGCAGGAACGCTGGGTGCAATGGTAGTGGGTGCGCTTGTGACCTACTACTTCTTTTCCCAGTTCCTGACCGAGTCGTATGACCCAGTCTCGAGCGACATCCCAACCTATGCACTGGCGTTATACGGAGGTCTTGTGGCAGGATTATCGGAAGCTCTTGGGGACAGTGCTGGATTAGACGACAATCTTATAATCCCTGTTGCGAGCTCCATATTTCTCTGGGTCCCGTTGGTGTTTTTCGAACTGTAGTAATCGAAGAGTAGCTTATTCTCCCTTCCATCTCACACGTCATATATACACGCATTCTCTTTCTCTCTCATACACACAAATTAGACAATTGTCGTATTATGTATCATACACACACAAATACTCATTGCTGCATTTATCGTTCATGTTTTTCTTGTTCTCTTTTTGCTGATATATAAACTGAACTGAATTTTATTTGCTTGTTATTTTTCAAGATTGAAGATTACAAAGAGGACGTTTTATATATATAAAAAAGAAAAAGAGCTAATAATAGAAAGAGCGTACAGAAGGTATACGGTTAATAAGTTTTTTTAGGGGAGGGTGTGTGAAGAGGTGGAATTATAGGAAGGAAGGGGGATCTTTTTGTGATAGAACTCAAATAACTTTTTTGTGAGCGCATGTCTCTCTACAGAGTACGTATTTCGTACAGTAGCGCCAATACTTTTTTTTTTTGGGGGGGGAGTGGATATAATATAACTTTTTTTGGGTGGGGCCATCGTTTTAAAGAGGAATATTGGTGATTTTTGTGCGTAGGTTGTTGCTGGTGGTAGTGATGGTAGGTTTGGGTGGGGCGTGGATGGATGTTGCTGGTGCGAGAGCGCATCTCCATCAAGAAGACTTTAGAGATGGGAATTCAAACGGAGTTAGCAGACGATGATGATCGTCTGTCGTCGATACCTTCGATTGCCGCCCATTATCCGTGGCACCAACAGCGACCGCAGCAGCAGAAGCACTGACCACCGCTGGCTCTGCATCCTCCATGTAAAATGGCCCTTCATCATCCGCTAGAGCAAATGGCGAAAACAAGTCGTTGCTGCTATCCGTCTTGCGATACTCGTCTTGCTGATTGATAAGGCTTGCGGAGGATAGCGGTTTAGCCAGTTTGCTTCCGCCCGGGATGTTGATAGCATTGGTGACACCACCAGCACCGAAGCTACCGCTGCTGCCGCCCCGTTGCAATAATTGGTCATCGTAAAGATCATCGTTCCTGAACGTTTGTTGTTGTTGTTGTTGTTGTTGCTGCTGCTGCTGCGGCTGCTGCCATGACCCTATATCGTACGAATGAGGCATATCGAGGGATTTTGCAGCCAACGACGAAGACGTCTTGTATCGCATCGATTCTGATGGCGAGCGCTCCAGCCCGGCACCTGACATATAACTTCGCATCGATTGCTGCTGCTGCTGTTGCTGTTGCTCTCTTGCTTTACGTAGCTGCAATTCGGTCGGTGTCAACAGCTCGTTCAATGACGATGGTAGCATGGCATCATTCAAGTTGTCGTCGTGCTCGTCTTCGAAATAGTCAGCATAGCTACCACGGTGAGGCACGTCCAAAAAGTGCGACGACGACTCGGGGATACTGTGCAAAGCCTGTGCGTGGCGCGACAAGGACGAGGACGGCGGGGGCATGCTGACAGCAGATGATGGCGTGTTTGGGTGAAGAAACAACGAGCGCTGTCCAAAAGGCGACGAACTGAGATCGGCATCGCGTGCTGCACCAGGTGACGAGGATGTACGCAAACTTGCCTGCCCATTGTAAAGGGAATCGTAGCCATTCGACGGTAATTTTCGGCGCTGGTCATGGTAGGATGATGAAGATGAACTGGTGCCTCCCGTATCTTGCTGACGATGGATGGCTGCCGTAAGGTGGCTGTACGAGCGAGCATCTGCGCTGGTCGAGAGATGATGTGTCTGGTCCAAGAAAGTCGCATGTGCGGGTGAGTACATGTGCGGGCCAAAATCAAGCGGGCCCCCAAGCGGCGGCGAACGAAGGTTCTGTAGGCCAGAAGAACCCAACGATAAAGCCAACCCGTCGTTGCCGTTGCCGTTGCCGTTGCCGTTGCCATTTGCCATTGCTGCGGCGGCGGCAGCAGCAGCCATTGCAGAAGTCATCGAGCTGGATGGCGAGTTGTTGCTGCTGATGTTTCGATCACGGTGCTGGTTGACCAATAGCTTGCGCCCGTCGGGGGTGTACGGTGACATGGTGTGTAAGAGGGCGCATTTCGAGCCAAACTTGCAGTTTCCCTTCAAAAAGTACTTGCACACAGCTGACTCGCACGTTGGATCAGGGTTGTGTGAGAATATACAGTTGGCCCCGGCAGTACATGTGCCTTGCTTGAAAAACTTGCATGGAACATGCGACAAGTTGGATGCTAATAACCGTTGGTGTTGATGATGGGTTAATATTGCATCAATCATCCTTCTACCTTTGTCCCAGTAGCTCCTCCCACCCAGCCTATATATTATCTTGAACGATATCTCACGCTTATTGCTACTGTTGTTGCTGTTGCCGTGGTGGTTTGTCTGATTGGTGTATTTCGATGCAGAAGGAATAGGAGGAGGAGATGTGGTGCTGGTGCTAATAGCATAAGATGAATCATGAGGTACTGCATTTGTGGTAGCGCTGCTACCAGGTAGAGGTGGCACTGGGCCTTGTTGGCTGCGGGATCGTTTCAGCTGGAAAGGCGGCAGCCGAGATGGCGAGCTCTTTGACAGCTGATTCAAGCTTAAACGGTCGAAGCTTTCAACAAGGTTTGGTGCTAACGAATGGTCAGTCATGATGTAATTAAATTGCGCTAATTGCTGTTGTGTGGTCTAAGGGAAGGGGGAGAAAACAAGAAGGACTAGTAGATAGTATTAAAAAGTAGAAAGAAAGGAAATATAAAAGGGGTGCCAAACGTTCGCAGGAAAAAAGAAAAGAACCGGGTTCCGCTATCCTTGTGAAGACATGCAATTGGGGTCGAAGAAGTGCAAGATGAACCCAAAGAGGCTTTTTCAAGTGAGAAAAAAAAAGGGGAAGTGCGTGTGTGCGTGTGTGGAGAAAGAGAGAGAGAGCCAGTACTATAAGAGAAGCGGTCGCGAGCATTCACAAAAGGAGTAGGTACCGCTGCTTATGGCAATGGGTGACACAAGACCCACGGTGCAGGTGTGTGCGCATCTCCCGAGACACCGCCAATAGCCTGTCTTCCCTGGGCATCTTACTTGTATTACTCACAATCTCTCTCTGATTCAACAACTTTCCGCAACAAAGCGTTGTAACTTGTACAGAAGTGATGATCTACTCTTCATCGTATTTTTATTGCTGTTTATGATATTTATAAAACAATGATTTTTCTAAAACTACATACAAACTATAAAAAATGCTAATGATAAACATAAGCAAACATTAGCTATAGCTGATACTCCAATTCCTCCTATACAAACACACCACCTCACTGCTGCAACAGTTACCTCTTATTAATTAGATACACTTGATCGCAAGCGGTTGTAGTCGGCCATGCCATCAACAGGACCTATGGCAACAACAGCTGCATCACGATCCCAGAGATATTCACGAGCCACACGACGCACATCATCAACTGTAACCTTGGCAACAGTCTCCTCGACCTCCTTTGGCGACATGCGTGCGCCCGAAGTCAAAAGCTGGCGCCCAATGTCTTCGGCAATTGCAGTGGATCCATCCAAACCAAGTAACAGTCCTGCCTTGAGCTGCTGTTTGGCACGCTCGACCTCACTAGCCGTCACTGTTGATGCCAATCGAATCCACTCGTTGTGTGTGCAGTGGACCAGGTCGTCGATTCTATCCTTGTTTTCGGTCACCAAGTAGATACCCCACAAGCCAGTATCCTTGTACGAGGTATTGAACGACATGAATGAGTTGGCGAGCTGATGCTTATGTACGACAGACGATAAACGGGAATCGAGATGGCCGGTTGCGCCCAAGGAACGATCCCACGAGCCAATGATGGATTGCATTACCAGCAAAGGGAAATAATCGGGCGAAGTCCAGCTAGCACCCTCTACAGCAATGGCAATATGTGCTTGTGGCGAATTGTCGTCGCGGATACGTAACTCGGAGCCCGTGAAAACAGGCTTCTTGATGGCACTCTTGCTGGTCTGTGCGCTGGCAATCGTTGGCAAGCTACCAAAGTGATTTTCGGCCAATCTGACGAGAGCGTCGTGGTCTATGCCACCCGTGCCCACCAAAAGCATTCGTTCGCCAGTATAATTGGTTTTGATATATGAAGACAAGTCGTTACGCGTCAATGATTGAATGTTTTCTTTGGGGCCTAAGATGGTCAGACCGAGCGGCTCCTTTTGAAAGGCTGTGGCGTGCAAATGGTCAAACACAACTTCCTCCATTTGCTTTTCCACTTCTTCTTGTTCGCGCAAGATAACGTCACGTTCACGTTCAATGGCACCTGGATCTAGACGGGAGTTTTGTAAAATGTCGGATAGAATGTCGACCGCTTGCGGTACGTCGTGCTTGAACGCTTTAGCATAATACACTGTTTGTTCGCGCGAGGTATAAGCGTTCAAATGGCCACCCATGTTTTCGATTTGTAGTTCAAGATCACGTTGCGTACGTCGATTCGTGCCCTTTACATTCCATTAACTTGTTAATATGTGCATTTAATTTTTAACCCAACACCCGTAAGAAATAGTACCTTGAAAGCCATGTGTTCCAGGAAATGGGCGGATCCATTATTCTTCACATTCTCGGCACGCGAACCTGCATCAATCCAAACGCCTACAGTGGCGGTTTGCGAAGCAGGGTTTTCCTCAGTAGCAACAGTGAAGCCATTTGGCAAAATGGAGGTACGAAATGTGGGTAAAAGGTTGGTTGCAGTCGCAAGACCTCGATTATACTATGAAAATAGTAATCAGTACATTTTAATCTCTTATAGAAGCGCAATGTCCTTCTCCACTCAGTCTCGCTCTGCTTTTATTAAAAACAATTAGGTACAAATTACGTACTAAGGGTTTGGAAAAGCAGGTTTTGGCTGTCCTTGAGAGTAATCGGGATGTCATTTATGTGTGTTTAGTGGTAGTAGTAGTATGGAGGGAAAAAAGTAGAAAGCGAAGGAATATAAATTTAATCCATCTGGGTGTTTATTATTTTTTTGTTAATCTTGAGAATCCCTTATAAGGCAAGCCCGATGCTTACAAAGCGACTGCGCAGCGACGGAAGAGAAGATGATTTGCTGTTTACTCTGTTGTTGACGGCCGAGACAAATCATATCCATCGTCATCGTTGTTGTAAAGGTTCGGATAATGCTTCTGGAACTCGTCTGAAAGTATGGAGCGAAATTCCTACAAAGATGTGATTTGTCCCAGTAGACTTCGTTATAACCCCAAAATCTCGTAGATACATTATTTCTCTCTTCTTACATCGACAGCTTTGATTTTGCCATTAGTAAACTGGTTTTCGCTTGCTGCTCTTTCAACGAAACCTTGAGTGAAGATATCAGGATTTCGTCCTTGTTCTACAAAGCTTATAACAAATACAATCACCGTAGATTTTCTTGTGAGCTTTTTTGATGTACTGTCATCCGTGCGTAATAAAGACGGAAATACACACAAAAAACAGACGTGTGTCTTGCCCTACTTGATGACTTCTTCGGGTATATGTGTATCAATATTATCTTTGAGTTCGTCGATTTTTGCATAGTGCTCCAGAATAGTATTACTGGAATCACAACAGATCGATCCAACCTCTCATCAGTAAATGCAGCGTGCTATGTACAGCCAAAAAGACGAGAAGAGAAAACCAACATTTTGTTCCAAACAAGTTGATTGCCGTCTGCTTGGAAATCGTACACCATGACACTTAATTCGAATAAAACTTGTAATAGATCATTAAGTTGTTCTTCAAGCGCCCGACGGGCTGCTTTTGATGCATTGCTGTTATTTTGGGATGATTCTGCTTGATTCGTAGGTGTAGGTGTTGGTGCGGAAGACGATCCCGATGAGGAGCGAGAATCTGTTTGTTGCATTTAGAAAAGGGGATAGATAGTGGGCTTTTTCAAGGACAAGGACCAAAAGATTAAATCATATTTCTGCTGAGCTTTTAGTCTCACAAAGACAATGATTTATTGGCTTCAAACCTTTCCTCTCCCCTATGTTTCGTTCTCGTAACAACTTACCTCTCGTGATTTAATGGCACTTGAGTATAGAAAGGGACGAAGCTCTGCGTTTTTGGGAGAATATCTTGCTTAACAAGAGCAATAATGACCTAGACACCGTTCTACAATAGGCAAATCGCGATTTTCAATTGTAGGCTATGATGACGTGACAAATGGACAAATAAGGTCGATGCTAGTGCCAGTTTTTTCTCGAATGGAAAATCATCTTCATATTCTATAAACTTGTATAATTTGGTCAAGTTGTATATGCTTAGCAGAATCCAAAGTATTGGCAAGGCAAGAAAATGCATCAACCACGTGGCCATTATCGCTGCCATGACATGATGCTAAGTTTTATAGTCACAATCAGCGACATAACAATGTTCTGGGCAAAAAAAAAGTATGTATGATAACAACGCATACATTTGTACAGAAACAGGAGTGTTTCTATTTTATTTCATGCCTGTATGTTGTACCTGCCGCGTTATACATGCTCTTTCCTTTCAGTTATAGACTTTTAGCGTGTGCGTGCGTGTACATTTCTATACCTTACAGTAGATGTACTAAGATCGTGTCTATCTGCACGTATGAATTCACACATGGGCAACGGAAATATCACCGATGCAATAATCATTAAGTGCAGCTTGTATCAATGTAGATGTCGGCAATAATACTGACCACGGTTCCAATAATAGTACAAAGCAAAAAAAGGAAGGTCTATTGTAGATGAAAGCCCAAGCTATGAGTTAGAATAAAAAAAAACATCAGAATGGCATAATGGGTCTAAAATTAACAAGTTTTCCCATTGTATTACCGCGTAAACTTTTATAAGATGCACGGTCGTCCACACCAGTCCCGTCATCATCATCATCATCATCATTTACATCTAGTAATCAGCAGATACATAAATATAAGCACTACATACAATAAGGATTATCTGCGGGTCAGCAAAAGCAACTTTTACTTTACTGTCAAGACAAAGACAGTTCTGGATATACTGATGCTCAGCAATAACCATGACGGATTGTGTAGTGTAGAAGTATCTTTAACAAAGTTATTGCTAACCATTTTCAGCGACAACATGCCGAAATCCGACCGATATAGCTGCCCCATCCTTCTTCCGGTATTTCGAGAAACAAACAAAGAACGAGCCCGATCAGCAAAACAAGTTTACTTCATACATTGTTACTAGAATTATGCTGTGTACCGTTGATTAAGGCTAATATGTACTGAAAGCAAAAAGTATTGTGGACTAAAAGAGAGACGTATTGTACTAGAACAGCGGATGATAATGTGTACGCGTTATAAATCTTGCTACTAAACCTCTAACCATGTTGTGTATTTATTAGCTTTACCTGATACTCAATGTTTCATCGTTCAATTGGTAGATTTGTGGCTGTGACATTCAATGTGTACAAAACAAGTGACTACACGATAATCTTTTGCTCAGCATATCCCTCATATAATAGCGGTGAGCTTTAACACAATTTAAACGACAACATAAGTTATGATTTCGTCAGAAACCACTCCAGGTATAACTTTATCTTCTTTCCTCAAATTTCTATTGAGCGAGCAACTACATAGCGCCACTTTTAGATCATAAAGATGCTCAGCATCCAATTCATCACAAACATACGTACTACTACAACTCTTGTGGTACATGTGTACAGCCTTTTGCTTAGCAGCGCTTTTACAAGCTCTTCTAGCAGTTGACGCCCAACAACAAGTCGAGTAAATCAAGTCATATCCCCAATTACCCAAGAAAGCAACATCGTTCTTGCTGTGATTGTGGACGATCATACTTATCCACTGGCCCAATCAACTGTATCGCCATTGATATATACGGGTACTGCCCCAGCTGCGTCTTCTGATGATGGCTATTATTATGCCAAAACCAAAGATGGTGCGATTGTCGAGCACGAGTATAAGGCACGCTCGACTATTTACGACGGCGCTACTCCATACCAATTTTACAATCGTTCACAAGATCACTGGAATGTCACTCCGTTGCCCGCAGTTGTAGATCCACTTTTACCGATTCATCGAATCGACAGCAATTTACATATCTTTGGCGAAATTCCCACCATCCAAATCACCGGAAACCAGACAGACATAGACTATATGCACACCAACATCTTTGAGGATTATCAACTGATGACAGACGTGGTTTATATCAGGTGTGTAAATGCTAAAAAAAGATTCACTTAAACTCATACCATGCTCAAGAAGCATTAATGGGTAAAGTCTCTTATACCGTGTATCAAATATATTTCCTATGAAGAGAAAACGAAATACAGAGGTTTAACGGCGTTGAATTTGAGCTAGCCGGTAAAGCTGCACGCGTCAATCCCAAAGTTAGCTACAACATCAAGATCCCTAAGGGCGGTGATACGCTATACGGATATCGTCGAATCAAGTTACGTTCTCTTTCCAGCGATCCGTCATATATCCGTGAAGCCTTGGCGTATGCTGCAATTGAATCTACTGGATTGGCATCCAATCACTTTTCTTATGCTATGTAAATAAACGTCTTCGTGTACTACTCCGTGAGTCGATTCCAAGAAACAATTGCTTACCAACTTTTTCTTTTGTAGAGTGTTTGTTAACAATCAAACAGCTGGATTTCTTGGATACATCGAGAATTACAAGGACCCATGGTTCCGTAACGAGTTTGGCAACGGGAACAAGGACGAATACAGTCAAGGAAAAGCGTATCAAGGAATTGGATCAGGCGATTCTGAAGGTCTGGCACCCAACAATCATACATCTGATCTAAGCTACTACGGCGATAATGTCACGGCTTATGCAGATGGACAGTACAAAATCAAAGAAGATCCGTCTGAAGGAGATCCCGATTATCGTCCTTTAATGGAGCTCACCAAGTTTCTTTCAGAAGCACCTATTGAATCCGATGATGCAGTTAGCCAATGGGAAGAGCATTTTGGCATGGACAGCGTACTGCGAAGGTAATATTTATTCGTCAAGCACCCAAACGGTAAAAAGTGATATATATTTCTTAATATAATAAGGATGCCAAATATTGAATCGACTTTTTTTTGCTGGTGTTTATTATTAGCATGGCGCTGGAAGTGCTTCTTGGCTATTCAGATGGATACATCGCAATGGTGAGCAACTATTATCTATACCAAGAAGCCGTCAACTCCAAGCGCTTTATTTACATACCAGCAGATCTCGATCTCACATTTGGAAGTACGCTTGTCAAACTATCCGATATGTTTAAGCGGTGACTATCGCGATTTCCCAGCTATAGGCATTCGGCCACTGACAAGTCAATTCCTGCGTGTGCCTGAATTCAAAGAACCTTTCGAGATTTTGCTGAAGAACCTTGCCAGAACTCTTGTAAGCCTTGATGTCATGGAACCATTCATCGACGATACGGTTGCCATGGTGCGCGAGGACGTCGAATGGGATCATACGCTTGCACCCTTGAGTCTTTTCAATTTTAGCTCCCTTGCTGACGGTCAGCTCACAGACGATATCAATATTGGGATCAATGACTGGCCCTGGCCTGTAGACAACGAAACAGTGTACGATATGTTCTACGTTAGACACATGCTTGATATAACGTTCGGCAAAGCAGTGACTGGTCCAATAGGGACGATCTCACTGTGTGGTGTTAAGGAGTTTGTGGCAAAACAAAGTCGTGCGACAACAAAGTTTTTCGAAACTCACGTTGATTAAATACATACTATAACATACGCTAGTATACATTAAAACATCCATGATTATCAAGGGTTACTATATCAAAATCACTACGTACATAAGAGCTCATATGCAGTACCTCTAAAAGAAGGATGATGGATGCATAAATAGTTTATACATTTACCTGGTATATGATTAAGCTGATGACATACATGCGCAAGATGAAGATTTTTAACTGAAATGATTTGACCGCAAATTTTACTTGTCACCCGTCTGGCACGCATATGATACGCTCCATTTTAGTAATCTTTCAGCCCAACTAGAAACTAATATATGGACGTAGCAATTAACTTTTCACTCGGATGTTCAGGTTTTTCCGCCGGTTCATATCCAAACCTAATAGTTTACATACGTCGATTAGGTATCAAAAAGGGTCAGCAGCTCTTCTTCAGATACCAAATGTTTTATTGTCAAACGTACTTAGTCTCGTATAACATTCTTACCAGTCTAGACCACGATGGCTTTATACTAAATCGAATAAAACCTCATACAAAGAGGAAGGAAAGAACAGAGAGACCAGTACTTTATATATAGCTCAACTTTGTCTAGGTATCACTTCTCCTTGAATCGCTATGCGTACCATGTTTTTTTGGCCTTGCCATGACTAGACTATTACATCGGCAAAATCAATGGAAAAATTGTGTCCCCTGCCTTCTGCTTCCCGCCCCTGAAATTCATTCGTTTTTAACAATGACTCTACTACTCCTATTATATGAGTGAGTTGCCTCATAATAGGAGTGAAGTTCTGACTCTTTTTAAACCGGGCGATAGGACATACGCTCCACACATATATAAAATGACTGTAGAACCCTATTTAATAATATCCCTTTGAAAAAGAGACGCAATTTATTTTCTTTCATTTTGATTTTTTTGAAGTCGCCACGACGACAAAAAGCATATTAGTCAATATCTAAACTATTACTATTACAGCAGAAACAGCAAGAAAAAGAAGTTTTAGCAGCTGGTACATACAGGATTATGGGTCATACCAAAACACAACGGGAGCAGCAACAGGAGCAAGGTTGTGAACAAAACCTTACAGTTGGGTGGCATCTTGAAGACAACTCTTCCACAATTAGTACCGTTGTGGCTAATGATAATGGAATCGAAGACCGTGGAAGCAATAAGGTGGAAGTATCTGTCGACATCATCGACACTAGGAGCGACGTCGTTAGCGGCAGCAGTAGTAGCACGAAAATGAATAAGGAGGACGACTATGATCGAGTCACTGTTTTATCATCGCCGGATGATGATAATGACAAAGCGAAGCAAAAACAAGAGCGACAACTAGTACGAGCACTGGATCTGCATATTATCCCATTATTTTGCATGTTCTATTTTGTCGACTATCTAGATAGAGCAAACATCGGAAACGCTACGTAAGATTCTGAATATTTACTTGCTGTTTTACTAGACATTTAGATCAAACCAATGTATTTACTCGATCTATGTAACTATGGAAAATGCACTTTTAATATTGGCTTTTAACATTTTTACACAATTTACTTACTTTAGTATAGCAGGTCTTCAAAAGGATCTCGGGGTAAGTTGACCCTTGATCAAAGAGTGAATTGGAGGAGATGTCGGTGGTAGTTGTGCCACTTTTAAAAGTACTTTCCAAGTGCAGCAAACAGTAAGGTTAATACTTAATTACATTAAAGATGACGGGCCCTGAGCTCAGTACTGCTATTTCTGCATTTTTCATTACATATGTAAGCAATGGAATCTAAAAAGAACTACTGCGTTATAAATTTTCAAAAATCCATATTACTGACTCTCCTTAAATCAATTATAGATCATATTTCAAGTACCTTCAAACATAATTCTAAAGCGAATTGGTGCACGTTGGTGGCTTTCGTCCATTATGCTTGCTTGGGGTCTTATTACTGTGTCGATGGCTTTGGTCAACAGCTTCACAGGCCTGTTAATCACTCGACTTCTTCTAGGGTAGGGCGGCGATAATTCACTTTTTACGTTGTATACGTTATGTGTATTCGATGTTAAACTTGAAAAATTGAACAGTGCCGCAGAAAGCGGATATGTCCCTGGGATTCTCTTTCAAATGTCACGGATCTACAAGCCCCAGGAAATGGGCTTCCGTGTCGCCATCCTGTTATGCATGAGTGCATTATCAGGTATTGTCTCAGGGCCCGTCGCTTACGTCGCCACCAGCATGGAAGGCAAGTTGGGATTACATGGATGGCAATATTTGTTCATCATTGAAGGTATCCCTACGGTCCTTTTGGCACTTTTATCCTATTGGGTGCTATTCGACGACGTTACGCAAGTCGGATGGCTCAGCGAGAAGCAAAAGCAACTTCAGGAGGTACGGATGGCGGCACATACCAAGGATGGTGGTAGCCAGGAGCCGATTAGCCTGAACACTATACGGATTGTGCTCCTCGATAAAAAGACTTGGCTGTTTTCGGCAGTGTTCCTTCTTGCGTCCATTAACTTAACCAGTATTGTTGTCTTCATGCCTGTAATGATCAATGGTATGCATTACATGTCTATCGAAATTGATGCTTCTCGTGGTTACACAGAAACAAAGAAAATTGAACTAGCGTTTAATTTATGTAGGATTCGGATTTACAGCTCTTAGAGCACTCGCAACGGACCCTGTAAAATTTCCTGTAAACCCGATTTACAGGTCATTTTACACTTTTGTCTTCGCACCGGTCCCTGTAAAATTATCTGTAAAAATGAGAATCTGTAAATTTTTCTCCAAAACCTGTAAAGTCCTAGGAACAATGGTTCCGCAATGAAAAGAATACTGAACCAAAATTTGCGGCGTCCAGTGTTTTTGATACGGCCGCAAACCGCAAATCCGCGCCGCAAATTATGCCTGTACGGCTAATGACTTTTCCGCTCATGGAGAAAGTGGCTGAGTGTGCCTGAAAAAGCCTAACCCTTCGTTCCCATTTCCTATTATCAGCGCAAATAAGCATGTCTTTCAATATACGTCAAAAGCGTAAACAAACAACAAAAGCCTATCGATTCTCGGATAAAGGGAAGAAGCTTATCAGATTGACAAGCACGGTCAATAAGTCGACTGCAAGTGATATAACCACGCCATTCGAAATTCGAGCATCATCACTCCCAGCCAATTCTTCTCCATCTGACGGATGGTCAACTGATGATGAGGCGGACGAAGTTGACGATCAGCCAAGACGTCAGACTGCAGCTGTTAAGCGTGCAGTACGCTGGTCTAGCCTTTTTCCTGCGTTGCTCAAAGCCTATAGAGAAGGGTATAAGCAAGCACCGGTCGCAGAGGCACTCGAGCCTGCCACCCATAAGATGTGTGGTTGCGCTGCTGATAAAAAAGCACACAAGGCTGTCACCTGTATCTTTAAGTGCGGTAAGTATTGTTTTTGGGATATTTTCGCAAAATTTAACACCCTTGTCTTATCTAGGTATTCGACAGTTTGACATCGAATACTGCAAGTCGTGCCCTGACTATGCTTTGCCTTTGGTGCTAATGCGCAGTCATATGATTCCTCTGACGCCAAAGGCACCCGGCCATGCAGTGCATATCAAGTTGATGCAGACAATCCACAATTTGCATTACATTTGCCGCGTCTCCGTGCACAATATTGCAAAATGGCTACAAGCAGATTTTGAGCAAGAGGTATTACTTTTTCTAGGGCAATCTTTCATCTAGCAAGCTTTTAAATATACTTTTGTTTTTTAGGTTCCTGCCTCTCTCAAGTCTCGCTTGAACGAGGTGCTGCCTATATTTGGCAGAATACTTCTAAGCTTGAAAAAGCAGTTGAGGGAAGAGTTTGGCGTAGAGAACGATGTCTGCCCAGGTTGCAGATACGTGGTACTGTAGTGATTTAATTTTTTGATTTGAAGATATACAAAAGTATGCATACATATTTTAATGGTTGTCATGGTTAATATATGGTAGGAGCACGAAAAGACTGTAGCACTAGACGGAAACTTCCAGCTACGGCGCTTTCGCCATGTAAAGGATGTCCAGGGTATAAACTTTAAAGATGAAGAAGAAGTGAACATGCTCTGGGTTGACGATGAAAAGCTCATTCCTTATAATGAATCGGTAAGATAATATTCTGAGAGTCATGTAACAGTATCTAATACAGTTATATTGATTACATGTATAAGGCCAGAGATGGCTGTGCCTCTTTTGGCGCGCTTGAAAAGCAAGGCGGATCGACCAAGGGTCTTGATCAAACCGGTGCTTTTGCGTGTACCTGTGGTCGCCACGGCTTTCCACTTGCTATAGTCGATATGCGTAGCAAAGGCGAACGGTATTTAGCTTGCTGTTCCTCATTTTTGTCATCATGTATAAAGTACTCACTCTATGTACGTTTAGTTATACCTATGTTCTTAGTGTCTTGAAAAAAGTGACATACAACGAACTGTACGGAAACAACATTCGTATTATGTACGATGTTGGTTGTAAGCTACGAACTGCTTTAAAGGTACTACTTATAACTTACCTCATGTGCACGATGTCCACATCCTAACATAAGCTTCTAGAAAACACCAGAGTTGAAGGACATCGAAGATGTTCCCATTGCAGTCGGTATCTTCCATATTACCGGACACAATGCTGCTTGCCAAATTCAATTCCATCCTCGTTTGGTAAAAGGCTTTGGCATGATCGATGGCGAGTGGCTCGAGCGAATGTGGTCATACCTCAACGGTTTTGTATCCATCACACGTACTATGTCGTCTCTCAACAGGCGACTCACCCTTACTATTGCGCTCGACTTTTTCGCAAAAGAAAAAATTGACAACATTGGTACACGAACTTTATATAATGCCTAAAGACTTAGTATAGGCCCCAACTAACATTAGTATTTTAGGTATCACAATTCAGCGTAAAGAGCAGCGTGCCAAACAATTGCTGGACGATGCTAGAAAGGCCCTCCAAGAAGCAGGGTATCTTGATAAACTAGAGATCTTGCTAGCTAAATGGGAAGAGCATATAGCACTTGCAACTCAGGAACCTACGACCGAAACAGGGCGCATCAAAAAAAAGGTCGACAACGCGTACGAAATACTTCGTACAGCTGTTTCTATCTATGACATTATAGACCAAGCATTTAAGATACAAGGAAATGGTAATGTTATACATCTCATTCGTTCAAACTATAAGCATAAATTACTTACCCGACAAACGATATATATGTATATATATTCAAGGCCATAATCGCACGCAAAACCTTTCCGACCAAAAGAAGTCTGCCTTGGCAAAGGTTCAAAAATGCTTGGATGCCTATAACATTGTGGCTAGAAACCATTCAGTTATAGGTAAAGTTAAAACAGTATAGGTTGCTATGTGCAATGCGTACACATCACAAACTAAAAATTTCGTTTTACAGGTTTAAGCCCGTTTGATAACAGCGTTTCCAGCTTACTGGCGAAAAACAGCAAATTTAGAAAGCACGCCAATTTGTTATCAACGATGGGCGATGACCTACCCTACGATGCTCTTCATGGTTACCTCAGAGCCCAAGAAGAGTTAAAAATGTTGAGGGTATGTAAAGCATGAAATGGTTTTCGGGGAAGGGGGCTCCTAGGTACTAATGCAAATGCTATGTTATAGGAGGAAGCCATGTCGGTTCTGAAATACGGAAAAGAGCTCGTTCATAAGCTCACCGAGGCCACCAAAGGTCCAGAACTGTTTGATAATCTGTCGGACGAGGTTCTTGGAATGGCTGTCATCTGCAAGCAGAAGCTAGTAGAGGCTGAGCGTTGGAACGTGGATCAAAAACGCCGGCTTACTCGCATTGCTGCAGGTCTCCATTCTGTAGCAAGCAGTGGTAATGTCAGAGGTGAAGATGGCGAGGAAGTTGAGGAAGAAGCTGAAGATGAAGAATGTGCAGACCTTGCTCAATTCGAAAACTGGATTGAAAGCATCAATTAGATGAAAAGCAGCAAAACTCTATTACGTACACTTCTCTTTTTATACTACCTAGACCATACACACTGAAATATATTCACTGCCATATCTCATGCTTGCTTTTCTAATAGTTTATAGTGCACAGACAACGAGTACAATCATGAGATTGACAAGGTCATTATTATATGGTGAACAAAACCTTAATGACAACTGTTCTATATATTTGTCCTAAGGTAAGTACACTTTTAATGGATAAATAATAAAGCAGTAAACAGGCAAGAGAAGAGCTTGTCACATAACAAATTTGCGCTATATATCAAGGTACTGTATCATGAAATTGATCGTAAACTTGTATATATTAGCACAATTGGATCAAATGGTGTATAGGGAGACACATTTACAATAATAATACCAAAGCATACAGGCCTACTATAATTCATTAGCTACCAACACTGAATAAAAACCTACGGTCTATCAAAACTTATATAGCAACCTACCTGTTGCTGCTGTCACTTTGTACTTGAATCTCTTTTGTTATCAGACAGAAAGAGCTTCATAGACTTACAGAGGAGAGCTACTGCGTTCTTTTTAGACCTCCAGCACCTCAGCACAAAGTAATGGATTGAATTGAGTTTTTAATATGTTGTAAAGTAGCGTTTCAGCATTCGGATGGTGCCAACTGATGAGCTATACGATCATTTTCTGTGGAGAAAAATATATTAAAGCTGAAAGGTATAGGTGAAAGATGAGGCGATTGTTGAAAAAAAGCAAAGGGGTTGTTGTTAACCTGTAGTTTTTGCTTAAAAACGGGTCGTTTCGACAATATTTCCGGCAGATTTTCATGTTTCTAGCCAAGTGTGTAAAGAACGACGAGACGAACACGATGATACCAACCACAATGCTTTACTCGAGTCTTATCGTCTGCAAAAAGGCATTTTGTGGATAATTTTTTTTTTGTTTTTGTAAGCCGCTCTTTTCGTGAAACGCTCCTTCCCTAAACGGTTGACGATATGGAAGTTCGTTTTTGATAACGCTGAGGAGCTGAACTCTACATTGTCGATCATATAATTTTGCTGCGATATTGGGCTCGCGAGTAAAAAAAACTTGTACACGACATTTTTGCGTTTGAACAACTTTAAAACGTACAAAGCTCACTAGGAGGTCTTCAAATATGTGTGCCACTTAATGAGAAGCGCGTGTCATCGAATTGACGGCGCGGTACCATTTAGAACCCCGGGTGTTGTCATCGAATTGACGGCGGACAGCGAGGCTTCATTTAAAACCCCGGAACTTGTCATCGAATTGACGGCTCACTGAAAGCTCTGATCCTGATACTTACACTCACCCCCCACTTACCACTTACGTTAAGCAGTGGCATTTTCTTTATTCCTTATTCAAATGGTTCAAACAACTTTTTATCAATTTATGGTATGAAAATTTGCTGTTCTATTTTTCTGGAATTATTCTGATCAATATAATTCTTTCCTGTTGAAGTCGATGAGAAGATCTTGTCCCCCTTATCAAACTGAGCCAATAATCAGCCAGTTGAGTAATGTCTCTATCATTGAGAAGTAAAGTTTCCAACCAAACCACGCATGTGATAAACGATGTATAATTGTATGCCTGAAATATGTATGACTAATTTATAGAGGCAAACGCCGGGATACAACAGGGAACACGGATACTTTTCATGAAGCATACATATCTTTTCGTCTTCCAACAGACGCCCAAATTAATAGCTTTGAAAAACTGCTATCAAAGCGCAGGGAAGATGCAGGAAAACTTGCAAGCGAAGCAGAAAATTATCTTTTAGGATCTTCAAAGGAAAGTGAATCATCCAATATGATTTACGACTTGATGTGTAGAGCAAAGCGCATCTGGCCTGACGTTCAGTTTAAAGAAGGTACTCATACCCTTCTTTATTGTTGCATTGGATACTGATATCACGTCGTAGCTTCTTCTAAACTTTATCCTCAAATTGATGCTGGTATGAGCTCGAAACTCATCCGTAAATGCATGTATATACTTTTATTAGTCTAATGGGAAGCCCGCTCTATCTAGTATTATATCTAACTACTACAATATTCGTGTGAATGATACGAATGAGGATATGATATACCAGCAACGCTCGAGTAGATTTCACGATGAAGGTTATTGGGGCGGTACTTACTTCAACAACAGATTGGCGTTCGACAACATTTATATCGGATATATCGCAAGGATCATCACCGGCACACTGTTCAGTGGATTGTAGATAAACCAAAAGCATGGACAAAGGTAAGAAATGGCGGGTGTTGGTCATTTAGAGCATGGTAAATTCCGGTGCCAATGGTTGATCTGTCCAAGACGCTACGCGTTCTGGTCACAATGTGAGAGAAAGTATACACGCAAAGCCGACCTCTATAACCATCTACGTGACCATCACAGCGTCGCAATTCCGAAATTTGAAGCGTGGAAGAAGTGTCGCTCATCATACGACAGACGCAAAAAGAGAAGCAGTGGGTCAAAATCAATGTTTAAAGATGAAATATCAATTTTGTATTAAATGCATATGCTGCTATGTACATAGAACAAGGTCTCTCAAAGAAAACGTAGAGCAAAGAACTGAAATTTTAAATTTTGGTACAATCATTAGAAGGTAAGAAAGAATACTTGTTGCATCACTAATGTAAAGTGAATAAATTTGCATTCCCGTTTGCTCTATTTCCTTATAATTTGTTTTTCTCATGGTTACGTGTATACTATGTACTTTGTTATTTGATCGACTGCCTGCATTGTTAATGTGATCCATTACAAGGAAGAATGTCTACACATAAAAAGTTTCTAACATATTTATCTGAGCATATATCAGTCTATGTACTGCTACTATGACGTTAAAAAATATGTCTCATCATCTACTTCTTTTGAAAACAAGAGTTTATTTTGTTTTGGAAACTGTAACAAAACGCTTGTCGCATTCTTATCAGCTCGTTGTAAAAGGGGAGATGAAAGGGCAAACTACAAATACACTTTAAAGTTATGGCGGTGGATATATGCTATCTAAAAAAAGCCGTCATGGCGATTACGAATGTACCATAGCCACAATAAGATAATATAACCTTTTTATTATAGTACTTTGTAAATGCTTTAAGATTCAGCAAGTACAACAAGTATGACATGTTCTCATTTCTAACCTCTCATGTCATCTGTTGCAGTATGATTCAATGCATATATATTACTGTTTATAAATGCTTTGTTACTATGTGATAGAAAATATCACTTGATGTGAAACTAAGAAAACTGTTTGTCTTTTACTTTTACATAAGTTTGTACCAGAGGATAGAAACAAACAAATGAGGAATCTTTTATATAAATGCTTAATATCTAAATAGTAGTATAAAGTAGATCACTTAATTTCATTGTAAATGCTATTAACGAACAATTTTGATGTTGTTCTTTAACTTCTTATATATTATCTATACTTGTATCAGTAGCCTAATTTAAAAAAAGAAACTATAATAAGTTACCACTATGCATATATAAAGTTGAAGAAACATATATAAGTAGCTGAATGTACATACTGATCAATTCAGAAAGTTAGCAACAAACTTTTTAATCTCGATCGTCATATACAGCAAACTACAGTTATGTTGTTATAATGCAATATATTGTTGTTTTTTTTAGCGTCTACTGTATCATACATCGATAGAACAGGTTTCATTCTTATTTTTCTGACTGGTATTAATACAATCGTTAGTATATTTATCTATTTATTTACTCTAATATGTGTGTATGATCTTGGTTAATCGTACATTCCATTCATATTTTGATTTCTATTTTCATTTGGAAAGCTCATTCAGTAAGTACACCAGCCTGTATATCAACTTGTAAACCGCAAAACTTTTTTATGCAAATCGTTGTTACAAGATTTACTCTAATCAATCTATACCTCTATGTTCGTGTACCAAGTACTAAAGAAATCCGTAAAAGTCATTCTTATCTACCATGATACTCTAAGTCTTCTTCTCCCTCACATACATTAATACACGTGAACGAGCGACATTTCTCTATAATTATTAGTAGACACTTTTCATGAATAAATAAGATGAAAGTTAAATATGTTTTGTAAAAGAGTATGTTTTAATGATGTCTATGTATGAAAGCTATACGCATTTATTGTTCTCATTGTCTCACATTAAGTATGTAGCCAGTAAAACCGACTATTGAAGAATAACTAATGGTTTGAACATTTATCCCATAAAAGAGCTACCTACAACATTCCTTTTTCAAAGGATAACTGCAAAACGCACGTAGTTATGTGCTGTAGTTAACGGTAAAATCAGTACTTATTGTTTTTCTACTAAGGCTGCATCGTTATAGTGCTTATTATTGGATCAGACATCGACTTAGCAATGTGCGTTCTCTCAGCTAATACATTAAAATCTTCCATTCTTTTTCTATATTCTTCAAAACCGTTACTTTTCTAGTATTAGATATACTTGACGCTATTAGAGCAAATGGTAAATAGTTTTCTAGCATGAGATGGCAGTTTATGTAGTTCATGAAGCCTTAGAGACCATAAGTATGCCGTCACTTCAAAACCCTAATCCCTGTATTTTGCTAATATCGGAAAAAACGCTTAACGCTTCGTGATATTTCCTCTATCTATTTTGTCAGCATTCCATCACCCTTGATTGATAATGCCACGTAGCGAGCAGCTAAAAACTGATTCTATTCAGTGAGTATAACACCGGTCCTAATCGACATTGACCTTTATGAGCAATACGGTTGAAGCTTCCTCTTTCCATTTGTTTTTGCTATCTTTACACAAGGCAAATGATTCTCGTCGGCTAAAAGGAAAACCGCTGTTCCAATGTAATGATGTTTGGGGAAAAGGGTGTTGCGGGGATATTGTCCGAAGTAGAGATGGATGCTGGTTTAGGCTGAGAATCAATCTTGAATGTTGCACAGTGGGAAATATGATGAGGCGGCGAAAGAGCGTGTTAGCTGTAATATTTGTTGTGGTCCTCAGGATAACTTTTCACTCCTTTGCTTTTCTTTGAGATAAATAAAAGCTATAACGTCCTTTCCTAAATACATTTAATAAGGCTATGCATATGTTATGTAAGTTCCCTCTCTTGTATATAGAAAGAAAATAAAAGCGAAAGCAAGGCTACTTTTCCTCGCAGTAATTTTTGTCGTACCAGCGGAGAAGAAGGGTTAAAAAAAATGTTCATAAACCGCGGTAT